ATGGATAAAGGTAGAGAGAGGTCTCCAAGTATGTGTATAGATCAGGCTCTCCCAACCCTGTCTCCTCGACGCGGTTGCCGACTGCCATGCTGGTGAGGAATGGGTTGTTGTCCATCTGACGGTGGCTTGCGTCCTCAACCGCGCTCTCTTCCCCAAAGATCAACTGGTTCATGGTCTCGTCTCGTCCCCCCGGGAGGTATGTAGGCTTGTGATGTGCGATCGGGTTGTGGCGTGCGATGGGTTCGTGATATGCGATGGGTTTGTGGGGCAATTAAGAGATAGGAGTACGTGAACAATTTATCGATGACGGGGGGGCTAGGGGGGTGGGGGGGGGGGGGAAGGGGTAGGATGAGATAGACGACAGAGTGGGAAGTCAGAGCAGGTCAAGATGTACAGCTCATTTTACAATTACAGGCTCCAGATGCTACAGGAAGAAATGAGGACGGGGGAGACAGAAGGGTGCTGACAAGGTTCATGGCACATCAAGGGGAACGTCTGGGGCGGGAACAATTGAGCGGGTTACCAAACTGCAAACTGAGGGATGGGGAGAAAAACACCGTGGACCAGAGTGGAAAGGGGAGATGAGCTCAGTCTGTGATGAGTGAGAGTCCCAGAGCAAAGGGATCTCAATCAAGTAGCCCGAGAAGGAAACAAAAGATTGGTGCTTGTTTGAAATATAGACCGACCCGACCACTGGCAATCGCAGCATTCATGGGCCTGAGTTTCCGACCTAGAGCCCCGTAAAGTGGAGGATGACTTGACAGGCATGAAAGGTCCTTCTCCCTAGTCAACTTCCCCGGCCGCTGGGGAGGAGAAGGACAGCCAAGCCGGTGCCCCAAATGAGGATGGCCCTGGATCCCATGCAGGTTCATTTTATGGTCCAGATCAAACAGAGGCAGGTCAAGAAGTATGTCCAGAGATGAGTCCAGAGCAGAGGTTCCTCCGGAGGTGAGTCCAGTGTTTTGAGAAAGGGAAGAGAAGGAAGAAGAGGAAGAAAGGTGAGTGGGGGACTATATACCTACCCCCAGATCTGGAGCTAGTCCCGATTGGGATGTGATTTCTTATTCTGGAGCTGCAGATTCCACCGACTAACGGGTCGGGAACAACAAGCGGGGATAACAAGAGATAACAGAAGGAGTTAACAGTTAACAGGCGGCGATAAACACCCAGAGAGTCCGTCAGTCTGCTTGTCACTCAGTCATATTCAGATCCATCATCAATACAGAAAAGTCACTACGCCATAGAAACTAGAATGGTAGATCATAAAAGTAACAGTAAACGGGCACACATGGTAAGCGAACACACAGTAAGCGAACACACAGTAAGCGAACACATAGTAAACGAGCACCTTCTATCAGTAAAAGAGCACACACAGTAAGCGAAAACACACAGTAAACAAGTACCTCCTATCACCCCGTTGCAACATAGATCGATGGGGACAAAGAACCATCTCTCGGAAAGGAGAGGCAAGTTGATCAAGTCTGACGAGTGCAGAAACCCCACAAGAGAAAAGGAGGAACACACAGGCAGACAGGATCATGGCTCACGATCCATGAGATCATGATGGGGGAAACAAAAGATTGGTGCACTTGTAGTAACGAACACAGGAAATAGTAAGACGGTCAAACATCAAGAGCCCGATTATTTGGGCAGAACCCCCGCTGTGATTTTTGCAGGCTTGATGTAACCTCCCCCTACCCCGGTCCATCATCCCACGCAGAGCAGGAATCAGGCCCACAGGTAAGAGGAGGTCACAGGCCCAGTACAAACCAAATCCATGAACATACAAAACAAGGCGAGTCAAGGTGCACGTCCAGAGGTGAGTCCAGAGCTGAGAGAGAGAAGAGAAGGAAGAAGAGGAAGAAAGGCGAGTGGGGGGGTTATATACCTGCCCCCAGACCTGGAGCTAGTCCCGATTGGGACTAGCCTTCCCTTTTGGGTAGGATGGGATTTTGTCATGTTTGACCAACTTCCTGTGGCCACCATCGCGCTGATTCAAATGGGATCTCATACCCCTCTTGTTTCTCCCCCTCGACCTGGCTTTCTCGACAATACGAATCATCATCATTCGCCCACATAATAGATTTATTATTGTGGAACATGAAAACCACGTGCTAACGTTCTATCTCATGAGCCTTCCATGCAATCCAGTAAAGATATGATCGTTCCTTGTATTGCTGCCATTGATTCCACCAAATGATGTATCTTCATCGCAAAAAGTCTCGATGCGAGTCCATACGCAGTAGACCGTAGTCAATATGAGGCTCTGCCAGGAACCGGGGGTCATAGCCGATTGGTTCACCCGACCCACTTCCCGTAGATCTCCCGAGTTGCAGAACGACTACTGTCCAGTGATCAATCCACTGGACACTCCAACACCCGGTGCCACAACTCCACATGAAGTACGGTGTCCACTGTTACCATCCTTATCATTGTTGTCATCATCTCGCTCTCGCTTGATGACTACCACCGGTCAGTATCCTTATGCCTCAAATGAACCGGGGAATCGTACATGGAACAGCAGCGTTCATGCAACGCCGCTTGGCGAGTCGGCGACGCGTAGCCGCATTGGGGCGGGCCTTGCGCTTCCCGGGCACGGTGCTCTGCTTATAAACCAATGTTAGCATCAAGCCGAATTTTAGTCGCTGATCATCAAGCATACTTGAGACTGATTGGCTTGGGTTGTGACAGTTCTGGTGGGTCGCTCTTCGGGCAGACCGGGCACGGGCCGGGCGGGCACGGCGGGCACAGACGCGAAGCGGGCGGGGACAGACGCGAACCCGGCGGGGACAGACGCGACAGACGCGAACGAGAAGTCAAACGTGCCCCCGTTGGTCTGATACAGGTTTATCACAGCGCTGGTGGGTCGCTCTTCAGACGGTCCGGCCTCGGACCGGGCGGGCACAGACGCGAACCGGCCGGGCGCAGACGCGAACGAGAAGCGAAACGTGCCACCGTTGGTCTGATGCAGGTTGATCACACTGGTCTCACGTAGGTTGGTACCGGGGTTGAGCCCAGCAGCGGACTGGGAGATGCGATGATCCATAGTGATGAAGGATGAAATGAGGGAAGGGAGAAGAGTGAAGGATGAAAAGATGGTAGAGAGGAAAGGGAGAAGAGTGAAGGGGAAAAGAGAGAAAGAAGAAAAGAGAAAAGAAAAGTGAGAGAAGAGAAGATAGACAGGTTGTAGAGTTACAGTGTAGATCGAGTAGCTCGTTCTCAGTTGCCACCCCTAAAGCCGGGAGCCCAGCTCCATTGTGTCTCTTTATTATTTCCACTTCCACCTCCCTGTCCATTCTTCCACTAGGCGAGCGATGGTTTCTCATTACACCCGTCAGGTTACTGCTGAATGCGCCAACCGGCAGGCCTGTGTCTGGCCAACAGACTGGCGCCGGCCAAACCATGACACGGTTCCACCCGCAGGCTCCACTGAAGCCGAAAACCACTCTTGCTGATTGATCGAACGGCCAAGTCCTCACGGTCCCGAAAGGGCTTCGCGTCACCGATCCTGACTGAATGCATTTCTACTTTTGGGGCAAAGAAGAGTGCCGGACTGAAACGCTGTTTTGATAAATTGTTGGAGGCTCCGGAAGCTGAGGTAGGTGCATCTAACACCGACTTGTCCATACCGTACTAATGGTCACATCTTTCCAGAGCAAATGCACCCCGCCAAAGAGGACTAGGCATCGGCTTAGACCTTCCCGGCATGCGAGGAAGCGTCAACTGACTGTTGAGGAGATGGAGGCTGTTGGGCACATGGAGACTATTGAAGACGCGACAGCTGGTGCAGACTCGGAGGATTTTCCCATGGCTATGGAGCTATTGATATCGACTGAGTGACGAGTCGACTGAAGGAATCTCTGGGTGGCTATCTCCACCTGTTACCCCCCTGTTGTACCTGCATGTTGCCCTCAACCCATTGATCGGTAGAATCTACAGTCCTCAAACATGGAATCCAAAACGTCGCAAGCTCAGCGCTCTCCATTATGTACTTTCCCTGGTAAAGTACATGGTACAATGTATGACTACCTAGCGAACAGGAAAGAGTACGATGGCGATATAACATAGCATACAGATCTACCAAGATACAATAAGGGAGTCATATTCCACTTGCACCTGCGCGAAGGTGGCCACAGAAGTAGAAGTTGATCAAACATGGCAAGATCCCATCCTACCCAAAAGGGAAGGCTAGTCCCAATCGGGACTAGCTCCAGGTCTGGGGGCAGGTATATAACCTCCCCACTCGCCTTTCTTCCTCTTGTTCCTTCTCTTCTCTCTCTCAGCTCTGGACTCACCTCTGGAGCCACCCAATGTGCACCTTGACTCGCCTTGTTTGTACTATTTCATATGGGATTTGATTTGGACTGCTCGTGTGATCGACTGGCAACACTGCGCACCACGGGACCCTGCGTGGGACGACGGATTCGTACCAGACTTTCACAAGGGCAATCATCTGGTTACAGATCCATCAAGCCTGCAGAAACCACAGTGGGGTGCGCCCAATTCATCGGGCTCTTGGTGTCGGACAGTCTGATCACTTCCTTATGTTCTATACAAACAAGTGCACCAATCTTTTGTTACCCCCCATGATCCTGTCTGCTTGTGTGTGCCTCCTTTGCTCTTGTGGGGTCATTGCACTCGTCAGACTTTATCAACTATTCTCTCTTCTCCGAAGGAGGATCCTTTGACCCCATCGATCATCACCCTTCTTCACCGTTGTCTTTCACCGTTGTCTCTGATAATCCTGTTGATGTGGTTATGTTCATGTAAATCCCATTAAGAGCCGGGGTCTTGGGTGATAGTTACCAGATACCCTTCATGTCTTCACTCTATCTTGTCTTCCGCTACCTAGTCCATGTTCCCTTGAATTCAATGAAGATTATATTATTATAATGGTGCCATAGGAGACGCCCATAAAGACCTTTCGTATACGGTCAACTATCCATAACGCAGTAGAGATTCAAAGAGAAGCCACATTAATTCCTCTCGAATAATCAACACTATTCAATCCGTGTACCAATCCCATCCCAAAGATTCGCATACACTAACCTTGTTCGACTGGAGGGAGCGTCCGCACCGAACGAAGCCTCACCCGCAAAAAACCGCATACCAAACGTTTCCTCCGCCGCGTAAAGACGAGTTGAGATCGCGGTGCGGCCATTCACAAACACCTCGAGAACCGAGTTATCCCTCCACGCTCGGATGTCCAAAGTCTCCGTCTCGTGTGTGTCAGTTTGTAGATTCTTGGAGGTAAACAATGTATGCGGTGCGACTTCGGGCGAGCTGTTGACTAGCAGAGATGTGTCTGATGTGGCGAGTGACGGGCGGGTTATAGTGAAGGTCTCTGATCGGGGGTCGAAAGTCAAGGTGGTGGATTGCAAGAAGTCTAGTTGGTCAGTGAGATTGCACAGGCTGATTGATACGCCTACTTACCATCTGTGTGGCCGATAGTGACACCGACGCGAGAAGAGAATCGAGACACGCTGAAGGAGCATTGTAGCTCCCATTGCTTGCTCCGAATGTTCGCCGCCGAAAATTCGACCCTGTCACCATTTGGAGACAACATAGAGGACTCCAGTCGAGAAAGTCTTGATCCGACACGGAGCCGCTCGATCAGAGGCTGGTACGGCTGACTAGCAAGTGTTTGGACGGTGAATCTATCCCCGCCCTCGGGTTTTACCTTGACAGACGTGATGGCTGACAGATCTGACGATAGGGCGTGAACCACATTACGTGTGGTCTGCATGGAGAGCTGGCGAGGCATGGAAAGCATACCACTCCACCCTTGCTGGTGACGCAGTTCATCGCAAAGGTCTTCTTCCGTAATCCACCCCCATACCACATGCTTCTTGGTCTTTGGATCGAAGAATGAGTTGGCTGCATACAGACATCCATGATCAAGGTGACCTCCAAAATCGTACGACATCTCAGCGCCAGCGCCAGAGCGGTCATTCTTGTGGATAGTCCCAGACATCCACAGCTGACCGCGGCATGGACGAGAGGGACCTGGGTTGACGGGAGATCCACTTGTATCGAGGCACCCTTCAGTCCCCATGATTAGAAGGTCATGCGTGGCAGAGGGATCTTGCTTGTCCTTTAGGGACAAGAAGTTGGTAACCTCCCAGTTTCGCCCCAGGTCCCCAGACCATCGTGACGGTCTGAAATTGAGGCCAAGGTTCGACAATGGACCGATGTAGGACCAATCCAACGGGTCATTATCGTTGATCTTGTACAGGAAGCTTGTTGGTGTGACTTCTCTGATACCTCCGGATATGATTCCAAAGACCGTGGTTGGGTCCAGTCCCAACACTTGGCTCATGCTATCCCAGCGAGCACAGAAGGGATCACGCCAGCCTGTGACATCGAGGCCAGGCGGCTCGCCAGGCAATATAGGATTATTGATGCTCTTGTGCCAGGTCCTTCCATTGTCAACAGATGTTGCTAGACTTAGTGTCTCACATCCCGTTTGGTGAGGAAGTGTGTGGTGGATTGGAAGTGCGCTGACACTTGTATAGACATAGTTCAGAGAGCCATCCTGCCCCTTGACAAAGCAGCCGGTGAAGACACCTTTGGCATCATAGCTCTTGTCCGGTGAGAGAATTGGATCTTCCTGGATCTTCCAGGAGATCATATCCTTCGAAGTGGCAGTGCCCCAGCAGATGTCACCCCAGTCAGGGCCATTGGGATTCCACTGGAAGGAGACATAGTACGTCCCGGTGGCAGGATCATATCCCGGTGCACAGGGGTCATTCATCCAGCCACTGCGAGGCATCAAATGGTATGAAGGACGCCAAGCAGACTTGGATTTGGGATGTCCATCTCCGGGTGTGGTGATGGTGGTAGGAGAGGTATGCGACGTGCCTCCGCAGGTTGAAGGGCTCGACATTGTTGAAACAAAAACAATATTGACATTCTCATTGCCAGGAAGCCCTGTTTAAAACTTGCCTATCCTGAAAAAAAACGCGAGCGGAAATAAAACGGCGATATAGCGGAGGATAGTATCAAGCTTCGAGATTCCGCCGAGGTTTTCCCGCTGGATGATCCCGTTCACATTCCTGGCTTGTCATTCCCCACGGGGGATCGGATCTATCGTCGTCTGATTATCGTCTTGCGCTCTTTTAGTATCCCCGAGGATCTGCCATGCTATCGCCAGCCGGGCTGGGCCTTGTTTTCTACCTGTCAACGCAGACATAAAATGGCAACTTGCTCCCGAATTCGAAGAGACATGTTGATCAGTGACTCCTTACTGTTGACTTCTACTGCAAACACTGATCATGAATATCTCAAAAGATTCAGAAGCTGAAAAGCTCAGCATCCAAGACGAAACCAAGCCCAGTCTCGGTCATGTCGAAGTCCTTGCCGATCCGATTCCTACCAAGCTGGAGGATGTCCAGGCTCCACAGATGACAGCAAGGGATCAATGGCACCAGCTCTCCACTGCCATTCACGCTGAGAAGCGGTATTGTTGCTGGGCGCTCTTCACAATCCTCCTCGTTTTCAGTTGGGGTTATGATTCCGGCCTGTCAGGAATCGCTATTGCCTTCCCGGAGTTCCGCAAAGCATACGGCAACTACTATGCTGTCAGTGACGAATATGTGATACCCGCGCTGTGGCAGTCCCTCTGGAACGCAGCGTCTACAATTGGACAAGTGTTCGGTGGTTACGCGGCTGGGCAGTTCGCGGATTACTTGGGTCGGAAGTTCCTCCTCTACGTGGCTATTGTCGTTGCACTCGCCTCTTCGTTTGCGTTGGTGTTTGCCCCAAACCTTCCAGTTCTCTTTGTTTCAAAGCTCCTTCTTGGTCTTTCTGTCGGTCTATCGACAGTTCTTCCACCCTTGTATGTCACGGAGAATGCACCTACAGCCCTCCGTTCCACATTCTCATCTCTGACGAACGTCATGATTGTATTCGGTCAATTTTGCGCTTCCATGACCGGATACGGAGCCTCCAATATCCACGGCACTTGGTCTTATAGACTTGCATTTGTGATGACCTTCCTCCCGCCCGGTATCTACCTGTGCGGGCTCCCATTTCTGCCCGAGAGCCCAGTCTGGTACATTAAGAAGGGTCGGGAGGAAGACGCACGCAAGGCCATTCTCAAGCTCTATGGCCCCGAATCCGATGTCGATGCCCGCGTTGAGACAATCAAGTCCGAGCTCCGACAGACAGAAGACAGCGAGTCTGCCGCCGGCCAGACGAGTTGGAAGAGTATATTTTCCAAAGAGCATCGATCCCGCACTCTCGTTGCTGTTCTCGGTCTTCAGGCCCAAAATTTCTCCGGTGGCTATTTCGCCAACACATACCAGACCTACTACTTCCAGTTGATCGGTCAAGCGGACTCCTTCCAACTCACAGCAATCTCTTCATCACTACAACTCCTATCCAACTTCGTCGCTCTATGTCTTTCTGATGTGATTCCGCGCAGAAAGGGCCTTGTCGGTGGTGGAACCACACTTATGTTCTGGTCCGTCATCATCGCGGGTCTATCCATGGCGCCAAAATCAAATGCATCCGCCAACACAGCCGTACTCGCATTCATGATTACCTGGTCGATGTTATATACCGCCACTGTGGGGTGCTACGGATGGGCCGTGGCCCAAGAGACTGCGGCACAAGCTACCCGTCCCAAGACAATCTCTTTTGTCTTGATTTGCCAGCAACTGACGGCTCTACTGCTTTCGTCTGTGTTCCCGTATTTCATCAATCCTGATGAGCTCAATTGGGGCGGCAAAGTCATGTTTTTGTTCGTTGGAGTCGAGCTGTTCATCATGGCTGGTCTCTATCTCCTTCAGCCGGAGACTCAGAACCGATCGTACACTGAGATTGATGCGCTGTATGCTGGCAAGGTTCCTCCTCGCAAATTCACTCAATTTGTGGTTGTGGATGGAGAAGTCATCAAGATTCAGCAAAAAGGTGGCTGGTTTGGGCGGATGTTCGACCAGACCCGCCATGTCAAGGAGGTTTTATGTTGAGCTTGATCGTTCTACGTGTTATCTCAGGGCCTTTTGATATGTTTCCCTTAATGACCACAACTCTGATGGCAATTCTAAGTGCTAGAAATCCTGTCACCGCGGATCTTGGGCTACAGTTCCCTCGCGTAGTTATTATATATATCTACATTTTCATAGCAGAATCCAAGTCTTCACACGCCTCATTCGCAAATAAAAATTTTCATTCATTCATTTATTTACCTCTGAGAGTAGTAGGACCCTTGAATCTATCTATGGAGATTTTCAGGGCTTACGGTAGTTCACATATTGTGGAAGTTGGGTATCACTTGAGCAGAATGCATCGCTCCAAACACTACTACTAAGATCGTCGCTCCACATTCTCCGCGTAAACATCTTAACCGAGTCCCATCATCGCGCCCGAATATCTCGGATGTCGTCTAATTACTCTCACGGAACTTGAAATTCTCAGTCAACCACGAGCACACGGTCCCCGTATACATCGGACAAGATCGGTGGATCCTCGGAGAAACCCAACCAACTCGCGCTGGCGGGAATTTCCGCCCCATTCCTCCGAGCAGTCCCCAGACTCTAGAGCTAGAGCTTGTTACCCCGGTTCTCGACCATGGACACCGTCATGACACATCTATCTCCTCCCACGGTTGCTCATTTCCCCGAGCAAGCTCCCAGCTCTCCCCAGAAAACACGTGTGCTGCACAGACGCGACGCATAGACCATAACAAGGAAGGAGATCGTCTTGGTTTCCCCGAATACTCTCCCAGTTTCTCCTGGAGAGGACGTGTATTCAATCATCTGGATGTTGTCCTTGTGTTGATGGTGAGGTATATACTTAGGGTTTCCCCGAGGAATCGCTCATATCTCCCATATTTTTCCGGGTGTAGGTTGAACTGGATCCGCTTGTGATTCATAAGAGCACCACTTCTCAGCACCAGACGATCTATTGACACCTCAAACCAACTTCCACCAACTGAGCATTACTCTTACGATGCCTCACCACACCACTGAAAAGAAATGGTGGAAAGAAGCCGTGGTCTACCAAATCTACCCAGCCAGCTTCCTAGACACCAACGGTGATGGCCTCGGAGACATTACCGGCATCACCAGCAAAGTGCCATACATCAAGTCCCTGGGAGTCGACACAATCTGGCTCTCACCCATCTTTGCATCTCCCCAAAAAGACATGGGCTACGATGTAGCCGATTACCGGTCTATCCACGCACCATACGGAACAGTCGAAGATGTCCAAACTCTCATCGACCAGCTCCACGCAAACAACATGCGTATCCTGATGGACCTCGTCGTCAACCACACAAGCGACCAACATGCATGGTTCAAAGAATCCAGAAGCTCCAAGTCAAATCCCAAGCGAGACTGGTATATCTGGCGGGATGCGAAGTACGACGAGAATGGGAACCGCAAAGAACCAAATAACTGGAAATCTATCTTTGGTGGTAGTGCGTGGGCATTTGATGAGCCCACGGGACAATATTACCTGGCCCTGTTCTTGCCCAGTCAACCCGATTTGAATTGGGAGAGCCCTGCTATGCGTGAAGCCACGCATGATGATATGCGGTTCTGGCTGGACCGCGGTGTGGACGGGTTCCGCATCGATAGTATGAATCTCATGTCCAAACACCCTGACCTACCAGATGGGAAAGTCGTCAATGACGAGCCCTACCAATCTGGCGCGGAGTTCTTTGCATCAGGTCCCAAGATGCATGATTACATCCGCGAGATCAGGTCTCAGGTGCTTGATAACTACGATGTTATGACAGTTGGAGAGCTAGGCTTCACCAAAGACGAGCACTCTGTCAGTGAATATGTCGCGAAAGAACGACATGAACTGAACATGTTGTTCACCGGTGATATCGTGGACATGGACCATGGAGCGAATGGGAAGTACGAACGGAACGACTTCCACCCTCGCAAGATCCGAGAGATCACCAACCTCTGGCAAACAGCCATGCCCAAGTTCGAGGGCTGGAACACCGTTTACCTCGACAATCATGACAGCGGCCGATCTGTCTCCCGGTATGCCTCTGATGCACCTGAGCATCGCGCCACCGCAGCCAAGATGCTGGCTACTTACTTGACGACGCTGAGCGGGACACCGTTTATGTTGGCTGGCCAGGAGATCGGCATGGCCAACCTCGGGAAGGAGTATGGTGTTGATGCATACATCGATGTCGAGGGCAGGAATCATTACAATGAGGTCCTGCAGGCTCGAGGAGGCGATGTTACTAAAATGGGTGATGTGCTACGGGAGATGCAGCTCAAGTCCCGAGACCATGGGCGGTTACCCATGCAGTGGGAAAACTCGCCGAATGCGGGCTTCACGACTGGGGAGCCTTGGATGACCATCAATAAAGATTATGTGGACTGGAATGTTGCCAGTCAGCTGGATGATCCTGACAGCATCATGGCATACTGGAAGGAAGTAATTGCGCTGCGGAAGAGGTTTTCTGATGTCTTTGTGTATGGCTCTTACGCACCTCTCTCGGAGTCTGAGACCGGTGAACTGGTTCTCGGATATGAGAGGGAATGCAAGGAGACGGGTCAGAGAGCGGTCGTTTTATTGAACTTCTGTGATCGCGAGTCGGAGGTTTCAGTGAAGAAATACGCTGGCTGGCGTACTCTTGTCTCCAACCAGGCTGATATTTCTGGAGATCAGATCAAGTTGAGGCCATTCGGCAGTCTGGTGCTGTTAACTATTTGAGATATTCAGATTAACACGCTCATCTAAATCGTGTTGATCACAAGCAATGATAGAAGAATAGCAGCCTAGGTGATATTCCTTATCTGGCTTCTGGCCGGCAAAAGACAGAGATACTTAAGTACTGGAATCAACACATAGACTCAGTCAGCCAAACTTTGAAAGAAAGAAAGAAAAAAGAGAAAGAAAAAAAAACAGTGCCCGGTCCTGGATTCGAACCAGGGTCTCTCGAAAGGCAGGCCACCACACGGTTCAGAACCGGGATGGCTTACATAGAACCGCCCCCGCAGCGCCTTTTCCACTGGGCCAACCAGGCTTTTTATATTTATTACAAGTGGATCCTGTCACATAACTTACATTTTACAGAGGTTTTACAGTACCACGTATGGTGAGGCAGAAATGAGGCATACTGGAACTGAGCTGAGAATACATGAACAGGCATGCCTATAACAGGATTCATGAAAAAAAAAATTTACTTAAGTATTCTCTAGTTCGTAGTTCTTGCTGATGAAAGGACAATGATTGACCTGCAGGCATTGGCTGTACATCAGTTTGAGTAATGAACAAGCTGATTGATGCGCAGCCTTTCATTGGAAAAGCTGCCCAGGTGGTTGCAGCAACCTACGATATACAGTCTGTTTGGGTCTTGTCCATAATCAGGGCAGGCTCAATTTTCGCCCTATTCATCACGCGTCAAAGCATGTACCCTACTTGACCAGGAGTTCTTTAAAATATGGTATATTTTGAGTAAAATTGCAGCCCATACTGGAAAGATTGCCATAAAGGTCAACATATGCATCGATCAGCAAATTTGAGATTGGGTTCATCAAGGGTATCAAGAAAAACATCATGCGAAAGTCATAAAAAGGCCCGGCAGCCTGTTACCCGAATAAGTATTTCTTCCAACTCTGTTTCCAAGGCTTCCAGGTGCCCCCAAAGCGATGGTTGATGCAAGAATGTGGGCTGTTAAAGCCCTCAGCTCCACTGTGTCTTTGTCCATTGCCCCAAGAATTGACAGGCAAGACGCAGATCCCGCCCATTCTCCCAGACCGATCGTCAGAATCCTCGGCACAAACGGTGTCTGTGAGATCGTGAAAGGGTGCCCATGTCACACGTTGGGCAGGCAAGGTCAAGGACGAAGGCATCAGGTCCCCGGAACTTGTGTCCCCGGAGTTTTTACCCGCCTTCAGAGACTCCTCAATGAATGGATGTGTAGACGGCAATGTGTCGGAGAGCTTGTCGAGGATGGCATCTGTAAACACACCAGGCCCCGTGACCTCCAGCGTTGTCATCTCATCATACCTTCCCCAAAAGTGACTTTCCACATGATGCTTCGTATGAGACAAAACCCGGACGATCACCTCCCTCAATAGCGGACTGAATCTCTGCGGCGCATATATGTTATATTGCAGAAACCCATACCTCCGGGCCCAATGCCACTCTCGCATCTTTTGTGGCGAAGCCAAGGGCTCATCAATCTCTACTCCGACGACGAGAGAGACATTGCGGCTGATCGACGTGCCGATCGAAAGATCTTCGAACACGTTGCGAAGCGTTGGGCACGATTTGATGCTTTTTGCCGGATATACATCCACGTCCGCGTAGTAGCCGCCGTAGTACCATAAGACTAGGTAGCGGAGCAGATCGCCGCGCTGGACATAATGAGGGTATGATTTGTACAGACGAGCAAGGTCTGGAATTGATGCGAGGGTCTTGGTGATGAAGTTATCGGCCCAATGGGCGTTTATCAACTAGATGGATCGGTTAGATCGGTCCGAACGGTGGAATGAATTGGCCTCATCCATACCTGGTATCTCCATTCAGGGTTCCGTTTCTGGAATTCGTAGGAATCATCTTTGCGCTGGTCTTTGGGGGACAAGATAATCTGCCAGATTGTATCTGTCGCTGCGGGGTGCACGCTGCGATCTGATTCGATCTTCTGTAGTGCATCTGACACTGCGATCTCGTAGTCATAGTCTGGGTTTGCGCGAAAGGGTGACTGATGGAGGTATCGTGGGCGATTATCGGATTCTTCAGTGTGGGGGCTGATTGTTGACGTTGCCGTGGGTAATGAGTTGTACAACACGAGGATGAGCAGGATGGCAGCCAGCAGATACTTATGCCGGCTCAAAGAGCCACATCTGTTTCTCATGGCTACAGAGGAAAGTAGCCATAAGGAATAGAATGAAAAGGTCGAAATTAACCTTGGAAGTCCGAGGGATTTGGAGGAAAAGTGCAAAAGGCATGGCAATTCCTCTTTTGGGAAGGTCCGGGCCCACTGTGGCGTTATTGGCTGGAACTCGCTTACTGTGGATCCCAGGGTCCATGGCTGCGACAGCACGTTCTATTTTGGGTTTTTCCTAATTAGGACTGCCAAGGTATTCAATATAAAGCAGACATTTAATAACAAAACACTGGTCAGTATATAGTTACTAAATGACCTGAATCTCTATTCACTTAAGTTCGGATAGGGCTGACAATGCAGCCGTCATATAGGGTACTGAAGGATATACTTGGCACTTCTGACACTGCCGGAGTATTCCTGAGCTTACCTGTAGCTTATGATGTGCTCTATGTGTTTCCTAAGATCAGGCTTCGGTTTCTTGGACACCTTTTCTGCTTAGATATGAAATGCTATAAACTTGCGAGTGTAAAAAGGTTAGAGGTTGGAGATAAGTAGGTACTTTAGTGGTGAATCAAGACAAGGTCGAATCAACTTCGACTAACCACTCAATTTTGAAGCCCATGGCCGGCTCAATTAGCTACAAAACAGGAGCTCATTGGTGGTCTGAACCCTCCAACTATACCTCAAACTGGCTTCGTGATCAAACGCACCAGCTTCGAAGCAAAGAAGGAACTTCCATGCCCGATGGATCTGTGAGTATTACCATGGCTTCTGCAAGAGTCTACTAGCAGATCAAAAGCACACCATATAGCCGACAGGATCATCAGGAATCTCAAGCCTGAAGAGGCTTGCTCCAAGTGAAAACGAACAGGAGCTTCCAACTGCCAGGTGCTGCACATTGTTTGCGATGGTGACACACAAAGTCTTTCTATCAGGTCAAATACTGGAGATACTGATGTCTCACTTGAGGTGGTGGTCTCCATCTCCAGATCAACATACAGCTTCCCAACCTCATCATCTTTAGCCTCGTCTCTCCTTTCTAACCATTTCTTATTTCATCGCCTCTTCTGTTGTCGCTTTGTTTCTTGTTTCCTCGTCTCTCATCGCCTATTTTCTCACCATCTCTTCTCTTATCGACTCTTGTGCCATACTTCAAAGCACCTCAACCTCCATCCCTATCTACACCCAATGCTAAGTAGCAAATTCGCAACAACCACCGACAACGGTGACGCGATGGACATCGATACTCCCCCCAGTGCCTCCCATCGCCCTCCCCTCCCCCCACAAGGACCAAGTCGCCCTCATCCACGACCAAACATCATAACCCGCCACGTCTTCTACGTCCCCATCATGATACGTGGGATGAGCACACCACCCACAGATCTAAAAGTCCTATACCATGCCCTGGACGTAATTCACAGCGACCTCGCCGCGGGGGATATTCGAAATATCCCCAACAGTCTCGCACCCGGGGCTCGTCAAAACCATCTTATGATCCTGATCGGTCTTGCGCATAGTGACCGGATGAGGGCCCTTGGCACTATCAGCCGTCGACTGGGCACAATGATTCAAATGTGTGAGGATGAGCTGGGCTGGTTGAATAATCTGCCTTACAGCCATCCTAATTTTGAGGTTCAATTTCTTCGTGGCTTTGTGCGGGGCCGTCGGGGTGGGCGTTAATCGGTGATTGGCATGCTTGTTGGGTGGTGGTTTGTGGAAAATGAATTGAGATTGGCTCTCGCTTTGTCTGTCACGTTTAGGTGAGATATGAGGATCTTGGTGTGCAGTTCTATGTGGAGGAACCGATCCTCCAGTGCAGCCAAGCCTGGGGTAACAATGGGGAACTTGGGTTTATGGAAGACTTTCCCTGTCGGATTCGGGCGAGACTCGCCGTGGTGATCTCGAATTGGTTCACGGTCCAATGCGGGGTCCTTGTCGAATACAATGAAAATCCAGAGGCCTTCGCTGGAGGTGGGCTGGGGCTGGGAAACTCAGACTTGGCTTTGTATCCTGGCAACCAACACCATAATTGACAGCCGTACTATCAAGGCTTTCGAGATAGACACCCGAATGCATACCTTGTGAAAGTAGGCCCAAATCCTCGTTCCCGAAATCAGACCTAAAACTGCCATCCTCGCCTGGCAATGTTACAACAAGCCAACAAAAAGTAGAGAAACAAAAAACAGTCAATTTCGGTAGTCTCACGACAAACACAGCCACCGAGACTGAGACAAAGTAGTACCAACCAGAACACCAAACAATGCCACAAAACACCAGCAATGCACAAAACCACCCTAATCAAGTACAATAACCTCCTTCTCCTCCAGCAGTCCCTGCCAAGCCCGCTCCACAGCCAAAATACTCCCCCTAACCATCTCCCTAGCCTTCATCCTACCAACCCCATCCTTCAAAAGCGTCTCATAAGGCGTATGCACATGGCGGATATGCGCCTCGACAGCCAAAAGCACTTTCTTCTCATCGCTGATCCTCCCCGTCCGACCAACCCGTCCAGATCCTTTCAGGAATGCATGTTCCAGGATAATCTGGAGTGTCTCTGCAGGCATAAGTGGGAACTCGGCTTCAAGGAGTGCGCGAGACTTGGAGGTATCTTTCTTATCTCGTGATTCCACGGCATTTGCACGCGACTCTTTGGTTGCTGCTGCTGAGGCTAGCACGGTGGTGTGGATTTCTTCTGGCACGCGGATGCCCAGGGTGCGTTTGCCAGTCCGGTTCTTGGGGGGTTAGTTTAATTTTTGGGGGTAGAGGGGTGGGACTTACATATACGACGTAGACAATTTGGTCATTGTCTTTGGTCTTGCTGCGACAGTGGCGGGTGATGTAGACATCGCCTTTTGGGACGAGAATGTACCCTTCTGGCATGGGTGTGTTTTCGGGAATATTCTATGATTGTTAGATGAGTTTTATGTCACGCATAGGGTCATACCTTTTCGAGGGGATCGTCAGAGATGGGAATTGGCACTGTTTTCTTTTGGGGTTTGCGCTTGGTCTGCTTGGTCTGCTTGGTCTCATTGGTGACTTCTTCTAGTGGCTTGGTGGCAGAGCGGGCATCGCGTTTGCGACGCTTCGATTTGGGCACTCGCTTGCGTTTGCGAATCTTGTTTGGAGCCATGATGAGAGGAGAGAGTTGAAGTGAGGAAGTTGAGCATTGCTTTCTTTTTTCTCATGTCTTTATCTCGCAATGGCTCTTTGGTGTGAGATAAAGGGGTGGGTGCCTGGTGATTCAGGTGTCTTTGTTTGGTTTTGTTTGTCTCTCTACACTTTACACTCTACTCTATACACAACATGAAATAATATTGATAACTTCAATTCAGCAAGTTTGGTGCTTTTTTTATGTATGCTATTTCATTTTTTTCTCTTTGTTATTCGGGATAGGAGCCTCAAATTAAAAGGTGCGGAGATCGCCTGGGGAAATTAGCGAGCATGTGCTTCCGAAATGCCGACAGTCAGGAGTATGAATTTCGAGTACATCTTAGCCGATACATCTAAGCGGATAATGACACAGTGGAATAGTATCACCAGGCTGAGCCTGTTCTAAAGTTCTAGATTGACTTCTAGGGATCTTGTATTCTCACTACTGTAGTTAGTTATGGAGTACTACTCCGTCTATGGAGCCTCAGATCTGTATCACCGAGACAAGATTAAGATCATCAGATCTCACGAGATTAGCGCGGGGAGCCTTGGGTTTAGGGTAGCACTAACCAAACCGGGCACTGGAGATTGTATTCCGCTAGACCCAAAGTTGGAAAAGGCTCTCTGGCCAAGGCACAAAGAGTAGGTTCAGGTATTTCGTGCATCCACACTTCTTCCGTACTTTTGACTCGGGCACAAAGACGATGCCAAGATAGGGGCCGCGCAGTGAGCTGATTGCAGTGAGTCCCCTAATTGGGCCCAATCGCCAAAGGGGGAACTCAAAGCCCCTTTCAAGTACTCTGTACCGTTGGATATGGCGGACTTGGTAGATTCAGTATGAGTACGGAGTACTCCGTGGATGCAAGACGGCTCTTCTTTGTTCTCCAGACTCCAGACTTGTATATGAACCCGAGTCATGGCGTCATAGGCCAGATCAGGTTCCACTTGGAGAACCGCTTTTTACTCGTAGTTCAAGATGCAAGACAAGGGGGGGGAGCTGAAGCTTCTGATTGGAGTGCGTGTGCCTGGAGAATTCCTGCAGGTACTGGACACGACACACAATTGTAGACTGCATAACAGTATATTGTCTCTGTAGTGGATTCTCCGGTGGATAGAAAAAAAAAAAAAAAAGAGTCTCCACGCAGGAAAAAAAAAAGAAAAGATCAAACGGAGGTAAACGGGAAAAAAAAGTCGACGAACAGAGAAAAAGGAAAACACGGAATCTTTGGTTCGGTTCTTTTGTGATTTCTTGCTTTCTCACCTCACTTCCTCCCTTTCCCCCTACACACAGTACTCACAGTACTCCATACAGAGTACATATCTGAAATTAACTCTAAATGAACCCAGTTGCGATACATTCTCAGACATAAGGTTGCCTGGCAGCTGTAAACCTTCAATGGTCGGTTGCTGACATGAGTTGGGATCACCCTGTCCACAGGTATGTACACTCCCTTGATTCCCTGTCACTTTCATTCTTCTCCATATCTGAAGTACTCATGGATCCGTTTTTCAGCTTCTACGGTGACCCGCAAACCCCGACGAGGACCCAATTCGACTCGTTTCCCCCCAAACTCGAATCCAGCTTCTTCGATCCCCGAGTCACCTGGGACACTTCCGATCCATATGCCTCTAGTCCGGAGATCCTCCGGACACCTCAGAGGTTCAGCCTCGGCTCCCACAAAGGCAATGACTCCGCCTACAAGAGAACAGAGACCGATACCGCCAGGCGGATTCGTCCAAATGCCGAGGATTACCCCCGGACCATAGGCTCGGCCAAGTCAGCGGCCTCGATGCAGACCCCTCCCCCGACAAGTGCGTCAAGGAGGAAGATCCCCGAGTTTGAGCCGGAGTCGTTGTCAGCGGGGGGTCATTTGGAGACCCCGAGTCGGCTGCTAGGAACCTCCCCTCGAATGTTCGGGCAGGCGTCACCCGATCTGTTCCAATTGGCATCGTTAGATCCGGTCTCTCCTTTCTTGCCACAGCAAAGATTGTTTTGGGACCAAGAGACCGAGAATAATGAAATCCCCTTGCCAAGCAATGGCAACTTCGACGCTCGCCAGTCCTCCCATATTCCTAAATTACCTGCCCTGGATAGCGCAAATTTGCCCGATTTCGGCCATGGCTATGGTCTATCAGCGCCCAACGACGCTGCTCTCTTTCCTGCCCCTTTCTCCACCTCGCCTCGCCGACCGGTCGCCAAGGCAGAGGATCCTGCTCTCTTCCTGAGCTCCCCCGCCCGACGATTCGGCGGTCCGCAAATGACCCCAGAGACAAGGTCTCTGCGAGGACTGCGTCAACCGTACCACCATCAGGCGGAAGAATCAAGGCGGGAGGAACTACTACGGGCACAAGGCAATGGGAGGTCAGACTTGGCGAGCTTCCCAGGCGAGAGTGATGAAGAAGACGACGACATTACTCCGAGGGGCCTTCGACCCGGTCTGACACGGAGTGTCACGCATAATGGTCTCTCCTCTGGCCGGTCATTCAGTCAAGGAATGATGGCATCTACCAGCGGTGTTCGGAAGAGCCCGTCCAAGGGGCGTTCGTCTCCTGCTAAGACCATGCGTCCAGCTCCCTTGCCTCGCGCAAATTCAATTGCCACGGGTTTCCCAACCCGCTCAACGTCTGTAGTCCTCCGCATTGGACGAGACGGTCGTGCCAAGGCCGAGATGGAGGCTGTCGATGAGGCTCCAACAGGCCTGACTGATCCCCTGACAGGCATGGAACTAGATGGGTCAGCAACAGAGAGTGAAGCAGATCCGGCTGAATACTCTGAATACCCTGTCCTACACCGCACACGGTCGTCCTTTTCGCTCTACGATGGTCCCCGGCCACCACTCTCTCGGAGTGACTCGGATTCCCGTCCTCCTTCAAAGGGCTCATACACCTCCACAGTCGGATCTTCTCAATCCGGGCGGATGTCACCGTGGGCTGGGTCCTCGCGAGCGGGAAGAGCTACTTTGCGCGGGTCGCCTGAACTCAAACGTACGCCAAAGCGGCATTCCTCATTACTCCATTCGGACTCGACCTTCACCCGCGGCAGTGGATCAGACTCGCTTCCTGGCGAGGATGAGGACAGTGGCGATGCTCAATCCGCCCTCCGACAAGTCCTTAAAGAACGGGGCCGAGGCACTAGGCCTTCTACTGGCCTACGCGGCCGGCTTTCTCGCTCATCACATACCTTTAATCATCTCCGATCATCACCGCCTCGCTTCGGCAGTGATTACGACATTCCCCGGCACAACGGCTCTCCTACTACACTCACCGACCCCGATCTAGCCACTCCCAGCACTGAACGGCACAGCAATCCCAGCAACGGGACGCGATGTGTCTGCCGGTCGTTGGAAAATGGTGGGCACCTGATGATCCAATGGTGAGTGTCCTCCGATTAATATCACCCTGTCAATACTGATCTGTCCAGTGAATCATGTACCCACTGGCTACACACCAGATGCGTTGGGTTAGAGCGCTCCCACCTACCCTCAGTCTACGTCTGCATCTTCTGTGCGCAAACGCCATCGAAGCAGAATCGATCCCGAACGTCTTATGTTCCGGGTCAAGCTCCCCCTTCACCATTAGCCCACAAGTCATACCGACTGCGGTGATGGTCTCTCCCTTGTATACGCCGGCGATTTCTTTTGTCATTCTCCCCCCTCGGATTCTCCTATATTCTGCATTAGCTGCACATTTGCCTTGTCTCCAAGAGACCTTTACGATACCTATGTACTATTCCCAGCTGGAAAATCCAGAATAGAAAATATTTCTATACTCCGCGTATGCTTAAATATTGCCAGCACCTGCAGATTCCCCGCATATCGGAGGGGCGAACCGGGATCGGGAGAGCAGCCGTAAAGATGTACATTGCATGCAGCAATTCCCTATATATGCTGGATGGCCGGGTCCTCGCCACTGACTTCTGTCAGTTTCTCTTACGAGTAGAATTGCAATTTCGCCGACCCTCGCTGTCCGTAGAAGGCGCCGAGACGCAAACATTTATACTTCGCCGCGTGATCTGATTGGCCCGCACTTATCGGGTCACCGCCTTTTTTATCGAAAAAAGCAGTTTCTCCCCGCGGAGTCACCGTCTCTCCGCGCTACACACTCTTTGTTTCTAATTGCTGCCCTTCGCTGTCAATCGCTGCCATGTCTGCCTCTCTCCCTGGCAGTCGGGACATGCCCGCATCCCAATATGACCTGACAACATACTGGGGTCGTGTGCGCCACTCCGCCGACATTGCTGATCCCCGGTGAGTAGCGTGACCAGTCGCGAGGGAACATGTATTGACTCAGATAGGACTCTGTTCGTTTCTTCGTCCGGTCTCGAGGCCGCCAAGAGCCTCATCGCTTCCTACAAGCAGAACCAAATCCCAGCCATGACACCAGAGCTGTGGTCAGCCAAGAAAGTTGTCGATGCGACATTGCACCCTGGTATGGGCTAGGCACAACAATCATCCTGGCCATTGGCTAACGAGACAGACACCGGCACACCCGTCTTCATGCCCTTCCGCATGTCAGCCTACGTGATGACCAACTTAGTGGTTACAGCAGGCATGCTGACCCCGGGACTGGGGGTAAGAACCTACTGTCCATCTGTACGACCAAGACTAATCCATGATAGACCACTGGTACCCTTCTTTGGCAAATTGGCAACCAATCGCTCAACGTCGCCATCAACAATGCCAACTCCAACAAGTCCACCCCCCTCTCTATGTCCCAGATCGGCAAATCCTACCTCATGGCCGTCTCAGCATCCTGCTCTGTAGCCGTGGGTCTGAACGCCCTGGTCCCCCGCCTCAAGAGCATCAGCCCAAACACCCGTCTGATCCTCTCTCGTCTCGTCCCCTTCGCTGCCGTGGCCTCCGCATCCGCCCTCAACGTCTTCCTCATGCGCGGCGAGGAAATCCGCCGCGGAATCGACGTCTATCCCATCCTCTCCGAGGCCGAGCGCGCCAAGCGCGAGGCAAACCCAGACGCAGAGCCCATCCAAAGTCTCGGAAAGAGTAAAAAGGCCGCTACTCTCGCCGTTGGCGAAACTGCCATCTCCCGTGTCCTGAACGCCACCCCTATCATGGTCCTGCCCCCTCTGATCCTGGTTCGTCTTGAGAAAACCAATTGGCTTCGTGCTCGTCCTAAGATGGTCATGCCTATCAACTTGGCTTTGATTCTGGGCACTTCGCTCTTTGCTCTGCCTTTGGCTCTTGCGGCTTTCCCTTCTCGTCAGTCTATCAATGTCAGTAGCCTTGAAGAGGAGTTCCAGGGCCGCGGTGGTGAAGGTGGTATGGTTGAGTTCAATCGCGGCATGTAAATTGTGGGATTTTCGGCGTTGGTTGCACATAGTAAACTTAGATTTGTCAATACATTATTTCCCATGACCTTCAAATGTCATAGACATGTCTATTTACTCTCGAAAAACCTCATATCCGGTGTTTCATGCACCTGCAAAATCCCCTCGACACACTCAGCAAGATCAAGCAGATCCTTTTCTCCCCACCTCTTGCCCATAAACTCCAATCCTATAGGAACACCCTTTACAGCAGTCTCAGTCCTCGGACTCATCCCAGCTATACACATCAGCCAACATCCAACATCAAAACCCACATCCACTTACCAGGAATACAAATAGCCGGCCTCCCCGTCAAAGCAGCCAAAATGCCATTCCTCCCACCCTGCTTCCTCACCCCAATTTTAACAGGCAACTGTCGTTGATGCGGATAAACAAGCGCATCAACCCCAAACTCCTCAAAACAACAATCCACATCCCCCTTCAACCCTGCAATAAACTCCAATCTCTCCTGATACGCCTCACTCGTCACACAGTACGTATCTGGATCAACAAGCCCAGCCTCAAATACCTCAGTCACAGCTTCGCGTGAGTACTCACCAGACCGGACGATTGATTCCAGCGATGAATGCGAACTCTCCACCTCCCCAAGGAATTTATCAAGACAATACTTGAATTCAAAAGCCTGCGTATCTCCTTTCGCAGACAAGATCTCAAAAGACCACTCTGGCCGGGCAATGGGAACCAATTCCACAACATCATGCAAGCAATCAAGAGCTTTGCCAATAACATCCCTCACAATCCTATTCTCAGCAATACTCCCATGATCCAGACCTTCTGGTCCAAAAAACGATTCCAAAACCCCAACCCTCCACTTCCTAGACACACACACAGGAGGCACAGGCAACCCCGCCATAACAGCATAAACCAGTCTCACATCAGCAACACACCCAGCCATAGGCCCCAGCACATCCTGCGTAAAAGAAACAGGCACCACACCATCCGTAGGAATCCTCCCAGTCGAAGGGCGGAACCCCACAATCCCACACGCAGAAGCAGGAGATCTTAACGAATTAACTGTATCTGTTCCACAGCCCGCAATAGCAAAGCCAGCTGCAATGGCTGCTGCCGTACCACCTGATGAACCACCAGGTGTTCTGGAGGGATCGTATGGATTTAAAGTCTGACCCCGAACAGAGGAGAGTGTTATTCCCTGGAGTGCGAATTCGTGCAGATTTGCTTTTGCGAGGATTATGGCGCCGGCTTCTTTGAGGCGGGTGTAGACTGTGCTTTGGGAGTGGGATATGTGTAGGGCGAGGACGCCCGCTGTTGTGGGGTGGGTTGGGGTTGTGTAGTTGTCTTTTAGGATTATGGGGATGTTGTGGAGGGGGAGGTTTTGTTTTTGTTTTTGTGCTTTTGCTTCGGATATTGCCGCTGGGTTGGTTGTTATGATGCTTTTGAGGATCTGGTCGTGGTTGTTGATGGAGGTGAGGGCGTTGGTTATTAGGGTTGCAGCTAGGGAGGGGTCTTGGGCGAGAAGGCTGTGGAATTTGGATATTGTCATTCCGTTCATTGTGCAAAATAGACCATGTCCTCTCTGGTAGAATTGGGAGTATGGGAGTCCAGTGTTATAGTCCGTTGGAGAGGGGAAGTTGGGGTCGTTGGAGTAAGTATGTCGGAGGTCCGTTGCGAGAATTCCTACAATAGGATCAAATCCCGTTCATTAGGACATTGTCCTGACTTATGTACAAACGCCGCACGCCAGGAAATGGTATAATCATCCGAGCCTAAGCTGGATTCCCCATAAAATGTAAGATAAAAAGCAATAAAAAGTTGTCAGGGTAAGATAATGAAAAAAAAAAAAAAGCTCGTGATCATGATTTTCCCAAAACACCAATTCCATCCCGTTGAAACATTACATAAATAATGAAATCTATCCGCGCTGGGCTTGACGTTGGAGTCCTTGGCCAATCCGGTAGGCCTCGGTGCCATCGTCGACGAGTGACTCCTTGAACCAGGGGTGTTGCAGGGCCGCCTTGGCGGTAATTCGGTTCTTGGGGTCGTAAACAAAGATCTTTTGGAGGAGATCAAGGAATGCACGACTGAATGGGGTATTGGTGGGGATAAATTCCTGAAGGAGGGTCAGTCCGGGCTGTTCGGCCTGTTGGGCAGGGAGTCCAGGGACGGGAGGGACGGGGCTCACGGTCAAAGATTTCATCGCACGCACGTACTTGCGGGAAGCCCGGGTGGTATCGTTGTTGGGATAGTCGATTTTGCTTCGGCAGAAATATCTTGTCTGGTCAGTGGGGGAAAGGGTAACGGAGGATCCAAGGGTAACTGACTTCGAGGCTGAGTTGCTTCCGCCGCTTCGGCTGCCTGCCATGACTTTCTTGACCAGGGAGGGGTCGATTCGGGAGCCAATGACAGACTCCATCATGGCCAGGTGTTCCAGGTTGTCGTGCGTTTGGAAAAGAGCGTCTCCAGTGAAGAATTCGACCAGGATACAACCAATACTCCAGATGTCGCAGGGGAAGCTCCATCCGAGATTCAGGATGATTTCAGGTGCCCGGTAGTGGCGGGTAGAGACGACAGAGGAGTGGTATTCATCATCAAAGGTGGCAGATCCGAAATCGATAAGTCGGATTTCACTGTCGAGGAGCACACGGCGTTGCCGAGCGTTGCGGTTGGTGGCGTGGGAAGAAGAGGGGATGGTGCGGTTGTATGTGAAGGTCTGATAGGCGTTGCTAACGAGGAGGATGTTTTCGGGTTTGAGGTCAGTGTGGATGAGGTTTAGGTCGTGGAGGACTAAAAAGTCAGCATCAAAATAGCCCAAAAAAAAGAACGAGAGACAAGAGACTTACAGGCAACGCTGGTGAATAGTTGGCGAGCAAATTGCTGAATCTGACTGCTGGGGAATGGCACGAAACCATTTCCTTTGAGGAAATCAAACACACTCTGTCCCAACAGATCGGTGACAATGCAGATGTGGTTTCTGAAGTCGAAGCAATCCCTCAGATGGATGCATTTGTTGCGGTTACTCTTGTCGTTGGATGCAAGAGTTGACAATACTCTCAGTTCAATGCGCGAAGCGTCGCGGTACTTTTGAATCGATCGAATAATCTTCACTGCACAGCGAGACTTGCGCTGCTTGTCATATGCTTCGACCACCTTTCCAAATGTACCCTGGCCCAGTAACTTGACAACAGAGTCTGAAGAAAGTCAGTATGATCGAATCTGTCGGTTGGTCCTCAGTTGCACTCACATCGATCCGTAAGTGCCGTATCAGGTGTGACGATGTAGTGACCGTCATCGTCGTCGAATTTCTTGTTGAGGGAGCTCGTGTACTACAACGCAAATTCTGTTAGAAATGACGTGGAAGGGGAAAAAAATGTTATGCAAGAATAACTCACGTCGCGAACAACTGGTACAGGAACATCCTTCGCTTTGATCGGCGGATTCGGAGGTGGGATATAATTTTCAAATGCGCCCGTAATCTCCAACTCTCGTCGTTTCTGCTCGTCGCGGGTCGATTTCCGCGTAGCCACGCGTTTCCGCTTTTGACCGATGCCAGCTTCGTCATAGTATGCCCCATTGCTCGCCCCAGCACTGCCTTGTGACCCGAGCGATGTCGGGGCTGTTGTGTGCAGAGAGGCGGTTCGGTCGGTAGATAATGAGGTGGATGAGGTTTCGCCATATTGCTGTGGGTTGATTGAGAAGGACGGTCGGTCATAGTGACCCAGATCGTAGGCGGTTTCAATCCCGGTGCGTCGCTTCTTTCCAGCCGGTTGAGGAACCGAAGGGGCAGGTCGGGTTGACGCATGCGCGGGAGGCGCGGGAGCACCATTGGCAGTCTCTGGGCCGGGGCTATCGTCAATCACGATGACTTCCTTGGGAATTCCGTTCTTGTAAAATTCGGTCCAGTCAGGCTGCTTCTTGCGGTTGCCCACCGAGGGCGCCGCACTCGATCCACTCTGATGGGTCATGGCCGAGGGAGTCGACGCCGCTGGAGGCAGTCTTGGAGTCTGGCTGTAAGGGAGATTGGCTGCCGTCGTGGGAGATGGGACGGAGTATGGGTATGGGTTTGCGATGCGAGGACCTGTCGTCGCAGATGATGCGTAGGAAGCAGTCGGTTGGTAAGGGGGACGGTGAGGGTATCCGTAAGCCTGCGGGTGGGAAGGATGCGTTGCAGTCGCCGTGGACGGGGTGGACATGGCGCAGGATGATATCCTGTCCGCCACACGAACTGAGAGTGACGAGTGTAATTCACCACGGGAAGATTGTTGCGCGCCCCTTGTGATCGAGGGGATTCTCCAGGCTCAGAGAGAACCGAGCCGGGCCAACAGAGATTGAGGCGAGACTGTAACGAGAGGTGATGGACAGAGAGTGGTTCAAGTGAGCCTCGACTCAAGATAGAGGGGGACACGAGATCATTGAACAGTAATTTAGCGACATTTGCCGAGTTGCGAAGTGTTGGGGGAGAGGCAAAGAGAATGACGATGGGGAGGATGGAGGTCCGGAAGTTCGACCGCCTCTCGATCTGCGGACAGTGACCTTTTCTCTTTTTTGACGGACTACTGTCCTTGATTTGGTTTGCTCTTTTTTTGTATATTGTCTTCTTCTCTTTCTCTATTACTCTATTGCTCTATTCTCTATTCTCCATTCTCCATTCTCTATTCTCTGTCCTGCTTGATTCTACTGACTCTATGGCTATCTAAGCCTGCACGGGGCCAATGCGCGTTTAGGAATGAGATCTGCGGGCTATTCTGGCTCCATTCCTGCGACAAAACAACGCTCCGAGCCCTAGCCGAATCCGCTGTGTGTTTGCTGTTTCTTTCGCGCCCCTCGGATCCAACTGGCTGCCCTGGGCACTCGTATTTCGGTCTGCTGTCGGATGTACCCATAAACGAGGCTATCCGGAGACGCCTCGCCTAGGACTTGGACCCTCGGGGCTTTTCCATGGCTTCACGGAAATATCTTTCCAGATATACATGGTCCTTTTCTCAAGGTCCCTGGCGCAAGTGCAGTATGGGCTCAAATTTGTACCCAAATACACCTTGCAGATTCATACAGAGCGTGATTTTCACGCCTTTCGGCTGAATTAAGCCAAATGTGTCCAAATTTGTCGCGTCACTGACGTGTGGAAATGGAAGTAGACCAATATGCTCACATGAATCACGAAGTACTCCGTCGGGGTGTATACGTCAACATGTATAGTTTGAGTTTCAGAATTCTGCATATCCTTTAAGCCTACGAGCACTTAAAGTCGCATCTCGCGGTTTTCTCATTTTCTGTTCGGTCTCCCAGTACTGAGTCCAGGCCTTCGATGTCGCCACTATACTCCATACAAAATGCGGTATTTAGGGCTGCCACAGTCCTTAGTACTCAAGTAACTATAGAAAGAATATAGTCACAGAGTTCTAAAGTTGACCCTGAAATTTTTTAACCCAAAACGGAATACAGGATGCATTAGTACAGGGCTGAGCGTGAAAGTGGCTGTGCTATATGCTAAAAGGCTTACTCTTCCAAGTGGGGGCCATTTACGTGCTCTGTGCTAAGTTCTTACATTGGTTATCTCAAGGTTAGTACGTGGATGTACAAGATGCATACCTCATTTGGCATACAATGCGAATAGGGGCTTTGAGTCTGTCAGATTAGTACTTAGTTAAGTATATAAGTGCCATCACCCCCGTCTACACTACTCAGTACAGCAACATCAATATAATCACCAGGCCACATCTGCCAAACTCCTGCCTTTCCACGTCATTCCCAAGTGAGAGGTTTATCTGCTGCGTTCAGCTTGATCCTCATATATTCATTGTCCGATCTCGCCTTCAAACTGTCGATTGAATGGCATTCGCAGGCCAAAAAGCCGTCAAAGGCTTAGCAGCCGGCATCGGCCTCATCTCAGAGTCGATCTCTGCCCACAAGGCAAAGAAAAAAGGCTCACAGTCCAGCACAAGGGAAGACAGCACCCAGCCAGACCCCAGTGCAACCGCCAGCAACCAACGCGACGATGAAGAGAACGCAGAGAGAACTGCCGTCGACTCTCTGGAAGAGCAATGGGAGCTTGACGAGACCCAAGAGGAACTTCGACAAGATCCCGGGACCAGCATGCCACAGCATGATACGCCAGAGTCGATCGATGCAGCAATTCATCGTTTCGCATCCGAGTACCCCCCTCCTCCATATTCACCAACTGCTGCCCCCAAGCTCCCCGCGCCAATCCTGTTGCCCCAGCGCAGACCAAAGGATCGCAAGCGTGGATTCATCCGTGCATATGCCCCCGATCTAGCACCATTTTCCATCGACCAGCACATGTTCCTCGAGTTCCTTGATACAGCCGAGAAGTCATGCCAGGGTGCAAAATGGCTAAATGCCATCAACCTTGCTTCCATTGGAACTATGTTCATGCCCTCTGTTACAGGGATTGCAGTCTCAATCGCCATCCAGATAGCGACAGATGTTGCAATTGCTGTCGATGGCGTGAGGAGGTAAGTCGTCTGACTGGTCATCGCGAATAAACACTGACTGAATCAGAACCAATTCCTTCTTCGACAAAATGAATACAGAACTCTTCCAACCCCGTGGTCTGTTCTGTTTAGTAATGACCTGGAATTCCGAGTTGGCAGATCAACCAGCAACAACAGTCGATCTAAACTCCATGGTATTCAAATCCTGCGACACAGGCTCAGACATGCTAAGTCGTTTGCGACACACTTTCAAGTCCTCTGACGGGAAGACATATGGCAATATCTTCCCTGAAGTTGCACCGCTGATATTCCCCGGTCTTGACGAGCTAGCCGCAGACCAAGATGCAGTCAAGAAGATCTCCAAGACGAAGAAGAAGATGGAGTTCGTTAACGGGTACTGGGATAAGCGCGCACAAGCTCAATTTGTAAGTTGATACTCAGTCCCCGGATTAGATGCTCAACTCACCGATACAAGGCTGCCAAAAATCCAGAAAGTCATCTGGCTCAAGGTCCAAAGCCTACTTTTACCTCGCGCTATGCAGACCCCGAGCATCCCGCCAGTAGTGGTGATTTGCTTGCATTGGTGAGCGGGGGTCACATCTCCAGAGATAAACTACTGGGCTTAGGAGGTCGTGGATCGTTTGGCCGAGGATTCTCGGCAGAGTCAAATACCGGACAGGGTGCTGATAATCGGTCCAATCCTCCCGCGCCACACGCGGCCCATGGCCGGCCTTTGGATGTGAGAGGGATTGTTTCAGGCATTAGGGATGCCCGAGGATCGCGAGTCGGGCAGAGGGGTTCGTCGGGGGGCTTGGGCTCGGCTGAGAACAGCCAGGTGCCCATGTTGAATCGACGGACGGATGGGGGCGTTGGTCTGCTCAGCCCAATTGCAAAGCTGCGCGAGCAGAAAGTGCTGTACCTGGCTATTGTGAATATGCCATCCGAGGCTGAGATGGCGGAGGCTCGCAGGGCCATTGGGCAGATGTGAAGATATAACGGAACACGGAGTATAAAGAGTGCATATTATTGCATTACGCTGTTTGAAGCAAGGCATATCCAGCCTAAATACCAGTAAACCAGAAAGTTCTCAAATGGACAAGCGATGGCAATGAGATAGACTGAATTGAGGTGATTATGACCCTCTATCACCCACTTACTCGGCGCATATGCGAAAAAAAGAAGTTCAAGATGGCCCGACAACCCAGCCAACGCCACCGTAAAAAATGCAAAAACTCCTGAGGCCGTGGATGGGCATATAAAAGAATTAGAGACATAGCAAGAAAATAAGATTACAAACATTTAGGCAGTCACACTGCACGATCACGATCCTCCTTGGGATCCTTCAAATATCCCCGTTGCACATGTCTTGAGGCTCGGCCGTCACCTTCAAGCATGTAGAGAATATCTCTGATTTGAATGCCCGCGCCACGGTCTTGATCCTCACGCCATAATCCGAAGCGGCGTTGATTTTGAGATGGTGCCGGTTCCCCTGCGCTTGGCTTCTCGGGACCAGATGTAGGGGTTGAGGGAGTCGGGCGGGAAGGGGAGGAGAATCCACTGGCGTTCCCTCCGGACTTCAACCAAGAGTATGACTTTTTTGTGCCGAACATACTAGTACGAGGACCGGAGTTGCCGAGGGCCATGCGAGCTGTCTCGACAGATTGCGCATGTTGCTGAGCTTCGGTTGCCTTGGAATCGGTCATTTTCTTCGCTTCCTTCTTGGAAATTGATTTTTTGTCGGTTCCAGGGGCCCGTTCGCCGATAGGTGTCGAGGGGGCTGATCCTGGGTCGACTGAGTCGGCGCGGCCAGCTTCGCTGAGAATAGCATTGCTACTCCGCTTGGCACGCTTGGCAGCGCGTCTCTCTTCCAAAGAATTTTCACGATTGATGGTGGTGCGGAAGCGGTCGGAATTTTGCTTTGGGCCTACTTCCATAGCAGAGTGGGGTCCTGTGAATTGTTAGTTGGGATCAAAGGGTGAAAACAATTGATTTGGTTGAGAGGGTGAAAATCATACGCTTAACAGGAGTCTGCATAGCCTGAGAATTACCCGTCGTCTGCGCCAGAGGCTGTGCAACATCTTTCCACTCGTCGGGAACGACGCCATGAGAATGAGCTCGGCGACTGCGCGCGAGGGTCGACGAATAGTCGATTACACCTCGCAATCGCTCCTCGGTGGAAATTGATAAAAGGTTCAAAATGTCAACGAGAGGTGCGCCCTCCTGATTGAGAATTGTTTGACCGGTGCGTACAACTGACGAACCATCCGGACCAGTGACTTCAATCGGCTGTGGGCGACCAGGAACCGGATGAAACAGACCCTCTGACGGAATGCGAACACCAAGATCAAAGCCTCGCTTCTGCAGCTTCTGCTCGAGGAGTTTGGTGATCAAAAATGGCTCCTGGATGTGGTATTGTGCCCTTCTCGCTGCAACCGTATCCTCGCGCGTCGGTTCGTTCGGATCTTTGAAAGGAGCAGAAGGGTGGGAGGATGAATCGGCATGCGTATCATGACTGACCGCCGGTTTAATTTGGGGCAATTCTCCGAAGCTGGTCGAAGCTGAGAGTGTGCCCGTAGAAACCTGGGAATTGAAGGAAGTGTTGATAGGTGGCGGGTGTTGGGTTTGTGGACCTCTTTGGGGAGGTTGCGCCTGCGCAGTCTGCCCTGAAAAGCTCCGAGTAAGGAATGCTTCCTCCTCCCTGACGTCAATTCCAGATGAAGCTAGAACGTCTGTCAGTTCAGCAGCATCCGTGGTTTTATCCACTGGACGAGACGGAGGTCCCATAGTCCCAGCAGGGGCAGGTGCTGGTGTCGCAGGCGCTGAAGCCATATTCATAGTATTCATATTCATGGATTGACCGTTCATTGGGGATGGATTTTGAGGTAGTTGCATCGCGTTAAAGCTTGGAGAGCCGTAGGGAGATTGGGTCTGCGACGGTGGCAGGGGAGACAGGCGCGGACGTTTAGAAGGAGGAGGAATAGGAGCCCCATTCACAGGAGATGCGATGTTGTTGGGGGAGGGAGAAGAGACAGGTGGGGAGAAAGCTTGATTGGAGAACTGCGGCGGCGGCGGCGCCTGCTGCTGTTGGGGTTGCCGAGCTTGCGCCATTGTGAAAGCGAGGTGACGGTAAGATTTTTCGTAGAGTCCCGAAAATGAAGCCGTCTAGTACGCGAAGCTGGGCTTTTCGGTCTGAATGGAGGTCCACGCGTGCTCGCTGAAGTGAGCGGATTGCTCGCACCACCAACTTCCACCAACCTTGACCATCTCAAGAATGAATTTGAACCATAAGCGCGACACTTGAATCGTATTAAAGTCGTTCGGAGGCGAGAGTGACGGCGAACTGAGAACGAACCGGTGATGGGGTAAGGAGCTTTTGCGTACGGTGGTCGAACTCTTCCGCGGGCGCGACTGCACGTGATCCCAATTGACTAAGCCCAAATCCCAAATCAATGAGCTTCCCTCTCTTTCATTGAATCACAAGAACTCACGGTCCTCCCTTGTTCTGCCATTTAATTCATTATTCCTATTGACGCGAGCCATGGGCATTGCGCTCAAGCTAAACTGAACTATTGCGCTTGAAGCACTGCGACACCGGCGGCCAGCGCCTTTGATCTCGACCAATTCATCAATACACATTAACATCGCATTGAAGCAGTCCACAGCACAATGACGACCAAGCGCAAGGCTTCCGCCATGGGGACGGCGGTGGATGATGAGCCAGTGGACCCGTCGGATGAACTCGCATTCTACTGCCTGGGCGGCGGCAACGAAGTCGGCCGCAGTTGTCACATATTGGAATACAAGGGCAAGACGGTGATGGTACGTCCGGAAATGCGCAAAAACATTGGAGTGTCCGCTAACACTCGGGATAGCTCGACGCTGGTATGCATCCGGCCAAGGAGGGGTTCTCTGCGCTGCCCTTCTTCGATGAATTCGACCTGAGCACAGTGGATGTTCTCTTAATCAGCCAGTACGTTCGTGTCCTGTTCTTCCCTTCGCGCCTATATATTGGATTGTTGGAAACGACAATCGCTTGTGACTACCCACGGATGCTGGAACTTGCCTTGAGTCACGCGTTCATCCCCTGCACATATGAGATATTTCAGAAGCCCAATACAATCCATTGTCATGTCTATAAGCTCTGTCCCACTGTATCTGCGACTGCTCGGCAATCAAGCCCGAGTCCTCGCCTTCCACCCGGTCACGTTGCTCCCGGCCATCACAGCTGCTGATTGTATGCTTCCTATAGTTTCCACGTCGATCATTCCTCCGCCTTACCATATGTGCTCAGCAAAACCAATTTCAAAGGAAGGGTCTTCATGACCCCGGCCACCCGAGCTATCTACAAATGGCTCATTCAAGACAATGTGCGAGTCAGCAATACCTCTTCTTCTTCCGATCAGCGTACGACGCTATACACTGAGCGCGATCACTTATCAACACTCCCTATGATTGAAACAATCGACTTCTACACCACACACACGATCAATGGCATTCGAATCACTCCATATCCCGCAGGCCACGTTCTGGGAGCGGCCATGTTCAAGGTCGACATTGCGGGCTTGGTAACTCTGTTTACTGGAGGTGAGTAAACCGACAGGCTTGACTTTAAATTCCATTACAGGCCACTGACAACTATGCGCAGATTACTCTCGTGAGGAAGATAGACATTTAATTCCCGCCGAGGTTCCCAAGGGCACCAAGATCGATGTCCTCATCACTGAATCTACATTTGGCATATCCTCAAATCCGCCCCGTCTAGAACGTGAGGCTGCGTTGATGAAGTCAATTACGAGTGTCTTGCACCGCGGCGGTCGTGTTCTGATGCCCGTGTTTGCTCTCGGCCGTGCCCAAGAGTTACTTTTAATTCTCGACGAGTACTGGGAAACCCACCCAGAGCTACAGAAATTCCCTATTTACTACATCGGAAATATGGCGAGACGTTGCATGGTTGTGTACCAAACGTATATCGGTGCTATGAACGACAACATCAAGCGTCTTTTCCGCCAGCGTATGGCCGAAGCCGAAGCTAGCGGCAACAAGAGCGTTAGTGTTGGTCCCTGGGATTTCCGATTTGTTCGAAGTCTCCGCAGCTTGGAGCGCTTTGATGATGTGGGTGGATGTGTGATGCTTGCTTCCCCTGGTATGCTGCAGACAGGTACCAGTCGGGAGTTGCTCGAACGATGGGCACCTAGTGACCGCAACGGCATTGTCATGACCGGTTACAGTGTAGAGGGAACCATGGCCAAGCAGTTGCTTAATGAGCCCGACCAGATCCCTGCTGTGATGTCGAAGGTTTCAACCGGGCATGGTCGTGGTCGCGTTCCTGGAGCCAACGATGAAGACCAGAAGGTTATGATACCCCGCCGATGCACAGTTGATGAAGTCAGTTTTGCGGCCCATGTCGATGGTGTCGAGAACCGCACATTTATCGAGGAGGTTGCTGCACCTGTAGTGGTGAGTTTAGTTTACCCGTGGTCGTGTGCACAAAAAGCCTTACTAACAGTGCCAGATCCTTGTCCACGGAGAAAAACATCAAATGATGAGACTCAAGTCCAAACTACTGAGTCTCAACGCCGATAAGACCGTCAAAGTCAAGGTTTACACACCGGCAAACTGCGACGAAGTACGCGTTCCTTTCAAGAAAGATAAAATTGCCAAGGTTGTCGGCAAACTTGCCGAGCTTGCACCCCCCTCTGAGGAGGAGGATGCTCAACTCATGGCCGGTGTCTTGGTCCAAAATGGATTTAACCTATCACTGATGGCCCCTGATGATCTACAAGAATATGCTGGATTAACAACTACCACCATCACCTGCAAGCAACACATCACTCTAAGCTCTGCAAGCATAGACTTGATCAAATGGGCCCTTGAGGGATCCTTTGGAGCTATCGAGGAAGTTGAAAGCAGCAAGCAGGCCGACAACCCTGAAAAGATCGAGAAGATTGAGAAGGACGAGGATATGGACACAGATGACACACCGAAGCAAGAGGATGCTGAAGAGGAAGTTCCTGCGGATGAGACACATACATTCCTTGTCATGGGCTGTGTATATCTTCGCCATCACTCGCGCACACGCGAGCTTGAATTGGAGTGGGAAGGAAACATGATGAACGATGGCGTGGCAGATGCCGTCATGGCTGTTCTGCTCACAGTCGAAAGTAGCCCGGCCTCCGTGAAGCGTAAGAACCACTCCCACCCTATATTTGGCCATCAAATGCTGACTATAATCACAGAATCCGCCAAAGACAGCCATCACCATCATCACCACCATGATCACGGCGATGTCGCAGAGGCCCCACCTCTTCCCAACCCTCACTTCCACACCTCACCACAAGAGCGACTTGCCCGCATGCTCATGATGCTGGAAGCCCAATTCGGCGGCGACAACATTGGTCCCATTGAGCGGCCTCGTGTCCCCACCGATCTCGCCCTCGGTCCTTTAAATGACGGAGGGGAGATCAATGACGAACGATTCTCTGATATTGAAGCAGCGGAACTAAACCGTCTCATCACCATGGGTGTTCCAGTGCCTGGTATTGAGATCAAGGTCGACAAGCACATTGCTCGCGTTTGGCTTGAAGACTTGGAGGTTGAATGTGCTAACGCTGTTCTGCGAGACCGTATCCGCGTCGTTGTGGAACGTGCCATTGAGACGGCTGCAGGTCTATGGGCGGACACTTTGATTCCCCGGGATGTAGTGGCGAATGGCTCTACTAACCCTAAAGGAACCATCGAGTTGGCTGCTAGGAAGAAAGCAGCTGTTCTTGAGAACGAGGCTTGATTCAACCACTGTACTTTTAAGTAGCGAAACATATTATTCAACCTTTTGATTTCACTCTTACTACTTTAGTTGTTTTCGCGTGTTTTGCGAATATTTAACCACCATAGATGTGTGATATCTAGTCTGCGAACATATATAATCAACCATTCATTCAAGGATTCTAAAGTTGTTGCTTTCTTCTCCTCGGGCTTAACATTCATCTGATGTATGGACTGGAAATGATACCTAAAATGATGCAAAGATTTCCTCCAAAACGTTAGCCAGGGTATTAACCAGAATGTCAATCTCCTCCTTCGAAACAATATATGGTGGCGCGAGCACCAGATGGTCTCCTCTGATTCCATCCACAGTGCCCGAACAGCCGTACAGCGAAACACTATGTTTGGGCTCTAATCCCTTCTCCTGAATCAGGAAAGAAAGACGATTCTTCGGATCGAATGGCTCCTTGGTAGCCTTGTCTTTAACGAACTCGAGCTGTAAAAGATAAGTTAGCATTGCCTTGTATCGGTATTTGCAGGAGGTGCGACTTACACCCCAGAACAGTCCCTTTCCACGAATATCTCCCACATAAGGATGATCCTCGAATCTCTTCCTCAATTGAGATTCGAGATAAGCACCCATGGCCTTAACATTATCCAGAAGAGATTGCTCTTGAATCGTCTTCTGTACGGCCAGCGCAGCGGCACATGAAATCGGATGACCCTGGTATGTCTGACCGTGTCGGAAGACACCAGTGCCCTTGTCCATAGTCTGAACAATGGAATCACCAATCAAGATACCCGAGACAGGAGCATAGCCACCACCCAATCCTTTACCAATAGTCTGGATATCAGGAACAACACCTTCCTGTTCCCAGGCATGGAGGGTTCCGCAGCGGCCCATGCCGCTCATAATTTCATCGAGTATGAAGAGGGCACCGTACTTCTCGCAGACATCTTTCATCGCGCGGAAGTATCCCGGTACAGCAGGGACGCAGCCAAGTGCCTAGTTACGCCATGAGTCAGCGGTTGCATCAGGTATTGGAGAAGGGGATCATACCGCGCCAACAACAGGCTCTGCAATGAATGCACAAACGGTTTCAGGACCAACGCGCTGGAACTCGGCATCTAGCTCGGCAGCAAGGCGGGCCACATACTCTGCGTCAGTCTCGCCATCTAACTTCCCTCTGTATGCATAGCAAGGGGAAACGTGAGATGTATTCTTCGAAAGCAAAGGCTCGAACGGCTCCCGGCGTTGCACATGGCCACCGGCAGACAAAGCACCCAATGTAGTGCCGTGGTACGAGGGAAGACGACCAATGAAGCGATAACGCTCGGGCTGTGGGGTGGGAAGTTCTAGGAAATACTGGCGTGCCAATTTGAGCGCTGCCTCGACGGCCTCGGAGCCTGTAGATACCAATGTTAATCTTGTTGATTATTAGCTGGGAACCTCGTCTTCACTTACCTGAGCTCACAACGAAGAGCTTGGACAGCTTTCCACCTGTAGAGTCAACCAGCAGCTGGGCAAGGTCTTCAGCTACCTGGGTGCCAAAGAATGCGGAGTGGCAGTAGCTCAATTGATCCATTTGCTCTTTGATGAGATCCGAGACTGCTTTGTTGCCATGTCCCAGACATGACACGGCTGCACCACCCGTTGAGTCAAGGAACTTGGTGCCATCTTCCAAAAAGATGTAGCTGCCTTGGCCGCCAATGGCTTTTTTGGGGATGAAGCGAGTATCCCGGTGGAGAATGGCGCTCTTTAGTTCTGTAATGTGTTAGATATAGGTCTCCAAATTTAGACACCCACTTACCAGTCATGATAAAGTATGTAAAAATGAGAAGAGAATGGAGGAAATGAAGATCCTTATATAGCAATGGATCTATATGGCACCCGAGGTAATGACTTCTGCGGGGCGGTGGACTCTGCCGAAGATGCCGAGCCTTTGATTCGCTGGCTATGTACAGGCCAATTACCGCGGGGTTGCAGTTATCTCGCCAATTTGGTAGAATAGATCCGATGGCTAAACGGTTGATGAGTTGAGTCATATTTGTACGATATTGACATTCTAGTTATACTAATGAAAGCTCTAGAGGTAACTTGAGAAGGCCGGTTGGGTTTCCTATTTGGGAATTATACTCTACAAATACAAACACAATTGGAAAGATAACTAGAAACATACATCAAGAGAATAATTGAAACAAAAGAACTATCTAAATTTAATACAAATATCTGCATTTGTATAATATTAAAATTGAAAAGAATTAACTGTATGGAATACTCCGTACAGGTAAAGCTCTGTACTCCACCAAGCCAGCGCCCACCGCCCGCACACACATTCTGCCCATTCCGCTACTTGGCCACTTCCCCAGACATCCCCTCCATTCCACAGCCATCATGTCGCATCACGCCCAAATCGAGGAAGTCTCTGACTCCGACCCGGAGGAGGTCGCCCCCTCCTTCGACTCAGACGATGAACTCCCCCACAATGCCATCATCTCACCCGCAAACATCCCAAAGGCCGCCCCAGCGCCCCAACAGCAGATGCCCATGCCAACAATGCCAGCCCCCGAACCCCAGCGCGAAATCCCCAAGCACTTCCAATGTCTCTACCCAGTGTATTTCGACAAGAGCCGAAGCCGCGCCGAAGGCCGCAAGGTCGGCGCGGAGCTCGCGGTGGAAAATCCCCTCGCCAGAGACATTGTCGATGCAGTCCAAATGCTCGGTTTGAACGCGGGCTTGGAGCCAGAGAAGCTGCATCCCAAGGACTGGGCTAATCCGGGCCGTGTGCGCGTTCAGTTGAAGAATGAGAATGGTCAATTGGTGAATTCCAAGATCAAGAATAGTACGTGGCTTGTCTTGCGCGGGAGAACGGAACAGAACTGATAGTATGATTAGAGCACCATCTTTTTATTCTCGTCGCACAGTTTTTGAAGGCCAACCCCACTACTGAGCAATCGCCTTACCGGTTACGGATCCGTGGCTTGCCCATGCCTGAGAAGTTGCCGGATGCCCCAGCTGCTCCGCGGGGATGGAAGATTGGAAAGATCTTGCCTATTCACTCGCCTGCTTACAGTGGTGGTGGTGTCAGTGATAACCCGCTCAAGGATGCTATGGCTGAGATGCAGGGCATGCAGGGTCAGCCTGGTATGCCGCAGATGCCTGATATGGGCAATATGGCGCAGATGATGAGCCAAATGGGTGGCATGGGTGGACTGGGTAATATGCTCAGTGGATTAGGCGGTATGGGCGGTATGGGTGGAATGGGTGGAATGGGTGGAATGGGTGGAATGGGTGGTATGGGCGGCATGGGTGGCGAGCCTTCTGGCGCGGATAAGAAAAAGAAGGAAAAGAAGAAGGGCCGAGGATGATTTCACATGTCCTTTCCACTTGCATTGATGGCGATGGGCGTTGCTTTTTTCTCTTTTTAATCTGATGCACTCGGATGATTTGTTGATACCAGGACCTGCATCTGGATTGATTTCTATATCCCAAAATATGTCCCATACTTGGCCATTGTGACGTCTTGTAGTCTTCCTTATTCTCCCCAGGGCGATTTTTAGCCGATTGTACCCTGACGATCTCTTGGGTAACCACCCGGAGATCACCCTGTGCAACCGCAAGGGGCCTTCTATACTCACCCAGGTACGTAGTGACCGGGGCGCGTCCTGATCAAAACATTCAACCACGTTCAAAATATGCGTCCAGCACTCACATCTAGACAGGCAGGGGAGTTGTAGGTGATACTCGACCCAGCAGGGAGGGTAGCTCTAACATCCAACAGGCACAAGTCTATCATTGCATACTTATCATCTATAAGCGTCAAAAGCACGGAACTACTACAAGATGAGCTATCACTCTCATTCGAGAACTTCGACGAAATCACCCGAACAAAATACCAAGGCATCCTAGAGCGGAAATGGACATCAGTAATGCGCCTGCAAAAGCGAGTACGTCTCCACCCCCAATCCAACCGTCCAGCACTGACTAAACAGATCTTCGAACTGGAATCCAAAGTCACAGATCTAGAAACAAAACTCCAATCTACAGCCCTTCCACACGAAGATCCCGCCAACTGGCTCCCAGACGGCGAACCAAGGCACAAGTTGCAATCTCACCAAAAGCAAGTCACCAGCGTAGCATTCCATCCAACCCATTCATCTCTGGCTTCCGGATCTGAAGACTGCACCGTCAAGATCTGGGACTGGGAGCACGGCCAACTACAGCAAACTCTCAAAGGACATAGACTACCTGTTATGGGTGTCGACTATGGAGGACCGCATGAGCATACACGACTCGCATCGTGTTCGAATGACCTGACGATCAAGATCTGGGATCCAAGCAATAAGTACGTCAATGTGCGCACACTTTGTGGACATGACCACTCTATTTCTGCGGTGCGGTTTCTACCGAGTGGCAATTTGGTATCTGCTGGTCGGGACGGGTCGATTCGAATATGGGATGTTGTGACTGGGTATTGTCTCAAGACTATTGACTCGGGGGATTGGATTCGGGATATTTCGGTGTCTTTGGATGGTTTTATCGTGTCTGCAGGTAATGATCGAATGGCTCAGATGTGGGATGTTTCGTCGGGAAATATCACAGCTCAAATGATTGGACATGCGGGCCCGGTTGAGTGTTGTGCTGTTGCGCCTCGGGCGAGTCATGCTTATATGGCTGTTTTGGGGGCGACGAAGTTGTCTGGACGGGATGTTTTCGTGGCTACTGGGTCCAGGGACAAGAATATTAAGTTGTGGAATGAGAGAGGGAGGTTGATCAAGACGCTTGAAGGTCATGATACATGGGTGACTGGGCTTGGGTTCCATCCTCAGGGTAAGTTTTTGATAAGCGTTGGTGATGATCGAACTATACGATGTTGGGATTTGTCCAATGAGGGCCGTTTGGTGAAGACTATGGTTGGTTCATCCAGATTCTTGACGTCTGTTCGATGGGGTCCAAGTATACGTTCCGCACAAGGGACTTCGCATGTCATTGCTATGGGAAGTATAGACACGAGTATTCGAATATGGATGTAGCGAAGACTTCAGGGCGGCAGTGATTGGGTATGCCCAATCATGCGCCTCGCAGATTTATTATATAATAGCTAATCAAAGGCGAAATCAATGATCGTATACATCAGTTGCCCTGTACTCGTGAGGTGAGCCTCCATTCCTATATTGCCAAAGTCGACTGAAATCCTTCACGCGCAGGACCCGGGCTGTGCCATTCGGTTGGAACCGCTGCAGACTCAGCGCGGCAGGCAGAAAAGCCTCATCTCGTGCTAAAGTAGGTCTATACCTTACCCTGTGCGGGGGACCAGAATACCCATTAATGCCCGCCGTCGCCCAAGGCTCGACTTCCATATCCATGAAAGGATTCGACTCAAGGACCTTCATATCAGGGCCGAGAGTAAACATAGTACTCAAGTAGTGCATGTTGAGTAAATGGCCCGAACTAGGTCGAACGAAAAGCCGACCCATGTATCGATTTGGAATATCCACGAAATGGAGTACGCCGCCCAGAGCGACGATATCGCCCGAGTTGGCATAGTGCTCAATGTGCCCGATGGATTGTCCAAATTGGTGTACCAAGTCTTGCGTTTGGACCAACTCTGGTCTTGCCAGCTTTGTCCAGCGTGGGTTGTTGAAATGATTGGCTGCATTGCCAAAAGTATAGACCTCCAAGTGGCGGAGAAGGTCGTGCGGTAGCTCATCCAAAAGCCAGTCGATGACAAGCCCACCTTCAATCCCACCTTGGCTATGGAGGAGGAGAACGACCTTGTCGCATTCCGGGTCCAGCAGTGCTTTTTTGACGAGGGCATACGATCTTCGTATATCGCCCGTCGCATACGAGAAGTCCCGTTGAATCAGACATTCAATCAGATCGAACACAATTCCAGCCCTGCACAGGTCAGTTTTGAACAACTCAAATTGGTGTATGTACTTACGTGCGATTATGAACACCAGTCACCTTTCGACCAAAAGTATAAGAAAGCTGATCGATATTCATCTGAACCCACCGATGCCCAGCGGCGATCCCGTTTATATACAACCAACATTCCCGATCATGACCAGGTCGCTCCGCCACCGGGACCTGCGAAACCAACACCTGTTCAAAGCCATTCAAAAGCAGCATAACAACCGCATAGTTGATCGCGAGTCCAAGAACAAGATAAGCCAGAATCCACAGTCCGGGAACCATGCACAGAACCAGCAGCGGGAGCGACGCTAAGAAGACCACTTGGTACACTGATAGCGCTATATGAACTGCCACGATGAATATATTGTGGATCGAGGGGTAGAACTCGTCCAGTGCGTCGGTGCGACATATATGCAGGGGAAAGAATATCCCCGGTAAGTGGCCGATGAGGCTCACGAAGAGACATAGATCGCCCCATAGGAGTCTGATTGGTGACGCGGTGTAAGGCAACGGTGTACCCTCCTCGCCCTGGCAGGTCATTGTGGCACTGTTATGTTGCAACTTTAGAAAGTACTTCGTGTCACAAAGAAAAGGAAGTAAGCTGAGGCCTAGTGTCATGTGATGCGGCGCCTTCTACATGTGATTCTCGTTCTCTATAGATCTTGTATGAGGTGAACATATATTAAGCCATTACAATGCTACATAAAGAATAATTGGGTATTTGGTATTTTCATTTGTTTTTTGTTTGGCTCATGTTTATATTTTGGAAGAATATTAGACAAAGTGTTCATTCAATTGCAAACAGGAGCGAGATGTGAGTGTTGTGTCCTTCGTCGAGGTTGCTGTAAGAGCGAAAGTCAACGTACATAGGAGCGAGAGGTGAGTGTTGTGTCGTTTGTCGAGGAACCACCCAAGGTTGGTAAGCCAGATGACGCTTTTAGTGCCTGGGGCGTCCCGGCCAAGGAGAAGAAGAAGGAAGGCTGAATTGAAGCAGTCGGACATATGTTAGTACAGTTGATAGAACGCTAGCGTGTGAGGCCAATGGCAAACAGGAGCGGACAGCTTTGAAAGGGCGGGAGAGATTTGAGTAGATAACAACATCCACGAGTGGAGACAGCGAAGAGGAATTGACTTACGGTCAACGATGTTCCGAGTCCCCTCTTCTTCACTATCAGTTCAGTTCCCCAAGGCTCGTAGTCTTCAATAACAAAACCACTCTTTCTTATTGGTTATTTTCACGGTGAAGATATATCCAGATTGAACCGTGTTTGGAAATGGCCGCTCTACCAACAGGGGTAAATTCTGAGCTCCAGTGGAGCCGCCAGGATGAGCTGGCGTTGTGTCAGGACTGATAGGAGGATGCTCAGGCTGTATCGTAACGTTGTCGTGGCCTTGCTCAGCGGCTGGTCGTTCCACATCCTTTCCCACTCATAAACAATGGAAATATAGTGAACAGGTGATTGTTCCCTGTTAGCTCTGAGAGAAGAGATCAGAAGCGGCGAAAGGCTCCGAGAAAATAAAGGGTTCGGAATGAGTTCACAGAAGGTGCAAAGTGAGAAGAGGAAAGAAAAGATGGAACGCTTATACTGTGAGATAACTGGCAGCTAGTACGCAGGAGGACTCATGACCTCTTCAACTAGGGAAAGGCTTTTGACTCAGAATACTGCTTGGGCAAAAGTTGTGTATATTGATGGTTGAAAGAGAAGAGAGAAGACTAGACTAATCTGACTACCAGAGTGGGACTTCAGGAGAATGGGCAAACATTTTTGCAAACAAGATGAGGAGCGAGAGGTGTTGCCTCGTCCGTCGAGGTTTTGTAAGAAGCGAAAGACAACGCAAACGATGCTCAGATTCCCCATCGCGGAACATGCGAATCGCGGAAGACATAGTCACGATCAATCCGGACCCCCATATTGATAATCTCCAGTCTGATCCAGTCGGCGACGACCTTCGCACAATCGGCCACCGAGGTATCTGTCGCTTCGCGGTGCTGCGGAACACGCAAGGACATACACCAGCGTACATCGTGGTGCATGGGTTCGGGGGTAATGATGCCGACTCTGGCTCTAATGCGTGCGGCGACGAGTGCCATGAGTTGTTCGTCGTTGTAGCCTCGGTCGGCCCAGTTGAAGAATACGGTAACGTATTGAGATGGGGTGGGTGGGTAGCGGTTCTCGAGGATGTTGAGACCATTGCGTTGAATGAAGAGGCCTCGGCATTTCTGCTTTGCTCGCAATAAGGCGGCCGGGTCTGGCGAGGTTGGGGCGGAAAAGAAGGAGCCCATTGTGGATTGGATTATGAATTGGATTGGAGGATCAGAGACAGAGTTGGAGTTGTGTTTTTGGCGATGAGACAGAGAGGTCGAGTCTTTTATATGGGAGGAGTGAAGGTAAACTCGGCAAGTTGCTAAAGACAATAGAAGGGAGAGAGCGATTGGGACCATTGTATATTGACAATAGATCAATAGAGCCCCAATAGCTTAGCCACACGCCCAGAACAAGGGCATTGTTCTTTCTTTCTTTCTCGCTTTCCATTGTTCTTTCCAAAGTTCTATTGATATTTCTATTGATGCTTCTATTGGCCCTTCTATTCATCCCTCTTCTGGTCTTTCAGTAGGCTTTGCTTACAAACAATAGTGAGAGAAAGAAGGGCTACTATTAGGCCAGGAAGGATAAGATACTAGACGAAGATCTGTGATGTGTAAGGAAGAGAAGCATTGGAGAGCAGAGGGAAAGGATGAGGGTAGATATAGGACTATCTCATGTAAGACAGTGGGCACATGTTCTCAAAGAGCAAAGAAGCTCAATAAGGTCAAAGAGAGTAGTGAAACAGTTGGACTGGGTACCTGGACATCAATGGCTTATACAGCTTAGAAAAGGAAAGTGACAATGGCACATAAAAGCTTTACTGCAGAGTCAACAATGCAATGCATGGTGCACAAAGTCACTCGGAGACAAGTCTCACCTACGAGGCTAACTGAAAATATAAGAGGCTCCCATTGTCAGTATTACCCTCCATTGCACATCCTATATACAGTCACCTTGATTCAATTTGCCAAATACATTTCCTGGGTTCAACTCACACTACCTCTAAGAGTTAACATACCCAATTCATCCCAAATGAACTGATAAAGATGAGCAAAGACACCCGAAGCAGCAAAAAAGATCCAATTCGACAATTCATCATCTCCGGAAAGGATCCGGTGTCCGTGGCCGACTTGGAAAAAGACGAACTCAAGAAACTGACAGACATATTACACCTAGGCAAAATCAAATCCCCTCAAACCGAGGATCTAGCCAAAAGCCTCATCAAATTTCTGCCCAAAGAGTTGCGCCGTGAGCGCGGCCACAAGAACAAAGGCCTATGCAACGGACATCAAAATTTCAACGCCGGCTTCATAGACGATGTACTATACCTGCTGAAGCAGGAAGTGGGCCACCATTTCCGCAAATTCGAAACATATCCAGATCTAATGACCAGTCTGGACCGGCTGATCGTTGAAAGACTGTCCGGGATCCGGGGTATGTGGACGAAACGCAAGCGGAATGATCCGCCAAATCCTCATCTATGGACATTCGAGACCAGTGGCTGTCAAGCATGTATGATTGCCAGGGTAGCGACTAACATAGGTGCGTTGCGCAACTTGCGTACTGCGATGCTGTCTCGGAATCAGACTCGGAAGAAGCATGTTACGTGTCGGTTGATGAAGCTTGTTGAGGCTTGTATCAATCACTACCCCAATCAGTTGAGCGAGATTCATGCTTCGTCTGGTCAGTTTGCGATTATCATGAAAGACACACGTAAAACTTGTAGCAAGGCATGGTATAATGATCCGAAACATGGCGCCGCGAGACGAAAGGAGTCGGGACATAGATTCCGGCGTCGTCATAGCGAGAGTCAGCGCAGCGAGAAGAGCAATCAACGCTATGAGGAGAAAGATGATACCGAGCTTGCGGAGATGAGAGCCGCATACAGGGGGACGGTCGTTTCTGGTCCAGGGCCGCAGTTGAGTGCAGGGCACCGGCCCAAAGAGCGGTACGTACAACAGCCATCAGCAAGACAATAGGCATACTGACAGGGGCGACGAAAGGCAGACGGACAGAAAGGACCCAGCGAGGAGTCCGACACCGAGTTCGTCACAGACTGGGGCATCATTTCCGGCTGATCAGGCCAAGGGGCGTCCGCAGCGAATGACGCAGCTCACGGATTTTCTTGATGGGAGGAGCGAGCGCTTTGGCGATAGCATATATACGAAAGACAGCACGGATCTCAGATATGCCAGCTCGATGTCGACGACCATTGATGCAGTGGATGAGGTGACGAATATGTACCGAAACTTGGGGGGAAATCCCTTCCGAGAGCAGAATCCGCACGATTCCACTGACGGGAGTGATAGCGATGGCGATGGCGATGGCGATGGCGATGGCGAAGAGGAGCCTGTCCATACATATACATCTCAGAATCTGGCTGCTGCGATGACCACCTGGAGCCTACTCTGTAACTCGACAGGGACGCACCGGGGCTCGGAGTTTGATTAGGACACAGATTGTCTGCTGCTATGTTGATTGTTCAGACAGCCGTGTCGAAAGTGTAGACCTGAACGCCTAGGATATTTTGGAATTTCGCTCCCATAGGAAGAAATTGAGCAGAAAAGTTTAAAAAGAGTGAAAAAAAGTATGGTTGATCACAGAAATCAAGTCAGCTAAGTGCCCGACACGTAGATAAGAAATGAATAGACATTATTGACAGTAGGCCATAGACCAAATCATGTACAAAGCATTGACTGGTACATGGATATTAATACACAGGGCACCTTGTCCCATATACAAAAAGAAAGATGAAAGCCCCACGGTCTGGCGGAGACGGCCAGCAGCTCCAGGGACGGATTCGGGGATGCATGAAGAGATGGGCGCGTTTTCAGGGTCGTTTCATGTGAGTTCAGTTGTGGAGAACACTTCCAGGAACCCCATGGCTAGGGCCCTTGAGACTATCGACTGTCTTTCGACGCAGTCGAGTGCGTGTAGCGGGGCCATCTGTTGACACTACCACTCGCTCAGGCTCACGTTCCTCTTTCACAATCACAGTTGGGACAGCTTCAGCGGCCTTGGCAGCATCAAGGTCCACTTGCTTCTGCGCATTTTCACGAGCCCGTTCATAGCGCCCATGAACATCACCCTCCCACCGAGTACCGAGCATGCGATCCCAGAAGATGAAGAAAGGCTGAGAAAAATTGGTTTTGATACCCCAGCTCTGGTGGTGAATATCGTGGTAGGCGGCGTTGTTGGAGGTGAAATGCTGCAAGGGATCCCAGGGGAACTCATAGCCACAGTGGTCATCGACAGTTTTGATAGTTGAAAGAGTGAAGAACCACATGGCCTGACGAGTGGTCATCCCCGAGACCAAAAACCCAATTCCGGTTCCGGCAGTGTCCAGCAGGAAACCCTCGAACGGGTGGTTGTAAAGTGCACCAAAGGCGTAAGGAACGTAGAGACGGTGATGTCGTGAATGGAATGTCACTACAAGGGTTAGAATCAAAAAACAACCAACGGTCGCAAAGTCAAACATACCATAAAGCCACCGGTTGAGATGCATAGCGCGGTGAAGGAAGTACTGCCAGGTGTCGACGATTGAGATCGCCAGCATGAACTGCAGAGCAGGCACAAAGTACCAATAAATAAAGCTTGCGACAGCAAGTTCCCATCCCGTGAAAGCGGGAACCACAGCCGTGGCTCCGGTGTCAAGAACGAGGGACTGGGTCACCCCGGGGTACGAACCACCAGCGATAGCCCCGGCTAACATCGTGTATCCGTTTTTGGCGACCGATTTGGCGAGGTTCGCCGCATCCACCCCAGCCAGCCCCAGCAATGAAGGAATAGCCTTTTGAAGTATGCGCAATCGTTGAGCCCAGACTGCGACATCGTACCCATCGCGTCCCACTGTCTCCTCGGCATCAAACCAAAGGAAGGCCAAACCAGCCATGGTTTGGATCACCTGCTGGATGACCACATCGCGCACGACTTCCCACCGACTGACTTTGTTTCTTTTCAAGACCTCTGCGGGGGTGTGAAGGCGGTATTGGACGAAGTAGTCATTGACATCCAGATAGTGGTAAATCATGGATAAGCCCCAATAGGCGACGATAGGTAAAATCAGCGATAGGATGTTATCGGGAATAGCGGCGATGAGATTCTCCCGCGGTCTCATTGTGTACGTCGGGAGCGGCGGGAGATCGAACGCGACGGAAGCGTTGACAGCCATGGCGGCGGTTTTTTCTTTTCGAGAAGAGGCAATAAGAATGAGTGTTGTAGGACGGAGGATATTATAAGGAAGTATCAAAGGGTGAGAAAACAGAAAGAGAATGTATTGTAACTGCCCTACCACGCCGAGTCCGGAAGCTGACGGGTAGCAAGCGCAACCAGTTTAATTGCAACCACCGGGGATTTCTCTAAGCGGATTACAGGTAAGGGGGACAGACGATCGATGAAAAGAACATCACTGGCGATAACCCGAATCAGGAGATAATGAAACCGGAGGCGACGGCCCAGGTGGCGTGGTCATTGTGACGAGACGGTATTTGAGCCTCTCCGTGGTGGTGAGGTGGGTGTAATACGGTTTCGTATGGTATTCTTCATGGTCTTCCCGCATCGAGCGCATTGCGGCCTTAGGCACCAATTGGGTAGGGATTGCACCAATCGGAGGGCGGCAAATGGCAGATTTTGTATGTACACCATACAATGTACTGCTCAATGATTTGCATTTTAATATAAGGGCATATAAACCAAATGATACTGCATTGGAATATTAACCAAAATAAAAACAATTGTATACAGAATATAAGTACGGAGTAGCAAGTATAGTAGTCGAGGAGTGGCGAGCAAACTAGGCAAACCCCCCCTTCTCCGGGTCCCCCACTTAGATAAAATCTAAGAAAATCTTTCTCTGTTTTTTTCTTTTTTTCTTCTCCAGCCTTTCTTTTACTTCTTTTTTTTCCATTCCCCCAAAAGCTTTAATCCCATCAAAATGATTATCTACACTGTATGTTGCCTGCATGCCAATCTGTCCCAGCCTGGCCCAGTGCCCCTCTTTGTTCCCGAAGAGGGGCTCGCTCGAGAATTGAACCTGACAGATTCTAGGACGCCTTCACCGGTGACGAGCTCGTCTCCGACACCTTCAACCTGCAGGTCAGCAAGATCTCCCCAATCCTTTGGGAGTGCGATGTCCGCAAGTACAGCCGTCCCGTCGGTGGTGGCGACGACTTCCAGCTCGAGGGTGCCAACCCCTCCGCTGAGGATGTTGAGGAGTCCGGTGGCGGTGAGACCGAGATGGAGATGGTCCACGACATTGAGGACCAGTTCCGTCTCAACTGGTTGAAGGATGAGTTCCGTCCCTCCAAGGATGCTTTCAAGGCTGGCCTCAAGGGTATGTCAATCCTGCGCCTGGAACCCCGCATACTGGGGCAATCAAATATTTTCGAATATGTTTCACTGACTTAAATTGGTACAGCTTACCTCAAGCGCCTCCAAAAGTACCTCGTCACCATCCAGTCCGAGGAGGAGCACGCCGCATGGAAGGCCGCTGCCCCCGGTGCCCTCAAGGCCCTCAGCGCCAACTACGACAACTACGACTTCATGGTCGGTGAGAGCCACAACCCCGATGGCCAGTGAGTACCCTTCTATTCTTTGAGTTTTTGAACCCGAATTAATCGCCGTGCTAGGTACGTCCTCATTGACTTCCGTGAGGATGGTGTCACCCCTTACGCCCTCATCTGGAAGGACGGTCTCAAGGAGACCAAGGTCTAAGCAATTCCGCAAAAGTGAATATGATGCGATCAACTGTGGCAAGATACAGTCCAGACGCAGGTCACACCTAGCTCTGTCGCCTTTATTTTGGTTCTAGTAAACTCCTGGTCTTGCCACTGGTCTGATCGTCAAGACTTACGCTTCATGAACACATTGTCACTGCACGTTTCCTATAGTAGCTCTGCCTATATATGAACAATTATGGGTATTCAATATTCAATAATGCATCCAAGCACAGTAGCGCCGGCTCATTTAGACTCATTGATAGAGATTCATGATTCCCTTGAATGCCTCGTTATACATCTACAACGCGGCACCAGTAGAGTCTGTCAAGTTCTAAAGAAGAGCAACTTTAGAATGCAAGTATATTCGTGGATTGAACGAGCCATTATTTCAGTGCTCTCTTATTTCTGTACTGAGTCCAATATCTCCATACCCACATGGCTAGGGGCATAATACACATATCCAGTCAATAAGCAACCTTTGACACAGGAGAGGGAGTACTGCTCAGCACCATGGACAATCGGACATCGAACCTCGATCTCGACCCTAAACACGAGCCTGGGAAAAAACCTTCCCTCAAACAGCTGCTGGAAGCTCAAGATCCACGAGCCAGGATGGCTGGATGGGAAGATCCTCCGATCCCTCCACCGAAGCATTGACGAATAGTGTGCCAGAGCCCCGCTGAAGTGGATGCAGATCACCAGGGCAATGACTTGTAGCGACCAATTTTTCAACCTCGGCATTTCCACTAACAGCAGCTAGGTTGGAAATGGGCATAGACTTTTCGTTGTCAATATCAGTCAAATGAGAAGGCTCTGCACTGATTGGATCGCGCCACTTCACCAGTTTCGCACCCCAGGCCTCGTGTATATGCCCGAAGCAATGCAACAACGGTCGATGCTGAGCTACAGCCTTGAAGAGACATGTAGAGCCTGCCCGTTCACCAGAGCGTGTCCGATCCAAGATACCTTTTGGGGGACCATGTGTCATCACTAGATCTGCATTGCCAATTTGATAGTCGTGTCCGCTGTCTGGTTTGTACTGGAAAGCCCAATCACCATATGAAGGAGTGTAAGGACTTGCATAAACGTTCAACAGAGCACCGTTCTCAAGACGAAAAGAATGGGACCCCTCATCCAAGAATGTGATACCGAGGTCCTTTTGATCAAAAAGTTCCCTAGATTGTCCGAAAGCACCGTAAAAGCGATGTATGTGATCTTGGTCGAGGTATTTACTAGCGTCGTTCGCCTTTTTCTGGAAAACCGGAATGTCCATAGTAAAATCGTGGTTTCCGGCAATCACCAGCTTGAGGGGTGCATTTAAAGCCTGTATATAGCGGATCGAGTCTTTGAACTCGTCGAGTAGTGATCCTGTGGTCAAATCTCCGCAGTGGATTGCCACGTCTGCATATTGGCGCGCGACGATGTCTGGCGGGGTTTCAAGCCCGTGTGTGTCAGAAATCACTAGAATACGGGTCTTGATTGTTGGTGCTATTTGGTTTGCGGATTTTGCCATCTTGATGAGTCGACTGTGAGAGTGGGAAGTGAGGAGGTGTGAGTCAAACGGCGAACATTATTCCATGCTGACGACAGCGGAATGAGTTAAAGGCCTGAGGCAGTGAGTACCATTCTACACCCGATATCTCTACAATTCATTTTCTTTACAAACAGGGATCGTTGAATTTATTTCATGTCGAGACAATGAATTGTGAATATGGGCATGGGGTGGATGGCCAACCGAACAGATGGAACCAGACCAGGGCCTGTAAAGTCCTTCTAAAGTCAAAGTCCGGATGTTTACCGAAGAAGTTGTACAAAGACTAGAGGAATACAAAGCAAAACGAAATCATATTGTCCCATTCTAAGTAAAAATTCTCTTGCCGGACTGAAAAATAATCACCCAACACCATCGAGAAAGTAGCATCGCTTTCACTGCCAAGTTGGCCCCTGGTAGGCAAGGCTTCCGACCCGTTCCTCAAGACAAATAACAATCCTTAACCCAACCTTACACCAGCGCAAGTTTTGTGGAGAATCCGATCATCTTTCAAGACAGACTGGCTTTCTCGAGGAGTTTAGCAAGTTCGCAGTGACCCTGTTCCAAAGCTGCCTTCCAAGTTATGGGCTCCGATAAAGTCAAGCTTTATGTCCTTTGGGCTTTTCCGAAGAATGAAGTCCCTCATTTCCTTGTTTCCATTGTAAGCAGACCAGTAGAGTGCGGAACGCCCATGCCGATTCTTCGCGGCCACATCCGCTCCATTTTCAAGAAGCAATTTGACAGTTGTCAAATGATTCCCATGGGATGCATGAATCAAGGGTGTAGAAACATCGGCATCAAGCAGATTCACGTTGTGGCCACGATTGAGAAGCAAACGAACCACCGGGTCAAGTCCAAATTTGGCCGCGAGATGAAGTCCTTTCCTCCCTCGGTGGAAATCCTTGATTGAACAGCAAGCTTGAACCAAGGGTTCATTCTCTAAGAATACCATCAATGCTGGATCATCGGTATGGGATTTTCGCGCATGGTCTCCCCAATGATCTGCTGCATATTCGTAGAAAGGATACGACTCAAGACGAGCCTTGTGTGCTTTGTCGGTGTCGCAAGCGCCTGCACGGAAGGCATCAAGAGTAAGATATGCCACGCAGAGGCTGCTTATATCCTTCTCGGAGAACGTTTTGAACCAAGTTTGGTGTGTTTTCTCAAGGTACGTTTGGAGTGTGAAGTGTACTGGTCGAACGACTCCACTTTCGACAACCAAGAGCCCAGCGCACACAGAAATAATGTCATTCTCCAATGGGATATTCTTTGTGTTCAGTTTCTGTGTTCCCTTTTCGATGGCAAGCGCATGCTGCAGCTCTTTCAATGCGAGGGGTCTCTTTGCTAGAGTAACCCAGGCCAGACTTTGAATAGCAAGGTCTCGCTGCTTTGGAGACTGGTCGATGACGCGGGGCAACGTTTTTTCATATGCATTGGTATATGCATCTTCGCTTGATCCATGGGGGATTTCATCGAGTGCGCATCGGAGAGATTCTACTGTCTTCCTGTGTACCACGTAGTTGAAGTGAAGCTTTGCGAGGAGGAACCTGACTTACTGTGAGTAAAATGACGAGACAACAAAGAATGAAGAGATATCGACACATACAATCCATGGGCCTTGAGAGAAATACTTCTTTCAATGTCACGTTGTAGCGGAGAGTCTTTACCCACAAACTTTGGCACCCGCCCGATGTTGCTGTTCAAGTATTTTTGGATATCCTCCTTCTCAGCCTCAATTATGAATGGTGTACATCCCTTGAGACATTCGTGAGCAACTGTGGATCTTGCTGTTGCAAACAGGTTTATCGTGGCCTTGCTCTTCAAGCTCTGAACTTCACTGAGAAGCCTTTCTCTGCAGCCAGCTTCCAAATTATACTCACCAATGCCATCGATCACAATGAACACTCTAGAGTAGAAAGGGGCAATCGATCGAAGGGCTTTTGAAATCGAATCCAGCTGCTGGGCTGTAGGCTTCTCTTTCACATCACCGAGACAGTCTCTTGCAAGATTTTCGAAACTTGGGTTTCCACCACAAAACTGTTCCAAGAGACTGGCCAACAAAACTTTGACGCTTTGATTGGGGTTTCTGTCGGGATCACAGTAAAGGTACGCTATACCTACGTCCTTCTTCTTACCATATATCCGTTTCAAGTTATCGACGACAATAGCAGAAGTAACAGTTTTTCCTGCACCTGGCATGCCTGTGCCAAAGAGGGTTGAAGACTTCGTGTCAAGCCAAGTCAAATAGATATGTGAACTGAGCAGCCTTTCTCCAGTCCCTTCTGCCCGTTGCTCCAGGAGATAAGTCTGTTGGGAAGTGTAGTCGATTGGGTTGAGCCATTGTAAGAAGTCGGACGCTGAAGATGCAGAGATTCGGTCTCCCATGGTGGCTTCCGAGCCCTAGTCGCAATGATCTTGGAAGGGGATGTGTGAAGTCTGAAGCCAACGCTCAACCTTGGGACAAGTGAGGGCTTTTATAGGCGTGCGACGGTCTGCTTCTCAAACATCCCTGAGAACTTGAATAAGACTCGATGCCAGGGATGATCACGCGCTCCATTGAGCATCAACTGTTCATTGATGTGTTTCCGACCTTGCTAGGATATTTCACCTCAGAAAGGATTTGCGCTGCTGGTTGTGATACGCTGTGGTAATTGAGCACAGTTTCTTTCAAGTCTAGTATATTGAGCTGGGGGCAGAGGGTAACGAATTTCGCTGCAATAATTTCGGTCTTCCTATAAGAGTTAGTTGGATTCTTGTTTTGGAATTGAGACAGAGCTCGGATAATCAGTCGTCGCGTGAAGCATCCTTGTGTGAAGCATGTACATAGCCAACACGTCTCAACCAGTGCCGTCTTCGGAGCATTTTTCAAGATATAATAACAGGCGCTTTCGGTTAGGATGACCGAGTCGATGCAGGGTTGTTGTGACGATCAAACACATCAAAGATATCAATAAAAGACGGAGAGTTCCCATGCAAGCCCCGGAAAGCACAAAGAATTATCTGCATGCAGCATGAAAATGCCAAGGATTTTGAGAGTGAGGCTGTCCAAATGTAGGAATCATGGACAAAAGAGACATAAATGAGGCATTCAGATGCTCGGTGTATGAGGCATTACTCGAAACGGCATAGCGTGGAAGGTGAACTGATGCCTGGAAGCCCAGGCCTCAATAGCTGCTGACCATTTGGTCCCACCCGAGCGTCACTCCGATGATCCCCGCTATCGCCGACTTGCATCTTCATTTTTTGCGCCCGTCGCTCTCATGGTTCTAGCGAGGTGATTCAGTCCATGTTCAAGGAGGATGAGCCCTAGTTCTCCTGCTACCCACCCACCGCTGGGCTCGACTGGCCCCTTACACCCCGCGAGAGGATCCGTTAGCGGAGGTCGCCAGATTACCCGGAACCGCGCGAGCTATAGCTGCCACACCTGTCGGCGCCGCAAGGTCAAATGTGATAAGGTAGTGTGGGGGTTTTCGTCTTTGATTGATCTTGTGGCTTACTCATTTTCCTGTTATTAGACCCATCCGATATGCGGGAATTGCGCGAAGAACAACACCGAGTGCATATATGACGTTTCGCCACAAAAGGACGAGGATGCACATGAGGACTATCCCCAGCCAACACATGGCATCAAGAGAAGGCGCAAGGCTCCGCGGTCGTTGGAAGAGGATGTGGACGAACTCCACTCAATATACGGACACTTGAAGCAGACGCAGTATGGCACTGGCGAGAAGCCCGACTCGAGCGCCATTGAGTCGCGGTTGGATAAACTGATGTCCATGATTGAGCGTCTGGGTGAGAAAGAGCAGACTGTCGACGCTGTGGAGACAAAACAAACTACCCCGGATACCAAAGTGGAGCCCCGGCAGTTAGATGACCTTCGGCAAAATAATCATCTGAATGGAAGTGGAGCTGTGCAAAGAGCCGCAAGCCCACGTCGCTTCGCGATAGACTCAAGTGGTGATGAGTTCCCGATTCCCTCTGGCCAGGCTACTGATTTGGTGGATCCGGTTGGCACTCTGAACATCGGTCATTTGAGCTTGGACGATGGAGGGAGTTCTCGGTTAGTTGAATCCCGCCTCTGAAATTCTTAACTTTATTGACTCTTGACTAGATATGTTGGAACCACTTACTGGGCCTACATCTCGGATGAGGTAGGTTTCCCAAATCCTTCGACGATTCATAGCAAAGACTGACATATTTGACAGATCAATGAGCTGAACCAGCTGCTCCGTGATCAAAGCCACTCACATGATCAGCCCGCGCTAGACAAACCTCTCGACGAACCAATAGACCCATTAACCAACGGTGCTCAGCCATGGAAAGATTCATTCAACAGCCCGACACCCTCAACCAGATCCAGATCCCGTTCTTTCCACCATTCAATAGTATTCCCCTCTGGTGATTCGCCCGCGTCAAATGAGAAGGAGGTGGAACCAGAGATGCTTGATCACATTCCCACGAGGCGCCAGAGCCATATCTTGTATAAGGGATTCATGTCCGGCGTACATGCCATCAGCCCTGTCCTCCATCCACCAACTGTTCTCAAGTTGTATAACTCCTTCTGGGATTGGTTTGACTACAGCAGTTACTCAGGCGAGCCATACCCAAATCCTTCTTTCATTCCATTGTTATACGCCATCTGGTATGGCGGTTCAGTCACCATTTCGATGCGCACCATCAAAGCCGAGTTCAATGCCTCCTCACGATCCACATTATCGACAATGTACAGCGAAGAGGTCACGCGGTGGCTTACCAAAATAAAATTCCCCCGGAGTCCAACCCCTCAAGGGCTCGCTGCATATCTAATTGTACAGACAATTTTGTCCAAGGAGGAGGAGCCCTTGACGAGCAGTCTTTTCGTCAGTTTGGCGATGAGAGTCGCCCAGACTATGGGCCTACATCGAGATCCGGCCAAGTTTGGTATAGAGCCTTGTGAAGCCGAGTACAGACGCAGATTGTGGTGGCATATCAAGCATATGGATGGAGTGATCGCCATGTCCAGTGGCTTGCCTCCCATGGTCCCCGACGAGACCTACTCGGATGTGCATGAGACCAGTGAACTCAAGGATACATTGCTGGGCACTCACGCGGCAGAGCTGTATGAGCAGCAAGTGGCCTCTGGAAATCGATTGCCTGACAACCCAGATGATCCAAATGTCTGTGGTGGGCCTTCCATGGTCAACGTCTATTACTTGACTGCCCGGGGAAAATATGTCATGGCCTGTAAGAGAATGCCATCATTTGTCAAGGAAATTGCTAATTTTGACCAGGCGCTGTTCGCCGCATCTTGAAAATTCAATTGGGCACAAAACCTCTCACTCGACAGGACATGGAGGAGCTTCGTGCTATTCTCCTTGAACTGCAATTAAAAATTAATTCTATAATCGACAGGATACCAGACAGCAAAGCTGATGCTGACCCGTGCTCTGCAGTCAGAAGAGCCATGTCTATGTCAAAGTCGCCCGTGGATGGCCGCTCCTCCGACACCGAGCTTCCAGGAGATGGCCCATCCGGATGTCCAGAGCAATACCATTCGCCTGTTCTTGTTTGTTTCCACAAATGGGCCAAAATCATTCTATCTTTGTACATTGACAAGGTGAGGTTCTCGCAAAGATCACGGAGGATCAGTTTGCTAATGCCTCACAGGCCTTCTGTGTTGCCTATCAACCATTCCTCAAAAATGCCCGCAGTCGAATTTGGCCTGCAGCACGTCAGAGGTATGTGGATAGGTCCTGGATAGATGTATAATGAGATCTAAACGTCTTAGCGCACTTCGACATTGTCATGGATTCATGAAGAAATTCATTCAACTGGCAACGGATCCCGACTTCCAGCCTTTCCACTGGAGTTGGCCTGGGTAAGTCAAGTTGGCTTCTTATCATGGATAAAACTCGGTTAACAATTTCAATAGCAATCATCAGCCAATGCATGCTACAATGTAAAGCATGTCCATTATATTTCCCAATATTAGAGATGCTGACTATGTCTACAGGATCATGCTCATCGATCTATACGAGCGACCTTACAGTCCCGAGGCATCCAAATCTCGTGCATTGATTGATCGAATCCTTGCTCTCTCCGGTCCTGACGGAGGTGTTGTAGGCGGCGAGGATGGTATCTCCACACAACGCCCGCTAAAGGACGGTGGTCGAGAGGCATGGGACATGATTCGACGACTTCGCCAAAAAGCTTGGCAAAAGGCTGGCCTCAATCCTCGCATGCTCTGGACGGAGAAAGATCAAATAGATGCCGGGCTTGCTTCTTTGACTGACCACCATACCGATGCTGAATCTCGCCGTGACATCGCAAACGACAGCAACCAGCCTTCATTGTCTAATCACCAACCTAACGACTTTAATAAGAGATTTTATAACCTCACGCGCTCCCATACATTCCTGAATCCCACCAATCCACCTTCTGCGAGGAGTCCCCTTCGACACCAATATCACGCCCAGGACAAACATCTACCGCCGGTCTTATCAAATCCACACCTTGACCCTCTTTCCGCCAATCCCTCTATCCCTCTCCTTGGCTTGGATGCATCGCCGTCCGATTTGAGCGCCCTCGGTGTGCCACCACCTGGACAATCTTCGACCTCTATTCCCTTTACGTCAAATTTACACCCGTCCCCGGCTCTGGGTGATTCTGCCAGCATTCCCTTCGTGGACACCGCTTCCCCCAACTCACTCGTCATGAGTGCACCAACGCCGCCTAGCATGGTCGATTCTAATCTCAACTTTGACTGGGATCAATGGGATGCTGTATTTGGACATCACCTCCCTGTGTCCGACGACCTCATGGAATTGGATCCTGTTGCTGGTCTTGATTTCACAAATATTGCCGCTGGCCAGATGAACATCAATGCTGTTGGACCAGGCGTGAACGGTGTTTTCCCAGATGCTCCTTCAAGGTCCTCTCCAAGTGATCTCAACCTTGGTCGCAATACTGCCAATTGGCCAGCGAACTATTGACATGCTTCGTGAAACCACTAGCATCCAATTTGTACACATGACATCATCTTTGATTTCCGCCGGTCCGATATCAACTGTTTAACAATATATACACCTTGTGTGATTCATCATCATCGCACCTATTTTTCATTTCCTCGATCCAAAGGTTTCTACTCTGCGTACATGATCTGTTGTGACTAACATGCTGGGTACAGGCAGTGCCCGTGGTAAATCCGGAATGTCCGCGGTCGGAGGTTCAAAGAGCCGAATTCACAGTTTTGGGCGATAGTCTCCTCGCTAGCTCCAGACATCAGAGTGGTAGGTCCGGGGATAAACGTGATAATGCCGCGTTCCAGGCGAGAAATGCGGGACTGCCGATTGCGAACCTTGGAACGTGAAGCTTAAATCCGGCAATCTCCGCAACGTCATATACAGTTTTTCAATGTTGCATTCGGTTATTTAACAGTCTACTTTCCTGTTCTTTCATCTTAAAAACCAGTTCTACTATCTCAATCATCATGGGAGGCTTCCTTTACTCACAATTCTTCGTTACCCCACAATACCCCGGCCAGTCATTCACCGGCCAGACCGTGCTAGTCACGGGCGCCAATGCAGGACTGGGCCTCGAGGCTGCACGCCATATCACGCGTCTGGGAGCTGAAAAAGTGATCCTCGGCGTCCGCAATGTGGTCGCAGGTGAAGCAGCCAAAGAAGATATTGAGAAATCCACCGGGCGCTCCGGCGTCTGCGAGGTATGGAAAGTGGATCTCGCGTCGCACGAATCAACCCTTGCATTTGCCGATCGCATTGCAACTCTTCCCAAATTGGACAACGCGATTCTGAACGCTGCAATCGCCACCAAAGACTTCAATGTCGCCGAAGGATATGAAGAAACTATCACAATCAATGTGATCAACAGTCTTCTCCTCGGTATCCTCCTCCTCCCTACCCTGAAAGCAACTCGACAGAAGAACCCATCCTCCACACCGCGTCTCACATTCGTTGTCAGCGAAGTCCACGCCTGGGTCAATTTCCCAGAATGGACAGAGGAAAATCCCCTAAAGGTCGTCAGTGACCCATCGCGAGCGAAGATGGGTGAACGATACATGCTCTCAAAGCTGCTGGAGGTGTTGTTAGTGCAGGAGCTAGCGAGTCGGGTACGTGGGTCCGAGGTGATCATCAACATGCTTAATCCCGGTCTATGTCACTCGCAGTTGACGAGGAACAATGAACCCTGGGCCTTTACGGTGTTTAAGTTTTTGGTTGCTCGAAGCACAGAAGTGGGATCTAGAACGCTGGTTGCTAGCGCTGCGGCTGGTCTGGAAAGCCACGGCGCGTATATGACCAACGGAGAAGTGGACAATACTATGTTTTCATCGTTTGTTCGGAGTGATGAGGGGCGCCAGGCTCGTGAAAAGGTCTGGGGGGAGCTGTCGTCGATCCTGGAGGGTGTTCGTCCGGGGGTTATGCAGGGTCTGTGACTTGCGAGCCTGTTTGATCTGCATATAATGTATTAATATATTGAAATTCGATCAAGGATATTCAGGGTTATTTTCTCTCTATTCCACACTGACGTGGGCTGACTGCAGCTACTAATTCGTGGTTCCAATTTGGGAAATGTCAGCCGCTGCTTTTGCAGTCACGTTTGGCTGTACTAGTCAAGTACTCGAGTACATGAAGTACAGAGCACACAGGCCAACATTGACCGTGGCTACCTGAGTGGCCGGCAAGTTGCTTCCAAGGTTGACCCCTGTACGGAGCACGGAGTATACAGCACACTGATTTGTTCCAAGCTCCTTGCTAGCTAGCCATAGCTTAGGGCCAGGTACAGAGCACACCCTACTCTATAGGATACAAAATATTGAAACCATGCATTAGTTACTCCGTAGAACCACGCCCATCCTTGTTGAACTAGAGTGCACAGTATCATTCCCCTCCTATGATGACTGATCAACCTGAAAATGGAATCGCGTTCCAACGCACTCGACGAAGGTGCCTATTGGGGTCCTTGATTTGATTTCGCGCATGTAACCAGCGACGATTATCGAAAAGGATGATCGATCCTTCAGGCATGTCTTCGGATTTGAGATGTAGGATTGCATCGTGTGAGAGCTCCAGTTCTTTCAAAGCGGACCTGAGCTCTTTCAAAGCCAATGATGCACTGGCTGTGATCGGTGCTATGATATCTTCCCTGTAACGCATCACAATAGACTTGTCCCGAGCACTGTTACTCAAAATGCTACCCAGTATACTACCCTTTGTTGGATCTTTGACGAATTCTGGGGGGATTTTGATTTCGAACTCTGGTTTAAATAAAGCCGACTGTGCATCGGCTGAGAGTAATGAGCAGACTCGCTCAATTCTGAGTGCCGATAAGGTACCTCCGCCGCATCGATCTGGTTGGAGAACTTGAAGAGCAAAGAATTGTGGAGGATCATGTTCATAGCTGCAATCGGTATGCCAGGGGAACTCGCTCATGGTTTCGGATCGGGCACGATTGTCCTTGGCGAGAGATGTAGTTGTGGGCCGTACATCCCAGAACCATCCCCTTGTAGCACTGTGGGTGATTGGAGGTCCATGGCCATGACGAGTGCCGAGGTTCTTGACGAGACTTTCAAGGTATTGGCTTTCGTTGTCGGAAAATTCTAAGGTGATTTTCAGGACGCCATGGGTCTGTAGATGGTGATCGACTTCATTTGCATGATGCGGATTTTGGGGATCAAGAACGCTCTGTGCTTTGAGATGTGGTACCACTGGAGCTAGTTTGCTCACTTGACGCGTTGAATGGATAGTTGTTGAATACCAACGAGTAGACTGGGGGAGCAACCAAGTGGTCATAGTACGCCTCAAGGACTGCATCGCGAGGACTAGAATCTTGGTCTCTTTCTCGGATGAGGAGTTGTAGATCAAGGTCGAGTAGGCATGGATTCATTCGGCTTCTTTTCACTGAGATATAGATCTCCAGAGGGATATGTCCAGTGATTGCGTGCATACGTGATACACATTTGTTATTTTCAGAAGATCGTGGAACCTAATGGTCATGCTATTATACATATGGAGTATCTATAGCTTGTATCCAGGGCTTTACTACTCTGTATCAACAACTGCCGGACGCCACATACTAAAGGGAGATTCCCAACTCCCGACTATACTATAGTACCAAATGTGGCACGAAGCTGGGATCTAAGAATCTACTATCATTTAGAAATGATCGCCATTTATTACTGCAAGGATGACCCTGAGCTTGATGTGGTGTTGACATGCATGTATTCCGTAGCAAAAGCGGCAAGAAGTGACTCCCAAAGCAGAACACGCCAAGAACCTCGTTTGTCAAACATTCCTGACCTTTGCTGATTCTCTCTTGAATAGTCCATATGCAAGTCTCTTTGCTTTTTCTCTCTAAATAGCTCCGGACAGATGATTCGCAAGTTACCACATAATCCCCGGCAATAATTCCCTTCTCCGCTCGGGTCATCAGCCAGCCCTTTTCGCAATGCAGCCACCTCTCACAACACACCCCAGCAATTCAACACGAGGAAGTGATGTACTCACAGCCTGCGAAGACTGCAAATCTCGTAAGTTTGATTTGCTTAGCAGAAGTCCGTGGCGTCAATGAAGAGCTCTTATTGATCGCCTATTCAGCTCAACAAAGAAGGCCTCATGCCAAGAGGCCAGTTCACAATGACCGTGATACTCGACATGACTGTGCGGAGGATGTACAGCGTACAGAGTACAGAGAGTGCAGTCATTTAATCCGAAGATCTCCAGAATTGCGTCTACATCCCCTCAACACCCAAGTACGACGTGGTTTTAACGAGTATTCTTCATCATGGCGCCTGTTTTGTTAGAACCAGAGTCTCTCAATCCTGAACAAACCCTTATACCACTGAAAGCCCCCAAAGAAGAGTTTCCCACTATCGCGGTCAATATCCCACTGACTGACCGACCCTGGCGCCTCCTTTGTCTCTTCGATACCCTGAACCCTCCTTCATCCGCCGCCGGCGAATTAGCGGATATCCACCTTCAGCGAGTACTTCAGCTGGCATGGGTGGCATCGGTCAGACCTTTTGCCTACTCGACAACCTTCTACATTGGCGAGGAATTCTCAAAAGGAGTGTGCTATGTCACCGAGGCAGCTCATGTCCCAGGCCAAGCCGTTCAAATCCACGTGGATCCACATGATAGTGTGAAGGATATCTTTGCCCAAAGCATCACCTCATTGGAAACTTTGAAACATGCGCCATTGTCTATGAATGGACATACGAGCAGCGATGGGAAGAACTCCCGATTTGATGTTACCGTCGTGTACCAGAGGGAACAGCCAAAACTGCCCTCATTTGGGCAGATCGCATGCAAGGGGCAATGCAAAACATGTTGTGCTTCTTCCGCCAATGGGGTTGTTGGGCTAGATGCTGTGTCCACTGGTCTTCTTCTGACAATTCAGCATACCTCCGACGACAAACTGTATGCTCGTTTGGAGGTTGGAGGGCCGGAAATTGACCTGCCCTTAGCTACAAGCCTTCTAGAAAGCTTTGATCAAGCTCTGCGATCCCTTGATGGAGCACCAACACAGACGATCGGTAGTCTGGAGCTATGTTCGGCCGAGGACCGAAAACATATCGCCCAGTTCACGGGAAACCTCGCCCCTCCGCAAGATTCACTTTTGCACGAGCTTTGCTTGAGACATGTCAGAACAACTCCAGATGCACCCGCTGTTGCCTCTTGGGATGGTGATCTCACTTACCGCCAACTGGAGGGAGTTTCATCTCGATTAGCCCATTGGCTTGTTGGACAGGGCGTTGGCCCCAACGTGTTTGTTGCGTGTGCGTTCTACAAATCCACCTGGGCTGTTGTTGCTCGTCTCGCTGTTCTCATGGCCGGAGGCGCATACATCTGCGTCGATGGGACCGATCCACCCCCATATCTTGCCTCGGTTCTTGAGCGCACCCAAATCAAAATCATGCTTGTCTCCGCTGGACATAGAGAAAAGTTCGCAGGTCGTGTTGAAACTTTGTTCGAGGTGAGCGAAACCTCGGTCTTGGATTTACCATTTGTGGACTCCACGCCTTGCACTACAGTCACTCCGACTGACCCCTGCGTTGTCCTGTTCACGTCTGGTAGTACAGGAAATCCAAAGGGGATTGTTCAAGAACACCGCAGCTATGCATCCGCATTGACCGACTACATCCGAGTGATGGAGATGGGTCCTCACAGTCGCATGTTCCAATTTGACGCTTATGCCTTCGACATTAGCAATAATGATTTCCTGGGTCCCCTCATGGCCGGCGGTTGTTGTTGTGTTCCCACTGTCTCGCTGACGATGGATGCACTCATGGACGACTTAAACAACCTGAAAGCCAACATTATGTTCATCACCCCTTCAGTGGCCGTTGATTTAGATCCCAGCCGTATCCCCACTCTGAAAATGATGTGCATCGGAGGCGAGCCAGTGTCCGACGCAGTACTGGCCAAATGGCTAGGCAAGGTTCAGGTCGTGAACCAATATGGCATGGGAGAAGTTGCTTCTCTGTGCGCCTACAATCGGAATCTTCAAATGGGACGAGGTTCGGTCGTAGGTCGACCGGCTACCGGTGCAATCTGGATCGTTAGCCCGGACAACCCAGATCAACTTATGCCCGTGGGAGCTGTTGGTGAACTCCTCGTTGAAGGACCTCATCTCTCACAGGGATACCTGGACCACGTTTCTGGAAAATCCGAAAACTTCCTCGCCAACCCACCTATCTGGATGAACCAACTTCACACAGAGCGACCTAACCATCGACTCTACCGCTCTGGCGACCTGGGTCGCTACAATCACGATGGCACGATCCAGCTCATGGGCCGCAAAGACAGCATGTTGAAACTAGACGGAGCCCGCGTCGAAGCCGGACAAGTCGAGTACGTTCTCCGACGGAATCTCACTACAGGCGATGCAGCTGTCGTTGATGTCCTAGGCGCCGTGGATGGCAAAGGAGATCCCATTCTGGCAGTTTACCTATTCCTAGCAAGCAACCCGATGAATGCAACCGGGGGTCCGGTCGAAGAGATTCAATTCCGACCCATCAGCGACAAGCATGCTGTACAGTCTCTTACGCAATCTCTTAGTGATGCTGTCAGTGAGAGCTTGCCTTCTTACTATATCCCGAGCCTGTATTTGCTCGTTGATAGAGTACCTCGTACAAAGTCCAAGAAGACGGATCGTCGAAAGCTTCATGCGCTGGGCCAGGAATATTACATGGAGCATCGGGCGGAGTTGGAGGATATTACTGTCTGGCCTGAGTGGGATTGATTGCATATTGCTGAGGTCTGGAAAATAACAAGTGAAGATAGTATTTCGGAGATCTTCAGTTCCAGTGTTTTACTGGAGATTGATATATCCTTACTTTGATTCCACTCCCTTTCCTTTCTGCTTTTCTAGTTTTTTTCAATTAAAACAATGATACATTACTACCTTTTGGCATGAACATAATCACATTTTACTTGAGTAAAGTTGGAATTGATGAGTTGGGCGCACGATATTCATTGACTCGATGAACAGAAACACACATGTACTTAAGTACTTCCACCCGCACACACCTCTGGGCAGTGTAAGGCAGTTGGTAGTTGTGTGGTATTCAGGACATCTCGCTGTCTCTTGCTCTTTGTTCTCCAGAAATCTGAGTACATTCATTATTGCACTTGGCACTCATTTCCCCAAGCGCGGTCTGCACTGATTCGGATTCTCCCTTTCCTGTACCATCCTTTGATTTCCTCTCGTCGTACTTCCTTTTGGGCCAGCCACTGATGTGCTCTATACCTGCGTTGTCACAATCTGCCAAGGATTACTCATACTTAGCAATGGGAACGCCATTCTCGAGGTCACCCACTTTGCCCCTTTTTCTCAGCTTAGTCCCTATAGGATGGCACGTGTCGAGATGTAGCAGCACAGGATCTCCATCCTCTGGAAACATCACATTCAAGGGGGTTAGGTTGATGTGAGCCAGTCCAAGATCATGAAGGTGTTGAACAGCAGCCTTCAGACCCTTTATGCAACGATCTTGTTGCTCCTCTCCAAAAGATTCCGCATCATACGCACGCTCAAACAGGCCGACTGTGAGAGGTCGGGTCACGTGACCTGCCTCTATGTATTTACTCCCCTCATCTTCTTCCTTTCTCTTCTCCTTCCTTTCTCTCCTCACGCAATTCAAGAGATCTCTGTGCTACTCCTTCCTTCTGTCAGTAATGCACGTCTGTCAGATTATAAGGCCCTTTGCCTAATAGCGATCTCATCATCTACTACTCAGCTTCCTTTATTACCTTCTCATGGATCCCCCGCATCAGGACCCGCTTTTTGAGCCCAAAGACAAGGCCCAGAACCCCCATATTCGCTACTCACAGACTTCTGCATCCACAATGGTTGAATCCATTACAGTTTCATCGCCGCTGAAGCACATCGCTATCGACATTCCAGCATCAAAATTAAATCTTTACTTCACTTTCCTTTAGGCCTGGACAAGTATCGGTGCTGTGGTACCGCGGTACCAGTCACTGCAGTCAGTGCCAATAGCGAGTTACCCCAGGACTCTTGTGCCATTCCGATGAGAGGTAATAAAGCATGCCTGAGAACGTGGTAGTCTAGATTCTTTTCGAAAAGAGAGGGGTAATGCGGATGTCGGATAATGCGGCACTAAGAAAAAAAATAAGCAAACAAATATTGAATATGTGCTATACTGTTAGGGCACGCCCCTGCGTGGCGGCCCCAACGGTGCGCTACTATATACCGGTCCCAGGCATGACAAGACGCTAGTCATATTAGGTCTTTTGGCCGAACGGTCGACCTCGCGGGCCTGGGCGCGTGGTCCTCACATATACACAGTCTAGCTTGCTATAAAAATTGACTATCACCCATAGAATATGTTCATCGAAACCTGAACCCCTCTCTCCTTCTAAAGTTGCTCCTGGCAATACCTTCATGGGAATTTCCCATAAATTATATTCACAACATAAATCCTCACGAGTCACCACGGTCTGCGAGTGACCAACTAGTCACTTCAACCAAATCAAAAATACTACGTGTCTTCTATTTCAAATAAAATGTGTGTCAACCCAAACACTGTGTACTCAACACTGTATATGGCTTTCCTACTAACAATTCCTTCTTCTGGTATGCTAGGCACGGATTTCTTGCTCTACCTGTCAATAATTGTGAACTCGAGGCGGTGTTCCAAACATATGCCAATGGGAGCAAAGTAAAGACTGCAAAGAAAGTCAAACAAGGTCCCGCTCCTTGTTCATGCCCTGTCGCTGCGGAACCCCCTGGGATGATTTCACCCTCCAGTCCAGGCTATAAGGAAGCTATGGCAATTCTGAAATAAGGGGAACAGGGCAAGATAACTGAATGCTACAGGTAATATGGTATTCAGAAGGCTCTTAGGTAGGGGGGGAGTTAGTAAGAGGTGGTTGGATGATGGTGAAGATAAAGGAGATCGAGGATTCGGAATTTATCTACCTATCTACGCTATCATTTCACCAGTTGGTAGCCTAGCGAGGCGGAGGTATCGATTCGAGCGCCTCAACAATTATGCATAGGATATCTTTGTCCACATTACAGTTGCAAAACAAATGCTTGAAGAGAAGTCCGTATACTTAAGTATCACCCAATCGCCTCGCTCTAATATCTATCGGATACGTTGTATGATATCACATGGTCTTGGAAGGGACGTAATTTAGATAAGTCCCAACAGTTGAAAGACTCTCATGGTGAGACTTGCTACTTCCAAAATCAGTACTTAATCGGGAAGATTCGAGGTATCCTTTAGATATAGTGAAATAATTATTCTCCTTTATCTTTTCTTGGCCTTTCTCTGTCAAATAAATTATCCAAGGTTTCGATATCTTCTCATAATATAGAATTTGTGCCCTGTATTTGTGACACCCATTGAGTACAGTGGGAGAATTTCACCTTCAGCGTTGATAGTCTCAACCACAGTAACCCATTCACGATTTCCTGCTTGTAAAACATTTTGTTTACCATGATATTCCATAGAATATATGATATATTGTGAAGAGGTTACCCCCATCGCGAATTCCGTCTCATCAAAGCTTCAGATATCAGCCGGAATGATACCATATTTCTGTATAGTATTTCGGACGAAATCAAACCACCCTTTTGTAAGCTTAGGGTCTTCAGATAGAGCTCTCTCATAGTCATATCGACAAGAGAGACGGGAGGCAAGAGAATCATGGCGTTGAATAAAGTCTGTGACGCAATTCTTGCCAACTTTCGGAGGAGTCTCAGAGGGGGTTGATTCTCGGACATAGCATGTGTAAGGGCAAAATCTCGAAAATCCATGGCGAGTAGCCATTTTTCCATCGATTTTTTCTTCAAGTTCAGAGAATTTATGTCGATGGTGGCGGCGTACAACCCGACTTCCATGACCCTTTATCCGATCTTGTAACGTTGATCGTGGCACATTGTAAGCTTCAGCAGCTCTGATAGAGCTATGTTTCCCATTCTCTATAGCTTTGATAGCTAATACTTAGTAGAAGGCGGCCCTCCTGTTCAACCAAGTTTTAAGCTTTTTGAGAGCGAATTGGGGGCATTGTGAAAGTTCAAAAACATACGTTGCTAGTGGCTGGAGTAAGCAGGATCCTGAAGACAGTGCAACGGTCTCGTTCTTCTTCTGTCAAGCCACCGATATGCGTATCAATAGCGCCACGCCCGTCTTGCGTGGCTTGATATACTCACTTGTCGAGAAGTACCCATCACTTCTCCGCCACGTGCGAGCTCGATATGATTCTGCAGGGAAAGATCTATTTGAAGACGTCAATGCATGGAGTGCTCTCATGTCCATTTTTACACAAATCCTCGAAGACTCGTCTTTGGAAAGTACCTTTTTTGTGATTGATGCTTTGGACGAATGTCGAGATGGCCTTCAAGATCTTCTGGATCTGATTGCTGAAAACTCAACAACCCCAAAGACGAGATGGGTTGTTTCCAGCCGTAACGAATATGAGATTACTGAGTGTCTTGATTCTGCTACCCAGGTAGCTCCAGTCTCATTGGAGCTGAATGAGGCATCTGTGTCCGAAGCTGTCAATGCATTCATTCAACATAAAGTGGATTCTTTGGCCAAGAAAAAGAGATACGATGAAAAAATCACTGCCATTGTCAAACATCACCTGCTAAGCAATTCACAAGACACTTTCTTATGGGTTGCCTTGGTTTGGAAGAATCTTGATCAAACACCACGATGGGTGGATGTAACAAAGAAGCTGAAAACTTTCCCGCCTGGACTCGATGCGCTTTACCGCCAAATGATAAATCAGGTTCGCGACTCAGTGTATACAGAGCTATGCAAAAGGATACTGGGAACTATGACAGCGGTTTTTCGCCCAGTTACACTATGCGAGCTAAAGGCCCTTCTTGAAGGGCGGAATGATGGTTTCTATGATCTTCAAACCCTTTTTGATATGATCGGCGTATGTGGGTCGTTCCTGACTTTACGAGAAAACACCGTTACATTTGTTCATCAGTCTGCGAAAGACTTTTTACTAAAGAAGGCGTCAAACGAAATCTTCTTTAGAGGGATTGAAGCTGAACATCACGCGATTTTTGTGCAGTCTCTGCAAATAATGCGCAAAACACTTCGACGCGATATTTGTGGCCTTAAGTCTCCTGGGTTTCCGATTGAGCAAGTTAGACATCAGGATCTGGATCCATTAGCAACAACACGGTACTCATGTGTCTATTGGATTGACCATCTACGGGATAGTCAATCAAATGAAGACCCCGATCCTGATATCCTTGGCCCTGTGGATTTGTTTCTGCAGCAGGATTATCTCTACTGGCTTGAAGCTCTTAGCCTTCTTCAAAGCCTGTCTGAAGGAATAGCAGCGATTCTAAGGCTTGAGCTTTTACTTCAGGTTAGCAGCCACTACGATTTTCAAGATTTGCCTTACTAACCACTAAACGCCCCAATAGAAAGCAAACAAATCTCAAGTACTTTTGAAGAGGGTCCGAGATGCTTCTCGATTTATCCAATACCATCGGGTGGCGATCGAGAAGAGCCCCCTTCAAGTATACAGTTCATCACTTATCTTCAGCCCAACACAGAGCATAACAAAAGTTTGCTATCGAAAGAAGAGAGAACCCTGGGTACTCAATGAGCCGGTCATGGAAGAGGACTGGAGCCCATGCCTCCAAACACTCGAAGGGCATAGAAGTTCAGTCCCATCGATTGCCTGGTCGCTTGATGGAAATCGACTGGCATCAGCGTCATTCGATATGACAGTCAGGATATGGGACCCGGCTACCGGACAGTGTATTTCAACCTTTGAGGGCCATACCAAATATATTTGGTCGATTTCCTGGTCCCTAGATGGGGACCGATTAGCATCTGGGTCAGATGATAATACAGTCAGAATCTGGGACCCAGCCACTGGACAGTGCACATCAACGCTTACGGAGCATAGCGATTGGGTATGGTCAATTGCCTGGTCACAGGATGGAAGCCGACTCGCATGTGGGTCACACGATAAGACGGTCAGGATCTGGGACATAGCCACCAAGCAGTGCACAGCCACGATTGATGTTGCTTCTCCCGGTGGTCTTGAATTTGACAAATTCCATTTGAATCGTCTGCATACTAGTGTTGGCACATTGAATCTGGAGCCTGCTGTCTTTGTCACGTCCTCTCCTGACTGTTCGGTTTCTTTACCGCAGCAAGTAGGGTACGGCTTAAACAACAACAGCACCTGGATAACCTATGGAGGAGAGGATTTGCTACGGTTGCCCTCGGAGCATCGGCCGGTCAGCTTATCTTCGTTCGCTATATTTGCAACAACTGTGGCAATCGGCTGTTCATCAGGTCGTGTTCTTATTCTAAAATTTTCAGAAGACAGTCCGATCTCATGAAACACTTGTTGAGCCTACAGGGTGAGAAGCAGCGGACGGAACAGATCAATTAATTGGCCCAGGAGAGAGAGAAGGAAGGAAAAAGAGAAGCCGGGAGCAGATCTATCTACAGGGTTGGGGCGAACCCCCCCACACAACAACACTGCATTCAGTTTGGTGTCTTCAAATTGTAAGACCTCTCCTTTTGGTACCCTTTTTTACTACAGTGAATGGGTCAGACAATTTTGGTTCTTCCTAAGTCAATATTTACCGTAACAGAAAACAAGGACCGAGCATTCCCTGTCCATGCCCTATCGCCGCGGAACCCCTTGGGATCATTTTATTCTCAGGTTCAGGCTATATTGAAGTCATGGCAAGACTGAGATAAGGGATAAGGGGGGGGTTGAGCAAGATAACTGAATGCTACCGTTAATATGGTATTATGAAAGCTCTTAGGGGGTGAGGAAGTTTTGAAAGCTAGAGAAGGCTCACATAGAAGGTGGTTGAATGACGGTGAAGATAATGGAGATCGAGGATTGACATTGACAATCTATGTACGCTATCACACCATCCGTTGGTAGTCTAGTGAGGCTGATGTATCGATCTGAGCGTCCAACAGTTATGCATTGAATATTTCTGTCCACATATTACAGTTGCAAAACAGATACTAGAAGAGAAGTTCGTACATCACCCAATCGCCCTGCTCTGATATCGATCGGATAATTTGTGTGATATCATAGGCTCTTGGAAAGGGCCTAGTTGAATCTTTTTTGATCTAATTAGTCAATACTTGATTAAGGGAGTAAGTCTTCATGTACCGCGAATCTGCAGACCACACCGGTGGTACACTCAACCTTTAGACCCAATGAGCCATTCAACTCGAGTTCCTGACTAACTCCGCAACAGCTGGTGTAAACTCATGTCCACCTTCCCAATCAGACATCGTAGCCCCCTGACGGAAATGACCCGCCAAATGATCAACTCGCTCCCCCCAGCTATTCAGCCTCTGATCACAGAATCCACAACGGCAGATGAAAGGAGGCGCTTGAGCCCGCCACTCATGCAAGGGTGGGATATCCGCTAATCTATGAACCAAGCGAAGATGCTGCACGAGATGATCCTTGCGGTTGAATGTACGGTCCATCCCTACACACGCGCGATGATTGTGTTCATCGAGATGCTGTCTTGTTGGTTCCAGTTGTAGGCAGTACACACAACGTTTCTCTCCTGTGGGAGTCGTGCCGCTTTCCGGGGCGCATTTCCATGCCTCCAGATCTAGGTGCAGGGATTTTTCGTGGCGAGACCAGTCGTATTTGCTTTTGAAGGTAAGGTTGCAGAATGTGCAAGGGAATATTCGTTTTGGATCCAGTTGCGGCTCTGTTGATTCATGTTCATTGGCACGGCAAGAGGAATCAGTGGATCTGACTTGCGTCTTTGTAGGTTGGTTTGATGGATTCAAGCGGTTTGGATAGTTCGAAGAACCAAGCACGATTTCTGGGACTCGAAAAAAGGTTGACGGGTCGGGATGCGGGTGGCTCACACCCACGTGGGCTGGGCTCTCAGCCCACAAATCCAGCACGTTTGTGGATTTTGTATCCTCCATGGGATCAACCTGTTCTTCAGCTCGATCAATCGTGGAAGTAGACGGAACATTTGATGCCCTATTGGAAGGGCGATCTGACTTCGGATCGCCGATAAAGGCTGGTACAGCTGCCTTTATAGGGCCATCGTTGGAAGACACTTGTCTAGGCTGAGTCATGAAATTTGGAAAGTCATTTCTGCCATACCGAGCATATTGCGATGGGACACGATTGATGCCATTCCAGTTTGGTGCTGTTAGGCCATCGGTACTTGTCTCGAGGCTCTCGTTCAACGGCCAAGGTGCCGGAGCCGCATCCAGATCTCGTCTGTGCTATCATATCAGCTTGTGTATTCTATATGAGACCATGAATCATACTTTGAGTCATGGGCTTTAGTCTGTGAATTTTCAGCTATCGTGGAGCGGAATGGTCGAGGGAACGGATCCATGAAATCCATTTTTGGTCCATGAAAGGCGGGGATGAAGCTGTTCTCACACAGCCGTGTATGTATTCTAAAGTTGGGCAACAGCTTCAGGAATATCGTTGCTCCATCAAGAGATATCTGGCAGAGATGAGAGGTCTGGTGAAGAAGCCGTGAAGTCCAATGGCAGGCCGCCACTGTGATTACGTCATCTTATGCCTCAGGCCTCAAACGCCTCTACAGCTGTTGACAACTGGATTGAATTGAAAATGACGTGGTTGTCAACTATTTAAGTATGGTTGATTTAGTTCTGTTCGTGTACTTGTTTTGTGTACTAGGTAGACATTTTGAGCTAGTCCTGAAAGGTCTCGAGATATAGAACAAAATCGGTAGATGTTGAGTATGAAGTATAAGAAGAACATAAGAAATATAAAGATTGTAAAAGGTTGCCTCCCTTCCAGGGAGTATTCAAGATTCGACCTAGATCGGTCTCAGAATCTGGGTAGGCTCCAGACTTCATCATTCAGCCCCTCTTGCAAGCAGCGCAGCTTTGGAAGCCATGTAATTAACCCCCGTCGTGGCCCGGCAGACGGTGCTAAACAAACAATATTGTGAACAGAAGAGCAACACAACCCCAACCCATGGAGACAGCAACTATGCTCGCCTTGCTAGTCACATCGACTTCAGCCAGGACCAGAGCCGGATCATAGTTGGCAGGGGTGCGACTATCCCTAGTTCCATTCCAGCAGTATCGCTCGAAGCACTTGTTGCAAGACACTGGAATGCTGGTATTGGTACGCTCCAGTGAGCGACTCAACACAGCACAGCCGACGCAGGTCGAACACTCTGAGTCTCGACTGCCGTTGCCCATCGTGGCGACATTATGACCATTCAGAATCATTGTGTCCCGCTCAGTGCTGTTGTAGCTCATGGTGAATGTCGACAAATTGGAGTGAGTCACATAAGGCGAGTTGGGGATGTACACGACTAGAGGGGAGTTTGATTGAGTGCCAGTGAGATTGGAGGTATCGCAACCAAAGAAAGTTGGTTTGTTGTTGAGACCTAAGTTCACGAAAGTGTTGCGATCTGGGATAGATGGGAAACCGGTTCCATTGTTGATTCTTCTCTCGAGACTGCGCTCGTACGTCGCAACGAGGGATGTGCCATCAGGCCAGTTGTTGGTATCGGCAGAAGAATCAACGGCGAAAATCACATCGACCTTTCTTTCTGGCTGAATCAGAGGATGCAGAGGAAGGTTTTGCAAGTCTTCTCCGCCATCCACGACAGCGAGATATGGAGATTTGGTCAGAGGGGACCCGATGGAGGAATGGTAGAAGGGATTCGTGTAGTTGGCAATGTCGAATGCTTCCTCGTCCACTGCACCAAGGACATCACGGATGATGTTCTTGGCAGTGTCTCCCAGATCAGTCGAGTTGACATTCAACAAGAACTGATTGAACAAACTGGAGGATGTGCCCATCACGAAACCAGCACTGTCGTATCCGCGGATACACTTTGCGTTGGATGGCACGACACCCTTTTCGAACTTGGAGCCCAAGTACTCCAGTGGTGCGAATCCGAAGATTGTAGGGTCGAATGAGCCAAATTCCCACGGGTTGAACTCGTATACTGTTGCGTTGCCTCCGACGACGTGCTCTCCTGGGTTCCGACCGTCGGCAACGAGAATGGGCAAGGGCATCTCAGCGCGCTTGAAGTTATCCGTTGCTGCGATTGAGCTCCAGGTATAGTTGATTCCTCCTTCGAAAGCATGGATGAGTTGGTAGGACAGCATACGACCCCTAAATACCGAAGATTGTAAGCCATGCTCACTGGGCTCTTGGGCTTATGCTCAGAGTTGAACACTCACCAGATATCCGTGAAGGTAATTGGGAAGCCAGCGTTTCCTTTTTCTCCAACGGCATCAGATAACTGCCCGTAGTACTTCATCGCAGACTCCAAAAGAGAGCTACCATCATCTGGTCCTTTCAAAATGGAGTTAGAGAACTGCCATGGGGTTCCCAGGGTGTTAGTCTGCAAAGAAGAAACTGTGGTGAAGTTGTTCATGTAAATTGAACCAAGCAACCATCCTCCCGCTGAGACCTGTGAGGTATGTTGCAGACCGAAGGAGACCACCAAGCTGACCTGCTGCGGTGGAGTTGTCAGTGCGACTGTCAAACGCCTTCAAGGCGCCGGCTCCGTTCATCAAAGCACGATAACCACCACCTGAAACTGCAATTCCAACATTTGGTAGACTCAAGGGCTTGTCTGAGTGGCTATCCAGATACTTGACAGCATCAAAGTCGCTGATCTTGACGTGACCAAAGAAATCCTTCATGGAATGCTGGGTTTCCTGGTGTCGCAGCTTGAGCCAGTCCCGTTCGCTCGAGGAAAGATTTGCCGCACTACGTACACTCGGCCGGGGAGAGGGGCAGTCGACTTTAGCGGGTGCGTAGCCATTGGGGGCATTGGGGAGGGCTCGGTTGGTAAGTTTGGATACATCTGTGCTGGCCAAGTTATGGTTTTCCTCTGAAGTGAGCGAAAGATAATTAGAACACATGGACTCTATCCGCGTAACAATATAGCCATACTTACGAGAGGCAAAGACAGAAATCGCTGTGGTGCTGAGCAGAAGAAAGGCTCGCATTTTGACGGCGAATCCCAAGTTCGACCAAAAGCTTGCAGAATAGTTTGCTTTACATCTCACCAAGATGGACAGCGTTTTATATAAAAATCACTCTTACTTTCGAGAAAATACCAGGCTCCGAAATATCGTCCCCATGTTTTTCCTTGGTATGGATACACATGGCGCATAGCGTGCTGTAGGTGTACGGCATCCTCGTGTATCAGCCACATGGACAACATACAACCCATCCTATCGAATACTTCAAAACTACATATGGGGTCTCTTCTATAGCCGTTGAAAAGAAATTGGAGTTTATTCGAGGCGACGAGCTGTTAATCTCAGTGTTTTTTTTTTTTTTTTTTTTTTTTCGAGCATGCTGAATTCGAAAATTCAGCTGGATAGGGTCAACGATCCCGTTTTCGGTAAGGCCGGTACAGACAACAACCCATAAGTCTTGGCCTTTCAATAGAAAAGTCTATGGACCTTCCACTAGCCGCTGAATTGCATTTGGCAGATCTGTCTCGGTCCACCATGGCAATAGCCCGGGGGTGGCTAACTATCAAGCCCAGTGTTTCATTATACCCTCACTCGTGACTCCATGTAGTCACTATTCGACCATCTCGAGTACGAAATTCTAAGATAGATTCAATTTGTATGGGCTACACCAGTTCTTGACATGAGGCAAAATCACCGAGGGTCCTTTGACAAGGTCATTAATATTCCATTGTGGGCTAGATGTCCTGGATAAATACTCCGAGTTTGCATTTCCAAAAACAGTGTAAGTAGGTCGGCTCAATCCACATGTTTTTGACATATTACCAAGATTTCTTGAATCTTGGAGCCTGACGAATCTACCAGTGAACTGATAAAAAATACAAAATGGAATATTTGGTGTTTATCCAGAACTCCGCGGAGCTGAAACCCTTAAGGGTCCACGCATCTGGAATTTTATACTCGTAACCCTTAAAAGTGGGACCTCACCTAGCGTCTCTCACGAAAAGAAAATTTCAGCCTAAAGGGACCATTGAAGCTAAAGTTTGATATCACGCCCTACACGTGCCTGGAAAGTTGTATCGCGCCCTACACGTGCCCGGCAAAATTACTGTTCAGCTACAATGGCCGTTATGTGGAATTTTTCGATCGACCAGGCTCAGTCTGTAGTCTTCGCATTTTCCTCTTTTTACAAGTCACGTTGATATTTTTTGACTTTCTTCTGACTTCTTCTTTTCTCCAACTAGATGAATAAATAAAAGCTTGTTAAAAAGCCCCAAGAGTAGCTACACCGTATGTTTTGAATGTTTCGATCTAATTCATCGCGAAAATCTATCCACCTATCATTGAGGCATTGGTATAACCTGCATCGGAATCCAGATGTTTCAGGAAATATCAACTAGAGCGGTTATACGGCATATCCCCTCAATGTCCATCCGACTTAGTTCGGCGATCGCCGTTGCCATCTCAATATTGTATTCTAGTCTCTTGGACGGGGATGCAGTATAGGCAGCAATCATTGCGAAGGCTCGGAATATACTCGCAAATACTATCTCAAACACGGGCCCCATGCTTAGTTTGGCAATAGTTGCTTGTTGCTATACCAAATGAACCATCGAAACTACTAACAGAACAGGCAGATTCTAAAGTTTCAAGCTCACTCACTCATATAAATAGTCGCTGATGTCCCCATGTCTCTTTCTTGTACAAATCACCAAGCAAATACTCAGCCAGTAACTCTTCTCGTCTCCAATTTATCCTCCAATTACCGATTCATCAAGATGTTCAATTGGTTTGGCCTTTTCAACAAGGCTCCCGAGGAAGCCAAATGGAACCCGGAAACTTTGAACATAGAGTCGCAGCAGCCTACGAGCCCGGAGGCCCCTTCTCACAATCGAGTTGATGCTGGAAAAACAGTATGTTCCTGAGATACTTGATCTCCAGTGCTGGGAATTTGGTGCTAATTCTGAACAGAATAGCGAAGAATCTGCTGAAATGAAACTCCGTGGTGGAGGTGGTAGTGGGACTTGTTGCGGAATGTGAGTTCCTAATAACCCATTGTGTATGAATTCTCTAACTGAATTCTCACCCAGTTGTGCCGGTCTGCTATGCTTCGAATGCTGCTGCTAGCCTGAAATGGCCATGCCCCGGAGCTGGACTTTTCTACACCGTTTCTCTCTTTTTCTATCTTTCCATTCCTTCATATGTGCATAATCTCCATAATTTCTTACACTGTTTGCCCGCTTCAGATGGCATCGCTGGCAGGAAACACTCTTTGAATACAGCATTTAATTTGTCGTTTAGATTTCAACAATACTCCTAGACATGCATGTAGCTCTGTTGTGCCTTTGTTTGTTACACCATTCCGAAGGGGCAGAGCGGCCAGGTCGGCTGATGCCTCAATGTGCCTGATACTTGACTTGTTTGGCTTCTGTCGGGCAGAAAACAGAGACATGCGAGTTACCAATGCATAGAATATCTCAACCGGAGTCTTTGTTCCAGGGAGAGAGAAGAAAAAGACAAAAAAATAGGGAGAAAAAAGAAATGCCCGATCCTGGATTCGAACCAGGGGTCTCTGGAGGACGCGCCAACACCTTCGGGGCACTCGCTTATGGGTGCACACGCCCAGGTTGGTACATCCCCACAGTGCCTTAACCACTCGGCCAACCAGGCTTATTACATTTATCACAAGTGGATCTTTCTACATATCCAACCAATCCTAGCTACTGCCAAGACTCGCCGCTCCACCCATACCCGGTGTTGCCGACCTGGCCGCTCTGCCCCTTCGTACACCATTTCATTATATTATCATCTCCCATCAAGTTCAAAGTTTTTGTTGTTTATGTTATGTCCTTTTAGGTATGCGAACATGAATGAGAAGTTCTTCAATTCTTTGACTATGCCAGATGATCTATGGAGGCAAGGTGTGTCTTTTTGCTCGCCTTTTGATAAGGTTCCCTATATATCCAGTAAATCTTGAGGTATAAGATGCCCGCTGAGTTGAAGAAGCGATAGCCACGTCTCCAGCACCGTGCGATTGCGAAAACCGGCCGCGGAGGAATCTGCTGGCCGATGACCAATGAGGAAACTGGTCCAGCTCATGGCCAATATCTTCGAGATTCGAATGATCGTAGTCAAGTAACCACCTTCCATCATCAGTCCCATCATCAGAAAGACCAAATCGGTACTGTCTCTCGCTCTGCACTTGGTATATCTGCGACTTGCTTTTTCCTATCCGTGCCAGTTCTCGGAAGTCAGATATCATGTTGCTGTTGGCGATCCATGGGATCAGCGAGCCCAACGTGGTAGGTATTCGAGGGGCACGGAAATAGGTAGAGCGTGCAGTGAAGACGATGATGACCATCACGACATCTAGCGACAACAGGACCATTGCCATAATGATTGACACGGGCGATGGGAAGAGACCCCAGGTAGTTGAAACTTTCGTCGCTGCCACGTTTGGAGTGACAAAACCAGTGTATGCTCGATAGTACAAGTCCATGTTGAAGCTGAGATAAGCACGGAAGATCTGCTGATATGTTGACTGGACGGCAGTGATCAGATACTCGGGTTCGAAAGATAACTGGGAGCTGGCGTGATGGCGATCGTATTGAGCTACGGTCATCATTCCAGCCCAATCAAGATGGAAGAAAGATGCATTCCCAAGAGGTGTATACGGTTTCGTATAGCTCATTATCACCCCGTTGAAATGTGCCACTTCAGAGTGTGACATGTTGTGTACGGTTGAATCTTTTGTGGGCCGAGAAGATAATACAGTGCCATCTCCGCTGAATGTGACTTCGGATTGCCTAACTGCGATAGAAACATCACATGCCAGGGCGATGTAGTTTTGGGTGTTCATTGGCGATCTCATCATGGTATCCCAGCGAGCGAGTACTACCACTGCGGATTGGCAGCTAGGATCCATAGAAGAGACCGAGTCCGGTTGCAGATATGATATGGATCTCTTGATGAAGGCGCCTTTGGTGGCGTTCTGGTCCTGCATTGTGCAAGTGAGACCGGATGGGTTTGTGTAGTTCCAACTTTGCAATCCTGAGAGGTGGTCAATCTGTGGTTGATCCAAATAGATTTGATGGCATCGAGGGTCTGCTCCAATTCCAGTTGTCACGGCCGTGTAGTCCACGGTTGTTATCTCGGGCTTTATGTCGGAGAAAGGCATGGGAAGAAACGCATGTTGATCATCTTGCCAAGGGAAAATAGGGGTGCCTCTGTTCAGGTGGTTCAACATTAGACCAATTCCATCAAATTGGAGGTCTGAAGTAGGAATTCGGAACGACGTATTATCGCTGAGATCATAGAGGTTGGTGACTTTTTCGCTGTAAGCTTTGTTTTGGGATTCAAACATTCCACCACTGACAATTGTATGGAAGAGTCCCAGTGTGCAGATGATAGACAGAGCTATGGGAATCGCGGGCCCTTGACAAATATTGTGGAAAAGGATTGACAGTGGGATGTGGGATCCGTAGTTCTTTGCCAGTGTCTTTTGAAGTGAGGCCCTCCCTTTCTGCAGTCGCCCCCAGGTTTCAATTATAGTCAAAGATCGCAAGACTGAAGCAAGTAGAGAGCTGACCAATGATGATATGAGTGTGGGCCCAAACAACAAGAATACCATGAACCCAAACTGCTTATTGGACCTGTAGTTGATATCTCTGACTGAAAACGCACTCAGAGAGAGGCCGTATGTGACCACGGTACCCATCAGTAAGACACACTCTGCTAGAAACCAGGGCAGAATGACGAAGTGAGGTCTCCGGTCTGTATGTCTCCTGGAGAGCGGTAGTGCCAGCTCTGCTGGTGACATGTTGGAACACACTGGGACGATATCAATCTTTCTGCCATTCGGCCCATCAGTCCATTGACACTTGAAGTTCTTCGCCCATCGACGAAGCTGTTGGGAGGTGGCATGGCTGAACTTGTTATCGAATTTGGTCAGGGGATTTTCGTGGGTAAACAAATCCGCAACGACGGCACACTGAGCCACAATTGATCCGGGGTCACTTTGGAGAAAGTTTGGGCGTCGAGGGTATACAATCACTAGTAAAAGAAGCAAAAGCACGGCAGTCAGCAGGAACATTTCTGCTGTGACAGCCGGCTTTGATAAAACATCCAGGACCACAAAAGTTGTGGCTTGACTGGCTTCAACGTTGGTTGAAATTGTCACGTCAAATAATTTGTTCATGGCAATGGTAAACTCGGATTTCCAAAAGCGAGCGACCTGGTTTTGATACTCAAGTAGATCGACTGCTGGAGAAAGACCGCTCTGATCCAGATCAAGAATAGGTCGTGACGATTGATAATTAAGTGAAGTTTTCGTAGAAGCCTTCCGGGTTTGCGAATTCGAATAATCAAGTAGACTCATTTTATCATAGAGAAACTCCCGAAACCCCTCGTCGAAGAATTGTGATTTTTGGAGTTCCTTGATGGTAGATGAGTTAACCTCAACTTCGCTTATCGAGGCATCGACGCCGAGTTTCACTTGGGCCTCCGCTGACTGATATTTCGCACTGCAGGCAAATGCTGTAGCGTTGGAAATATGACCTGCGATTTTCTGCGAGCCCTCATCGATGTCAACGAATAAGCCGAGGAGTGCGTAGTCTTCACAGTGCTTGTTACCAAACACTGGGCCCTGGCTGGACACAGATTGAGTAAGAATCGGCTCCCAGTAGCGCAGCTGGAATGCACCATCTTGTTGGTGCTTTGTAGTATTGAGGGTGAAGTTGACAATACAAGCAGAGTCTTCGTGGCCAGAAGGAAAACTCACCCCTTCCGTGCGCCACTGCCGAAGATTGCTGATATCACTCTCCGTTGGGTACGATTGCCATGTGATGTTCGTTAATGAAGAATTCTGACAACTCAGCTCGCTCCAATATACTGTCTGGTTGATTGATAAAACGGATGTTTCATTCTCATCGATCGGCATAGAGACTGCCGCTGTGGCGTAATCAAAGGACCGGTAGAGCAAGAATTCATCGGTGGTGCGTATCATTGAATGATTGGTTTCACGAACGGTCTGAGCGGCAAACCAGCTTTCCTGGGTATCTTCATCGAGCAACTTTGGCCAGGTGGTAACATTGTACGCTTGCTTGAGCTCTGCTTCGGTCAACACCACGAGACCTGAGAGCAAGGACGGCAACGAGATCCGAAAACCAACAGACAAGGTGGAAATAAGTAAAATCAACCAGTGGCGATTGCAGACCGCAATGATCGGAGCCATCGCATCAGGGCGAAATGTGTAGTTGGTAAAGAGAGCTGTTGCAGACACGCCCTCGGGTTTTGCGAGCTGAAAGTACGGCTCCAGACGAAGAGCATCGGCGGCGCAAAACTGCCACAAGGTCACCGCTACCACTGCCAGAGCCACAGGGACGTAAATGTAGACTCCTGAGATGATTTTCGGCATCTCTTCGACTGTTTTGTAGATGACCAGGCCATGTTTGCGTTCCGAGACTTGGCGGAGAACTTCCAGTACGATGCCGAAAATCAGGAATAGCCCCGCCAGTGAGCAGAGGAATGGGCGGCGTAATGTCCAGGGGACCCAAGGTCTCACATCTCGGTCAGGTTGAGCAGGTCGCTCATTCTCCCTGTGATCAGTATCGGTGTCCCCATCGTTCATATCTCTTGGCCTAGGCTCCCGCGAAAGCGCAGTGGCCCCGGGTTTTGTCCGGTCGGAGGTCAAACGGTAGGGTAACGATCAGTTCAACGAACACAGTATATCTGAATTCATCTCGAGATAATTTTCCCTATAGGCGGTGTCGCAGAAGGGTCAACTCAGCGGCGAAGTCCGTGGAGCAAAAATCTGCCAAGTCAGAGTGGGGCGGAGGTTCGCCCCTATTCGGCCCACTGCAAAACATTTGGGAGATTTACTCCTTCAGAATGTCTTTGGAAGTTGAGATCTTTGATATTTGGCGAAACAACCATTGAAGGGGTCAGGGAGAAAAAGAAAGAGAGAGAAAGAGAAAGAGTACGTGGACATCACCTGACCCAACTCAACAGATGCTCAATTGTCTTAGTTACAAGTGAGAAGAACACTGGGGGCTTTTTGTAGATCCAATTACTCCGTTGGGCCTTCATCAGGACCGGTAGCTCAGTCACCGAGAGCTGCTTACTTTGACTCTCCGCTCAACGCTGAAACTACTGTGCAATTACGAGTCAAATTCGTCTCTTGAACAAATTAGTATATTCGGAGGCAGGCAAGACATCCCAATCACTCGGGAGATCCCCAGCTAGTAGCTGGTTTAATCTCGGGTCCAGTGTGGAGACCCTTGATCGGGACAGAAGATGGCCAACACATTGTCATCCCGTTCCAAAACGGCATATTCTTCTAGATTGGCTAAATAACGAGCGCTGAAGTTTTTCCAAAGATGGCCTTGGCCTCAACATCGGTCAGGTGTATGTCGAAACGGTCGCGCAAAGCCCCAACTCTCTCCTCTTCATTCTGGAAGGTTGAGATCAATACCGACTTTCCACCCAGATTCTCTTTCAACTTCTCTTGATCCAGTATCATCTTACCATACACGCCTTTTTCGTTTGACAAAAATCGAATGACAAGCAAACGTGCCGTGAGGAAACACGATGGGCTCTGGCTGGTGAAGAAATTCATCACTTCGAAATCTTGCTGGAAGAATTCGAGCTCGTGGAAGGCGTACCCCGACTTCCATGGCTGATCAGGCCCATTCCGGAACTGATAAGTCCAAATATCTCTCTGGTTATCAGCAATTCCAGGCATGCTACCATACAGTAGTCGTAATTCCTGTGTGCCAATGTTGGGTGTCACGACGTCCGCAGTCAGAGGTAAAGGAACTGTCGGCCCATCTCCACCGTATCCGACATCCACCAGATACTTGGCGCCGTCTTCAAGTGTGACAATATTTACTGCATGCTCCCTGGGGTGATCATCAAGTCAGTTGGGGTAAGAGAGAACACATACCCTCACACTTACCAACCTGACCACCCGGGGGTGGCACTACTGGCATCTCGGTATAAGCGGGCTCCAGTGAGGAAGACCTGGAATCCCAAAACACGCAGAACATGGTGAAGGAAGATGTTATTTTCCATGCAATACCCCCCTCGACCCCTCTCGACAAATTTCTGGTAGATATCGAGCACGTCTAGTGAGATCGACGGGGTTTGGTTGTAGTGCAGTGCCACATTTTCGTACGGTATGCGGCAGAGATGACTCGCTTGGATGGCGGAAAGAAGAGTCGCATCCAAGCTAGGATTTTGAATGCGCTGGAATTGCGTTGGAAGTTGAATGTGAGCGAAGTACTGGTCAACGTGTTCGACTGTGAGTTTCGAGCTATGGGCTGCCATTTTCCAGATTGATTCAAAGTGAACGATGGTATATAGAACAGGAATAAAAGATTTCCTGCAATGTTCTGCAGGGGGGCGTTGCTTTTAAGTCGCATTTGATGCTCCAACTCGGCAGGTCCACCCGAGGCGAAGATGTTGACCCACTTACATCAGGCATACTTCTTCCCTGTCTTTATTTGCCTTCTTTTTTCCCTTCACGTGGATACTATGGCATTGAAAAATCCTCGGCTTGATGTGTGTTTTCAAGATAGACAATAGTTGAAAGGCAAAACGTGGAGCTGAAGGGGCTGGCAAAGTTGATCCTCGTCCCAACCTTGGAATAGGGCACCTTGATTTTGCCCTACCTCTCGTCCAAACCATCATACAAATCAACATACATTCATTGTTACTCATCAAAGATCCACGCTAAAGTTATGCTCAATGTTCTTTTCCTGAAATAGTCTGGTTATCTCACTCATGCATGAATCATCCGTCGCAGTTCTCACATCAGAGTTACTAGTCGTTTGCTCCTTCTCCCCGTCGATATCCTTTCCTATTTTTGTACCGTTTTGACGCTTAAGTTTTGCTAGTTTCTACTCTCTCTTACTTCAAATTCTTTCACCTTGACGGAACTGTCGATATTTTTGGCATCCTTTGCACTCACTCACCGTCTCGCCCTCCTCTTGTTTGCCTGGCGAGCCATGGAGCTATCGGTTACGAAAAGGCCTAGCCAAGACTTCTCGTTCCCCTCTCCGACATGGATCTGGGATCGCAACTCCAATATTCAGTGCGTCTGCTCATTCATCTGCTGTTTTTTGTTTCTAACTCAAACAGTGTCGCTCAGCATCGCGCTTGGTTTGGCGACGACTATACGCCTCTCTCTACATGCATAACGACCGTTCATAGTAATCAAAAAGTCCAAGTGATCGGTATCGGAACGGTCCTACTTCCTACGGACCTTTTGCCGGACGACGCTGACTCAAGCCCTGACTCAAGTCCTCACACCATCCTCCGCTTGACCGAAGTACTACATGCTCCTGCCCTGAGGTTCAACCTGATAGGTAGAACAAATCGGGATCCTTGGAAGATTGTGACATATGCCCCCAATCAACAATCCCGTGGGTACATCATCGGCTATGACTGTCGGAAACTGGGCTACTTCAAGAACACCCCTGCCCCCGGCATCTTCGAGCTACAAGTCAGCGGTCCCCCAGTTGGACCTGTCGTTGGAAATCCGCCATGGGATCTTTTGCAGACAAATTATAACCTTTCCCACTATTGGTCTAGTTATGAGAGTCAAAGGGCGGCAGATTGGACAAGCGTTCGTGAGAAAAACTTTGCAACATCCGGACCATTGACATCTTTTGAGCTCGCATGGCTGAAGGTTTGCTTTGGGGAAAAATCCCCTGCTCTGAGAAATTTAATACAGATATCTTTAACGACAAATTTCAGGAAGAAGGACGTGCCATTCTGCGTGAGCTTGCCGGTTGCAGGGACCTCAGGCCTTGCTTGCGCCCCGAATCTTGTCCACTGACACCGACCGAGCTCAGGTGGTTTGATAATCACTACGGGCATCGATTTGAGTCTCTGCATAGACTTGGGGAATTGATCTTCAAGCCTGAGTTTATACCAGAAGGCCGCTCTCTCTTGCGAACTATCATGTCCAACGAGGAACGGCACCCTTCTCGCACCGCGGTTCTCTCGGAAGTTGACCGCATACTATCGGATGAAGCGAAAGAGTGGCTCAGTACGCACGGCTGGCAGTTTCTCAGCTTCCTCAATTTCTTCGGTTTGAAAAGAACGGATTCCGAGCATCGACAGGAGGGCGTTTCCATCTTGCGTGCCCTCATGCATAATGAGGCCAACAATCCAAGCTTTGATCTTTACGCAGAGCGAGAACTTTTGTTCGCAGAAAGACTGGTATGTTTTGCCTTTTGCTTGCCCTCGTCATCTTTTTTTTTTTTTTTTTCCCTCCTTCTGCATCACGAACAGACAGTTCATTTGCTAAAACTATGGAGATGCCGAGATGGACGGAACTGATGGAAGACCCGCCGGAATTGAAGATGTACAAGTTCCGTGACGAAGAAACATTCCTCAGTCAACCTATCACGAGGCGTTTTATCTGTTTCGATTGCGAAAAAGTCGAGTTCTTTTTTGGAATGCACACCAAGATCTGGACCACGTCAGGCAGCGGCGAGATACTCTTGCCAGCAGGTTTCAAGGTGGTGGCTTATAAAGGAAAGGCTCGTATGTTTTGAGCGGAGCAAGGCCGGTTCTGTTGTCTGGTGAATCACAAGTTGGGAGTATTTTTATAGACAGTTGACACTCTCGCTACCACGCACTCTGATGTCTATGTTTTTATCAGTGAGGATAGTTACGACTAAGTCGGTTTACACAATGATACTTGAACTAGCCTTGGCACAGTCAATCGATTATGACATCGAGCCGAGATGGGCGCCACATAAAAATTCAACAACCGCGCTGATTCTCACTACTGGTGGGGTCGGTCACTCGTAAAGGATAAGCGGTATATTAGGCATAAATCCCAGGATAGATGCTCGGGTTATTGAATCTGCCCTATGGTGCCTTTCAAGCTTTCGGGTTCGATGACTCCTTGGGATGAGAAAAAGAAGGAAGAATGATCTCATGACCAATTTTAACTCGGCCCTTGCACACATTTCCGAATCGCGCTATGTCAGTCAACCTTATTGCTCGGGGATCTGCGTCGAAGTATCGAATCAGGGACCGTACTTGACGATCGACAGGTTGGGCAGGCGAAGCATATAAACCAAGATCTCGGCGTGGAAAAAGCAAGCATTTGACGCTGGGCGCCAAGGCCCAGGGTTTTCCGGCGGCTTGAGATCAATTAATCTGTACTCCGTACTTTTGTCTAGAGTCTTGGTTGAATCTAGACCTTGGATACTCCGCAGTTTCATTCAATTCGGACTATTGTTAAACATTCTGGACGCTTCAAATTAATTTTTACAAGGAATTGCCCTCTTCTTCCAATGAGAATGTCAGCGCTAAGATGCACTATCCTCAGGTAGGAATAGCGTAAGGCACCTGGCATGTGGATGCAAGCGAGATCAGTGTGGTCTGTGGGTCAGCCTTCCTCTTCTAAAGTTGCTCGTACAATACATCCAAAAAAAATCATACTTCTTACAAAGTACGGAGTAGATCGATAAATATTCCTCTAATTAAATTGCAATCTCGCTAGTTTTCTCCAATTTTGATTGTTCCCCATGGATCGATCATGCAACTTAATCCACTATTAGGTAGAATCAAAAGTGGGTTGTAGATCAGGAAATTGCAGACACAATAGGGAATATAGACGACAACTGATCACCATTGGATCACCATTGGGGCCGAAGTGAGCTGACAGTTCACAAAGCCGAAGATCACACGTTCTCAACCAAATAGTGGCGTGTGTCGACAGAGGATCTAATCTTTTTCGTTAGCCGCGGAAGCATAGATCCTTTAGTTCCTCCACCTCATCTCCCTCCAGCCAATCACAATACTAAGCGAAGCTCCATTTATGCATACCTAGTGCGTTTCTCGTTAGTTTTCAGCCCACCGTCCGACTTCGGTGCTTGTGTACTATAATGGAAACGATCCCCTAGACCCGCCCGTCCTCCAACTTGACTTAATGCTTGTGATTCCCGAGTCTTGTTATCCCATGTACGACGCATAGCAACAATGGGTGTTCGCCCTATCATTCGCAGGGCCCGTGTGGTCTTTCGCCGTATGTCGGCCGATGAGAATGACGACATCTCGCTAGACCAGCCTGCAGACAATTCGGATTCTAAAGTTCGTCCTACTCGGAGTTATACCAGTTCTGCGGCGTGCGGGGAGATACCGGATGGAAGTGCCCAGCATGGTGTTCAAGATGTGGAGGCTGTCACCATGACTTGGTCGAAGAAGACCTTGATCGCGGTTTTTATCAAGTATGTTCATTTCAACGTGTGTCGCATGCGCTATTTTCCACTACTCGGATAAACACTAACATCGCATCCCCGACAGCATTTGGTTCTTATACTTTGCAAATGCGTTTCAGTCAACGGTTACAGCAACTCTCAACCCCTATGTGACAAGTTCCTTCCAGAAACACTCGTTATCGGCAGTCCCCACTGCGCTTGGCGATGCGTTCGCTGCTGCTACATACCTGCCTGTGGCTAAGATGATGGATGTGTGGGGTCGTGCCGAAGGCTTCCTGCTGATGGTCATTTGCGCCACAATTGGACTCACACTCATGGCAACATGCCACAGTTTTGAAATTTATTGTGCAGCCAATGTGAGTACGATGATGTCCCCTCAATTCTATACGGCTGCTCACCAGACCAGGTCTTCTATTATGCTGGCTTTTACGGCATGGAATACGCGGTCGATGTCGTGACAGCTGATGTTTCGACTTTGCGGAATCGTGCCTTCGCCTACGCTTTCACCTCCTCGCCATACATTATCACTGCCTTTGCGGGTCCAAAGGTCGCGGAGCAGTTCTACTATGACATTTCCTGGAGGTGGGGCTTTGGTTGCTGGGCAATCATCATGCCTGTCTTCGCAGCACCCCTATATGCCATGCTGAAATGGAATCTCCACAAAGCGGAGGAAGAAGGGTACCGCATCAAGAGGCCCAGTGGGCGCACAATCTGGGAGAGCATTTGTCATTGGACTATTGAGTTTGACGGTATGTCATAAAACGTGAGCCCTCTTGAGACAAGACGAATACTCATAAAAGAATCACTAGTCATGGGCGTGTTCGTGTTCACAGCAGGTCTCGTGCTATTTGAGCTCCCATTCGACATCGCTGATTATGCCCCCGAGGGTTGGGCTTCACCTTACATTATTGCAATGCTGGTTGTTGGATTTTGCACTCTATTCTTCTTCGCAATTTGGGAACGCTGGCTGGCTCCCGTCCCTCTTTTCGAATGGCGCCTCCTCACAAATCGGACGATCATCGGTGCCGTTCTACTGGATGCGACCTACCAACTCTCAAATTATTGCTGGAGCTATTATTTTACGTCTTGGCTACAAGTGAACAATGACCTCAGCATCACCACCTCGAATTACATTGTGAACATCTTCGACATGGTCTCAGGTGTGCTTCTTCTTTTCACCGGTTGGCTGATCCGCAGAGTTGGCCGTTTCAAGTGGACCCTATACATTGCCGTCCCACTTTACATTCTTGCCCAAGGCTTGATGATTTACTTCCGTCGGCCAAACATGAACGTCGGCTACCAAGTGATGTGCCAAATTTTCCTTGCCATCAGTGGGTCGACCTTCATTTTGGTTGAGCAACTGGCCATTTTGGCAGCTGTCGATCATCAGCATGTGGCTACCGCTCTTGCGCTATTGAACGTTGTCGGCACTATTGGTGACAGTGCGGGTCTCACCATCAGCACCGTCATATGGCAGAATACCTACCTGAAGGCTCTGAGAGGCTACCTTCCCGAATCGGCATTGCCGGACTTGAATAAAATCTACGAAGACCTCGTCACACAACGGAGTTACCCTGTTGGAAGCCCCACCAGGGAGGCTATTCAGAATGCCTACGCTTATTCCGAGCTTAGACTTCTTTCGGTCGGGTGTGGTATCATTGTCCTCGCGATCCCCTGGACAATGCTCATGAGGGACATTGATTTGAGAAGAAAGCCTCAAGTTCGTGGCACGGTTTTCTGAAATAAAACAAAGATTTAATCATTGGGATGGGAATTTAAGGATACCGGTTTGGTTGGATTTAGAAATACAGTACATAGAATTGAAGTCAATTTCACCTTCCAGATAGGGATACAGTAGCTACCTTCTGCCATTTACCCAACCTTGGAACATTGAAACGTCTGGAGGCTCGCAGGGTTCCAAGGTTTGGCCTCGGGGGTCCGCGTGTCTCGTCCCAAATGAGCATTGTGGGGCATTCCCAGGAAAAACTGCCTCAAGACGAACCAATAAGAATGCGTGATTGTGTTGAGTTTCGGATCAGATAACTGAAGGTTCTGGATCTCGGCGCTGGGATTGCTCGTACCAAAGAGTGAGGTGGGGGCCACGGCACAAGCGGCTAAGCGAAATCCGACGATCGGCCGATGAATTCGGGGCCAGACCTGCTCACCTGAAGCTGATCGTGACTTTTGTGACTCAAACCCGAGGTCGGACAATACCGACTTTTGTCCCGCACTTGACGCGCAGAGTTATCAATCTGAAGTGGAGTGCACAGCTTCAGTCGAACCGTGGTCCTAACGCAAGGGGATCTCCACTATCCACGCGAATACATCACATTTGCCGTAGCTCCAACGCTTCCTGTGTCGAGGCTCTTACGTATGAGCTCAGTTCCGACGTATTATCGTATAAACCACGGTACTTCTGCGCAGTTTGACAATCGACACTCCCACTTCATGACCCTCTCCACACAATGGCCCAACAAGACGCAATAGAACGGATAGACTCCGGCTGTCACGATAGTACAGACGGAGTCGCTGGGAATAAAAACGAGGAAATGATCAAAGCAGGAACATTACCATTTTTGGTCGAAAACCTCACGCGACACGACAAACTCGACGCTGCCTTCAATCGAACGTTCCTTGCCACCTACACCTACTTCACCTCAGGGTCCGAGCTTCTCGACCATCTCGTCGATCGATTTGATAATACCCCTCCTCCCTCAACGATTCAAACCGAAATCGAACAATGGTCAATACACACAATACCTCTCATTCGATTACGCGTTGTCAACATCTTGAGACAATGGCTCGAGCACTTCTGGAGCGAGCCGAAAGGTCCCGAAACAGATGAGCTTCTACACAAAATGCGATTGTTCGTAGAGCGCGTCAATTCATCAGCCGAAACCCCAACTCAACAGCTTGACCTCATCATCCAACGTCGAATATCCGGTCAACCGTATACCAAAAGATCACATCCCTCAATCTCCAATCCGCCAAAACCTATTCTCCCACGCAAATTGGATAAACTCCAATTCATAAAAATTGACGCGAAGGAAATCGCGCGACAATTAACGATAATGGAAGCGCAAACATTCAACAAGATCCAGCGCCAGGAATTCCTCCACAAAAACTGGCAAAAGAAAACCACACCACTAGTCGCACCGAACGTGCGGTGGCTAATTCGACATTCAAACCAACTCTCAAATTGGGTTTGCGGGACCGTGCTCGCAGAGTCGGATCTGAAAAAGCGCGCTCAAGTGGTAGATCATCTAGTCAATATTGCCACAGTAAATATTAGCCTCTCCCTCGTATACGTGCATGCTAATGTTCAAATAGACATGTCATCAACTTCAAAATTACTCTGCTGTGATATCTATTCTGTCGGGGCTAGAAAGCGCTCCTATTTACCGACTTGCTCGCACATGGGCTATGGTTACAGAACGTAGTTGCAACCTGCTCAGACCATTACAGGCGATGATTGTCAGTTCGCAGAATTACCAGGCATATCGTGAGACATTGCGGGTTGCTGTACCACCGTGCATACCATTTCTTGGTTAGTTTGATGTGCCTCATTATATGTGAGCGTACTGACCATCTCTAGGGCTTTTCTTGAAAGACTTGACGTTCATCGAAGACGGCAATCCAGCTTTGACACCAGAGGGGATGATCAATTTTCACAAATATGCAATGCTAGCGACTACCGTGCAAGATGTTCAGCGATGGAAAGAAGCCCCATATTGTTTGCAACCTGTACCGGAGTTGCAAGAGTACTTTACCAAGCAACTACATTCGGCTGTTGAGCTACATGAGATGTGGGATAAGAGTTGTGAATTGGAGCCAAAAGGTCGTGGGCTTGGCAACAGACCGAGGGATCTGTACACTCCCACCGGAGGGATGTCGGCTTCTATGGTGGTTGCTTGCATGGTTTTGGATGACTGATTCATGTGTTTACATGTGGAAAGTGTGGCTTGATTATGTTTTTTCATGATTGACGTTTTATTGGCTAAAAAAGAGCACTAGATTATTACGAATAGAGTATCTTCAATCTCCTAGAGTCTTTCATAACAAGTACAGATTGAATTTCATCCACGCCAACTTCTCTGCTCTTCTAAGACAGCACGGATACTCAACGTGTCTCCTTATCCGGTCCCGCAAATCCTGGCTTGCCCCATTCAAGAGGAACATCCCTACAATCCCCCAAGAACCCTTCCTTGGCTTCAAAAATCATGAATCTATCAAGCTTAACTCTCTTGTACCGAATCTGTGTCAACCACCACGATGCAAGAACCGCCCCCTGTGTCATCGCCTGCTGAAGCGATTGTCCAGTCCGCCTTACCGGTAAGGAAATGCATCGTCGGCCCTGGCCGTGCAGCGCACTATCACCGATAATGACAGTGCGAACCTCCATCATTTCTTCAAACTCGATTTTTTCTTCAACATAACGCATGATTTGCTCGTCCGTGCATGGGACTCGATACATACCCTCTGGGAGTGTTACTGTGATCCACAAATATCCGCGTCCATTGCTGGGATCTGTGAAATGATCCGTGTCGTTTTGGAAGACACTGGCTTGATGACGCCAAATAGTTGGGTTAGGTGTGTTTTGAGCCATTTTTTGGAACTATTTGAATAGTAATGTTTGTAAGGTATTGATAGTATGAGTTGCTTGGTTTTCAGCCTTGGAATGTTGTATCCGAAGAAGCTGATATCTCTGGGCTTTTATATGGCGAGGATCGGTCAATGCCGACTCAAGCCTGAGCTCTTAGCTCAAATGCCTGACAAATTCAGTACTAAGCCCCTTTGTTCGGTCTTTGTCGTAACAAAACACGGAATTCGTTGATATGTATAAAGGCTTTGTTATCTTACAAGCAGAACTTCTTCTCTAATGGCCGCAGCGATACACCACGCGGTGTAATCTTGGAAGCAGACATCACTTCCAGGCTTTCTGGATTAAACTTGGGAGATGCCGAATCAGAACAAAATGTTCATTAGACTCGAAATACCCAATCCCTGATCTTCGCTGCATCCTCGAACTAGGGCAGCACGGTAGAGCCTGGAAATTCAGGCAATAAGGCAGTAATAAGGCATATTCAGGCATCAATATTGGCCCTATCCCGGGGCCAAAAGCATGGACTTTAGCCTCCCTCTAAAACTTACTTAGTGCATCGTGCAAGCGAAAAGAGATTCCCTGAGCCTCAAGCGCAATTCACCAGTATCACAAGGTTTTTCTTCTTTCAGCCCGTTTCCAAAAATCAAATCGACTTTGATATCTCTTCTTCGCGACAAGTTCTGGTACGCGAACTCGGCTGGTGAAAGTCTTATCGAGTTCAAGGAGAATGGTATAGGTCTGGTCAGTTATGTATCTTAGTTCCAGTTAACGAGGTACCCTAAAAATTCACGACTCTCTTTCAGCTAATGGCTCGCCACGAGAATTGCCCGTTCCTAGGCGCCGAGTTTGATTGGAGCGCTCATCCAGATATACTTGGCTCTGAGGTCACTACTAAGTACCAAAATCTTACCAGTCTGTGAATTTGAAATAGAAAAATCTTTGACAAAGCGATATCGTCCGATCTACTTTAAGTTTTACCTTGACGAAGATGGCAAACGCCAAACAAGAGGCCACGCTGCGGACAACTCTTTCTGGCTCTTAGATGGAGTCTTCCCCTGTCGGAAATTCAAAGTTCGCATCGAGAAAGGCGTTTTTATCACAGCCGAAGATAGAAAACAAACTTTAGAAGTCTGTGGAGTTTCAATGCGACGAACTACACATAAAGGGTTGTATTTGATTCCTCTCCCCGTCCTCCACAGCATTTATGGATCGATAGCGAAGGGGACCCATTGTGCCACTTTCGCTTCTGGGGATGGAATGAGTTTCGTGCTGAGCGGGAGCTATACATATTCCGGATTTGGATGGTTCTTAGAAGGTTAGCTGGATATTTGGCTAGATGCTTAACTGGACGGTTCACTGGGTGGTTGCAATTGAGATGGTTGAAAAGGTATGAATGGTAGGCCCGGAAGGACAGTGCGTGTCGAATTGAAAGAAAGACCCATCTAGCAAAGGTAGACTCTACACAAATATCTGATACATCCAATCCCTCGCGCGTACTTTATCAAGCGCTCATTTATTCGAAATTTTCATTGGCCCAATTAATTACAATGGCAAACTTCTATATGCTAGCGTGCTAGCATGCATTCCCAGTCAACCCTCTCAAATTCGCTGTTGTGGTGAGCAAAGCAAGACTGCTAACTTGAACCGCAACAAAAATTAGATGTTTATCTGGAATTGGATTCGAACCGAGAATAAACAATCATGCACGAGTCTTTAGCTAGAGACAAAGGCCTTTGTCTTCTCAGGGGTTGTTCCACCTCGATCGGGAGCTATACTTTATTCTTTGACAGCCAGTCTTGTTAATCATCAATGCCTTTGTTCAAGGCTACCCTGAGATTAGCATCCTTTTCATCTTATGTCTACTCTCAGCATGCATAAAAGGCTGCTCATCTGTTGGCTCTTCTGTGCCTCTCACTTCATATCTATTCTTGCAAAGGAAAACTTTAATATCAAACCATCGATTATACTGGCCTACCTCCATCCTTACTACCCAGATCTTCACGGTTTCTGCACAAGAAAGCTGTGAGTCTGCCCTCCATTGCATCTTATGCCTTTCGCTAATCTTACTCTTGTAAAGGTCCCTTTACCATTGATTTGGATTTTACTGGTTGTCTCGCTCGGTTCTGCAATCCTTCTTGTCACGCATCTGCTTGAACAGGGCGGTAGAGCAACCATTCTCTATCATCTCTCGAAGACCGCTTTTTGTTTTGCCTACCAAAGCGAGGCATTATTCGATTCTCTCGCAGAGTTCCTCTCACTTCGTTTCGATCCCAAAAGCTTCTTCTTTCTCTGCACCCTTCTCCTCCTCATTCATCAATCCCTCAAGGAGCTGATTCATCTCTTCTATGAGAAGATCATCAACAGGCCTCATCTCACCATCTCGTGCGATTGTGACAACTGCCGCGAGACCAGAATCCAATCATACCTCGCTCATTCAGAGCCCATTAGCTTCTAATCGCACACACTTCCTCCAATTCAAACCCCCATTCAAGATGGACGCAATGGCCACTACTCCGCTCGCACCTCGGTTTGATCTCAGGAAATTCAACGGCGCACGAACCAACACAAACAATAGCTTTTCAAGGTCCAACAGCGATGCCTCTATGGTCTCCGATCAATCATTTCAATCATTTCTTAACTGTCACATGCGTCATCCTTGGGGTGTGGTCGACTACTACATTTACCTTGGGTACGCGGAAGGCAAGACCAGTATCCAAAAACGTTTAGGCGAATGCTATCTTCTGGAGAAGAATGGATTCAGAAATGTCGTGATGGAGGACGACATGGATCTCAGCAACATCCCTGATCAAAAGCACCCCACTGTTGTCTTCCTCAGTCTCCCGGTCCCAAATATTCGTGACGACTGCTTTACTATGCTGGTTCTGGCTTTTGACTTTGGAGAACACAAGCTGCAGGGACTTATCTTTGATACCGACGATGCACTGGAAAGCTACGAGGACTTGTGGCTTGTGTGGAGCCGTAAAGCTGGAAAACTTGTCATCGATGTCTCTGTTTACTCATTCCTTGAATACGTTGACGATGCTATGAGGCATCAAGCGGAAGCCCTGAGCATCGGGATCTTGAACAACTTCGGCATGACGACCCAAAAACTCCCCTGTGGGTTTGACACAGTGGTTGTCATCCAATATTTGCAATTCATTAGTGACACTCGGGACATGCTGTGGGAGAATACTGACAATTTTGAGTCGGAGTTCGGATACCTTGAGTCCGAGCTACGAGACATCCTTATGGAAGGGTCACGGGACGCTTGGCTTGCCGCTGGCAGAGGACTCAGTGTTGTTGAATTTCGGCAACAATCCATGCGCCAACTTGCTGGGATGAACTTCATGTGGATGCAAACTGTTCCGGATCTGAGAGATGAAATGAAAATCAATGCGACTGCCCCGCCTACTCCCACCCGCATCCAAGTCGTCGAAGCTCCTCTTCCTCGCAATCCGAAGTGGCAGAAGCTCATCTCGTCTACAACCTTTCTTCAATTATTGATCATCTTCTGCCTCAGTGTTTTTGCCCTTGCTGCTCTTTGGCAGTTCATGGGCAGCCATGAGGCGCCTGTCAACCCTACATCACACGTGAGCCTGTTTGGATGGTGGAATTCTGAGCCAGAAGCCAAACCGACGGGAATCGTCGGCATGTGGCCTGTTTATCAAATCATTCAACGCATGGGAATGCATAATTTCCTCCCTATCGCACCGGAGCCACGAGGCGTGCGTCTGTTCAATTGGTGGCCCTTCAGACTGGAGGCCGTGCAAGTGAAAGCTTCGGGATGGCTATTGTTGAACAAAATAATCCGGGACTTCCGGATCCCGCAATGGCAACCTTTTAAACTGAGAGCGTGGGGGATTTCCACGGAACTGCTCACCAGGCTGTCTCCAAATCCACATTTGCAGAACATCAAACTGCTGTGGAAGAACCTGCGTGTGCAGGACATCAGGTTACCTGGTGAAGTGAGAAATCACATGCTCATGCGCTGGGTACGCTCAGTCAAGCAGGCACTGTTCAAATAAGCAATGTAGAATACGATATATGGATGTGGGAGTGCGGCTTCGGAGTTTCAGGATAGTGAATATCATTCATCTCATATCTCAGACACATGCTATGTTTGTAGAAGTAAAGTTGGGTAAAAGTAAAAGTGTTGAATAGCTTCGTAGTCTGTAGATGACGATCAATCAACAAAATACTCTGTCGTGATACTTTGTTGAGTCGATCAATGACGGTGAAGATGAAGGAGAAGATAATAAGCCCAACCGTGGAACCCCTCGATCGATCGAAGCTAATTGGTGCACCGCCACAGTCACTGTCCAATCAGAGCTCAGTTAAAAGCGAGCTATGTGGCGCTACGTGGCTAAACCGGGGCCTCCGGGATAATTTGCGCTCCTATTGGCCAGTGCCTCGCGCGGAAAGTCTTGGCGGCGTCATGTTTGCTGAGAGCTGCGGTCGAAGTAGCTGGTACTTCCTTCAATGCCAAGAGAGCGGACTCTCCGAAGGTACCGAGTACTTGGATCTGCACCTCTAATTTCGCTTCGCTTCTGCTTTTCCTTTCAGCCCTGCAGCCCTATCGTGAAAGGCTGCCTAAACTTGCTTTCACCCCTCTGGCCCCCTTGAGACCGCAACTTGGCTTTGCGTCTTTATAATCCCCCCTGTGTTACCTGGCCCCTTTCACTTTTCCTCAATCCCGGAGCTCTCCGTGAATCGCGCCAATTGCCTGCAATGGCAGACTACAATGCGCAACCCATCAATGGTACGTGCAGACCCCAGGCGCAAGTCGCGAGAGTCGCGCAAGCTGACCAAACCCATCAAAATAACAGGGAACCTGCAAAATGGCACCGAACCAACCCCAAGCTCGACCGGCTTTGAGCTGATCTCCGGCCCCTTGATCAACCTCAAAAACATGCACTACCAGAACACCACCGTCTGGCACGGCAGTGTCCTGATCGTCACAAAGCCAGGCCAAGAAACGCCTCAACTGCGCCTGCGTCAGCTAGGCTCCGTGGACGGACAGAGCGGCAGCGCCCAACCTCAAACCGTCGAGGGTCTCAAATTGTACGAGGACCCCGCGAAAGCATTCTGGAGATTTTCGCTAGCTGTGCCGGTGGAAACGTTCGAGGCGCGCTGGGAATACGATATCCCCGGACTGTTCAACGAGTCTGGAGAGCAGGTTCCGACATCCTGGGAGTTTGTCGTTCCTGCGGAAGAGCAGTCCATGCGCATCATGTTCCACTCGTGCAATGGCTTCTCCGTCGGCACAGACATGGACGCTTGGGTAGGTCCTAACCTGTGGAATGATGTGATGCGCGTGCACGGCGAGAAGCCCTTCCATGTCATGGTTGGTGGCGGTGACCAGATCTACAACGATGGAATTCGTGTGGATGGTCCACTCAAGCCCTGGACGGCAATTGGAAACCCCCATAAAAGACGCAACCATGACTTCAACAACCAAATGCGCGCCGACTGCGACGAGTACTACTATGCCAACTACGTGCGCTGGTACAACACCCAGCCCTTCCGTGCGGCCAATGGTCGCATTCCTCAGGTGAATATCTGGGACGATCATGATATCATTGATGGCTTCGGTTCCTACACGGATCATTTCATGAAGTGTGCTGTATTCCGCGGTATTGGTGGTGTTGCTTTCAAGTACTACTGTCTCTTCCAGCATCATATGGCTCCTCCCAAGTCCACATTTACCACCGACGCCCCGCAGACTATGCACGCAGTCAATGGAACGTCAGGCATTGACCCCCGTCAGGTGGAGAACACCTACGTTTTGGAAAACCAAGTCGAAGACGATAGCTGGATCACGGGTAAACGACCCGGTCCATATGTGGAAGAGCGCAGTCGAAGCTTGTACATGCGATTTGGAAAGCGCATCGCTTTCATGGGTCTGGATGCTCGCACAGAGCGTACCCGTCACCAAGTCAACTACAATGATACCTATGATCTCATCTTTGAGCGGCTCCAGCGTGAGATTGCCGACGCAGATGGCGATATCAAGCACCTTGTAGTCTTGCTCGGTGTGCCAATTGCTTACCCTCGTCTCGCGTGGCTTGAAAATATCCTCACCTCCCCAGTCATTGCCCCAATCCGGCTGTTGAACAAGCGTTTCGGTGTTGCTGGCGGTCTCTTCAACGAATTCGACGGACAAGTCGATCTTCTCGATGATCTGGACGACCACTACACCGCGCGCCAGCACAAGCGCGAGCGCAAAATGCTCGTCCAGCGCCTCCAGGAGCTCGCACGCAGCAACAGCATGCGCGTAACCATCCTGGGCGGTGACGTTCATCTCGCAGCCATCGGACGGTTCTACTCGAACCCCAAGCTGAACCTTTCCGGCGAAAACGACCACCGCTTCATCGTCAACGTTGTCAGCAGCGCCATCACCAACAAGCCCCCACCCAAGGCCGTAGCCAACCTCCTCGCCCGCCGCAACAAAATCCACCACCTGGACCGTGAATGCGACGAGACCCTCATGCCCATCTTCGACAAGCAGCCAGGTGGTCAAGAAAAGAGTGCAGCCTGGAACAAGGTCACCATGCCATCTCGCAACTACGCCATCCTCACCGAGGTCACGGCACCCAGTGCCACCGGCTCCGACGGCATCCTAGAGACCGAGAGCGCGAAGCTCGACAAACTCCCCAAAGACGGCCACGCCCCACTGCACAAGGGCGAAGTCGGCGCTGGATCCAACCACCGCGCTGCGGATGGTATTAGCGTTCAGAGCGGTATGTACGGTGGCCTTGATGTGGCGATCCGAGTCGAGATCGATGCTCAGGATCGTAGCGCTGCCACAGAGGGGTACGGCTTTAGTATCCCGCCTCTCATGGCTACTGAGGGCCCACCGCGTACTGGTCATCGGTTGAGTATGCACTCCCGCAGATCGCAGAGTCGCCCGTCCACAGCCCAATAGTTGGAAATTTCGCTGAGATCTACTATAATGTTTGAGTGCTTGTTTTTGATACCTCGAAATATGTTTTCTAGTTTAGTTCTAATGAAGTGTCTACATTGTTCCTCCAATCAGATACGAACGGATCTAATGCGGAGTCAACCCCTCGCATGGAAGCAGTTGCTTCTTAGGGTTAGGCCTGGCGGTAAGGTTTCTCTATTTACCTGGGCATCTTATAGTCAGTTCAGAATCAGTGTACTCGTAGATCATCATGCCCAGGTGAGAGTGAGGAGCTACTTAATACTAAATTCATCAAGGTCCAGCAAAAAGATTCTTGAGACTTGCACTGTATATGCCGTGTCTACAGTACTTAAGTAGTACATTAAACTTACACAACAGATGCTAAGCATCAAGAATGTGCCAGACACGGCAAGGAATGAATGCCTCACAGCTGCAGTCCTAATATGTCAATACGATCCTCGTCTTAGACTCTCTCGGTACTCGGTAGCTTCTTCACCTATCAACGTTATGCATCTGCTCTTCCATCGTATAAGCCTGCCTATCCCTACTGCTAAATGCGAAGCCACTCCCCTCTTTATAGCAAAGATACTCTCAGATACTCTCAGGTATCATGTGGCTCTTCTAAGGTTGTGCAACAGAGTCTTCATTCGCTGCATCTCCGCATCTCAATGGATGTTCCTTCAATACATGACGTCTCTGTGTCCAAGCTGCGGTTTTCATATTATATTGCTTGATTATCGTAACAATCGACTGATAATTACTTCCTCGTCATCTTTTTTCTTTTCTTTCTTCTTCTCCTTCTACTCCTCCTTCTGATCCTCCTTCTGATCCTCCTTCTGATCCTCCTTCTGATCCTCCTTCTGATCCTCCTTCTGATCCTCCTTCTTCTCCTTCTTCTTCTCATTCTTCTTCTCCTTCAGTAAATTGGCATCGGCTTGATTAGCAGATCTGGCCAAAATGACGCCCAAGAAGCTTACCATTCCGAGTCCAGACTGTGATCATGAAAAAGGCACAATATCTCCCCTTCCAGAGAATGTCGAACTCGGTCAACTGGGCTACACGGAAGAGCTGCGTCGGAATCGCTCAGTTCTTACGCTTCTCTTCCAGACCCTTGCAATGGCAGCAATTCCCTATGGTGAGGGCACACCCCTCCTCTCGGCAATCTATGGTGGCGGTCAACTCTCCATCTTTGTAGGCTGGATAGTTGTCTGTCTACTCGATCAATGCATAGCTCTCTCGCTAGCAGAGCTCGCATCCCGCTATCCTACCTCCGCAGGACCATACTACTGGACATTCCAAATATCCCGCGGGAATAAAGCCACCATCTCCTTCATCAATGCCTGGATCTGGCTCATAGGCAATTGGACTATAACCCTCGGTGTAAACTTCGGGTTTGCTTCTATGCTCTCAGCAACCATCTCCAACTATCACCCAGCCTGGTCCGCAAATAGCTGGCAACTACTATTAATCTTCTACGCCATCTGTCTCGTCTCCCTAGTCATCTGTATCTGCGCCAACAAGTACCTCCCCCAAGTCGACACCGCCTGCGCAGCCTGGACAGCTCTAACAATCCTGGTCATCCTCATCGCCGTCTCGGTCAAATCAGAAACCCGCCACTCCCCAGCCTACACCCTATCACATTACGACACCACCCTCGCCAACTGGGGCGGCTTCACATTCTTCATCGGTCTCCTCCCAGCAGCCTTCACCTTCTCAGCAATAGGCATGGTCTCCTCCATGGCCGAAGAATGCCCCAACCCAGCCATCAAAGTCCCTCGCGCCATATCCCTCAGCATCCCAGTAGGCGGCACAGCAGGCCTCTTCTTCATCATCCCCCTCTGCGCAACCCTCCCCCCTCTCAAAGACATCCTCTCCGCCCCAGCAGGCCAACCCCTCCCCTACATCCTAACCAGAGTAATGGGTCCAGCCGGCGGCCTGGGCCTCAGCGCCCTCGTCCTTGTCATAGCCCTCTGCTGCTCAATCAGCATAACCGTCGCCGCCTCACGGACTACATGGGCCGTAGCACGAGACGATGCAATTCCCCTCGCTCGCCTGTGGGCCCAGGTCTCCGACCGCTGGGGCGTGCCCGTCTGGTCTCTGATCCTGGTCACGGGTATCCAAATGCTGCTCGGATTAATTAATCTAGGAAGTTCAAGTGCGTTTACGGCTTTCGTTTCGGTGGGTGTTATGGCCCTGGCGGCTGCTTATGCTATTCCTATCTTTTTGAGTCTATGGTATGGAAGGGAAGAGGTGAGTCGGGCGCCTTGGAATTGTGGAATGGTCATTGGGAGGATTGTGAATGGTATTGCGCTCGCTTGGATTGCTTTCGAGTTGGTGCTGTTTAGTATGCCGACTGCTTTGCCGGTTACGGCTGTTTCGATGAATTATGCCTCTGTGGTTTTTGTGGGGTTTATGGCTATTTCAGCCTTTTGGTTTGCGGTTTATGCGAGGAAATGTAAGTCTTCTCTACTTGGGCCCTTCGTTTACAAGCCCTGGAGGATGTTTATGCTGACGTTCTCTTAGCTTACAAGGGGCCACCGGAGTCAGATGCGCTTAATTGATGGAATATACGGTCTCAGGGACTTTTTTTTTTCTTTCTTATTCTTTTGAGTTTGCCGATTTCTCTTTCATGTTATTTTTATTCATGCTTACACTGTCGGGGCTTTCACGAGAAAGGCAGGGGTATCGAGTCAAAGAATTGTCGAAGTGAAAGAACCTTAGAGAACAAAACGTATAAGAAAACCACGATGCAGCCATGAAGGACTTGAACCATATTGTCCAATTATAGTCTGCCAAGCAGACTCGACTTTGTTCTTTGAGCATCAACTAGCCCTGGAGGATAAAAAGGCACTTCTCGCCATCCTCGGGTGATAAACTTCGTTTGTGCTCTGCCTCTGGGATCATCTACCAACATGGACTCAATTGTCGTTATCATATACTATGGTGCCCTGGCCTATGCTGCCAACCTAGTCTTCTCCAACTTGGTAGAGAAATTTCAAGACTGGGTCGCAGACAGAAGCGAAAAACACATTCTCAAATATTATCTGCCGCATCAGAGATTAATATACCCCATAATCCCCGAACAGCTGCATGCCAAATCAATTTGGAAGAATCGCGTCCGAGCCAGCGTCGCTATAGATGATGGGATCACGCCTCAGGGCACCAAGTATCCCACGATCCTGCTTAGCGAAATCATACTCGATCGATACCAGATTGTTGCAAAGCTTGGTGTCGGGGATATTTCTTCAGTATGGCTCATGCGAGATTTGATGTAAGTTTTTTCATTCCTGAAATTGGATATTGACAGAGCTAGAACTAACAAGCCAGGTTTAATACATACGTCGCAGCCAAGCTCTATGCACATCTTGAATCCGCCGAGGCAGAGCTCGAGGCCTTTGACAGGATCGAGAGTGTCCCCTCGCCTCATCGTGGTCAGGAATTTGTCAGACAAAGAATCACAACTATGAACATCTGTCGCGAAGAAGGGGATTGGCATGAGACTATCTTGCAAGCAGTAGTGTGCAACAATTTGTCCGATGAATTCCTGGCCTTGAAATATGGCCCTGAGCGCATGCCTATCCAGGTCATCAAGTCGGTCGTGTATCAAGTTCTGTTGGCGTTGGATTTCCTGCATACGCAATGCAGGCTTGTTCATACAGGTAAGATTGAAGATTTGTTCCTTATGCTGTAGAACGAACTTTGAACTAACATGAAATAGGTGTCCACGGTGGGAATGTGTTCCTCAACATGCCTGAAGCGCCCAAGGACTCTGTTCTTGACGAATTCGTGCTGGCTGAGTTGCATGATGTTCAGATGAAAGGTCCTGACGATAAAGACCCCAATCATCCCCCTAGGCTTCTTGGTTTGGAATATGATGTCAATGGGGTCAGGCTAGGGGGATTTAGTCGGAGTGTACCAGTAGATGAAGAGCCTTTGGGTGATGCTGCGCAAGCATCTGAGTTGTCCACATGTGTCTATCAAGCTCCTGAGCTGATGTTCGCAACAAAATTCAGTTATGGTGTTGATATCTGGAGTTTGGGGTGCTGGGTGAGTCAAGCCTTTTTCCTTTTTCCTTTGGTTGCTCGTGATACTAACTATGACAGATGTGGGAGCTGGTCTATGGTCAACCTTTATTCGACAATACGGTTTCATATCAAGATGCGCAGACTGAAATTCAATATCAGATCGAGGGGTATAAGGCTGTTGCTTTGAACATTGCGAACGCGCTGGGACCTCCACCTGATGAGATGCGAGAAGGTATTGCAAACAGCGCCCACTTTGGTACATGTAAGTATTCCGATATCTGCCTTATTGATGCTGGCTGACTTTTTTCTCAGGGGCGTTTGCCGACGAGGATGGCTTTACAGGACCATGTCGCTTCGACAATTTCCAGGAGCCGCCTGAGAGTAAGAATCGCCTGGAATATGTGGATAGGGAGATGTTGCTTAGTTTGATGGAGAATATGGTTCAATGGCGACCGGAAGATCGGAGGACAGCAGGGGAACTGCTCAGGCATCCGTGGTTTGCGGACTTGGGTCTGTACGTTGGCTCCCAAAGAGAAAGTGTGGTCGATTCCGCCAATGTGCCCTCAGGTCACATCGAGCTCGAACAGACCAGGCCCAGACCATGGTGCCCTGTCCATTCTGTCCATGAGAGCAGCCTGATACCAAAGTGCCCCATTCACTGTGTCAATCCAGAGGTCGCTGTCGAGCATGAGATCATTGCCGAATATGAGGTCGATGTCGAGCAAGAGATCGCTACTGAGCAAGAGATCGTTGCTCAGCTAGAGGTCACTGTTGAGGAAAACGTCACTGTTGAGCAAGACGTCACTGTCGAGGAAGAAGTCGCTATCGATGAAGAGGTCACTGCTGAGCCAGAGGTTCCTGTCGAACCAGAGCTCATTGTTGAGCAGCCAGAAGTCACCGAGGTCACCGCTGAGGGGCCAGGGGTCATCGCTAAGCCAGATGTCGCTGTCGAAGAAGAGGTCGCTGCTGAGCCAGAGGTCTCTTCTCGGTTCAAGGCCACTGTCGAGGAACAGATCCCTGTCGAACCAGAGGTCACTGCTAAATCCCATTAGTAAGTAAATCAAAGCCTTTTGTCGTCTTCGTTGTGAACCCCTAAATCATTGTCAACACTCTGGATTTGTTGTGTAGTCTATCCTGTAGAATAACTCTCAATGCACTTTATTAAAATCTCATTCCCGATCAGCAAGAATACCCTCCTCATTATCACTGCCTTTCCTCCTCCGTGGAACTCCCTCATTCATAAGATTGGGCTGCTTGGGCACAGACACCGAGGCATCACTTGGTCTCCGCCTCCTGACAAGCTGATACCCCCTATCTAACTCAATCTCTACGGCCTCTCGGACCTTCAACGCACTCACGGCAGGCCAAACGCCTCGCTCGCCTTTGAGCGACCACTCCGCAACACGCTCTCTCGTGGGGCTTTGGAACAGTTTTCTGATATCCCAGAAACACAAGTCCGGGACGAGTGTCAGGTTAGGACCCGGAATTGTTTCATCGATGAGTAATCTGTTGAGTGGTGAGGGTAAGAGACCCAGGTAATCCAATTGCCTGAGTCGGTGACGGATTTCCACGATGATGAGCCGCGTAGCTGAGCGAGATAGGTTGTTCCAGCCTGTCTGCCTCCTGTCCAAGAGATTGAGCTCTGATCGCAGGAAGGGAACAAGGTATGGCCGGGCCTGTGAGACAATGAAGTGGTTCACGTTGAAGAGTTCAGAGATCCGAGAAAGAGGCGATTCGCCTTCGTTGTAGTTGACATGTCGCCATGGGCGGAAAATAGCATCTTGCGTATGTGGCCAGGGGACAATAGATCCCATTTCGTCTTTACAGTAGATTGTGACTGGCGAATAAAGGGCCGCAGAAGAGGAGGCATTAGACGCCACAGCAGCAGACCAAATAAGCTTCACACATTAGCAAGATCTCCAAGCTTGACACGCAACCAACGTACCACATTCGGCGCCGTGAGATAGTTCAACAAATTCGGCGTCCCGTTCTTCCCCGTCGTCGCAACAGTGATATTCAAAATGCGCTTCGATCGCGCATACGCCTCCTCGAACGTCAAATCCCCCACATTAGCCCTCACACACTCCTCCAAAACAGCAACATCAAACAGATATCCCTCCCTGAACAACCGTCTCATCCGACGATAAAACGTGCCAAGCCACGAGGAATCCGAATTCCCTTCTACCCCATTAGCCTTCTTCCTCCTCTCAAAGGCAGAAAGATCAATCCCCGCCCCATCAAGCAACGGCAACAACTCATCCTCAGAATGAATCCCCACAAGCGCTGCAATCAAAGCCCCCGCCGCAGTCCCCGTAACAATCCGCGGCAAAAGACCCTGCAAATGCAAAGCCTTCACCACCCCCAAATGACAAAGCCCAAACGCAGATCCACCCTGAAGCAAAAGCGTCGTCCGCCCAAACGCTTGCCGCGTATCATGCAACAACTCAAGTTTCGCCTGAGAGGTAAACCCACTCGCATGCGTAGGCTGAACACCAGTCACGTACTGAATCGACAGCGCAACCTGCGTGATATAATCATCAATAAGCAATTTGGTCCCTGCGTATGCGTGCGTGAATAATTTCGTCGATGTGATATTCCCTAGATTCCGCACTAGTCCTGATCGCAGTAGATTGACGAGCGTGAGAATATCTTCTGATTCCCGTGCGCTCATTAGCGCTTCCAATCGCCCGAGAATCAGTCTGTAGTCATAGTGTCGGCTGACGGGGTTTTGGCGCCTAGCCGGGTTAGTTGTATCTCTGGGAACAGGACCAAAGATCGTACCAGAGGTCTTTACTAAGGAGCTCGTCTAGCTCGAAGGCTGCATCTTCCCATTCTTCGTAGCTTTGCGCATTGGATAATGTGTGGAAGAGCCTGTCTCGGGGCGATTTCGAGTGCCACCACGATACCAGTTTCTGGGTTGTAAGCTGCTGTAGGTCTGTATGGTGTTGGCGTTCTTACATCTCGCCAGAACTCAGTCACGTCTAGGATCATGTTGTAGATTGCGCTCAGGATCGTCCATAGACTGAGCCACTCCATTTTGGGGGTGCGGGAGAAGATGTGGCCCAGATGCACATGCGGACCCTCTTTCACATGCTACGTCACGCGCGAGTTGCCGATCCAAGTGCGTACGAGTAGTAGCGGCGGGTTTAAAATAAGGAGTATTCAAGTTGAAAGAGTTGGATTGTGGAAATAGATGGTTGCATTGGTGGAAAGGTGGAAAGGTAAAGTTGAAAGAGGTGAGGTCAAGGTCAGGTCAGGACCCGAGCTCCCAACTCCCCCGGATCTTCAGTCCCTAGCTGCCGTATACAATCACTCCATCCTACTCTACACAAGATATAGAAAAAGGAATTGAATGGGATTGCCACGGGCGCATTTCTACACATATAGGACATTTTCGCGTAAGGGAATTGAATTTCAAAAGGGTCGTTTTGTTTTTGACATTTCGCTTTGCTTCCCTATATGCAAAAGTAGGCGAAATTAAAGAAACCTCTCCCGGACACCAGAGTCACATTTACTCTTCAATGATGTTGCCCCGCTCCGACACGTACAGACCGTCCAAGAACTAGTACAGTTAGTATAAAATATAGGAAAACTCTGGAACAATTGTATAACTCACCTTACGGATATCCTTGTTGCGAACACGGCAGATCTGCTGGATGTCGGCGGCGCTCTGGGAGACACCCTCGAGGGAGTTACCGGTAAGGATGAGCTCATCCTTAACGTTGGGAGAGGGAACGATCTCGACATCGGGCTGGGCAGTCACGCGGCGGACGTACTTCTCACCGAGGAAGTTACTAGAAAAAAATAAGATTAGTTCGAGTTCGTTTTTCAAAAAATACAATTGCGCGTCGCAAATGTATGTTCCACTAGCATACCGGATCTCAACGGCGGCACGGCCGGTCTCGTGGTTGGGCTCGATGTTGACGTTGATGGGGAAATGGGCGTAGACGTAACGCATCTTGTACTTGAAACCGCGGGTAACACCGATCATCAGGTTGTTGATGATGGTGCGGACAGTGCGGAGAGTAGCAACACCCTTGCGGGCACCGTGGTGCAGCTCGATGGAGATGACATCCTTCTCGGGGCGGCCGAAGGTGACGGCGATGTGGGACAGGTCCTTGACGAGCTTGCCGCGGGGACCCTCGACGGTCACGATGCGGGACTTAATGTGGACCTTCACTGTAGTGGGAAGAGCGGTTAGTTTTTCTGAATAGCAAGGTTGCAATTAAATGCGAATTGAACACCGAATTCGTGAATTTGCGTCGTGAATCGCAAATTCACGAATTCTATTCAAAAGATTTCTGTTGCGAGTCGCCGGTCCCACACAATATTTTTTTTCTTCCTCCTGAGCGTTGTCGTAGACTGGTCATTGGGTGCGGTGGTATTGCTGGGCATCGTGTTGTTGCGTGCGAGGCTTTATTGTGCGTTCATCGTGATCCAATATTGTGTGCGACCGGGTCTCCAGAATTCCAACGAGAACAAGAAAAGAGAGGTTTCTCACCATTGTCCAGAATGGGCAACCGTTCCTCGGAGTGAATGTACCGCATCTTGACGTGACTGTTGGTGTTAGCCGGGGGTGTGGTTGTCGATGTCGGGGAGGTTCAAAAATCGGAATGAGCAAGTGGAGGAGCGAAATTGAAGTCACGGGATTGTGCGTCGCTTAGGGCCACTTTGGGCTCACCGCCCTTGATTAGGGCTCTTTATCTCCTTATCGTCCTATCATGACGGGTACCGGTACCTACAACATCACAATTTTATTACTGTGTTACAGGTACCTGTACTTGCAGAATTAACACCCTGCTCATTCTTCTGCCTGTTGGCATGTCTGTTCTGAAGGATTTCATTTTATGTACAACCCCTTCCATCGGCCTGTTGCCCACGGAAGATTTTTTCTAATCTGTTCTAAATACACTAATCCTGACTAACTCACAGCCCCTTCTCGACTTCCAGATGTTCAACATCCACGATCCACTTCCCACCCAGTGATTTCAGCGTCGAAGCCAGCTCGTCGCTTTGTTCCAAAGCCGCAACATCATCTCCCCCACCAATACTCTTCCCACTCACCAGCACATTCGGCACAGTGCGACGTCCCGTCTTCTGACCCAGCAAAGCCTGCAAATACGGACCAAGCGGGTGTTGATCCAATTCCACCACGAAAGGCTTGGGCTGGATAGCGTAGTGCTCCAGCAAAATCGTCTTGGCTCTCTTGCTGTGCGGGCAGTAGGATTTGGAAAAGATGATAACTGTCATGTGTGTTAGCGCCTCTTTCGTAGTGTCTTTCGTGGTGCCAGGATCCATCATACCAGGAGCTCTCTTGAGAATATCATTCAACTCGCTCTTGGCATCAGCTTCTTTCTGTTCCTTGATTTCGCGCTCCTTGTCTTCTTCACTCTGAGCGCTTTCGCCTCCTTCCTTCACTTCTGTCCCTTTCTTTGGAACGGTCATCTTCGTCCGTCCTGCGATGGGGATCTCCTCGGTTTCGTCGTTTGCGGGCGGAATAGCGACTTTCGGCGCCGGGGCGTCGTGGGTTCCATCTCCGGCTCCGTTTCCAGCTACAGCTCCAGCGCCAGCGCCAGTCCCAGCCCCCGACCCTCCTGGTGCGTGCATAGCATTCTGAATCTTCTCTTGTGTCTTGGCGTGATTTGCCTCCTTGGCTTTCATGGCATCGACCGTTGATCGATAGAACTTTTGGTTTTGGATTTTGCTGGCTTCGCCCTGGACTGTGTTAGATGTAAATGGTCTGAGGTTCCAAGGTTGGATGACGCACGGAGTAGTAGAATGTCAGGAACAGGATCGTAATCACTGCCACGACTGCCAGTCGTAGTCGCCGTTGAGAAGGCATTGTGAGCTTGTGTGCAGGTGTAAATTCTTCCAATGTTCCAATGTTCCGCGGTTGCACTTGAGCAGGGAAGACTGGTTGAAGTTGCAGAGTCGGGAGCACACGCGACAAGGTGATGGGGTCTGCCAAGAAATCGGTCCGTTGCTTGTGCGGCTCTACTTAAGCAATGAGACAACCGTCAATATACGACCTGTTCGAAATTGATCACAATTCCATTATGCTGTGAACTTGGAAGCTGTAAGAAAGGCCAACAGGAGAAGTGGGGTGTAGGGACCACTTGAGCAGGATCCCTGTGCCTTGTAAAGTTTGGTCTGAGCGCTCTTGGCAGATATATATCTCTCGGGGATGCATTGACACTCGCGGATAGTATGACATCCCTTCTAAAGTTTGGATAATGCGAAACCCTTAGTGCCTGACTTTAGCCTGGCTCTAGTATTAATGCCCTTTGTAGTAAACATCAATAGTGCTATTAGTCATTCTGCCAAATTTCCTATAGATCATTAACGTAAAGAAGTATTAAGCTTGACCGGGTAAATAAGGTTGGTTTTTAGAAAATGCAGTAGTACTAAGTAGGCTTTTTAGACTATGAGTTCTTATATTAGTTATAGAAAGAGGAGTAGAAAGAGGCATAGAAAATGCAATAAGAAAAGAAAATGTTTAGAGGAAGAGGTACTTAAGTATTCAGGAAGAAATCATAGTCGAATCAGGCCAAAATCAGGCACCAGGTCATTTCATCCGCGGTGTGGACCTCGGGATGCATCATTCCCCTATCTCTACTGTAGACTATTTAGGTACGAACTAGCTCTGCTTAAGAATGATTCATTCGAATTGAATAAACTGAAGTATCCATAGACATTAATTGACAATTAAAAGATTAAGTACACACTGGGTATTATGCAAAAGCAAACAAAATCATTTGTTCAGACGAAACCCAAGTCAACAGGGAAACCATTAGGCTTAAGACATGTTAGTAAGTAACAGTAGGGAAACCAGAGCGCAAGCCAGTTGCACTCAAAAAAAAAGAGGGTAGAGATTAGGAGCCACCAGGGCTTCAAGTCTGGATGGATAATCCAGGTCTTGCATGATTAGTACGTCGTTTCCCTTGAACGAGAATCGTCCAATCCTCCCACTCCCGAGCAATTTCAGTCAACACACTGCCCATGACACCAGCTGAGGCCATAAGGCCATGACCCTCGCCTTCGAGGATGCGCACTTCACATCTTCGCATGGTTTTGCCGAGCCATTGGACGTTTTCAACTGGGACTCGGGGGTCTTTGCGACCGTGGTGGATCACTACTGATCGGGTGATGTCCACATAGCGGAAGCCGATTGTTTGACGGCGCTCCAGACAGATGAGCAGGTCGACGGAGGGATTGGCGTTTGTGGTTGCGCGTTCCCAGATTTTGTATGTTAGGCGAGTGTCGTAGTCGCGTTTGCGCTCGATTTCTTCTTCTGAGGACTTGGCGCGCAATGCGAGGGTTGTGTCGCTTTTGTGGTGCGTGGTTACCACCGAGGATTTGATGTCGGACATGGTTTCCTCTCGGTTGAAGTTTGTCTCGATGGGAGGGATGTGTGGGACGATTGGGTTGGCGACTTCTTTGGCTTCTTTCGCTGCCTTGCGCTTGGATCGACGCGGAGACTTGGGAAGGCTGGCTGTGATACTGGCGCTGGTTGCAGTCATGAAGCTTGAGTTGGCCACTTTAAGGAGTGAGGTGGGCAGGGCACGGAGGATCTTTTGAGTATAGGGGACGGCGTTGGTAGGTGCAGGGTCTTTCTGGGAGCCGAGTGTGGATAGCTGGGATGGCGGGATCCATGGAGCTAGGAGGTGGATGCGGCCGCGGATATGCTGGGGGATGCGAAGGGCCGTTGCGAGAGCGTAGATTGCTCCGGCGGAGTGGGCGAGGATAGAGAATTTGGTGACGCGCAGGTGGTTGCATACAATGGCAACATCATCTGGCCAGCTGAGAGGGGTGGTGGGCTCGTCATTTTGATGCGGGCCGCTCTCGCCAACTCCGGGGCGATCCAATGTCACCAAGCGTAGATTCAGGGTCCGGGCCAATTCATCGTAGAACGCCATGAGATACCGGGTGAGGCCCATGCCAACACAACAAAGCACGACATGGCCTTTGGGGTCACCAACTTCGGAGAACGCAATGGAGCGACCACTGGTAGGATGGATCACCCGCTGGGTCAATTTCGGAGAGAACATGTAGTCATCCACCGCAAGATCAATCGAATCGGCACTGGATGGTCGTTCGGTATTGAACGAGTGACGCCCATTAGACACATGCGACACGTGCGATAGATGACCAGAAGGAGTACGACGATGAGTTGGGGCGACGGGCTCGAGAGATCGTCTGTATCGAGCCCTCTCAGACTCTGGTCTCTCCCCGGACATTTTCGACAACAATGGTGGCAAGTTGGTGGACTTCGATGAGATGGGTGGACCTGGCCGACCTCCGCGATTCTTGCCTGTCATCACAGCTGGTGACGGGGCACTTTCATCCAGTGGGGGGCATTCGCCGGGGCCATCATGGATCGTGGCTTGGTTGACATCGTGACCTAGTACGCGTGACGCCTTTGAGACCTTGGGTTTCACCAACTTCACTGGTGTGGTCTTGGCCGAGCTTTCAGGGCTGTTGTCAACCTCCAACTCAGTCTTAATTTTCTGCTGCTGGTCTTTCAATTCTTGAATCCGCTTTGTTACCTGCTCGGCATCGTTGCTGGTTCCGGGCAACCCGTTCGCCGCCGAAGATTCCTTGCTTGCTGTCGAGGGATATCTACTGTGACGAGTGGATCGGTGCTTTCTCGAACCTGACGATTGACTATGTCGATGCCGCACCGATGAGTCCCGGGTGGGGATGATTCTCCCACTGCCGATCCCACCGGGGCTCCCAGCATCCGGAGTGTGAAGCGATTGCAGGTCATGGGATGGTGGGGTGCTAGCCCTTTCCTCGAAGAGATCTTCCCGGAGACCCGAGGGGCGCGACTCCTCCTTTACTTCGGCCATGGAATGCAATGAGCGCAAACTCGCTCGGCTGCGCGGCATATGTCGCAGCCCGTCGTTGTGGCTGATCGTCCGCCGCAGACGCTCTATTTGCGGATCTCTCTCACTCGAAAACTCGCGCGACGAGGACTTCTTCAACAATCCAAATTGGCCCTTCAGGCTCCGTGCTCGACCCGTTGACCCCGTGGATGCGATACTCGGCGCGATTGACGGGCGCGGACCGGGTTCTGTGGTGATGGTTCCGAACGATGTTTCCTCCGGACCTATCGTCGAGGCGAACGAGTCCCTGGAGGCAGGACGCGTTGAGTCTGATTTGAAAGGCCTAAATCTTGGAGATCGAGGAGACTTTGGTGACGGGGGCGCCCTGGCCATGCGAATGACAGGCGACGATGCTGCATCATCAGGGTGCAAGAATGGGGCGGGTGGTTCGGGGGTCTCCGTGGTTGGTTTATATGCACCGTAGCTCATGCCAAACCCATGTTGTTCGGACGGGGGGATGGTATAGACCGGGGCGGTATGGGGTACTTCAGGCAAGCCCGGGTCTGAATCTGAGTCGATCTTGGGAACGGTATCGAAATGGGAGTTCAAGGGCACTGAAATAGCGGACAGGGAGGAAATGAGCGAGGAAATGACTTCGGGGGAAGTTGGATCGTTGCGCGAGGGCATTGATTTACGGCGGCGTCGGCGACTCAGTAGGGCGGACTCGGCTTGCACCGCCGGGTTCTCGTTCAAACGCATCTTGTTCACTCTAGGGGCGGCTCTCCCAAACAACCTTTGAACAGGTCTCAGGGCGCATGATCTACTTGCCAATGATCCTACCCCTTACAGGATCACGAGTACTGCGCTGTACTCCGTATATTGTAGATCGTAGATCGAGAGAGAGGCCTAGAAGTCCAAACGGATAACACCCGTGGACGAGCTGAAGAGATAGCTAGAGAGATAAAAAAGAAAATAAAAGCAAAAAGAGAGAAAGGGTCGATCCGATCGAGGGGTATGTCTTATTTTTCTTGATGAACGAGTAGGAGACTCCACTGACATGGATCTTAATTTCCCGCTTTTTCCACTTCCCGTGCGATCCATATGCAGACTCCATATGGCGACCTGCGCTGCGACACTTAGCGCTGAGCTGCATATGCCTAGTATCTGTACTTTGTCTTGTTGATATATCCTCCGCCTCCACTCAATATACACCGTACACTTGACCTGTCAGGGTTTCAGATGAGAGACTCCACGTGGAAATGCCAAATACATACTAGTTCTATTAAGTAAAAGTTGTTCCAGTTTCATCTTAGGCCCCTTTCTGTGGTGGGTTCGGTATGAGGATCGGCAACCTCATATTCAAGATCACGGAGCTTTTGCGTTGGAATTGATCTACTCGTAGGTATAAAGAGGTATGAAGAATAGAGAACGGGGAAGCCTGGACAAAATATGAATCAAATACTTAAGTATAAATGAATTTTGTTAAGCCCATACGCAGGGGAGCACATATATATATTGGCTTACCCGGAACTATAGACGATAACCATCCCAGCAACTTGGACCTGGGAACACCTGGGCATACAACTGAACAATTATGACCTGGAATATTTCTTAAGTGTTTGACATAATCAACATCAATATACAGATCGAGTCAAAATAGACAGTTCACATCTATTATCTGTACTTCTCAAGGGCACAGTAGGAAACACCCGTGGACCCGTGGACGTCGATACGAACACGAGGTATAGCGATAAGCTTATCGTAGTCCCTTGACCGCCTTGGCAGTATGATTGCCAACCTGCCCAAACACCCAACTACAGAAGCCTATTGTTCTAAACCTTGGAAGTTGACTGCCATCTCTTTGCCTGAACTTGTGCACGTGGATATCCTTACAGTCAAAAGTCATTGAGCTATGCGGTGACCGCATCGCAAACTACCCATTGCCCGCAATGGACGCCTACCCCGAGGACTATGTCAACCACAACCTGCCTCTAGTCCTACTCTCCGGATTAGAGGCAGATGATACTGCGGCAGTCACTTCAGATTACCCTCTTATAGCCGAAAAAGGAATCCATATCTTCTCAGACTTCCCCCCTCTAACTGGAGGGGTCGCCGAGGAGCTGCGGAGCTTGTTCCTCCAAGAAGATGGCACCCACATGCCATGGAAGTCCAGAATCAACGTCAGCGGAAATACCGCAACCGCCAATATCGCGTATCGGATCAAAAGCTCGGGCCGGGTAGGTTGATACTTTGCGACGGAGATTGGTTCTGCCAGCATCACGAACATCTCTAACGATCTACGTAACAGTCATGCAGACTCCCACCTCGAAAAGCGGACCCTCCCATCCCCTCACCTCCAGCGAGCCCAGGCGATCCAGACAAAGGGCCCTCCGATCCAACTACTCACTATGTCTTACACTCTCCCATATCTCCATTGACCCCGGGCTCCCCGACCTTCCCAGATGGATTGCTTACCCCTCTATGGGCTACCAAACACCAGGACTTGGTACCGGCAGCGGTGCTCAACTTCTTCCCCTTCTCGCTGGACCCGAATATGAACTCTCTCCGAGATAACCAGCTTAAAATCGAGATCAACAGCCTGAAGAAAGAATGGCAATCATCCGGATACAAGACGCGATTCGTGGTGGTTCTGATCTCGGAAGACGGAGAAGACGGCGGGTACGAGGGCGAGATCGATGATCGGATTGCAGGCATCCGACGAGCAACGAACCTTGACCCTAAATCCATCTTTGTGATCCCACCCGACGCGACTTCATCGGAACTACAAGACTTCGTCAAATCATTGTTCTCACTCCTGCAACCGTTGGTTGTCGAGTATTACCGGGATCTGTCCAAACATGCCAGGCGCAAAAGGAACAGAGGAAACATCCCCCCGCCGACAGCACCGCCAACCACGGGGACGTCTCAGACTTTATCATCGCAAGGGTGGAACGTGCGGTACGAATTTAAACTTGGTGTTTTCGCCGAGTTCCGCCAAGAGATGGACGCAGCATGTCGCAACTATGAGAGTGCATACGACACTCTGTTTGGACACGAGGTGTTTGAGATAATTGCCGGGTGGAACCCACGGTTCAACGATGCACGTCTTCTAGCCGACGCTCTCGCGATTAGAATCATGCGATGTCTTCTGTGGGCGGGCCAGACCACTGCTGCAGCGCGGCTCTGGGCAGACCACAGAATCCGTGTACGCGACATCGTCAATCGCAGGGGCAAGGGCAGCAAGCACTATGGCTGGGAGGCATGGGAGGCGGGATGGTCGATGGTCATGGCTCAACTCATCCGCCGAGCAGAAATCCCATCAATTTCCACCGAAGGCTCTGCCGAAGATCAAAGGGAGCTATACACGCTACCTGAAAAGTCTATCCCCACTGGGGAGCGTGTCAAGCCTTGGGAGCATCTTCATCACGAGGGATACTGGCTACATCGCTCAGCAAAACACACCATGATTCGACGGGCACTTGCTAACGAGATACCCGCCGAAGACCGCATGCCACCCAAGCAATCACCCACATCGCAACTGGCCAACAAATCCCACCTGTATGATACATACCTTGTCCCTGACACTCATGACGAAGCACCACAAGAAGGTCGAACTGGTTTCGATCATTCTACTTTGATTTTGAGTACTCTGAAAGCTGCTATTGTGGAATTCGAGAAACGTCATCAGACACGGAAAGTTGAGAGCCTGAGTCTTGAGGCGGCCGAGGAATATATGCGTGTTGGCGCGTGGGCTGAGGCGCATGCCATTCTTAAACCGATTTGGCCGACGCTTAGTTGGCGTAGATCTGGGTGGTGGCATTTGATGCTTAACTTTGGATGGGCTCTCAGGGAATGTTCTCTCAGGGTGCAAGATAGCGAGACTGTTTTGCGCGTGGACTGGGAACTCCTTAATAAGAGTAAGTGGCTTGACTTGGACATTTGTCCTCCCTAATGCTAACGTTCGATAGCTTTTAAACCACGGCCTGGCTGGCACTACGACATTCACAGGAGTCTTGAGGGCCTACCTTCCGAAAAACCAAAGCCTTCTCTTATTCTGCGCGCAGAGGATGTTATGACGAGCTGTAAGTGAAGCCTCTACCATAAAAATTCAATTTACTAACCTGTCATTAGTGAACGCGTCCTTGGTCTTTGAGAAATCAAATGGCAATGTTGGCGAGCCACTACAGGCTCAACTTGCCATCACTTCTTCTGCCAACATGACTTCGGCTCCAATCCGCCTGTGTGAGGTCAAACTAGTGTTTGAGGGATGTCTCCGACCGGTCAAACTTCGATCTGACCACAACAAAGACGCAGACATCGCTACCTCCTGCTGTCTTTCGACCATTCCTCTGCGTGAGCCGAGCAGCCCAGTCGATGGCGCGCTCCAATCTCCCACTGGCGCACTGGCCACTTTGGTCGGGATAGCAGACCTTACATTGGGGCCCTCCCAAACCAAGGTTTTCAACCTGACCTGCATTCCCCGCGAAGCTGGTGAAGCCCGGGTGGCTTCGATCACCATGCTGATCGAGGAAGAGCAATTCGATCTTGGCTATGCAATCACAGAACCCGAACAGCGCGAGTCGTTCTGGTGGCAAGAATCACAGAAGGGCATTTCTCGTAGAAGGGTCGGAAAAGATCGCGATACTGGCAGGTGCAAGGTCATGCCAAAGCCCCCTAAAATCCGTCTTTCGACCCCGAATTTGAAGGAAACTTACTACAACAATGAACGCGTGACTCTGCAAATCGGCGTCCACAATGATGAAGACGAAGCTGCCGAAGTGACCACTGAAATCAGACTATTTGGTCCTGAACCCACTGCCCAAATTCATTGGCTCGATGGTCTTGACGCTGAACCGCTCGACTCGGGTGTTAGCACGCCGACCGAGGGACCATCACATTTCTTGAAGCGATCGATAGGAGTCATGGAGCGCGCCTCTGAGAAGACTCTGGAAATTATACTTGACAACACTGAGGAATCGACTGAGTTCACATTGGAGGTCTCCGCAGTATATCATTTGGTGTCTGATATACAGACTCCGATAATGAAGAACATTACCGTGGAAATGGCTTTCATTCGACCCTTTGAAGCAAACTACGAATTCCTCCCAGCCATTCACCCTCAGCCATGGCCTAATTTCTTCGCCGTCGACGAGGCCTTGCTCGATGGATCTACACCGGGAGGCTTGTTCCAAAGATGGTCTCTCAATTCGAAAGTTGTTTCGTTTGCACTGGAGCCTTTAATTATCGACAATATGTCATTAGTCCTCCTCGAAGCCAACGGAGGTGCTATCTGCAATGTCGGTCCGGAAGAGCTTGTCAGCCCAGAAACATCCCTCCTGTCGCCGGAAGAGCTGAGGGAATCAAACTTCTCCCTCGATGTCCAGAAAGCACTGCTCGGCGATCGTCGACCAACAGCACTCAGTTGCGCACTGGAAATCAACTGGCACCGCCAAGCCGAGTCCGCCGATAACACCACTACCACCATTCTTGACATCCCCCGCTTTGTCGCACCTATGGGTGAGCCCCGCGTCCTTGCTTCGGCAACTGCATCTACAACCATGGCCGGGCTTGTTCACATGGAATACGTGATCGAGAACTCATCCACTCACTTCCTCACGTTCAACTTGCTCATGGAAGCTAGCGAACATTTCGCTTTCAGCGGTCCCAAGACGACGGCTGTGCAGGTCATGCCACTGAGTCGACACACCGTGCAGTATAACCTCTTTGCCGCAAAGCGCGGCCTGTGGATCCAACCACAGCTGGTGGTTATCGATACCTATTTCAACAAGAACCTGCGCGTTCTTCCAACGGGCGACATGCGATCTGACAAGAAGGGGGTGTTGGTCTGGATTGATGCAGAAGATTGATATCCCATGTAAATAAAATGAACAAGAACGAGTAGATTCAAACCGAAAACGAAGCCAATTGTATACGCGGTCACGTGTAGCCCTTATCGTGTTCCAAATCCGGACTAGCGGCGATCTCGGCCTTCCGTCTTGCCGTCAGAGAGCTTCGTCTCTAAGCCATTCCAGCTTTCCCTCACGAACCTGCCTGTCTCAGTCTTGAACGGAACAGAGCTAAGATCATATCATATCCACAATATCGCTTCCCCCCCGGGAACACTCCCCCTCCCGCCTATTCCATTAACCCCTCCAACGCGCCGTTTTCCCGACAGTTGAACCGAAACCATGGCGGCGCAAGCGGCGTTAATCGCCGATACAATCACAGGCATGAAGCGGGCGTTGCGCAGAGAGCGTGAGGGTATGCAAACCCATTCCAGACATGTCATATAACCTGAAAGTTCCGTGTTGACGCTTTTACAGACAACGGCCCAGACGATCCGATCATGGCGCCTACGAACCGGGGTACCAAAATGCACGCCAATGCTAAGTTTGTGAGCGAGGGCGCGCTCGGATATATCAATGGCGAGAATTTCTATAAACAGGTATGTTGGTGACGACGTCGGAGTCAGTACGAAATTTGAAGGCTGATGGTTGTTGTGATTTAGAAAATTGAACATGCAGGTTACACGCGGCATATTCTGCAGCAGAATCCGACTCGCTATGATTCTGAAGGCGACGAGCTTGATGAGGAGGATGAAGATTCAGAGGCTGATGTCGCGGCCGCGGAAGAGAACCCGTTTTCTGGGATTGCGCTCGAGAGTAAGAATGCTTCTTGTTTCTATGATATCCGTTTATTGACGTGCTTTCAGCTCTTCTGTGTCCCCTGAAACATCCCTCGGAACTCCCTACGCACCCGTCCATGTCCCAACCGTACACTTCGCAAGCTCTGGAGCAGATGACTCAAGCGGTTGATTTGAAGCTTCGCCAGGAGCGGGCTTTGCTTTGGCGCGCGAGGAACCTACACAGGCAATTCCTTGGGGATGGTGGGTGGATGCCATGTAGTGTGATGGAGACACCTGATGACCGCTGGATCTTCGAGCCCAGGATTATGGGCAATGACCCAAGTGCAGCTGGCCAGAATGGACCCAGTCGGCCTATCACTCCTTATCCTACGGAAACCAGTGCTCCGCAGGATATTGCACAACAGTCTTCAGAAAATAGGGCCCAGGATGAGGCTCAACCACAGTCAACGAATGACGTGGAGATGGCCGAGGCACCAGAGACAGAAGCTAACAAGCCTGACCCGCAACTAAAATCAGAAGAGACTGATGCGATGGTCAAGGATCTGCCACCTCACAACGATCTACAGGAAAATGATCAAGCAGAGGCCGATAACGAAAACCAAGACATGGGCACGCCCAAAGACGACGAGCCCGAAGACGGAGAAGACCAAGAAATGCATGACGATTCATCACCAGAGCCCCTTCGACGAATGACAACTCGCGCCCAAGCCAACGCCGACACTGACGGATCTCCCGTCTCCTCTGCCGGCTCGACATCAACCCTCCCCACCCCACATCCTCTCTTCCTAGTCCCGGAAAACGTTCGCCCAGACGCGAACTTCGGCTTACCTCCCGCCGAAGCCGAAGAAACGCGCCGACTGCTTTGGTCATACATCCAGAAACAAGAAGAGACAGTGCGTGGTTTCGAACACATGCTGGATTCACTGATCAAGTCTGCACGAATGAAATCTGACGTGCTGGAATGGTGTAAAGCCGAAGGCCATGTTGGAGAGATGAGTGATGGCGAGGATTGGTATGACCGTGAAAAGTGGGGACTTGCCGACGGGGAAGATCTCAAGAAAGGAACCGACGAAGACGAAATTGAGACCGTTGACGAAAGCCGAACGCAGGCCAAGAGAGGGAGAGGCAGACGGCAATAGACTTGATTTGATTATTTGTCCTCAGCGTGATGCAATTCGTTTATACCCTCATAATTCATATGACTTCCTCGGCATCACAATTAGACTCAATTTTCGAGATTACCCTATTTGGCATGCTTTGCGGCTCATCTCTTCTATCTCCGATTCTGATATCTACCCGACTTGGACTCGGATCTTCGAGGCCGAGGTTGGACAATGGTATAAAGAACGAACACCCAACTACACAAAAAACCCAGACACACACACACCATGGCACATCTAAACCGCATCAACGTCCAAATCCCAACCACCCAATCCCCCCTAATCAGCTGGCTATACCCCGTCCCAAAATCACAATCCATAATAATCCTCGCCCACGGTCTAGGCGCAACCAAAGAACTCAAACTCTCAAGCTACGCATCCTCATTCCAAAAAGCCGGCTACACCAGCCTCGTCTTTGACTACCGCTGCAACGGCGAGACAGCAGGCCAGCCCCGCGGACTTGTAGACTGGGACATGCAACAAGAAGATTGGAGATCAGCCATTGCATACGCACGAGAATTAAAAGGCATTGATCCGGATTGTGTGGCGTTGTTCGGAACATCGTTTAGCGGTGGCCATGTCATTCAACTTGCTGCAGAGGATGCTCGGATTCGGGCTGTCATTTCTCAGTGTCCATTTACGGATGGGGTGAGGAGTTCGATGACCGTTGGGCTTAGGGCTTTGCCTGGGCTGGTTTGGGCAGGGATTTGGGATAAGATGTTTGGGAATACGGTTGTTAAGCTTGTTGGGGCGCCTGGGGATGGTATGTTTGAGGTTTCTTGTTTTGTGATACTCAATGCTAATGGTGTTAGTTGCGTTGATGAATGCACCAGATGTATTGGGGACTTTTCCTCCGCTTATTCCTGACGGATATGCTTTTCAGGATGAGATTCCTGCTCGATTGGTTTTGAGATTTCCGTTCTTGAGACCTGGGATGTATGCGTCGAAGGTGCAGTGTCCTATTTTCTTTGGAGTCTGTGGAACGGACTCTGTTGCGCCGGCTGGTCCGACGCTTTCTTATGCGAAGACTGCGCCGAAGGGAGTTGTTCGGTTGTATGATGGTGTGGGCCATTTTGAGATTTATTATGGTGATGCTTTTGACAAAGCTATTGTGCATTATTTGGAGTTCTTGCGAGATAATCTCCCGGTTGGTACTGGAGAGAAGCATTGACCGATGTTAAGTGATTGATTGGTATAGAAGGGCCTGGATAGATTCGACATAGCAAGATTCAATGAATTCGACTTTGTAAGATTCAATAGATTCGACATAACAAGATTCAGTGGATTCGCAAAGTTCAATGGATTCCACATACATAGTAAATTCGGTGGATTCGATATAGTAAGATTCGATGGATTCGACATAGCAAGTTCAATAATATCTCAAGGTAAATTAACACCTTTTTATTCAGATTACCCAGACCACCTAATCAACTAATTCTAAAACCAGTCGTATAGTATTCAGGATAAGTAGCTATAATGGCGAAACCAGCAAGCTTCAAAGGCCCACGGGTAAGAACGGTGATAATTACATCTTATACAATTCTGTATGACCGAAAAAGCCAATTTGGTAAATTTGGTAAATTTGCGGAATTCTGATTACGGCAAACTGCGTTGTGGCCTCATGGCGGCTATAGGCTGCCGTACCCCAACATTCGAACTTCTGCGCTTTCCCCTCTACTTTCCCCACGACTTTCCCCTCTGCTCTGCTTTCCCCTCTTCTCATTCTTCCCAGTCCATCTTGCTCTAAGCTTCGCCATGGCTTCTCTTACAGATTTCATTGATTTTTCCTCCAAGCCTCTGCTATGTAAGTCCATCTGTTCGCATCAGCAATTTGCATGTGATTGACTGAGCTCAGGGTCTGCCGCGACAATCGCCTTTAACCCGGTTTTCTGGAAGTAAGTACCAATATTCAAACTAGCCCAGGCATCATATTTGTCTGATCGCAAGCTAATTTGACTGCTATTTAGCATCGTGGCGCGCACTGGTGAGCAAACTTTCGAGGGTGCCGTACCCAACCTAGCTAACAACAACAGAGTACCGCAACCACTTCTTGACCCGCATCTTCGGGGGTGCTTACAATGGCTGCTATGCTCTTGCATTCACGATTTTCTCCCTCGGGATCTTTCGTGACCACGTGTACCAGCTGGCCCTGGCAGACCAGCCCTTCTACGCCCCGGTGTATCAGCCGGTCATCGGTGGCATTCTGTTCACTATCGGCTCTGTCCTGGTACTTTCTAGCATGTGGGCCCTTGGTGTGACCGGAACATACCTGGGTGACTACTTCGGTATCCTCATGGACGCTCCTGTCACCGGCTTCCCCTTCAACGTGACTGGCTCGCCAATGTACTGGGGCAGCACCCTGAACTTCCTCGGAGTCGCTCTGTACCACGGCAAAGTCGCTGGAATTCTCTTGACTGCCCAGGTCTTTGTGTTCTACTGGTTCGCTCTTGGCTGGGAGGAGTAAGTCTGCGTCCGATAAACACCAGAACTGAACTGACTGTCTCCAGCCCATTCACCGCTGAGATCTACGCCAAGCGTGAGCGCCAGCGCGCCAAGAAGCAATAAGTGGCTTGCACTTATACCGGGGTTGTTTGAGACTTTCAACATCCACACTCCGCGCACGACCCAACGAGGCCGCAAGGTCGGGCCACTCAAGCCAGCTTGAGACCCAGATGTGGAGCTCCTCCACAAGCTTCCAGCACACCGACTTATCCGGATCTTCAACGATGCTGGAGCTGTAAACGATAGACATCACTTGTTCCCGACAAGACCCACTATGATTACCCTACGCGACCACAAAGACAATCGAACCCATCGCGACAAACCCCGTTGTACACCTACAGTAAACTTGCTCTGAATGGCTGATATGCACGAGGCTTTGGGATCGTTCGCCTGCTCAATGGCGAATGGAGACATGTCTGTTGCTAAATACTGTACCAGTAAACACTTAATCAACCTTTACCTCACATTGGGAATATGGGCTTTTTGGCTTGACCTAGGTCATGTAAACAAGTCTAAAGTTGTCTACTCTGTATTCAATCTTCGTGCAGATGAGTTCTTAACAGTCCCTGTAGCTCTGGTCTGAAGTGTCGAAATCTATTGAACCAGTACCACTCAGGATGAACTGGACCACTATCCAGGCCCTTCTATCCCAATCAATCACTTAACATCGGTCAATGCTTCTCTCCAGTACCAACCGGGAGAGTATCTCGCAAGAACTCCAAACAATGTACAATAGTATGTCGAATCCATTGAATTTTGCGAATCCACCGAATCTTGTTATGTCGAATCTGTCCGAGTGGACCGTCGCTGTGCTTACGTTAGGGGTTGAATATAATACACTTGGTGGTTCGGACAGGTATAGAAAAAAGACGAATTAATAATCCTCGTACGAAGCCCGAAATTACGCGAAGAAGGTGAGCAAGGCGGTGAACCTTCAATATGGAAAAATACGTTGTGCCTCATGACGGCTATGTACTGCCGTAGTTGGGGGATCAACAGGCTTAAGTAAACAGGTGACGTGGGTCACGGGATTCGGTGTTTTCGCAACTTGCGCTTTGGGAGCTTTGAAGCTTTTTGCGATTTCAAATTACTCTCGAGTTTCTTTGCCTTATTCGACACCGCCCTCTCGAGACCACTGTATACAGACGACCGCTTGCCTGACCGTATGCCGAGGTGTTGGCTCCCAAGCGTTCGGGAGTGATCGGTATGAGCCGTGGAGCTCTCATAAGAGTGCGGGGAGAATGGCCCTTCGTCGTCGCGATCTAGCGTTAGCCGGCGTCGCTGCGTTCATTGCCTGGGGCTTGTTGGTGCGCGAACTACCGATCCTCCGCTACCTAGGATATGCCGTGACGCTGGGCGTCGTGCTGTCTTCAGTGGGTTTACTGGGGCTTGTCACACTGACAATTCGACGCCCAAATGAGGTTCCAAATACCAAGAAGGTCTCGGTGGCTTTCATCAAACCCGATCACTGGCACAAGGAGGTTCTCAATGTACGACGGAGTACTCGATACCGGGCACGACCCCTCTATCCAGAGTCCTTTGTTGTCTCGGAGGGCATTGACGAACTTCTTTCATTCATAGTACGCGACTTTGTTTCCTCCTGGTACCACAACATCAGTCCGAGTCCGATATTTGCCAATGAAGTTGACCGGACAATCCGTGTTGCTCTCGACAATCTACGCGACAGGTTGCTTGCAGAGGACATGATCTCGCTGGTGGTATCAAGAATAATTCCAATTGTGACCACGCATCTCAAAGAATTTGACATAGCAGAGCGATTGGTACGGGGGCGCAACTTGAATCGCAACGTGACCGAGCCCGGCGAGCTGGACTTGGCAATCGCAAAGAAGTACCGCGATGGCAGATTACATCCTGCTGTTGCGTTGTCCGTGTCCGACCAGAAAAGCGTTCAGCAGGAGTATTTGCGCAAGCTGGCGGTTGGCCTTTTACCACAATTGTTTCCAGAGAGTGTTTTGAATAGCCGGATTGTGTCGGTCTTGATCCGTGAGATCATTTCATGTGCCGTGCTTCTCCCGATTGTCACCGCATTGTCTGATCCGGATACATGGAATCAGTCTGTGGAGGCCTACGGCCGCACAGCTCTGCAGGACAGGAAAACCGTGCGCAAATTGCGCGCCGCATTGGATGAGCATGCATCGCCAGCACCCAAGTCCAAACGAGGGCATCCATTCCCGCGACTATCGGTTACTGATTCGGAGCGAGCCTTTGAGCGGTTTGTCCGGGCGATCAGGAAATGCAACAATCTCTCTGATGCGCGTCGATTCCGTGCCTTGGTTTCCAGTCAATTGAAGCAAGAGAGTACCGTTGAAGGCCAAGATCAGGTCTACTTGCGGCGATTGGAAACGGGCAAAAGAGTCCTGGACCAGAAGGTGGCCAACCTCTCCAAAACTGGCGATGATTCCATTGTACCTCCATCTCTAGACCTTCGACCCGACAACATTGGACCTACGGTGCGCGAAACTTCATTGGTGGAAGTTATGCACAGTGCTTCTGGATTATCTTATTTCATGGAGTTCATGGATCGCCAAAAGCTGATGTCGCTAGTCCAATTCTGGATTGTGGTGGATGGATTCCGCAATCCACTAGAAGACGACTTCGGCGACGAGGCAGACTCCGCATCAATCACATGGAAACCAGCAGATAGGAACGATATTGCCCTTATCAGCGAGACATATATGGCCAAGTCTGAGTTGAAGGTCTCCGACGACTCTCGTCGAGCAATCAAGACGTTTTTGAGTGCCGGGAAGCGGGCAACCCCAGAGCAGTATCGCAAGGCGCGGACAGTTGTTTTGAGCACTCAGTCCGCCGTTCTGGAGCATTTGCAAGAGGCATACTATCCCAAGTTCAAAGAATCGGATCTTTACTGGAAGTACCTTGCGTCTGACGAAGCGTCCGCAAATAACCAAGCCTCATCCCGCCAATCATCTCCAATATCGGCCACTTTTGAGCCCATGGAGAGAAAACCTCTGCCGCCTTTGCTTTCACGCACATCCTCTCAGCCCGGCCTCCGGGCATCCAAAGATATTCGAAGAGCTGCAGTATCTTCGACTGATGTCCGAGCCATGGGCAAACTTTTTGATGACGATGACCCTCCGCGACGATCCATAGATTCAGAGCGATCTGGTCTTTTTGACGACGATTACGACACAGACAATTTAGCAACGTCAACTCATAGCCTAGGAAAGAATTCCCAGAATGGCGAAAATGATGTCAGCCAAAGTCAAGTCCTCGAAACCATGGAGGCAGCACTTAACGACATCATTACTGGTGAGCCCAAGAATGGCAAATTGGAAGATACCAAAGGGGAGACTTCAGGGCTATTTGGACCCGAGCGACCTGTTCTTGCGCGCAACTCATCCGAGGCCTCTCAGGTAGAGAGCCGTGGAAATGAGAAAATGAAAAAGAGCATCGCGTCATTGGGCCTGGTAGGCCATGGATCCCGACTTGGTGTATTCGACGATGAATTATTCCCGGATCAGCAGAGATTCATCGAGGATGAATACGAGGAGCCAGAAGGAGCTGATGACAAAGACCCTGCGGATGAAGTGCATGAAGCTGCGCCCGGGGATCTTGGTCTGACAGAAGCAATCGAAGCCTTGTCCATTGATATTGACAAGCTTGCGGCGCAGGACGCTGTGGTTCAAGCTTTGACACGCAAAGCCGAGCTTACGAATAACACGGCAGAGCTGCGCATTCTGCGCAAATCCAAAGCCAGCATCGAGCGGGAAATGCATCGCAAGGAGATGCAGCGACAACAGTACATTCTGCAAGAAAGCGACAACAGTCTGTACGGCCGGTCGACTGTCAGCCTCAAGTCTACTGTTGTAGGAAAAGAGGAGGATGATGGCCGCGAATTTGCAATGTGTAAGTATATCCCTCATTTTTTCTCTCAACCCTGCTCATCACCCCGTTGTAGATATTGTGGAGGTGCAAAGGAAAGCCGGCGAGCAAATGCCCGCTGCATCCTGGGTTGTTGCACGGCGTTATAGTGAATTTCACGATCTCCACCAGAAGCTTCGCCAGCGATATCCCTCCGTTCGTCACTTGGAGTTTCCTCGTCGACGGGTTGTCATGAAACTTCAGAAAGAGTTTCTCCACAAACGCCGTCTCGCCCTTGAAGCCTACTTGAGAAATCTTCTTTCCCTACCAGATGTCTGTCGCAGTCGCGATCTGCGAGCATTCCTCTCGCAACGTGCCATTCTCCCCCACAAAGAGAATGCCCGCGACAACGAAGGCGAGTCCAAAGACTTGGTGACTCGAATTTATAACTCTGTTACAGACGGCATGGATGATTTCCTTGGCAACTTTGGTGTCTTGGATCAATTGTCCACGGCCGGTCAAAACCTGATTTCCGCCGCAACACAACAAGCCGGCACCGCCCCAACCACCGACTCAAGTCTCGCGACCGAAGACGCAGTCTCGTCCGCTGAAGCAGAGGCCGAATTGAATGCCTTTGAAGACCGGGAGTTGGAACCCTTTATCAAGCCCATCTGCGATCTGTTCCTCGAGGCATTCGAGCTAAATCGCGGTAACAATTGGTTGCGTGGTCGTGCCGTTGTCGTCGTCCTGCATCAACTCCTGGGAGGGACAATCGAACGGAAGGTTCGAGATGGCGCTCGCGGTCTCATTCAAGATGATTCGCTCCTTAAGTATATCTCGCTAGCTCGAGATCTCATGTGGCCCGGTGGAGTTCTCCGCAAGGCGGCTCCTCGATCGGCGGCTGAACGTCTCAACAGCCGGGCCGAAGCGACAGTAGTCCTGGCGACTCTGATCCCCGATTTGGCCGGTAATGTCGTTGGCCGGGGCAATGCCCAAGCTGCTGCACGACGCATCTTCGCGACTCTAAATAACCAATACCTCAACACGCATCTTATCTTTACCATCATCGATGAGATATTCCTGGTCCTCTTCGGAATGCCATCTGGTCATTCTCGATGAATCCAATACATGAACATGCCTGATATGATTCCAGCTGTATATAGTCAATATAATGCCAAGAATATGACCCCTCTATACATCCAATGCCAAGACCAGTACACATAACAAATCCCCAACCACAACCCATGGACCTCAGCCAATTCCATGACATCCGCATCCCAAACCTTCGCCATCCCCGAACTCTTCGAACTCATCCTCCTAAACCTAGACACCCGCACCCTCCTCACAAAAGCCCAACTCATCTGCCACACCTGGACAACATTCATTCAAGAATCCCCAGCAATCCAATGGGCTTTGTTCTTTAAACCAGAACCAAAAGGCCCCCGATGGCAGAATCCACTCCTGGCCGAAGTCTTTCCGTCTATCTTCAGTTCTTCGGATCCTAATGTGCAAAGCAATGTCAATTTGACTTTCACCAACTTCGATTTGATTCTCAATTCTCATAAATTCGATGCATATATGAGGCCTGAAGCAAGTTGGCGGAGAATGTTGGTTCAACAACCTCCGCTTTCTACATTGTCGCTTCTGCGTAGTAGTGCTGGTCATGGTGGACAGTTGTTTTACCATTATGAGGCTTTGGTGAGTGATATTCCGTTTATCGCTAACAGCCATTATCATGATACATAATTCAATCTTACTTTTTTGATCAATGCACAGACTGACTCAAACCAGGACCTCCCATCTGGTCTTCGCATGGAGACGGTTTTCGAAACGCTTATATTCAGCGAGATGTGGGAGCAATTCGATTACCAACAAGCCACCGAAGCAATCTGGGGACCTGAGCAGTTGGCCAAGATGGTGCGGACAGATTTGGAGCGGTATGGGATAGAGAACTTCGGGTTGATGATTTTCACATCGGTGGGATGGTCACGACACGGGCTGGTTGGGAGTTTGTTGGACTGGGAGTGTGCGATTGTGAAGGTCAAAGAGGGGTATCAGAAGCTGGGATTGAAGCCGAAGGTTACTGCACAGGCATTTGTCAAGAGGAAGAGTTATGGGTCTTTGTGGGATTGATATGCTGAACACGAACTGTTCTGACTTGGCGTCCCCGCTGTGGCTTGATTGGTCTTTGCTTGGCATATTCATCACGCGACTATCATGGCTACGATGTACAGAGTAGGAGAGCAGTTCCTTTGAAATTAATTGATTCTCGCTGAGTATAGATAAGTGAGTGGAGTCAACCCAGGAAGAATAACTGAAGAGACCGAATGAGCAAAGATGTCCCTAGCGCCGTCTGTTTCTACGAAACGCAACGCAGCCGAAGGGGAGATCGGAAACAATATCACGCAGATGGAGTCAATAGTCCTGATTATCGTAAGATAGAAGTCTCCGTAAGATAGAAGTCTCCGTAAGATAGAAGTCTCCGTAAGATAGAAGTCTCCGCAAGACGACGATTGCATCTATGCCTCTTCCTTGGCCTTCTTCTTGGACTTTTTGCTTGGAGCCGCCGGGGCACCTGTCTTTGTCTGGTGCACGACCAGACGGGTCCAGCACTCGTCCTTGTCCCACTCGAAGCCGGCGAGGTAGGGCTTGTCGAGTTCATCGTCCGCCTAGCCGGGGGCCTCGTTAGTGATTTTGCTTTTGTGGGGGAGGGCAACTGACCTTCTTCTTGAACTGCTTGTAGATGGCATCTAAGGCATCCTTGATTGTCACTCCTTTGGAGTTGCGGGCGGTTACTTCCAGACCGAGTGGGAAGTGGAGGTCGATCTTCTTGACTGGGGGGTTGATGAGTTGTAGCTTGAGAATGTCTTGGTCTTCGATGGTCTTGGGGGAGGTGTTCAGTTTCCTGAGATGGGGTCAGTTATGGCTCGAGGAGAAGGGAGAGTTCCACATACCACCCGGTCTTCTGGGTTTCGATGGGGAGGGTGATTTCGATCTTTTGTTTCTCTGCTGCTGTTAGTATGATGTCTACTGTAGGGGGATGATACTGACCCAGGTCTTGCATAGACCAGACACCTGGTGCCGTTGATGAGTGCCGCTTCTTGTCCTTGAGGTCTTTCTCAATTGGCTTCTCATCCGATATGGACAAGCCAGCGATGGCAGAATCGACTTTGGTTAAAGGAACAGACATGATGAGTGGATGGTCAGTGGTAGCAAGAGGGATGAAGATAAGAGAAAGAGAGAAAGAAAGAAGAAGGGAAGAGGGGAAAGCAGGTGACCTGTGAGAGGGGGTGTGGCAGTCATGGATGTCATGCTATGCACTTGCCGTACTTGCTGTATTTGCGTGTTTCACGTAAGTACTCGGTACCTCCAGGGCTTTCTTGTACTCTACTTCTTTTACTTTTTACTATCTTTACTCTCTCTACTTTCTCTATATCTCCATTCTATTTTCTTTTGCTTCCTTTATTCTTCATCTCTACTATATAGACCGGCAGACTCGGAAGTCACCACTGACATCAACATCACGGCGGAGCCAATGTTAGCGCTGCACCCCGCATTTTGGTCTCCACTTTCGGATCGGCAGACCTTATTCTTAGTACAATGTACTTATACTTATTACTTCTTACTTATGTTAAGTATAGGTATTAGTACTGTAGGGAATACTGGCTACAACGTAACTAACAACGATATCTGTGTCCATCAATTATAACAATAACAGGCTATATTCCAATTCTAAAGTTCTAAAGTTATATCAATATAATACATCGAGTAGTATCATACCACATCGAACCACCAACACACCACCCAACCACATTCTTGGCACCTTTTTATTGGATTCTCATATCTGCACATCCTCATCCGGCTCTAAAGTTGGCTTCGTGTCGCAATATTGCGACAAACTCAATCCTACTTGCCGATCACCTCATTAGTCACGCGATACCTTTGCATGGTTAATTTGAATGAAGGGTATAATTGGTCCTCTTATAATCCATGGATGCCGTGGGTCGGACGTTCCCGGTCTAATCCAATGAGATTGAATGACAGAGTACAAGTGCAGGCAGAGTACGAAGTACCCAGTACATCTACAACCAGGTCACATGAGCTTAGCTGTAACATAATCAAGGGACATGACCTCGGGAGAGAATTCAAAAGTCAATTCATGAGGAATAATTCCTTGAATTACTGTGCAAGTACTCCGTGCCCAGGCTTGAAGCTATTTAACAAGTGTGAGAGTTGGGCATTTGATTGTCTACGAGATGGGGAGTAACTGGGCAATACTTGACTTGATTTACGACGTCTGGGATGTCGGCGCAGATCATTGAGAAGCATTTCAGTAGGGGAAATTCCAACCGGGAACAATCCTAGTTAGCCAGGGCTTCAAGGATGGAGAAAGTGACGTCAGATGGAAATGCGACTGCGCGAGGAAGATTTGTCCAGCGGAAGTGGATATTGCTGCACCATATGGTTAGAGGCAACAGAATGCTTGAGCTGGGGGATTGACCAGTAAAATCAATCGGGACGGTCTTCGGATATCTGCCGTCCGGCAAGACTGCCTAAGCCGAGTTGGCCCCATAAAATAATCAATTCTGACAAGCTGCGACCAGTTAGATGATAGTAATCGAAGGCTTCAGCAAGGAGAAGACAATACCCACAAGATGTAAGATGCAAGATGCAATGTTGCCTGAAGAGTGCCAGGCTGAAGTTGAGATGTCCGCTAACACCTAGCCCAAAGGCGGTGAGTGATGTTTTTTGCCGGCGCATCGCTTTCTGTCGAGCTTCAATTATCGTCACTCCACTCGGTGTCGCTTTCTTTTTTTCCATTGAGCTCCGGGTTCTCTCCTTTTTGCATATCTGAGCTGTCACTTGGCTCTGCCTTTACTCGTCCGCACTTCTTAATTTCTGATACCCTTTAACCACACACGCGCCCTTTCAATGTCACTTTTCAGCTCCGCCGCGGCCGCGCCTGCGGCCGCTGCGACCAACACCACCGGCGACATCTCAAAGGATGTGGCCCTGAACCAGCCCCCTGAGGATGGTATCTCCGATCTCCGCTTCTCACCCGTCAGCGACCACCTGGCCGTCGCCTCGTGGGATAAGAAAGTTCGCATCTACGAAATCAACGACCAGGGCCAAAGTGAAGGAAAGGCGCTCTTCGAGCACGAAGGTCCTGTTTTGAACTGCTGTTGGTCTCCGGTAAGTCTGGTCCAAGTCCCTATCCCGCAGTCGCGTCGTGCTCAGCAACTCACCTCGATTTTTCAATCTAGGATGGATCCAAGGTCGTGGGAGCTGGTACCGACAAGGCAGCCCGCATGTTGGATCTCGGAGCTGGTGGAACCACTCCTGTTCAGGTTGCCGCACACGACGCGCCCATTCGAAGCTGCCACATGATCCCCAACCCCTCACAGGGCGGCTCGCCATTGTTGATCACCGGTTCATGGGACAAGACCGTCAAGTACTGGGATATTCGCCAACAGACACCAATCGCATCGCTCGAGTGCCAAGAGCGTGTGTACTCTATGGATGTGAAGGACAAGCTTCTCGTTATCGGTACCGCAGATCGCTACATCAACATCGTCAATCTGGACCAGCCAACCAAGTTCTACAAGACCATGCAATCCCCTCTCAAGTGGCAGACGCGGGTAGTCAGCTGCTTCTCCGATGCCTCCGGTTTCGCCGTCGGCTCCGTGGAGGGTCGCTGTGCTATTCAGTACGTTGAGGAGAAAGACTCCGCCTCCAACTTCTCCTTCAAGTGCCACCGTGAGACTCCCGCCGGTCAGCGCGACGTCTGCAACATCTTCGCTGTCAACTCCATTACCTTCCATCCCGTTCACGGAACCTTCAGCACCGCCGGAGCCGACGGTACCTTCCATTTCTGGGACAAGGACGCCAAGCACCGTCTTAAGGGATACCCTGCCGTTGGAGGCCCCATCACCACCTCTGCCTTCAACCGCACTGGAAACATCTTCGCCTACTCCGTCAGCTACGACTGGAGTAAGGGTTACGCCGCCAATACTCAGCAGACCACCAACAAGGTCATGCTGCACCCCATTGGACCGGATGAGACGAAGCCCCGACCTAACTCGCGGAAGCGCTGAGTTGGTCTTGTTTTTTGTTTTTCTTTGGATGGGGTTTGCTGTAAGTTTGACCCATCGCTACAACGAGCATGTAATGAAAATTTTTTACCATATCGGCGTGTATTGATTAAAGAGTGCAAATGGGATTTTTCTAGCCTATCAATCATGGTAAAAGGTTTCACGTAGTATACAGTCTGCCTCTCATGCCAGAAGGCCCGGAGCCTTAAACCCTAAGTCTAGATGTTCCGGATATCAAGAGATGAATTTTTCCAACAGACGCAGCCAGAATCTCCTAACCCTCCGTCTGAATTTGATGATGACCCACAGGAAGAAGATCAAACCCCCTGCACTGGGAATGGCGATTATCCAAAACAAACTCTGGTGAAAGGTTCCGTCTCTGATGTCGACACTGTTCATACCAAGATACGAAGTCACGAATGAGAGCGGCAAGAAAACAACCGTGACAATAGTGAAAATGATAATGGCTTTGCTGTTGGACTCTTTTCTGACTTCAATCATAGATCGGAGCTAGAAGCTTTGGTTAGCACGAAACAGACAGAGGAATTAGTTGTGATTATTCACCAGCACAGAAGCTTTCTCAGCCAATCGATCAAGTCCACCGATATCCTGTTGCATTCTTTTGATCTGTCGCCGAATCAGATCAATCCTTTGCTGGGATGTCTGGCTTCTGGAATGTTTCGAGAAATGCCACACCGAGCTCATTTGCTCAAGGAACCGCAACTGCTGATTCAGAACAGAGTCCAGGATACCAATCTCTTCTCGAAGTTGTTGAATCTGGTCAAAGGTAGTTACATTGGGTGACTTTCGAGCTTGCAATTCCTGTCAAACCATCAGCTTGATATGCCTATCTGATTGGGTAACAATCTCACAAGACGCTCAATCTGTCCTCGGTAGACATGCAAAAGGTCGAATTTCCGCGAGTTGACTCCAGTTCTGGACATCCCCCGAGGTATTCGCACCAGTCGCTCAATCAGAACTGTCAGCATCGCTTGTGCATCAACGCGTCGGAATACCTTTGCTTCGCTGTAGTCTCCAGTGCTGATCATGGCCATGAGCGCATGTCTTCCCATCAGGAGATCTTGTTCGATTCTTGACGCCCTTTCTTCGAGGAACCTCCATCCAAGATATCGTATTTGGTCTTCTTGTGTGCAGGCGCAGACATAGAATATCAGATGACTGAATGCATCAACCAAGGCTTTGGGGATGAAGTATTTGGAAGATTGTCCAGCCTGACCAGGAGAGACACCGGCTTGGATTTGTTCCAGCTTCTGCTGGAAATAGGACAATGTTCGTTCCACGTTCTCGAGATAGGAATCTGGAAACTTCTGATAGTTAGTATGATTTGCTTCTCGGGCATCAGCCAAGATCTTACATCTTCATTCGCAATCCTCATTGCAGCACCGTAAAACTTCTTGATCACCCAATAGCGATGGATATCCTGATAATAAACCGGAACGAATGCATTCAGAATCCCCATCGCGTTGGATATCACTTTCTGCTTCAATGCCCAGTTCGCTCGTTTTCGCGCAAGTCGGTTAGAATCTCGACGTCGTGTTAATCCGATGTAAATACGCTGCATTTCAACAGTCAATTGCACCCGGGAGGCACTTGGGACATCTTTCACTGCCTCTCGTTCCCCTTCATGTTCAATGGCCCAATAGGCCTCGTTGTCCCGCTCATCCAATATTGCACGTATGGTGTTGTCAACGTCTCTGTATTGATCGGGTACTCGCTCATGTGGTCCCGGTGCATTGGTGGGTAGCCCATCTGTGGTTTCTGCTTTCCATGCAAAGATGGGGCGTGGCTCGGGCTTTTCGGAAAGATTTGTTGTTGATTCATTGTGCCGATCTTCACTGGTATCGGGGTCGACGATGGAGTCACGGTTTTCATGTGAAAGTTCCGTGAAGGAAGAAGACTCAGAAGAATCGGTGGTGTATTCTTCTGCCTCCGAGGGGTCTTGACTTTCGATGCTTTCTTTTGACTGCAGGTGTGATTAGTTTAATAATGCAATATCTTGCGGCGATGCACTGGCATTGGAAAATATCATGCTGTCTTACTTTTTTCGCCCAAGCCCCATTGGAATCCTGACAATAAAAAGCATTGCCCTCATCTGTGCTTGCGCCTCTCTTGGAAATGCCCAGAATCTTAGAGACAGTGGCACCTAGGGCTTTCTTGCGAGATTTCCAGAATCTCTTATCTTTAGAGGGGCCCAAGTCATCTTGACTGATCTTGCTTGAAGTTTGACTTTGCTCGCTCTCGTCGGAGAGACTGTCGTCTGATGAGTCTGTCATATCTTGCTGGGTGAGGTCGGTCAGAGTATTCTGGTCTCCGATGGGAGCTGAAGGATCCAGATCCTCATTGTCATCCTCGACGTAGCTCTGGAACTTCGTTTTCTTCGAGTGGTGCTTTTGACGGGATCTCGTCCGGGGCTCTATCTCCACATCTCCATGATCTTTTTTTCTTGGAGTTTGGAGCGGTGTTAGTTCGTGGGGTTGCATTTGGCGCTGAACCATCAGATTGCGTTGAGCGCTTGCCATCCGCCGATGAACCAAAGATTATTTGCAGCATCGTTACTAGCCGCGGGTAATTCATAGGCAAAGGATCACTTTGAATCCGAATATCTCGACCTGAAACTATGTTTGAGTACCAATCAGAGGGATCAAAGTTCCCACTTGGCCCAATCAAAGTGTAATCCCCAGCCCTGAAAGCCTTCAGCAGATGAGGTTTCTCGCGTAGCTCTTCATCAATTGTTGTATACACATTCTAGGGAACTTTAGCAATTGATCAAGCACCGAGTCTACCGCATGAGTCTGTTCAAAGATTGTGAGTAACTTACCGTCCAGGTTTTGCCAATACGCCATGGGACAGTCACGTCAAATCCATCTTTACTGCTCGATCCGACTGTCTGAGCTTCCTGTTCCCGATAGGGTTGAGCTTGGAAACAAGCGTGGAATCGCTTGCTTCTTTCCCTCGCGCGTATGTCATCTTCGAATCTATTAGTAGACCATGCGAAGGGGGTTTCTCTTCCAGTCCTCGGTTCTGGTGTCGGAAAGAGATGTTAGATCCTGGTGCCCCTTTTTGTGTTCTCAGGCAATTGATTTTCATCAATCAGTCATAAACTAGGGCGACTTACGTCTCCATTGGTGTGTTGGGCGTTTTTTAGTCTCGAAGTCCGCAGAGCGATACGCATATCCTGAATAGGCGGGGGAATACCGATAGCCAGGGGAAGACCCATAGGTAATTGGACGATTGCCCCGTGTGAATGGCAAACCAGTCGGAGTAGAGTAAGCGGAGGTATCTCCATAAAGCCGTTGCCCATATATAGGCTGCTCGGGTGTGAAGCGAGGCTGAAAGCCCATTGGCTGTGAGAAGTAGGAGGATGGAAGCCTGACAGAGTATGGGTTTTGATCTTTCTCGGGGTCAATCCGGCTTTTAAATGGCCGATACGGGGTTGGAGCCAGTATACTAGATCTACCGCCCTGTGCCCCAATCTCTTGTCCAAGACTGAACTGATTCTGAGACTCCTGTGGAGCATATGATGAAGATAAGGTTGGCGGCAGGGGTGTCGTGACTGCTAGATGCGTGTTTCCGTATGGTGATGGGTTTATTCTCTCTGATTCGGGGTCTGGGAGATGCTGCTGGTGCTTGAGTCGAATATGAATCACCATATCTTCGTTTGCTGTCTTTTCGACGTTCTCACACCAGTTTTTCTCGGAAAGTAGCTCTTTTTTGAATTCCAAGTCGTAGCTCTCTTTCCAAGAGTCGTCAAGGAAAGATCTAGACATGGAGCTTTCTGGCCCCAGGACTCCCACAAAAATATTGACGAATTCCTATGGTAAGAAAGTGTTAGTCATTTGGGTCATGGTCAGCCAATTTTCCCTTGATTGACTCACAAACCATGTCTGACATTGCGCCGTTGGCAGGCAATACTCCTTTCCGTCTAAATCGAATACCCGGATCCGAGATTCCTTCTGGGTTGACTTCGAGTCAACAGCCTTTTCAAGGGCAAAATATTCCCCTTGGAGCTCTTTCAGATCCGTAGGACACATGCTGAGAATGGTGTCTGGTCAAAAATTAGAACCAAAATCCTTTCAGCCAATGAGTTCCGACTTACCCCCGTTTATAAGTAGAAACCAAGCCTGCGGCACATGCAATACATCGCTTGATTCGCCAATTTCAAGCACAATCTGCTCCTCATCATGGATTTTCGTTGACTCGAACGCATATTGAAATTGAAGAAGGCTTCTCACGGGATGAGAATCTTCTGAAAAACCACTCAGCATACCAGGTCGCCGCAGAGCTAAGAAAGGAAATGCAAAAAATGCAACGGAACATTGTCTAGTCGATTCCTCAGTTGCTCCAGGGTCACTGGCGGGGACAAGGTTGATTGCCTTTGAGTCAAAGTACTTTCCATGAATGAAGGATCGCTCTTTTTGTCGTAGGCGTTTGAAAATTGAAAAAATCAAGACACTTGTGGCTTCTGGCATATTTTTGAGTCTTAGTGCTTCGTTCTAATAATTTATCAGTGGATATGTCGACGCGGGACGGCAGATGATCCTACTTGGAAATCTTCCAGCCTCATAGGATCGCTTTTGAAGTGACTGTGGGGCATATGGTCAGTCTGGCTCAGTCTAGTCTAGTGCTTTGACGAGCGACGATATTTGACTCACATCCACCGTGTCTCTGGGTGAGACAAGCTGGTTTCGTCGGCAAATGTTAAAGTTGCAATGTCGTGGTTGCGATTATCTGATTTCGAGGCCAATCTTGTTTGAACAACATCGTATATTTCCGGGGTGATGGTTTTCTCGGCGTTGTTGAATGCCGGTAAGGTATATGCCGTATTGAATTGCCGAAAGATGTCCCCTTCATCTTCATTGCCCGATAGATGAGGTTGAACCTTGATGGAGAAGTTCACTTGTTTTCGTTTTTCGTCAAATGCATCTGCTGTAAACTGGTTTGTTTGACTAGAATTTGGCGATTGATACCCATGGTATACAGGTGCGATGCCGGGAGCCTGCGGAGGTGTGCGCTGAGTGTCTTCCGCAGATGAGACAGAAGAGGGAGACGCAACCCGGCGCTGTTGAGGATTATATGAATCTGGTAATAGAACAGGTGGTGCGGAATAACTAGGTGGCGCTGGTGGGATCCATGGTGGACGATGTGGGTATGATGGGTTTGATGGGTGATCTGATGGATTAGTTGGGTAGCTTGAATGCGATGGATAAGAGGGGTCAGTTGGATGAGCTGCATGATTCACACTAGGTGGATACCATGCACCTGGTGTTTTGTCTCTGTTAGAAGGGCTGGCAAAGGACACTTTAGGCGGAACAGTTGGAGGACCAGATGGCGAATATCGTCCGGGCGTTTTCCTCGGGTCAGGTCTGGAATAACTTCGCTGTGTGGAGGGAGAAGAGGAAACTGTTGACCCAGAATCGGAGGATGCTCGTGTGGAGTCATGGACCTTAGAAGAGATGTCAGCTTCATTTGGACCAGTATAATCCATGATTTGTACGCGACTTGGGAAGATATCAATCTCGCATCCAAACGCATTCGGAAACAGGGAGTGATATGGCCAGGGATGGTGCGACCCCTCATCAATATGTTAAAATATAATGAGCATCCAACTGCGGCTGAGCAGCCGCCCACTAACCCATAGCGCAGACAGTCATGCATTAACGCTATGCACATCTCCCCGCGCGCTGACTGTTTCAGCGAGCTTTGCTCTGATTGGCTATGAAAGATCTAGCCAGCATGTGTTAGCATCTCATCTGTAATTATAGTCACAAAGGCGCCTAGATCCCTGTCTTGTTCCTCGGGAGGGCCAATGATACGCCCGTATTTGCGCCTATGTATCCGTGATTCAAAAAGGTCATCGCATAGAACGCGGAGTAAATTCCACATCGTGATAATTCAAGGTCAAGTCCGTAAATACTTCAGCATAGGCGTGGGTTGAAGCGGTTACCAAAATTGCATAGTTTCGTAGGTATGTATGCCTCTTGGTACGCCCGCCAAGTGCGGGGATATAAATGCTTGGCATTTTGGCCCACGTGCTGAGGTCTCTTTCTCATCTTCAACACTTATCCTTCCAGGTATATCCTGCTTACTGAGGTAATATGGCGGCTATAATATGTGGTGCTCTGGCAAAAGGATGACTTCAGTGGCCGGATCTACTGGAATACCAAGTTGAGGAGCAAAGGAAAACTTTTGGAAGAGACAGCCGGAATGGCAGGGTTAGACGGTGTCAATGCTTCAGGCATTAAATTCACCAACCTTGCCAGATTCACTCCGTGCCCTAATCTTTCCCTTAAGTTGTTGATCTGCAATGATCAAAGTCTACGTACTCGTTCCTCGGGGTTTTCAGGTGATACGGACAGGTTTAAGATGTGAAATTTAGTTATTCGGTCTATTAAATGTTCACGCCTCAGAAATGCAATTGCCCTTCGTCTGTTTCTCTGGACCAGACGGAAAGATTATTCAGTAGAGGATGCCCCGTGAAGTCATCTTCGCCAATTAAAGTGCTTAGAAATCATATCGCACCGTCTGCCAAAATCGACAGCGTGGGCCATCAGTCCGATCATGAATCAGCTCGAATGATTCCAAGCGAGTATCCATGAGCTGTGCATCGGGGCCTTGTTGAGGGAACTCTGGAGCGAGATCAGACTTCGGCTCCCCGTAGAGAGAAAAGCTCGTAATCCAGTCCTGTATCGCATGTGCCACGGTGACGTTAGCCACAGGACGGTTGAAAAAGATACTGCCGAGAGTTGATCCGTTCTTGTAAAAGGTGTATGGAACATCCTCGGCATGCAAGGCTGGCGGAATGCTGAACTGATATGCGTAGGTCTCATTGTCGAATGCTCGGCGCAGATAATCAACTTCACAAGTCAAGCTCCAGTCCTCAACGAGGAGTGCCCAGCGCTGCACCGAGTCTTTGTAGCCATATGACCCGTCGAAGATGGGCGGGTACAAAACATTTGCAATGTACTTGGCGGTGTCCTTCGAGACTTGAACGTAGGCCACAATGTCAGATTCAAATCTGTCACCGTCAAGGGAGTCCGGACCCGTGAACAGGAGTCCTTCATCATGGGTGTGTCCAGTCATTACTTTCACGCTGTGATCAAATTTACCCTCGAGGAGTAACCGCCATGCGACGTCAGGCACAAGGTCACCATCCACAACTTCACCGTAGGTGAACGATCCCCAAGGAGCAGAGTAGTAGATTTGCAATGCGTTGGCCGCGATCAATTTCTCCGATGGTAGTTTCCGGGCCTCGTCAATTGTTGTCACACCAAGGATATTGAAGAATTGCTCCAGTGCAGCTTTTTGCTGCTTATCAGAAATTCCAGGAACCCATCCGGGACTCTGGATGATAGCCTTCTGGAATGGCACAGGCCCATTTTCACCTCCGTACGATGCGATGTGGTGGACTATGGACCCAGCCCCAGCGGACTGGCCCATGACAGTGACTTGATTGGGATCGCCGCCAAACAGGTGAATATTCTCAGCTATCCATTCCAGTGCGAAGCGCTGATCGTGTAGTCCCAAGTTGGCGATTCCATCCTCTTTGATATTTCCCGCGAGGAAGCCGAAAACACCTTGCTTTGAGATGGTCAGCTTCTTTCCAACATTTGATCCAATGAGTCACATACCCGATAGTTCATTTGGACGTAGACAATACCATCGTTGTCATTCATGCTTCGTTCAATCAACCCAGAGGCATCATCTTCGCCTTTGTCCCCAGCAGCTAGACCTCCACCATGGATCCAAACCAGTACAGGGGCGAGCTTCTTATCCTGAGATTCCTTGTGCTGAGTCTTTTCGAAGACGGCTTTGGGAACAATGACATCCAAGAACAAGCAGTCCTCCGTTGTACGTCCATCTTGCGGAAGAGGCCTGTAAGGATAAGAAGAGATATTGGTGGATATTCCGAGTGGCTTGTTATCCCAGTAAGTGGTTAGCCACTGAACTTGAAGAAGTGACCACAACGGCAGGACGCTGGGGCAAGCTCTGCCCTCGTTGCCGGTTTGAATGTTTGTCCGGTTCGTCTCAGGGGCTGCGGGTAACCTCCATCGTAGATCGCCGACGGGCGGAGCTGCGTAGCGGATATTGGTGAAATTGTAGAAGTCATATTCACTCTAGATCGAATGATTTGGTTAATTTTGAACAAAATGATGGCCCGATGCTCGGATATCTCTCACGTTGAACGAGATTGCCTGGTGCAACTCATACCCTAAATCAACCACTGGCAGATCATTGTTGGGTGAGATTGTGGCAGTGCATGCTGAGAAAAGCGTGAAAAGTAGGACAAGAAGAGCCATCTTCGTTGAATGCGAGAAGAAAGGCAGAGGAAAAGATGTACTGATTATCCTCATTGTGTTTTAAACAAAGAAAAAGTCCGAGTGAATGGATCAGAGACGCGGGATGAAGAAAAGGAAGGCGTTGAGATTGATGAAATGGTTTTTATATGTCCATACTACAGGTCCAAGCCCTACTGAGCTAGAGCCATATTGCCCTGGCAGCTTTCTTGTTTACTTCGCTCTCGCAGTAAAATGCTTGTCCTATGTGACAAGAGACCCGGGGTCCCCACTTCACCAACCAATAAGTTCATTCAAACCCATCACTTTGCAGTCAAACATACAATTCCGGAGCCCCGAATCACAAAGTTAATTTTTCATTCTGAATGCAATAGAGATCCAGTGCTCACTGATGCAATCCTCAAAATCTGAGTGGTACGCTGTTGGAAAGGAGTGGGCCTGTCCTGCGAGATCGGATTTTTGGAGTATCCCCAAAGCGTGAAGGTAATGTACATGAGTGATGATGTTTGTCATAGATTGTTAGTCTTATTGAGCTACGGTCTTGATGGAGTGTAATGAGACACAGGTGACTCGATTGACTGCCCTGGTGTTTTTTTTTTGAAATGAGGTCAGTAAATAGATCCGGAGATCGACTGGAGTGGTCCAATCAAGTCAGTTGCAGACAAGGTGTCTCTGGCCGGTAGCTGGATTTCATGTGATGACCAAAAGCTTGCATGGCTTCCTCCAGACTACCGATCACCAATACTGCCAACAAGGTCTTGGAGCAGAACACCGGCGCTCCCTCTGAGGAGAACGAGCGGGCGCCGCTTCCTCGCAACCTCGCAGAGGCCGAGACGGGCCTGCAGCTATTCCAGCGAGCGCCGATGCGGGGACCGCATTACCGTCTCGAGAGGAACGTTGTCAATATGACCCAGCGGTATACTCCGCCCGATTTGATCGTGGTATCTGCTTTGTCTGCTTCAAACTCAAGTCCCGGAGCCAAGGATTGAGGATGCAGCAGAGCGCAAGCCTTCTCACCCTTGCACGATCCCGAACTCGCCGACACGCCCGCATTGATCCGAAAGCCACGGCACTGACACAAACTGTGGGACGGTCACACCATCACTGGTTGCTTGGAGAGGGCATGAAGGCACAATGGAGTAAATCTTGAGTTGGCCCTACCGAGTCCTGATGGCTGAATCTTTGTTGACGATGTCTTACGGATCGGCGATCAGGGAATTGTGTCACAAACGTGGAATCTGAGTGGCTTTACGTTCGGCCGAGGGAAGAAGGATGAAATGGGATTGTGCAAAGGGTAATCAAGATGGGGATTGTATTCTAGACAGAATCATTCAGCTGGTGTTTGGGCAAGTCTACGTTTCGCTGTGTGTCTACTCTACGAGCAAGGAATGTCTCTACGAAGAAATCTATCTGAGAATGCGACACAGACTTCAAATTTCAAGAACCAAAAGCAAAAAACAAAACAAACAAAACAGAAACAAACAAAAGCAAAACACCAGCTCTCCTCCTTCTTCTCCTTTTTTTTTCTTTTTTTTTTTTTTTTAGTCCAGGTGGATCAGGACCTCCTCATCGGAGAACTCGATGAGGTCCTGGGGCTCCTCCAGGGGGCTGTCCTGAATATGACCGGCCACCGGGCTCGTCACCCGCTCTTCCAGATGGCGGTCCGAAGGTGCGCCCAAGCGGGTGCGGTCCTGAGGAGCGGCCGAAGCCACCCCCTGATCAGGCGAGGCAGGGTCCCCATCCCCGTCACCCGAGTCAGAGGGCGGATCAACGGCGCCGCCAGATCCCACACTGACTTGAGCAGCACTCTCGGTGCCACCTGGAAGAGCGCCCTCGGACTCCAAAAGAGCACGAAGGCGAGCCGTATGATCCAAGGCCCGGGCTAGAGCCAGGTCCGCCAAGACCGCAGCTGCTTCAGCGCGCGCGAGCATCATCTGCATCGCGGCAGCAGGGTCGGCCTGAACGGCCTCTAGATCGGCTGCCATCTCCTATAAGGGGGTTAGCCAACAACTCCAATATTAGATATCCCCCGTCAATACGGCTCAGGAAGCGCAATTGAACCCCCAAGCTCTTCTGTACAAATAATATATGACAGAAATGTGTACACATGTCAACAATTATGGGGACAGACAGCAGCGAGACGTTGTCACAACATCATCAAAATGTTCCAATCTCTTTGATCAGGGGATCTAAAAGTAGAGCTTACATGTCTGCGACGGCGGGCGCGCTTCCTCGCTCTGTTCTTCCGCCGCTTTGATACTAGCTGCGGTACATCGGCCTTTGAGGCGGGCGCGGGCCGCTCGGGGGGTGGAGGGGGTGGAGGGGGCGGGGCGCCGCCGGCCGGCACCAGAGTAGACATGTTTTTTTTTTTTCCGAAAAAAAAAGAAAAAAGAGGTTTTTTTTTTGAAAGGTGAGGAAGGGAAAAAGAAAAAGAAGTTTAGAAAGTCTTGGGGAATCTGTTTTATACCTACTGAAGTGCTCGCTCCTTCCTCCTACGGGTTATTGTTCTCTTTTTCACTACTCACATTTCAGCTGTTGTTCTGATTGCTCTGGGTCTCGGAATAGATCCGTGTCATTGTTTAGAATTTACCTTCAACAGAGTGGGCTGGTAAAAGCAAGATAATACATTCGTATGGCCCTCGGCTAATCCAAGCCGCTGAGGTGAGTCTATTGTGAGCCCCTCGGCTTCTCAATTGACCCTTTAAGTATTTGACTGGTTGACCTGGGATCCCTGGATTAATGGTCAATGGGTACCATTCTGGGCCATCATCACGTCTCTTCGATCGTAAATAATATAAATAAACATCACGTCTCTTCGGAGGGCTTTTTTCGCCTCCCTTCCTCTCTCTGTCTCTCTGCCTCTTTCCGGCTTTACTTCTCTGGCTCTTTCTTCGGATATGTTTCTTTCTTCTCTTTCTCAATACCAGCTTTTGTATTCGCTGAACCATGTCTGCCGCTCGCACCATGACCCACTTCCCGCTGCGATCCGCCGATCCCGACTCTCTCCCGCAGAGCCTCACAAAACCCATGATGTTCACCTTGAGATGAGTCGAAGAATCCCCGAGCTCCCTATTACCAGCCACTGATGACATCAGTCGGAAGCAAGGTTACGAGAGACGCGTGAGATTGGATCTGCTCCCGAGTAGGTCAGAAGATGTCGCGGTTATATTCTAAGCTCTAGAAATACTATGCGTCCTGTGTGTTGCCCCATCACAATTGTGGAACCGCAAATCTCCCAAACTTCAGATCGGTAGTCTGGAGGAAGCCATACAAGCTTTTGGTCGTCACATGAAATCCAGCTATCGCCCAGAGACACCTTGTCTGCAAACGTTCTAGCCTGTTGTTGAAGCTCTGGGTCTCGGGAGTCGATCTCCATTCTTCCTTGATTGGTTTCGAGGAATTTCCCATCTTCGGAGTACAAAAGATACTTCAAAGGGCTCCCAAGCTCTAATGTTGATTGACAAATGCCGAATTCGGTGTCCCTGAAAGAGACTGATCCGCTAGCTGATCCCAGTGCAATGATCTGGCCATCCGGTGAGAATGAAATCAGCCGAGTTTTTGCGACTTCAACTTCAAATGTATGTTTCCAAGTCAGTTGGGTCACGTCAAAAACACGCACTCGGCCGTTTTGGTAGGTCACAGCCAAAGAAAGACTATTCGACGACCAGACAAAGCCGTCGACACCTTCCGTACCATCAGTGTATATGAGGGCGCAGGAGGGAATGTCCCAAAGACAAAAGAAACCACCAGATGCGTAGGCCAGTGTCTCACTTCCCGGTGCAAACGAAGCCTTCTCTACCACATATTGATGCTCAATTGTCGAAATTTGTGACATCGTCACGGTGTTCCAGAGCTCCATTGTGAAACCCGCGGGTATCAGCAACATAAGCCGACCATCAATTGAAAATTCGCTGTGCCGCCAACATAATTCAACACATTGGAAGTATTTTGTGCAAGCCCTTGTGTTGATATCTAGAAACATTGCGGCCCCAAAATGCGCAAGACTAGAGATCCTTCCATCGGAAAGCCATGAGAGCTCTCCAGCAGATGGTGCCTTGGGATGATCCCTAAACTGAAGTTCGAATTTTCGGCTTCGAGTGGATAAGTCGTATAGATGAATCGCAAAACTGGAGGAAGTGGCGACCGTTCGACCGTCCGGCGCAAGCTTTATATAAGAAATGGCATTAGGATGTCCTTTCGAGTAACCTGTGTCACCACCGAATATTGTTTCAGCCCACTCTGAATCACGCAATAGTGCCAATATTCCTTCATCAGCCTGTCTCCTTCTTGTGGATCTGTCGCCCATGTAGACACGCACACCCAACACTACCGTCACGATGAAGGGGCATATAGCAACGAGCATCAAATACTTCGAGAATTCTCGATAGACTTCGTGCCAGTGATTTTGTTCCTGTGCTACATTGAGCAGGACTGGAGAGGCTATTCCAAGATAGATTGATGGGAATAAGCTGTGCCAAATTCCCGGGTGGATGTTTAGTATGCGTTTGCCAACTTGGTCGAGGGCGTTGGTGTCACTGTCCCACAAGTAGACCTTTCCTTGAATGTCAGTGAGCACAAACTGCAAGAACCCAGGAGAAAACGCTGTAGCGGTTATGCATTCCTCGAATGAAAATGTCCATTCTGTTGGCGATTGAGCGGCCAACCGTTGATGATAGATTGATCGTCCTTTTGTCCAAAGGACCGAATTACCATCTCGACAGAACAGAATGGAAGAGACATCTTCCTTTGCATTTACCGTATATTCGAGTTTCTGCTTCCAACATCCAATGGTCATGTCCCAGACATGAACGAAACCGTCGCTAGACCCGATTGCTAAAAGCAATCCGTCAGGGGAAAATTCCAGGGCTGTGCAAAAACAGTCATCGAGATCGATTCTCTTCCACGCGTTTTCTTGTCTGCACCAAAGACGGATGGCTTCTGATCTCCACGCAAATGCTACGACTTGGCTGTTGGGAGATATCTTTATACACCCCAGGCATATGTTACTCATGAGCCTCATGATGTCGTTTTCGAGTACCCAGTCCAAGATCTTGCCGCGATCTGGGTTCTGGTCGCCTATGATCCTCGCGACTGATTCTATTCCCGCCTCGCTGCACCAGGACTCTGCAAATTGTTCAAACGCTGAAGCTCCAGGGGTATCACAGTCGATTAGTCGATCCCACAATCGCTTCAAGATGACGCGAAAGTATTCCTCGTTTGTGACCACATGTGGAAATATCTGAATCCACGTGGATTTGGAGTTATTGCGGAGTAGGATCTTGCCGCAGCCCAGGGCTAGTATGAAGCATTCCGAGATGGGACAAAACGCAGCTCTGACAACCTCCTCATCACTCTTGAAAATCTCTTCAGACATCCCTCTTTTTGTGTCCCAGGCTAAAACGGTGCCATCAAGAGAGGCTGAGGCAAGGGACTCATTGCTTTTGAGGTATGAGAGCCATGTCACGGCTTGTTGATGGCCCTCGAGGTATTGTATGACAATCCCAGTAGATGTATCCCATACCCTGATCAACCCATCTGCTGAAGCAGTTGCCAGGGCTTTTCCGTCAGGGGAGAAGCACACATGTGTAATCTCTGATGTCCCGTGGCCCTCAAGGACATGTCGTGAATGAGACCACTCCTTCTGAACCCCGACCACGCTGTCAACAAATGGCAGCCGCTGCTCCCAAAAAAGGCGCTTTATTGCACTATTCTCAGGTGAAAAAACGAGAGCCCCACTATAAACTTGGAGAGGGGCCTTTTCCATCATCGCGCCGTAGGCGAGAGTCCATCGCAGGAAATCCTGTAACAGCTTTGCGAAATCAGGGCTTTGGCTGACCTATAATATTGTTTAGTGACACGTATTTCTTTTTAATATGTCTCTCCCGAGATTGTTGTACCTTGACATTCTGTTGCAGTCGTCTGATGATAGATATTCCTCGCGAAATCTCACGCAGAATTCCCAGTACCTCCAACAGATGAAGAGAATGCATAGCAAAGAAACAGTGGAGTTTTCCCTCCTCTGCGAATTCCTCTTCGAAATCCGAGCTCTTTTCGGAGCTTTGACACAGATGGTCAAACCAGTGAAGACACGAGTACTCAACGGCGATTAGTGCACTGCTTTTGCGACTTGGTTCGACATCAGTGGGACCAGGATCATTCAGCTCACATATATCTCGATGCAAATTTCTCGACATCGCTTCAAGTGAGTGAGAGTAAATTTCATAGTGAGCTTCTTGAGAGCCATTGTTGAAAATGGCATCAGAGTGATTCGAAATGAGATATTCCTTTGCTGACTGATGAATGAAAGACACATGATCTTCACGCGTCGAAATAAACGAGCTGCACATGTTGACGATTCTCTCCAGGTCTGTGATACTTGAGATTTTGTCTGAGAGACCCGACACAGTTCTCATCTCAAGCAAGTGCAGAGGTCGGTAGGCTAGCGCTGCTGCTGCCAGAACCCGAAGGCAACGTTTCACATTCCTGGGGTGTAACTGCTCAATCTTTTCCATCATTTTCTGAAATAGTGGTATGAGACCAGCAGGAGTTTCATCAAGGAGGTCAATCATCTCGGCTGGGAAGACATCCTTTCCAAGTTCAGCAACGATTAAAGCGGCCCACAAAAAGGTTCCGCCGGCCTTTTGACAGATTTGACTTTTCAATTTGTCTTGGAGGTTAATGTGCTCTTTCAAAGCGGGTATCTGGGAGACTCGGACGTTGACAAAATTGGTCATCGCCAGTGATATCTGCTGTGGAACCGATTCGAGTCGAAGAGTGGTAATGTTGGAGTGTCGATCTAGGTGCTGCCCGATGTCATCTCGATTGCGGCTAGACACAATCCACTTGATATTGGAGTTGAGGACCTTTGTGTGCGTGATGAGACCGAGCAGCTGGGGAAGTTCTTTTTCGCACTCGTCAACTGCGTCGATTATGATACACAACCTAGGCAGTTGAGAATCCTGTAGCAGATTGAGAAATATCTCCGACAAACAGTAAAATGCGTTCAGACCCTCGAACAAATGTCGGCCAGCTGGCTCATATCTAGATCGAAGGTATCGAAGCAACTGTGGCTGTTGGGCGGTGATCATGTATAGTAGTCCGCGTAATACTGCGGTGGCATTGTTGAATCTTGAGTCACTGCCTTGGCAGAGGAAGTAGGAAACTAACGCGGACTTGTCGTCTGAGGCATTTCCGATACCGGCGGTTTGCGTAGTAGGCTCATCGATGAGGCCGATCATGAGCATCGTCTTGCCTTTGCCAGCATCTCCCTTGATCCACAGCACCTTGGTATCTCCGTTCTGTCGCCATTGTTGAAAAGTAGGATGTTGAAGAATCCAGGAAAAAGATTTATGTAACAGACCGCCCTTGTTCTGTTCAATTCGAAGTTTGTCGTCCCGAGGATCAGTCAACAGAAGGTCTTTCAGACAGTTCTTGTCAATTTCGGGTATCACTAGTATGCGAGTGAACTGACGTTAGCGAGTATTCACAAACGGGATGTTTCGTTGTCCAACCTTTGCTCAAGTGCGGTCTCCAGTACTTCAAGAACGCTTTCGCCGCACATGCTGCAGTTGCTGCAGCGTAATCCTGCCAAGACTTTTTCTTGTGTCTGTCAGCGTAATCACAAACACCTTTGATGATCACGCAGGGCATATTGTCCCAGATGCCGGCCCCTTCCATTTCAAAGCCGATGACACCATCCTCTGCGACGATCTGATCACGGTGCTTCCCGGACTTCATCACAGTATCCGCAGACGCCATGGTTCCAATATGACAGACCGGGTCGACCTTCGCTGATTCCAGCCTCTTCCTATGAATGATACAAGCCTCTGGGCGAGCGCAAGGTTCTCGGTGGTCCTGAGAATCAGCAGTACCGGGCTGATTATCATTCTTTTCATCGTGAAAAGCACAAGGAATGTCCGACCGAAGAACATCGTGCTCACCCCCAGGGTAGGTCCACAGAGGTTTGCGATCAGCCAACGTCCGGACATGGCGCAGCATTGTTTCGTTGTAAGCCTGGCGGATCTCATATGTCTGAAGACTCGACAAAACGGCTCGAATCTCGTGGTTTGGTCTCCCCAGGGCATTTTTGGGATCACGTTTCCGCACAAATTGATCAGGGTATTGTCTGCCAAAGTCGTATTCGACCAGGCTGTCGCTGATGATTACATCGCCGAGGACGATTTCAGTAGACGGTGTTGGGAAAGGCACAGCACCACAGACACCGACCACGAGAGCGAGTTGAATGCTCGGATAGCTCAGGCGCAAACCGGACGCGACCCCAGCGGCCACTCCCTTCCCCATGCTTGGCATGTAGCACAGCACCACATGGTGTTCACCGATTCTGCCATTCGTATAAACATTCACATCACGTGGCAGCTTTCCGAATCTCTCGTGGTCATCGTACTCTTCATCAAAAAGCGCTCTGATGGGGTCTGCCTCGCGTGGAAGCGCGCAGATGATGGCGATCTCGAATTCCTCGCGCGTTGTGGGGCGCATTTCACTGGTCCTGCGAGGAACCGCACAGAACCCAACTGAAGTCGGCTGTATTCCGTATCAAAACTGAATTTACCGTCAAGAATTTGTTTGATTGTGGTTGAATTGTCCTGGTATGCGGGTCTATGGATGATGGGACGGCTCCGGGGCTGACATCTGAGGAGACAGGGAGGCTGAGAGGCTGAGCTCCAAAGCTCCGCCCACTGGTGGGGTTAGAGCAGCAAAGCCAATCATGCTTTCGGTCGGCCAGTCACCTACTCCAAGCTACTTCTGGGAATGAGATTTCTAATATTCCAGCATACAATTCCTTGTCTTTAGGACTAAGTTGATATATGTTTATGATTCATAGGAGCCCTGGGACGGATTGGTTTTCTGATTACACTGTAACTGTCCAGTAATTTATGATAAGCGGTGAGAAAGTGACGTATCTACAATTTACCTTACCGTACCTGTAAATCCAAAAACAAGGGACCCGACTAGCGCCCGTCGCACATGCACGGGCCCCACACCTGTAAACTCCTTCTATACTTCCACTAGCCATCACTTCTGGCCCTTCTTTGATTCAAAATCTTACCTACATTAAGGAAATATCTCAAAACGGAACCTGCTCGTGATACTTAGCACATCGTCTCCGAGTTCGAGCATCCAGATCGCATGCACTTGGTGGGCTGTCTGCTCCAGCATTATCCCGACGTTCCATCGCTCCTACAAACCAATTGTTTCGCATTTTGGTTCTGCGACATGGAGGTGCTGCTGTAGTTAGCAGATCCGGAACTGCACTAAGAGGAGCAGCAGAAAAAAAAGATTGCGCTGTCACGCGTCGTTCAATGTCCCGTCCCTGTGAGTACTTCCTTATCTATTGGAGTATGAGACTCATTTAACAAGCGCACCTGAGTCAGTATCCGGGACTGCCGAACTTCCTATGGGAGTAGGATGGCCATTGGGGAATCCAGTGGAGGATTGAGATGCGGATGCTATCGTGGAAGCAGATGAGGAACCGAGTGTTCGCGGCTCAGGTGAAGAACCTGTGAAGATGTCTATCTGTCAGCCGGACCCATCGACTCGGAAGTGCAAGAGCTCTCGGATAGAATCTCTATCTTCAACGCCTGACACAAATGAGTCGGAAGCAAGAAAGGCGTGTTTCTCCGTGGAAAACCAGCAAAAGCAGAAGACTATCAGTGTTAACGGATCTCAGGCACCAAACATCATCGGCAATCAAAAACTCACCCTGGCTCAAGTCCGTAGAGGTTGGCGTATGGGATGGAAGAACCTGCCAACTGACTCGACGCGGGGTTCCCGGGTGTGAGGTCGCTCAAATTCTCCCTGCTAAGTTACATGGCAACGCTTTGAATACAGGCGATATCGATGAGATGTGGTATTGGCTGGAGGATTTTTGGGGCGAAGAAAAAGTTTCCAAGTGGCAAGATCTGCTTGTCGAAGGTTCTGGATTGGATATGGATCGGATGTACAACCTGACAACTCTCGATTCGCACATTCACACGTACTGGAATGCTGGCCTCGTCGCATTGCAGCCAGGCAACAGAAACGAGTATGGAACTGAGATTCAAATTGCTCTCCACTGGTTTCCTGACTGGCAAGAATTAAATGACATGTCTCCATGAGATCGTGTGATATGAAGATCACACCCATTACGAAAAAGCAGATTCCGACCTAATCAGACACCTGGAAATAATCTTTATATTCACGCCAGCCGCGAGGATGGGTCCGTGTTAATGGTTACCTCTGGGGATTTTTGTTGCCTTGAAGACGACGGACAAGGAGAAATATCCACTCCCTTTATTTGAGCTGTTGGAGTTAAGGTGGCATCTCTGTAACGGAGCGTCTACGATTGAACGGAGGCCAAAACAAGGGAGAAGAAGATTGATTCTCCTAACTAAGACGGGGCTGACGGATAGCCCAGCCCGTCGGCTCGTTATGTGACAATCTCTCCCGCATTTCTGCCATGCAGGGCAGCGGAAAAACAACAAGATACGGCATGTTGAGGGGACAGGGTTGAGATCATGTTATTCCGCAGAAAAGACAAGTCGCTCGTGTTGCTCAAGTTCCTTTCTGTTTCTGGAATCGACCATTAGACGCCCGCTTGCGCTTGCCAGACTCCCCGTTGGAATCCCCCTCGTTTTTTTTTTTTTTTCTCCATCATGGCCTCTCGGCGTGAAATTTCCCGAAGGATGTATCTACGGTCTGCATCAGTGCCAATTTCACATCTGCAGGTTTCGAGCTCCAATTCTCGAACGGATGTTTCCTCGACTTACTCGTCGACCAAGTGGTTCATGACCCTGTCTCCAAGTGACGCCAGGCATGAAACTGTCCTGCATACAAGATATGCAGCTACGACATAGAGCAGCGTATCCCAAAAGCCGAACTTGTTGGCTGCTTAAATGAATCCTTCGATCCTGGATAAGGGCACTCTTTTTTGATCTTTTTCCAGTCGGTTCTGAATTGCCTCCGGATGAAGCCAAGTCAATTCTCCTCCATTTTGTGGGATACTCGTTTCTTGCGTAGCGGTGGGGACAATTGGGATGGAACCTGTCATCCCATATATCATTAGTTAGCGAGCGAGAAGCTCAATAGGATATTCTTACCTCTCCTCGCTTCCGCGTACCGTAGCTGACACGTACAGTCCGCGCCCCCTTGCAGTGTGGTAGCATGTCGTTGAGGCGAGATGTACCAGCTCTGGCAGTGCTTCACGGCCGCTAGATCGATGCGGGCGTTGTTGTGGTCTAGCAGTAGTGAGTCGGTGATCTGTGAGATGTCATTTGGATGGCATAGTGCTGAAGACTGTTGAAGATCCAGCTTTGAGGTAAGTGCTTTTTTGGCAGGCTTCTGAGACTTCACGGGTACCGCTGGCTTCTGAGGGGTGATCCGGTTCTTAGGAGGGGGCGTCGGGGAGGGCTCGAGGGAGTCCGAGTCTGTCTCCGCAGATTTAGACTCTTCGTTTGACGAATCTTCGACTCCTTGCCCCTCCGAGGATTCTTCCTCCTGTCCTTCAGACTCGCCTTGTTGGATCATCATTGAATGGTATGTTGCAGCGCGTTGGAAGCGGGAGGTGAGAGGTTCATTTTTTCGAGTTTTTTGGACATCACAGTATGATTGTGGGATGAGCTCCCATTCTCGAACGGATGTTTCCTCGACTTACTCATCAACCAGTTGCATGAGGAACCTGTCCCCTCCAGCGGCAAGGGAATTCACTACTCTCCACGTGATGACAATCATGGCCGCGTAAAAGAGCGCCCACCAGAAACCCAATGAGTATGCAGCCCTCAGAAATTCTTGGAGGAAACTGAACGCTGTGCCCCCTGGGCCCCCATGGGGGTCTGGAGTTGGAAGCACTGCATGCGGTTCATAGGCCGACGTCGGGAGCCGAAAGGCGCTAGTCGGGAGCCAGTCTGAAATCTCTCGAGGTTATTTGCACATTTTGTGAAATACTTGGAGTTGGTGTATTGTATTACTATGTCTAAGGTTGGAAATCACCTAAGTAGAGGGGGGATGTTCATGCACCTGAGGAAAGTGCAACTACGAGGCAAGTGCGAAGCGAAAACCAATTTGATCACTCGACCCTTATTATCAACGGTTCATACCGATGTCATTGTAAATGTAGATTTGACTCGACAATGAATCGACCTTGGTGAGCAGAATCTTAATCAAATTCAACTCAATTTTTACTGCCAGGATACCGCTGTTTTTTAACAACAATTTCGCTGTCTAGCCTATTCATAGACTGACTCCTTCCAAACATACAATAACATTTTCCACACAACACTTTCAGCAACTATATCTTGCATTTATCACTATGAAAATATTTAGGTAATATCTTTTCAGACTCGAGTGTATCCATGGATCGTAGAATTTGGTACGTGTAATTAGTAATTAGCCTTGTGCAGGCTTTCACTCCGCACTTGACTCGTGATTGATCAAGTACTTCAACTTTGTTGCGGTTCATCAATACCTCCCTTCTATTTAAACGGTCAATCTAGTCTCCTAAAGTCATTTTACGAGATTTGCCGCGTCTCCTGCCGCCACGATTGTTCCCGCGACCCAAGAAACCAGCATGGCGCAAAGCGCAGATGGCGCGTCGTGGATACAAAACCTCTTGACTTGGGCGAACAGCTCTCCTTGGGACTGGATCCTCGCCGGCATCGTCAGCTTCGTGGGAATCAGGCTCGTTGAGATTGTAGTGCGTCCGCTGGATAACTGGCTGAATAACTGGACTGATCGGTAAAGAAACCCCACATCTACTCGAGGGTTGGAAATCCGAGGTGTTAAATTGAAACTCATGTGGATTGCAGCTACATTGCTCGTTGCATTGCTGCACGTCGCGCGCGAGCAACTCCTGATGGGTCCGCGAGTCCTGATCAACCAGCGGATCCTGTTGCTAAATTTGAGCGGTCTGACGAAGCCGATGGAAAGTCCACGGGTATTCTCTTGAGCCTACGGAGTGAGAGAAGCGGATGGAAACACTGTTGAGTGGGAAGTTCGTCCCAACCCTCGTTTGCTGTTTGCGTAGATAGACCCTCGCTCCCGAGTCTCTTTTTCTTCTTCCCTCTCTCTCCCGCAGTCAATCGATCAGTTCCAGTCCGCTTCTTCTTCTCTCTAGCCCTGTAGGCCAAACAAATACTCTTCCTCAACGCTGATGTAGAAAGAGGAAGGGGGGTGGACAGAAAACATGGACACGAGGAAACATTCCGTCTGCCTCGGTTTCGACATGCAATATTCTGTCACCGCCCGTCCGTATGCAACCATATTGGTATTTCACTGTACGATCTATTTCTTTAGACTTCGGCTTTTGGTTCCCTGTCGCACCCTCGGATGTTGGGAGACGACATACTAACTCCTCGCAGCTCTGTTTTGCAGGGGAAATATTCCATGGTAGAAGGAAGCACTAAAAAACAAAAACATACAACAGTGAGGATTCGCTGGTGGTCACCCACCCAACTACTAACTCACCGGCGTGTGGCTTAAGTACGGCTGAGCGGACGGGAAGCCCTGTTCTCCACACCCTGTGGTCGTATGTACTAGTTCAGGGTTTGAGAGGGAATATATCAGACCCGAGTGAGTGAATCAGGAAATTCGTGATGCACGCGACCGCCACAACATTCGAACCCAGGAGCAATCATCAAACGTTAGAATCGGATTTTGTTGGAATAAATACACAGATGGAAGCTTAAAATGGGAGGAGAGCTTTTTCTCGGGCATTTTTCAAGTTCAGCAGCCTTAAACTTTAAAATCACAGCAAGCCTTGCTCACATTTGATTTAACCGTTGCTGAAATATACATCCGACGTTTCAACTTAGGAAAAACACCCATCTGTAGTAAAGCTCGACTTTTCCGTTTAAACATCCGTAGACGGAAAATATGAGATGAAAAGGGGCTTGGAAACATACTTCAAAGAATCTTAAAAAAAAAAAAAAATACTATGTATCTCGATCTACGTCGCAAAAAACGCGATTGGTATGGTACTCGAGCAGAGGCAGCACATCAAAGCCCCTCAAACGGTCGCTTTCCTTAAGCATATGATATACCCCGCATAGTTTATCGCTGCGACCTACTTAACTGCCGGCGTTGCAGGTCGGATAGAAATAGCGATAAATCTGCTTCCAGTCACATCGAATTCGGCCAGATCTCCAACACAGCATTGACACATCACCGATCTAGAAAGGGATCCCCCAATACCAGTACTCATTTCAACATCTATACACAAGGCGCACATAATAAACCATATTTTGATCTGGCACACTTCGAGTCTGTGTACTTAAGTAGTGGAAGATGATTACAGAATACGGTTGAAGCTCTGTCTTTGCGAGCGAGGTCTCAATGTTTGAGAGCCTGCGAGTTGAAAAACCATTGATTCCTCGATTTACTTGTCTTTGTTCTTCATTTCTTTTCACTCAAGTACATCAATGTGATGTATATATTCCTCAATATCTTCGAGCCAGGCGTCAATAGCTCCCTAGGCCTCAACATTATCTCCAAAAAACATGTCTGATATAAACACTCCAATCAGCGCTGCCTACATGAATAGTCCAGTTAGCAATTTGAATTCTTCAACCCTGGAGCCCCGTAGAGACTACTATGGTTACTACTCAAGCTTACAATTGACGCGTCCAACCCTTCTGCCAAACGAATGTCCAGGATACGTCTGGGTGGGACGTAATCATATGGGCTGTACATCATGTGACCGACAGAGCGATTTAACTCCGGATTCTCCTGAATATGGGCGGCCTTTTGATCCCCAACCAAGACGTCAAATGTGTAAAGAGCGGTTTTTCGAAAAACCTTCAGGGTGACCTTTTTCTCAACGTCGACTCCCTTGGCCCCCTCGATAGCGGGAGCTTGATTTTCTGCAATGTTCAGAGTAATTTTTTTCGAAGGACCCTCCATGTATATGGATGCCAGATTCTTGGAGTCGTCTCCAGGCAGTCGGACTTTCCACGGCCTTATGAAGAATCCTGCCCGACGAAGTTCAAAAAGCGGGAGGCCGCTCGCGTCACGAAACTCGCGGCCTGGACTGTTTCCATATTTTCGTCCTGTCACTGAAAGCACCGTTGAGCCAGTGGACACGTTGTTGATGGTGTATTCGCTTGCGGACTTTCTGTTGGCCCTAGGGTATAAACGAAGTTCGGTTTCTTCCGAGGCAACGAGTTCTGATCGGATAGCAACAGGATCAGACAGCGGTTGAAGAGCATGATCACGGGTGCGAGATGTTGACGCTATAGAAGACATTCTATCTTTTTCTGGAACAGAATCGGAGGGTTCTATCACGCGTTTTGAAGTGATGTTTTTCTTTGCCCCTGCCCGGGTATAGGCGATACGTGTCTGAACGGACGTGAATGTGGGGGCTGTTCCGGCTACGGTGGGGGTGGGGGCCAAGCCGGTGGACAATGGGGGAAATTTATTCCACCCGAATCTCTCTTCCAAGCCTGTTCTATAACCTTGAAACAAGCTGCAACTTTTCTACTCTGCCGAATGCAGATTGATAAATTTTGATGCTATCAACTGCCGTCAAAATGATCCCAAAATGGCAAAATCCTCGAGGGACTTTCACCTTACTTCTATGGTCTCTTCTATTGATCACTTTTCCGCTTATGATATGGAAGGCATTGTGTGTCTTCACTGGCTCCTCACACCCTATAATGGTGGTCATTTCGGAGTCTATGGCACCAGCATTCACTCGGGGTGACCTCATTTTCTTATGGAATCGCCAATCATGGGTTCACGCTGGCGAAATCCCTGTCTGCTGGTTTCCAGGAAAGCCACTCCCAATGGTTCACCGGGCTATCAAATCTGTGTGGCTCGACGGCAAAGAGTACGTCTCCCACTCGTGAAATGATTTTAACGTGGAAAGAAGCTGATTTGTGGCCTTGTCGCAGACAATTCACCTTGACTAAGGGAGATAACAATGATGGCGATGACGTACCACTTTATCCCCCAGGCCAGCTGATGGTAGGCCGCGATGAAGTTGTTGGAGTAGTCAAAGGCTATCTGCCATATTTAGGATGGCTTTCGATTGGGTTACAGGAAAATCCCCTAGTCACAGGATCAGTGATCGGGGGTTTGTTATTACTGGCAGCTGCTTAAGAGGCCCAATTAAAATAGAAACAAGATGCAGAAGCCTGAGCGTGCCACTTCATGTGAAACGACTAAAGGAAATTTACTAGGATCAATGACGTCATGGAGACATTGGAATGTGTAAATAGGAGAAAACTGTATAGGACTATAGGATCGACCCGAGGATGAGAGCTGTGCGGCAGTGGTCACCCAACTGACGTGTATGAAATTTTTCCATTGCAACTTTGAATCAGTGTCGGAGGAATCCCGCTACCTTCAGATGTCGAGATGGCCAATTAGGCTGAATCAGGCTTGGCCCCCACGATTGACATTGAGTTAGGGTTGGGTCCCTGAGGCTTGGCACCCGAAACCGAAAGTCTGTCCCCTCGCTCGGGCTCCACTGAGTATCCCGCAGCTCACCCCGGGCTCCACTGAGGCTTATGCCTTGCCAGCCCCCACGTTGTAGGGAATGAATTCAAGAGCACTAGCGCCATCTAGCTTGACCCTTGCGCCATGTGGGAACGCTTTCCTGCAGATGATTAAATGCCATACATACATCCATTCACTGTAGATCACTTCTATCATAGTACTACTCGTATGAGACATTTAGATCCCACGTAACCAAACAAGAAAATTATATCATCCAGATTTGTACATTGTAACGTTCCACTTAGTGTATGGGGGCCGGCACTAAGCGACTTTAGACAGTCCGCAGTGAATTTTGCCGTACTCCCATTTAGGAACACTCCAAAACAGAAAAGTGAAGACCCACATAAAGCCTGCAAGTCGAAGCCACAGACCCTGCGTTGCCCCGTTCTTTCCCGTGCGCAACCACCGTGACAATGGCTTCGTCACTATGGTCTCTCCTCCAACCACAACCCCGTTCAGTAAAAACCACTGGATATCGCCCCAGTACCCGCAGCCAGTTGCATACCAAGTGACTAGTGCATGTATGGCGCCTGAAAGTAGGAACACAAGCATCACAACCAAAGCCCGCTCGCCACGGGACCCAGGTGAAATCCGAAACACCTTGCGAGAAAACAATAGCCCCCACGTAGTATATGGCCGGTAAACGAGACGATGCCAGAAACGCCCCCAAAAACGGCGCATGCTCCACGCCTCAAGTGGGCTACCAAAGAACGGCCGCCACTCCCAGGGTTCGTCCCACCGAAGGATTACCGAAAAGAAGATGGCGAGTGTCGTTTGAGCATAACAGAGACCGATATAGTTATCCCAGATCCAGCGAACGGAAAAGGCAGCCCTAAGCATGGTTTCAAATCTGGTAACTGGGGGTCCGAGAATGAACCTGCGAAAGTAGACCATCTTCGTTGGTGAAAAGTCATCCGCCGAGACTGGTGCAAAGCTCAATACGAAGAGAGGATTAATTACAAACTCATTGATCACCTGAAGGAGAAGTAATTGGCCTAGCCGTCGGCGAAGGAATGCGATGCGTGACGGGCTCGTGCCCACTGGACGGGCATGGGGGACTTCGCGGTGGGTGCCAAGAAGCTGTGGGTTGACGCAAATCTTGTAAGCGCCACGAATATCCCAGCCTTGACATCCATGGCTGGACTGCAATTTCCATTCGTCGATGTATAGCACAGCCGTGTTGTGGATGACTTGTGATATGAGGGCATGGCCCCAAAGTTGACCGAGCCCGGGGAGAATAGCGTCAAGTCCCTTACTGGTGACGAACCCGATAGCACCACAGAGGACAATTGGTAAGCAAAAGTGCAGTCGCTTCCGCTGGGTTGTATTCAGGGCAACGCAGGCGAGAAAGACTGAGAGAGAGCCCGAAATGGCAGACACAGTGGCGAGCAACATGGCCTGTTGGTGTTATTGAAGAAGTGTGACATGTAAATGAACTGCTTTCCTCGTGGGCTATGTATAGATAACCGGTGATTTTGTTTATACACACCCGACCAAACATGTGACGACAAGCGCACACGCGATGTGGGTCTCACAGGAGGATCGACATGATTTAGGGTGGCCCCCACGCGAAGTAAGACCGAAGCGAGGGCGTTGAAACGGTATAAAGGCGGCTCCACTGCTAAAATTCTGGCCCCCTTTCAATTTCTGAACATTTCCTTGACCTCAAATCCCCGGTATGACCTCCCTGAGCGCGTGAACCTTGGCGCCGTAAGACGCTGATGATCTCATAGCTGAAATATTACACCCATCACAGAAGTCACCATGTCGAAAATTCCCGTGGAGACCCCATTCGATCACTCGGATCCAGAGATGCAGTCGCCCCCAAACTATCAGAGGCAGAACGTCTTTGTGCGCATCTATTCCCGTCCTTTCAGGGAACTTTCCGCGTGGGAGATCTTTTTGCGGTTCACCATTGCCATTTTGGTTGGAGCAGTGATTGGAGCAATCATTGGGGTCATCGTACGTTTTGCCTAGTTCAATGGAGACTTTTGTGAATAGCGTACGGGGACCTTGTGCCTGGGACTCAGCAGGTCACCCAACACCACCAAATTTAACTGTTCACGTATTCATGAATACTATATCAAATGGATTTGATAATGTCCCGCAACTCAAGGTTCCAAGATGGTTGTAAAAAGCCTTGGAGAGGCAGCAAAATCCATGATGGCTTTGGATTTTACCAAGGGTCGCCAGATACACACATGGGCAGGGCGTCATTTATCTCTGACTCGGTATCTATTTCCTGATTATTTGAACTCATTGATGTCATACTACTAGAGGTGAGAGAAACAAGCCATGTAAAGTGTACTGTGCTGTATTGACTATCTGAAAGAAAAGGAGAAACAAACCCCCCCTGGAAAGAGAGAAATTCCCAAGAAGCAAAAACATTCACACCCATGTAACCTGCTTTCCAAGGTTTCTGGATGGCTTTCACCAGAAAGAAACATGATCACACTCTCTAGTTACCCTGTCTCTGGTCCAAGGCATCCTGCAGCTGCTTCAGCTGGTCTGTGGAGAGATTGTGGTATTCCAAGCTAGCGCTCCCTGTGATGATCATGTTAGCAACCCCGAGCTCTACCAAAGTGGATCGATTTGATATCAGCATACCCATGGGAACTGGATGGATCTCGCCAGAGTTGTCATCCAAGAAGACATTTGCAAGTGTCATACAAGACGAGGGAACATCGTCAAGGCGGACGCCGTTGTTATCCAGTGGGGAGAAAGTGACAGTGACGTCCTGGAGCTGGGACTTGCACTGGTCCGCAGCTGGCTGGGGGAGACCGGCAAAGGGGTCGTCATCACGACGGTAGATAGGCCTCACATCACGGTAGTTGATTTCATTGAAGGCCTTGCCAGCAAATCCTGCACCAACGCCTCCCAAAACAGCAGGGATAAGGACGTTGACAGGTGCAGGACTCTGCTGGACGCAGGTCAGGAGGGCGGCGACGGAGGCAAGGGCTGCTGGTGCGGTCTTCATTGTTACTTGTGTGGATTGATGATGGAAATGGTTCTGATAGAAAGGGGTAAGTGAGCAGAGAGTCTCTTGCCTGATATATAGATATTCGGCTTCCACATGTAGACCCTGAATGGTCCCCGAGTGGACCCCGAGGTCTGAAGGAATGAGCCCTGCAGCATCAGTATGCACGAGACACAGCCTACTCGTAGAGATGCCGAGACCTCACCACGACTGGTATCCAAGGAATTGTACTGCGGGCTGAGAATCAAGCAATGAGAGTAGTTCGGTGATCTCATGCGCCGAGGACTTTGGCTGCGTGATTTTTTGTAATTCCTTTTGCCCCCATTCGCATCAAACAGCCCCCAAAGAAGATGGAGTTGCCAAGAATACCCCCACATTAGCGCGCTTCTTCACGACTTCAGGATATCATCGAATGAGTGTCATCCAATTCACTCAACATGAGAGGATTGGGGGCGAATACATGCCAAGGCCTATCCACGGTATCGTTCGGTTTCGGGATCATTGTATCACTGAAGCATGATCGTCCAGAGCACGCAGGGTGAGGACATTGGGGGCTGGTTTTAGGACAACAGCTCCTTTGGCCGACTAAACTGGGTCTTGATACAGCAGCCCCCAAGTGCAATGTGTGAATACTCTTCCACAGAAAGTCACGCTCACCATGTAACCCAACGACCATTGTTTGACCCTCTCTCGGTGGGGGCTGTTTGCGTTGGAAATTGACCTAGACGTCACTTGTTCAAGTGAATATCAGGAGGTCAATGCTAGACAGCGAGATATAAAAGACCTCTTCCTCTGCTGTCCAAATCAATCCATCCATCAGCCTCTGACAATCAACTCTTCCACACTCCTCATTTCAATCAACCTTTCGTTCCGTCGAACTTCATTTCATCAATCATCAAGATGCACTTCTCCGCTATCGCCGCCGCCTCTGTTGTCGCTGTCCTCTCTCAGGTTCAGTATGCTCCCGCTCCCTTCGTGGCAGGTCTTGGAGCTGTCCTGGGTATGGAGGGCGCTGCCATTACTGCAGCTGATGGAACCCTTGCCACTCTCGGTAGCGGTGCCATTGCCGGTGGAGTTGGCCACATCAGCCGCCGTATGAGCCGCTCTCCATTCGTCTCCAAGCGTGTCGACCTGCCCCCTGGTGTCTCCCAGGAGTCCTTCCAGCAGTGCCAGGACCAGCTCAACGGCGATGGCGTCCACGTCACGATCTCCGGATCCAACCCCGACAGTAAGCCCCTCCACTGGAGTCTTGAGTCTTAATCTTTGTGGAATAAAAATACTAACAAAAAGTCAGCTGTCCATGTCGAGGGCGTTCCCCCCGCCTGCATGAACCTTGCCACCGTTCTCACCGGTAACCCTACCCAGGAGGGTGGCCCCCGCCCAACTCCCATGGGCTCGGACAGCCTCGACTACAGCGGCGTTTCCGATGATGACCTCCGTCAGCTCGGCCAGGCCCTTCAGGACAAGGGTGTTGCTCTGCCCAAGGCCAACTAAACAGACTAGATATTGATCAGGCTCTAGGTTCGGAAGAACTTAGAGCACCGTGGCCCTGTTATTTCCTGTATATTGTCTGGGCTTACTCGCCTTTGCCGAGGATGATAGGTGATCTTCAATTATATCCTACATTGTGGGAAAATGTACATACCTCTCGTTTGTTGTTTTTTTCAAGATCGAAAATGGGAAACACAGTGAAGTTCCGACCCGCAAAGTGATTTAAAGTCTTTCTAAAATGAGAAAACCTGTTTTGCATCTATATCCATGGATATTTGCATTAGAGCCTATGCCCATGATTGCACGATGCCATTCCTCAAAATCGCCATCGTCAGTAAGAACAGTCCTGATCTTGTACAAAGTGAAGGTCTCTGAGTCAGGAAGTCTGACGGATTGGTCCTTCTGTGCCTCAACCTTGCGTCGATCCCGAACAATCTTCTCCCAAACCTCAGGATTAGGATGACCAATACGGGCCATCGTGGCGGTTGATCGGGGATTCGGTGACGATCAGACAAAGTGAAGTAAGGGGTGAGGTGGGGTGATTAACCACCCCCCTTCCCTCGATCTGGTTTCAGAGAAAGCGTGTAGAATAGCGTATTCTGAACAGAGAGGATCTCATAACCTGTTGAGCCTAGGGAGCGAGAGAGAAGAAGAAGCTGACAGAACCGATTGTATTGACTCTCTGGGAGAGAGAGAGAGTATGAAGAACAGAGAGGTGGGGAGCGGATCTATCTACAAACAGAAGGTTAGGACGAACTCCCTACACAACAATGTCATGAAAGCAAGTTTTGAAATCGGATAGCAATAGGCATTTTGAAAGGATATCAAAGCAAAGAGAGTCAGTCAGAGGAAGGGACAGACATGCTTGCTCAGAATAGGAACCTATCTCGAAGCGAGGTAAAAAGAAATGAGAAGATCAATCATCGCGGATTGTGAAGTTGATGATTGTCAGATATGTCACTAAGGCGAAGCCTACTATGCTCTACTAAGTCAAGAGAGGAAGAAAGGTCCAAAAGACTCAGACATTAAAGCTATAGAGGAAAAAGAAGAAGAGCAAGGGCAAAGAGCATGCTTTATAGCAAAAAGGCAGCAAACGAACAAGCAAGCAAACATATGACATGTGATGCATGACAAGATAGATTCGCTGACAACTCCGTCTCAAATGTTCCTTTTCCCTGGGGAGGAATCCCGGGGGACACCGCGTGGAGGGCTGTTTTCTCCTGCGGGAGGGAGGTTGGGGTCCATGGATTGCATGGGTCGGAAGGGCATCGTCGTCGGCTGCTGAGAGCGGGTCAGGATGTTGGAATTTACATGAGCGACAAAGGTGTAAGCTCCATTGTTATGGGGTAACATCCCCCACAGTTCAGTAGGCAGAGTGAGCAGGAGCAGACACGATCCTTGAAAAGCTGCCTGAACGGTGACATTGGCGTCGAAGACATCGGGAGGGATGTGCGATTCCAACCACGCATGCCACAAAGTAATATCATGGGGCATATTAGCCCGGACCCTCACGCTGAGCAGGACTTGTGGATATTGCCGTGCTGTGGAAGGACGGGTCATTGCCCTTTGCGGACCGAGGGGAGCCAAAGTCACACTTGGCAGACTCTCATGTGGAATGTACACGGGGCTTGCTCCAATTTGGTTTTGGTGCGCACGACGGTAAATTATTCCATACAACTGCGCGAGAGTTGCAGGACTGCCATTCAGATCACGGAGGGTGTCAAGCAAGACTTGCGTCAAGGACCAAGCCTGCTGCGCGGTGGCAAAGCCCCCCCACCCGCAAGAAGCGAGAAGCTCACCCCCACCGTGGTCTCCAAGTGCTAGAGATCCACCGGAGCAGCAATCGAAAATGTAGCACGTTTCTCCAGGATAGTTGTCATTCAACGTGCCTCGGAGCGTCCACCATTCCAATCTGGGTCCGTGCAGATGGCCATAATGATTAACTCGGCCCCTATGGTCAGTTTGTTAGTAAACATATCAAAATTGAAAAACCGCTGTCGAACTCACGCTAAATACCACTGGGTATTCCTTGTACCACCTGCACTTGCATGGCCAGAGTATATTACGATGCGTAGGACTCGCTCTCCCTGATTAGCTCTGAGCCACCCGTCGAGAAAATTCGTAACTGTCAGCTGGGTTGTAACCAGTGGAATCACATAGGATTGGGTGGTGAACCTATAAGTCCTTTCAAACAGGCGAAGCAGTTCTCCTTCCATACGCTCCACCCCCATATCATCGTTTTCCCAATGTAGGGCCAGGACCGCAACGTGGTCATACAGTCCGTGGCGTGTGGCACGAAAGAGGGACGTAGAGAGATCTCTGGCCAAAACGTCGAGGGTAGTGGTAGCGGGACTTGTTGCAAGCGCGGCATTGGGGTGCGACGATGACATATTGGGCGTATTCCGCTTCACAGAGATAGCCTGAGAGTGAGTTCAGAGGTGGAATGTAACAGGTTTCAAAAGATTCCAAGCTCCAGAGGAGACAAGGAAATCGACGTGAGGCGAGTAGTTTTGAGAGTCCAAGCTCCAAAGGAGACAAGGCAATCAACGTGAGGCGGGTAGCTTTTTAAGAATCCAAGCTCCAGAGGAGACAAGGAAAGCGACCAGAGACGGTAGGCTGGGATATGTAGCCTCAGAAAGAACACAGAGACCGACGAGAGAGACCAGAGTCGACGCGTGAGGGACACAAGTACAGCTCAAAGGTGCGAGATGGAAAGTCAGGGGAGTTGAGAGGGGGAAAGTAGAGCTTTGCAAATGGCAAGCGCAGTAATGGTAATCCAGGGCCCCAGGGTAACCACGGGTCACTCTGACTCACTCACCGAACCTCGTTTACACAAAATGAAAACGCAAATAACGCTCTGACAACATTTGTGACATTAGAACTGAAGTTGATTGGCCTATTTTAGTCAAGGTCGTCCCCGAACTCAAGCTGAGCTATAGCCGCATCTATCTTTGCCGATCTGGCCCTCAACTCGTCCTGCTCTTCATTCCATTTATCCAGCATGGCGTTCAGCATCTCCCGCCTCTTGTTCATGGCATCATGCTCAGCGTCCGCGGCCTCGCGATCCAGCTTCAACTGCCCCCGGTCCGAGGCTATCTTAATGACCCCTCCACCGATTACCTTGGAATCTAGTGAAACACTAACGGTCCCACTTTGTTTCACTTTGCGTGGCGAGGCCGGTGGGCGGGTAACTGGGGATGCTTTGCGCGGCGAAGCAGCATGTTGGGGGACCGGGGGAGCTTTGCGCATGGAAGAAGCTGGCAGGGAGACCATGGCCTTCGGGTTTCGGGCTCCATCGACGCGCTCAGCGACAGTCTTTTCCCCCTCCCATTTCAAAATGTCATTCTTGGTAAAGACATCTAAGAGGAAGCTACCTAGGTAGCGACTGGAGCCGTCTTTGGCAGCCTTTGCCCATCGCTTGTTCCAAATCCCGAGATTTGCAACGACAATGAGCAACTTCTTCGCGCGGGTAAGCGCCACATTCAAACGATGGTAGCTGGCAAGAAAGCCAACCTCACTCCTGTCACTGCTACGAGGCTTAGTGAACATGAATATGATCACATTGGCCTCCTGGCCCTGGGATCCGTCGATAGTCAAACACCGGTCGTATTTGACGCCTTCCTCGACAAAGCGCTTATTGACGAGTTTGACCTGTTCTTTATATGGACAGATCAATACAACATCCCTAGGGGTGATCCGATCCTTGCTGGATGGATCGGCATATAGTGCGCGCAGGAAGGTGATCACGACACTGACATGTGCCTCGTTGCACCAGGACGTACTGCCTGGAGGCTGTTCCGCCTTTCCATCGGCGTCAATTACCACCCGGCGCTTCCCAATTAGACCGGCCCGTTTGAAATGGGCATGGGAGGAGACAAATGCATCCCAGGCGTTACCCACACGATCAGCCATAACATTCTGTTCGCTGGCGGTGATCTTGCCCTTGTAGATAGCTGATGCAGGCCAATCCAGGATTTGAGGATGGCACCGATAGTTAATCTCCAGCAAGGTAAGAGGGTAAAGATCTGAGAGACGGGACATGAGGGATTTGCCCAGGTAGTTTGCTCCTTCGTTCTCACCCTTTGAGAGTACGGTGGGAGGGAGTTGCTCAGGGTCTCCGATCAGAACAATCGTACGCAATGACAAAAATGAAGTCATTGGGATCATACTGTCCCCTTCTAGACATTGGCCAGCTTCATCGCAGAATAGAGCATATGGCTCGAATGCTAGCTGGAGGTTTGGATCGCCGGAAGCGTTTAGCGTGGCGGCAACGACCTTACAGCGTCCAAGGGCACGACGAAGCACACTCTCATAGCTCCGGGTCAGTTTGAGTATCTGCTCCTTGTCCAAGATCCTTCGGCGGTCTTCATCCAGCATGTCGAGGAGGCTCTTAGCTTCTGGCACTCGGTCGTAGGCATCTGTAGCCATTTGAACCACTAAGGCTTCGATCTGACAATCTGCGAGTGCTTCTTCGACAGATGATTTCCGGTTAGTCTGACCTCCTAGTTGCCGAGATTTGCTTGGGCGACGAAGAACAGCCATTTGATAGGCAGGAGTTCGGAATCGACAATACTCTCCGCACCATCCTTGCAGCCGTCTATCCTCCTTCAAAGCCTCATGATAGGCCAGAAGCAGGGTGTCCACAGCTTGATTGGAGCCCGAGGCAGGCAAGAATCAGGATCATTACCAGTGTTGTCTGGGTTTTCCCATTACCTGGCGGCCCTTTAACCAGATGAACACCAGCAACGACACGGAAGACCGAATTATAGACCGCTTTAAGCTGCGAGCTATCCAACTTGAACTTCTTCTGGATATACTCAAGCCGTTCATCTTTCACATTCTGGTCCAAAACGGAGACCTCGCGCACATCTAGCTCAAAGTAGTGTTTGCTTTCAGGGCTTAACTCTGAGCCATGTGCCAGAATAGTCCGTTTCAGAGAGTATCCATGGCCCTCGGTTTTATCTGAGTCGCCAAACGTGACAATTCTCCCTGCTAGGGCCAGTGCGTCGATCTGAAGAGTGGTGGACTTGAGGTTTACTGTGACAGTAGCCTTGATCTTCCTCATCTGGCCGTCCATAGAAGAGTCAAAAGAGGCTCGTGTCAGGATTGCAAAGTCTGCTCTACTGGATTGGATACAGATACCATCACCAGTGACCAGCGTACCGGTTGCACTTTCCCCTGAGCCAGCCGTATTGACCTGGTACTTGGCCTTGATTCCTTCAGGTGGATCCGGCTTTGGGTCGGCGTTCATCCACACGTGCAACTGCCAGTAGGCCTCCGTTGGTCCAGCGCGCTCAAGGATTACGTCGTGAATCTTCTCGTCGCAAAAGACTTTGTCGTACGTGGCGCACTCGATATGTTGCTCTATGATGGCGGCTTCGACCAGGCGCGAACGGCGATCCTGCTCGTCCAGAAAAAAGTTGAGAGGGGAATCCCATGTATGATAGTCCCCGTCTTGATCAAAGAGCCAAGGGGCTTTGGGCCGTCGAGGCGCTTTGTCTGACTCTGGAAGCTGGTTTCGCTCGGCGTACCAAAGCCCACACTCTGGGTTGTTGGGCTTAAGGTTTGTGCGGACAAGTGTCACCAGCTTGGCGATGTGGGTCTGCATTATCCGAAACTCATCAAGGCATTTGTTGGGAATTTCAATCCAGATAGTAGCCGTTTTTTGGTTCCACTTGACCGCCTGCAAGGATTTCCAGCGCGCGGATAGGTCTTTGTTCAGTTTCCAAAACGGACCAGCGAAAACAGGATCAGCGGACGCGCTTAGCTGAAAGAAGCAGGCTTGGTAGTCCTTCTTCAATTGGGGTGCAGACTTTTGGTGCGTTTTAATGATGTTGTCGGTCTCGCGACTGTCACCCTGAAGGACCAACTTGAAGGCTGCCCGTGTGGCGGGGAATATGACATGCGTCCGGTCGAACTGAACATCAAGCCAAGGTTGCTTTGAATCCAACCGAATTCTTAGACTGGCTGAGATAGAACTGGCAACACCCTCTATCTTGATTGTACAAGCACGGGTTCTCTTGAGTTGCTGGTCAAGTTCTTTTGGGTAGTCAGCCCCAAGGGGTAGGCTAAAGAACTCGGGGACATTGGCTGGAGCTGCCATCTTTAATTCAACTCTCGGTCAGTCGTGTCACACCAATCAACTATCTGGGGGAAACTCACTGTGATAAAAAGGAGAACAAGACTCAGCGACGGACGGGGGTTTAAAGGCCAAGCCTCAGAGAGGACAAGGCGTGGTGGCGGACGGCGGTTAAAAGGCCAAGCCTCAGAGAGGACAAGGCGTGGTGACGGACGGCGGTTAAAAGGCCAAGCCTCAGAGAGGACAAGGCGTGGTGACGGACGGCGGTTGACGGGCCAAGCCTCAGAGAGGACAAGGCGCGGCGACGGTGAGCTGAGGTGCGGTGGAGCACAGGCAGCAGACGACAGGTCTCAACGCGTTGATTCTCAAGTGTAGAGCAAGAGAGGCTGTACGCAGTGAGTGTCAAGTGAGAAAGAGAAGAAGTTTCGAGACGCGTGTTGGAAGGTGAGGAGAAGGAAGGGAACATAGGTGAAGAGGCAGAAGAAAATCAAGATTTGCTGATATAGGCAACGCATACAATTGTACTACCCCTTCTCTACGACGCAACTGATTCTCCTCTCACACCCTCTACGTTGCTATGGAATACACTGAGAGACGAGCTACAATGAAATAAATCTCGTCAATTCCTAAAACCTACTTAGAATACAACTACAACGATTCCTCTACGACAAATGCCCCAGATCGGGTGGGAACGAAGCAAGATACCGAGCATGTCGGCTAAGTTGAACGAACTTAGTTTTCTTCTTGGGGGCTCTTCAGCTGGGAGAGGCTATTGAATCAGAATACTGCTTGAGCAAAAATTGTGTTGATTGATTGGGAGAGAAGAGAACACATTGGCCTCCTGGTCCTGGGATCCGTTGATAGTCAAGCACCGGTCGTATTTGACGCGTTCATGGGCGAAGCGCTGATTGAGGCGCTTGAACTGTTCCTTATAGGGACAAATCAATACAACATCACTGGAGCTGATCCGATCATTGCTTAGTTCGGCCCCTATAGTCATTTTGTTAGTAAAAATCCCAGAATTGGAAAACCGCTGTCGAACTCACGCTAAAAAACCCGCCGGTGTCCCTTGTTCCCCCTTCACGCGCATGGCCGGAGTATATTATGATGCGTGGGACTCGTTCTCCCTGATTATCTTTGAGCCACCCGTCGAGAAAGACCGTAAATTCTAACTGGGTAGCAACCAGTGAAGATGTCAGTGTAGGGAGAGCTTTTGTTGAATCTGTAAACCGTTTCAAACAGGTGAAGCAGGTCATTTTCCTTAACGTCCACACCTAGATCATCGTTGGCCCAATGAAGGGTTAGGACGGCAACCTTTTCACGGAGTCCGTGACGTGTGGCACGAAAGAGAGACGTAGAGAGATCTCTAGCCAAAAAGTCGAGGAAAGTGGTAGGGGATTTATTACCAACGCGCATCTGACTTGAAATTTCCATAGTGCTTTGGACAACGTATAAGGCCACTAGCGTGGACGAAGCGGTCCTTATGCCTTGCAGATGACTCTTCTATTGCCTCGCAGCCCTCTACCTGGCACTTGATGACAGCACCGGGTATCATGCCAGAGTGGACCTGTTGTCTATGCTCACGTCTGCAAGCGTTGGCCACCATAGCTTCCACAAGTTTGGCTGTCGGAAGGTCCCCATGTGTTTTGCGCCATTGCCAGCACCTTCCACAGATGAATCCCTAAAATGGGTTATCTAAAACAAGAGAGTGACGGCTCTCATGCGCAAGAAACCCATGCCCTGATTTTGTGATATTCGGGCGGTGGGGAGTGCGACAAGGGAAATCTACTCGCTCAGGTGTCGTATCGAGGCTAGGAAGCGGCCAGCTAGGTTTCAGGAGATCACCAATATTGATGGACCATGAAAGCTCAACTGTGGAGGTCAATCGGCTATAGAACTGCCAAGTCGATATTTTCTTCGACGGCATATCGCGGGTGGGATAGATCTAGGAGATCCCTTTGCGGAGTTGGAGGCGGCCAAGTGCATTCTTGCAAATGCCTGTGAACAGAGCATTGGGCCGTAAATATTGGTCGTTAAGTGCTTGAGCGTCTCCTCTGGTGGTGTGATCTCCATGTCGCTCAGAGATACGTAACCGGCAGCGTTGATCAGCATGATTGGGAAAGCAAGATCTGATGAGCCTAGCTCAAAGTTGTTCTTCTCCAGCGTGGTGAATACCGACTGTACAGAATCCGCGGATGTGGTGTCGCATTCGGGCTGCGACGACGACATATCGCATAGATTGCGCATAGGAAGGTAATTACGACACCGATATGGTCGTCGTTGCACCAGCACGTACTCCCTGAAGACTGTTCCGCCTTTCCATTGGCGTCAATTACCAGTCGACGATTCCCAATAAGACCTGCACGCTTGATATGGTAAATAGAGGACACAAACGCGTCCCAGACGTTACCCTCACGATCAGCCATAACATTCTGCTCGCTGGCGGTGAACTTGTCCTGGTAAATAGCTGATGCAGGCCAATCCAAGATTTGAGGATGACAACAATAGTTAATCTCCAGAAAGGTAAGAGGATGAGGAAAATGGTTCAAAGGCCAGACCTCAGAGAGGACAAGACACGATGACGGACGAGGGTTTGCCGGCCTAGTCTCAAAGAAGAAAAGGTGCGGCGACGGCGAGGTAAGGTGAGGTGGAGCCGTAGTCTCAGAGAGAGTAGCGCTTCAGGCAGAAGAAGACAAGTCTCAAAGACGATGAGGAGAACGGAGAGTTGGCAGATTTCAACCAGGTTGTGAAATGTACTGAGGGCAAGACGCATTGGTTCTCCAGTGTAGAGCAAGATAGAGCTGTACGCGTTGAATGACAAGTGGGAAAGAGAAAAAATATTGAGACGCGTGTTGGAAGGTTGGTGTTATTCTTGTTGTTGTTGGGACTGGCTGGCAAGAGAGAAAAAGGGAACTGACTGAATTCACTCTCTGCGGGGAGAGAAAGAGAGAAGAAGGAAGAAGCTAGGGAGCTGGAGCTGTCTACATATGGGGTTGGGGCGAGGACCCTACACACAACCCAAAAAGCACCCCCTGGACAGCACCCCCAAATCAACATCTGATTCTCAAATACCCCGTTTTTGGCGTTTTTAGCATTTTTGTGGTTCATCCACTTATTCATCGTTGAATTCACCCTTCCCCCAGGTCTCCGAGGCTCATGCCCCGCCCCCTTCCTCCTGGGTTCTAAGACTCCGCACCGCTCAACTATTCCCATTTGACGACCATCTAACCCGTGGGATTGTTGAATAGGGGCCTCACATCGTAGCTATCGTAAGCCGTATTGAACTCCGCACCGCAAGAGTCTGGAGCATTTGATACCGCAGCACATCCACTGAATTCGTCGAAATTAAACGCCGGCGAAGTACTGTTGGGTGTACAACTTGCTGCATTCTTCTGCATAGTACCTTCAGTGAAAGGGCTGCACATTGTGGCTATCGTAAGCCGTATTGGACTCCGCAACGCAAGGCTTTGGAGTATTGGATACTGCATTGGTTCCACCGAATTCGTCAAAGCTAGACGCCGTATCGAACTCCGCACTACAAGGCTCTGGCGTATTGAATACTGCAGCACATCCGTAGAATTCGTCGAAGTCATTGCATACCGACAAAGCACTATTGACCATAGCACTTGCATTCTGCTGCATTGTACGTTCAGTGGTAGGGCTGCAGTCCTGGGAATCTTTATCCCTCGCAAAAAGTCGATCTCGGGAATCTTCGTTCATCGCAGAAGATCGATTTCGGGAATCTTGATTCATCGAGTAATTTGCCTTTGACATATGAGGCTTGTGAACCCATAGGCCTGAGGTAGAGACCCATCCGTCCGGGTGTCTTTCAGGCATTAGATCGAAGCATACTCTTGTCGAATAACCGTTTCGGGAGCAGTAGAAACATAGTCCTCTAGGTTGTTGAGCATCCACCCACTTCCTTATTCAATTTTCGATCTTGATTACATCGTGTGGTGTATTTAGGCGTTGGACAGGTTGATTAGGGGTAGTAGCTGTAGCGATAGCGATAGTGAGCTTGCTAGGGGTGGAGACTTTCCTTGCCACCGCTACGCCCGCGAAACCGGCTTGCTTTTCCCTAGAAGCAACTCGATCGAGTATACTCCGACGATTAGAGAAGAAGTTATCCATAGTATAAGTCCATAGGAGGGTTCGGATCTTAGTGCGTTCGTCGTCGATGTTTTCCCATGTGCCAACGAAGGCGTGATCAGTCTGAAGCACACCGCCGGGATCGAGTTCGGTGGCTATAACAGCGGTTCGGGGGGATTCGGTGATGATTCGGCAAAGTGAAGTCAAAGTGAGATCAAAAAAGTAAAGTGAGGGGTGAGGTGGGGTGTATTGAACAAAGTCAATTACCCTCCCTTCCTCCGGAGTAAATGGTGGTATCTTGCTCAGAAAAAGCGTGTAGAGGGCTCCATAAATTGTTGGGACTGGCTGGCAAGAGAGAAAAAGGGAACGGATTGAATTCACTCTCTGCGGGGAGAGAAAGAGAGAAGAAGGAAGAAGCTGGGGAGCTGGAGCTAGTATCTACTTATGGGGTTGGGGCGAATACCCTTCACACCAGTTGATTTTGTATTTATTGACATCCTGAGTGGGCAGGAGCTTCGCTCCTGCCTCTGGAATGGAGCGTGTTGGAAAGTGAGGAGATAGAAGGGAACATAGGTGAAGAGGCAGAAGAAACTAAAGATTTGCCAATTACAGGCTACGCATACCTTTTTACTACCCCTTAAAACCTATGAGTTTGTCCATCTGTTCCCTTCTAGCCTGCGAATTCCTGCATCCTTGAACATGGGGTTCCGTGGCAGATCGGTCTAACCTTTGCAGTCACGCTATATCACGTGATACTATTATCACCTGACCCAATTTCTTGCTTTCTTCGATCCTCCAACCCTTCTCATCGCAATAAACCACTCTACATCCACAATGGAGAAACTTTTGCCTAGCATGGAACCCCCAAGTGTGGGTCAAGCTACCAGCTCTTCTTTAGAAGAGACTACTAAGCTTTCATCCCCTTAGAACATCCAGCTGAAGGACATCAAAATCATCCCAAAATCGGCTCAGCCACTGAGATTATCATCTAATCCTACCGTCTATTGTCTAAAGCTTGAACATAATACAAACCCTGTGCTTCCTTAATTGATCATCGTCAAAATAGAAAAGAAAGAAGGGTTTCGAATATTTCAAAAGGAGATTGATATCTATAACAATTTGTATCTACTTTAAGGAATTGTAATTCCAACAATTCTTAATGAAAGATTTTTCTGTGGTCGCTGTATATTCTTTCTTTCTAATATAGACGGAAGAACTCTATATAAATCTGCTAAGGCCGATATTGATGAAAAGAAAATTAAAACTTATCTTAAAAACGTATTATATACTTTATAGGAATGCAAAGCAAAGTATAATAATAAGAATCCAAATAATTTTCTAGTTTGCTATAATCATATCGTTATTATCAATCTAGAAGTGGTGGAATTTCCTTTTGAACATTTATATTAGAAACGTAGCGTCAATTTTAGCAATGCGGAGTATTTGTTAAGCAGATACAGATATATAAGGAATCTAGATGGTTTTCAGTTATTAATAGATTTTCAAGATTCTATTTGAACCGTACTAGTGAACTAAATATGACTCTTGCTTGATGAAATTGTGAATCTTTTGTTGAGAGGGAAGGATGAGGTAGATTCAATCCGATGATTGGCAAAATCACATATTAACTAGTATAGGGATGAATCAAAGATATCAGCCTTCGTTGCACTAAATGCAAAATCGTAATCTCTATCATATTTTCAGTAAAGTAGTTTTCGAAATCAGCGATACCGCCACACTCCTTCTTAGTCTTTGGTTCAGTAAACTAATTTCAGATATTGTTTTTTAATAATGGTTTCGTAATTTAATATTTTTTTTTGTTATATAATTGTAGAAAACAAACACAATACAGAATAGAAATTGTTGATCTATACTTACCTTACCTGTTCATCTTCTCACCCGCCATCCAACTCACCTCTACTTAAGTACCACCCTCAACAACCGAATCACCCGTACTCACTCTAGTGAACTAAATCTTGCTGCTTTGAGCCATCAAAGCTTCCTTTCCATCGATCGCACTCTACGTGTGGCTTAAATACAGCTGAGCAGACGGGAAGCACTGTTCTCCACACCATGTGGTCGTATGTCTCAGATCTCGCATTGAAAGAAATTATATAGTAATGGAGAATCTTGAGAACCTACATAATAATAACCCGTGGACTTTGGAAGAGATGACACCCTCATGAGCCGATCGAGTTCTATCTTGAACTCGAACCTTGGAAACCTCACGAACCTAAGTAGATCTGTTTCCCCCCATTAAAAAGTCACATCCAGAAATTAAAAATAGAAACAGGGCATGCGGAAGCCTAGGAAACGGATGATCAACTTTTTGAAGTCCTTGAGTAGTTACACTTAAATCTTAGAAGATTTTTTGTCACCTTGTGACACACGGAAAGAGCCTCGGGTGCGGGGTGCATTGCCCTGCATCGTGTTCAAGCAGGGTGCGCTTAGACGGGAGCCGAGAAGCCGGCTGAAATATCAAAACTGAGCCGACTTCTTCCTTGATTTTGGTACATTCTTCACACATCTAAAATCATCATTTACTTCATACTAAGAATTGTGAACGAATTTTGTAGCTAGTGTTGAGAGGCTTGCGGGGTTGCGGGGTGGATGTAACGTCTTGGAGGTGGAGTACATTGGCAGTGATGCGCATGTCTCACCTACCATCCGTATTCATTGGGCGGGGAGGGAGCTCCCGGGCAGTGGCCTGACAATCCAAGACATGAAATGGATACATTGTCTTAGATTCAAGGCCTCCTAGGTCCTCAACATTACATCATTCCAACTATGTGGCCCGAGCAGCAAAGCTATATGAAGACTGCGAAATCCTTCCCTGGTCGAGATGGAAATTGATAACACAAGCTTCAATTGTAAAAAAAAGACCAATTCTCAACCATGAAGATCTCCATGATCACACTTAGTGCCCTCCTCGGCCTGGTCTCAGCCCAGAATGCCGTGGTGAAAAACCACTGTGCCACATCCGTATATGTGCAATCGTTCCCTTTCGATGGCAGCGCCCCTGGCCCCCTCACCACCGTCCCAAAGGGTGGAACATTCTCAGAGAAATTCAGAAAATCCGGGTCGGTACGTTACTTCATCTTCACTTATCACTCTACATAGCAAGGAAAACTGACCGCAGACTGAACGAGCAGACAGTCAAGATCTCTAAGACGAAGACGCTGAGTATACCTCTATTCTTTGGCTACTCATTCTCCACCAACCCAGACTACGCGTATTGTAAGTTTGCCCAGTCTTTCACTCAGAGAAGAAAGTTTGGTTAACCATATTTTTCTTTTAGATGAGTTCAGCACAGAGTGGGGTAACCCCTTCGCAGCAAACCCCAACTCGCTCAGCCCTGGAGATGGCTGTGAGGTCTTTGACTGTGCTGCCAATGATGCTGCCTGCTACAGTACCCCAGCCCACAAGAAGGTCTATGGGTGCCCCCAGCCAGTCACCCTGACAGCAGACTTGTGTCAGTAGCTTTGTCGCCTTCTCTCTGTGATCGTGATATTATGAGAAAGATCTCTGCTCTCGGGCTTCGGTTTCAAAGTCTCGAAGCCTGTCTTTATGATAACTATGTGTGAGAGAAAATGGTCTTAATAATTATAATGAAAGAAGAACATGACGAAAGAAAACAGCATCAGTAATGCCCTCTACAATCTTAATATTTGATAGTTATTCCCACTTCTTCAAGGAAGCGATTATTACGGAGAATTCGAGACTTTATTCCCTGACTAGCTACTGCTTTGGTGTCCTTGGATATCAAATCCACATGCATGATGTTGGGTGGGAACAATGAACTTGAAATTATCCAATAGTACAAATGGGAAGTAAAACAGCGACATATGCCGCAATTAACTTTGATTATAACTCATTGTGATTCATTATCCATGGATGTAAGCTGGCACATTGCCAATATACAGAGGTACAGACTCGTAGTAGAGCTGTGAGTTTTGGCGAATTGGGCTGAGGCATGACACAGTCAGGGTATTCTGGCCAATTGGGAACGAGCAGGGGTCCGTCAAAATATGTAGGATAAAAAGTCTGGTTGATTGTTACAGGATTCTACACCTTTTTGTACCGAACAATGATCATGTGACCTTCTTTGTAAATGGCAAAAGATGCAAACTATGCAAATTATAAGCCCACTCTCTGGCTTCCGAAGCCCTTCCTCCTTCCCTTTCCCCTTTTCCTCCCTCTCTAACTTATGTTTCTTTTGCTAATTGGACTGTATTATTGCGTTTTGCCTGCCTGTTAAACAGGTGCGATCGAGAGCGATATACGAAGCATTAAACAGCCTATAATTACATAGTATTCCATGTCCTGTCACCGCCTTTACATCATAGAGAGTAAATTTCATGCCGTCTAGCTGCATATCGTTAGATCTCGATTTTGCTCTCGTTTCCGATTCCAAATTTATTCCAGAATACACTCTCAGGCGCCTGATGTATTCATTAACCACATTATGCAACATGTGCTTGACGATCTGCGGCGAGTGAGTTTCGCCTTCCGAATCGAACAGAAGGCGTGAAAGAACGTCATTCTCTTCGCAGATCTCTTTTTTCCTTTGTGTAACCTCATCGGAAGAGTGACTCTTATCGATAAACCGTGATTAACCAAATACCTAGGTATCTCATCAGATCGGCAGAACATGATTTTATCGATGCTTTGTGATAGTTACTAAGGACGAATTCGGAAATGATACATTTGCAAAATTCAAGGCTGTCGGTATTGGAATTTTGAATAATATTACTGGCCAAGAATTCGATGGCAAAGTTAGAGCCCGTGTTTGCTTTATTCCTAATATGCCTGCGAAGTGTGGTGTGAAATTGGATCGGGTTCTGATCAATACCCCCTTGCAGGAGATAAGGCCGGGAGTTGCAACTCACTGAGGTATCGAGCAACAAGAGATTACGCTGGCGAGAACAAGAAGGAAGTTGAATGATATCAGAACAATCGTACTTGCATATCCCGGTCAAGGAACTCAGAAGCAGATCTAAGAACTCAAGGTTCTCAGATTTTCCAACAATTCTTTTAAAAAGAATTGCAGCTGGTGTTGTATCGACAAGGTAACTCAGGATGGGGTGTAGATATGAATGAGTGGTGTCGTGGTCCCTATCTACGCAACTTACTGCGGTGCAACACATCCATCGTTTCTCGCAAAACCTAGTTTGTTGTATTGATGGCGTAGAAGATAATTTTGTAGACCGCAAAATCAAGTATGGTTACCTATTCATTCTAAAGTTGTACACATCACAATGATATGCAAGGGACAATCATTATGTTAGTACACGAAGTTTAAAAAAATTCATCAACTACCTTCGATAACATCAAAAGTATTTATTCCTCCCGATATCTGGGTTTCAGCGGTTCTACATAAAGCCCAAACCCCATCGCAAAAATCGCATTTACACACATACTTCAATATCAAGATGTACTTGAGTACAGATCTCCCAGCACTCATATGCCATCTTTCTGCATATCTAGCCATAATCTTTTATCACACCCAGCAACAAGTTCGAATCTACAGCAAGACATTCTCCAAGCACAAGGCATATCTCTATCTACACATTGTCACTGGTTTGACAGAGTTAGCCCGGTATCATGTCATCAAAGTCCGATTCAATCGTGAAAAAATCCTCCCCGAGCCTATAGACGTACTCTCCTGTTTCATATGGGGCTGCACCAGCCTATATCTCGTGAAATCACTTCGTCGGGGCGATCCACTCACGACTAGGCCACCTTACCAAACTGGTGCAATTTTGCGCCCTGTCATTTCCATCGCATCATACCTGCTACAGTCTCCCGACTTGCATAAAGTGTCTATCTCTGCGCTCGACAGTTTTCTTTATGCCCGATTAGGGATATTTTTCTTTTATTATACCCCCTATCTACGCGGATACTCGACCAGCACTATGTACTCTATCTCTGTTCCCCTTTCAGCTGTCATCGCCATTCATGAAAGTGGTGTTCGCGGGGCCTCCGTGGTATTTATCCTTGCTATGGCGGGTGTTGCAAAATTGAATGAGTGGGTTTCATATCGATCAAGAGTTCTAGAGGGGTGAGTTATGGAATCAAGTTCAAGTGTGAATATACTCTGACTATCAAAGAAGAGCTGTGCCCAAGTCTTTCATCGAGCTCCTTGAAAAACAGGTGATCGCAGCGCTGCTCTATCTTGGATTCGCCGATCTAGACAGATTGCGAGAAGTCGCTAAAAATGAGGCACTGACGAAGCCTCTCGTCGATGAATATGTTCCTGCAGTGGAGGCTGAGATCCAACTTTGAATCTCCTTTATGACGGTGGAGAATGAGAGCATGATTATAATTCCGCCATTGGCTCGCTATTTCCAAGTCGCCGTCTACACTAGTAATACGCTTCAGCACACACTACTATATATGCAGAATAGAGAATCGGCAGTTTTGGTACGCCGGCCGGGGGCAGGCGTCAGATGTCGTTGTCGTGTGTTTGAACAAATATTTCAAATATTGTTTCATTCTATTAAAAGAGCGGTACTGGATACCACCCTATTAATATTCCCTACACTGATGAGCTGCAACCAAAAAACAGAAGAAAACAAAAACATACAACAGTGAGGATTCGCTGGTGGTCACCCACCCAACTACTAACTCACCGGCGTGTGGCTTAAGTACGGCTGAGCGGACGGGAAGCCCTGTTTTCCACACCCTGTGGTCGTATGTACTTTAGACTTGCTTTAAACACATTATAACTAAAGGAATGGACAACGGAGAAGAAAAAAAAGAACATAATTGTTCTGTCATCTAGTTACAGGGTTGATTGATTTTAGGATTTAATATGAGGTCAATATTTGGCTTCAATTCCATTAAAAGGCCGGTGCGAACCAGAAGATTCGTATAGATAAAGCTTTCACTGCAGCACACGAGCTTCTCACGACCAGAGCTTCATCGTTGTCCAGTCCAATGACCTGTTAGCCAAATAAACAAGGGTCGCTGGAAACCTCGGCATCCGCTTAGGCCGAGTAATAAAATGGCTCTATGAGATGATCATCCAGTATTTTCCAAGGATTTCTGGCAAGACTCGTTCAATCGCTGACCAAAACCGAACGATCTAAAGCATGAGCTCCCAGATTTCGGATGTCAACATAGGGCCTAGCGTTTCATCCTTCTGTGAACTTTTGAGTTTGTATCCCTCTTTCTCATATAGACGGCGTGCCGACAGCAGAATGCTGTTTGTCCATAGATGAATCCGCGAATACCCTACTCCCCGGGCAAATTCGGTGCACTGCCGTACTAGATCCTGACCAAGACCCAATCCCCGGGCAGTCGGCTCCACAAGAAGCAGGCGGAGTTTGGCTGCATTGTCCTGGGAGCTTCTGTCATTGACTAACATGATGGAGCCAATGATTTTTCCATCACGTTCTGCGATCCAACACCGCTCGGTGACTGGATCGTAATTATCGAGGAAGTCGGCGGTAACACGGGCTACAATGGCCTCAAATCGCTCATTCCATCCGAACTCTGTTGTGTATAGAGCGCCGTGCCGATGTACTATCCATCCCATATCACCAGGCTTGTGAGTTCGAAGAGCATATGGCTTCGTCGCAAACGAAATGTCTTCCATGTTGAAGCTAGTAATTCGAGATTTTCGGTTGTGCTAAGGACTTAGGTGGGTGTCAAGCAAGCTGTCGCTTAAATTTTCAGGCGAATGGTTGAGGAAGAAAAACGAAATAAGGCCATTTGCAGCCATAATTAGGTAGCACTCAATCTTATAGCCCGGACTGGAAACTTCTTTAGCGGCTGAGTTTGTTTATCTCCACTTTCTTCGGTGAATTTAATTTTGGCCGGTTGATGATAGAAAAGGGGGATAATGATAGGACTGAGTGGATCAAGCCACATTGCCAGATCTCTCCCGCCTAATCCAAAACATTCTGTACAGATTACTTCTTACTTACTTTGGATGACGAGCGATTTTGTCCTACTTAGATTTGGCGACAGGTTGGGGAATAACCGAGAAAGAATAAGGTTTTATGATAGGAGGAGCTAGGAGTCCACACATATGACTATAGGGGCTAGTTTTATTGAAGCTTTAGACTTCAGCAGGAGAGAAAGCAACGAAAGCAAACCACAGAGTTCTTGAAATATGTTACTCTAGAGCATCTGTAGACACGTACCGCTTGAGCATCTCAAAGAAATATGGTACGACTTCAATCTGGTGGTGCCTAGAGTTTTGCACCAAGATTTACATGAACAGATTTGATGACCGAGTAAGCTTCCATTCCAGCCTGACCAAGCTCACGGCCAATCCCACTCTGTTTCATCCCACCAAATGGCGTTAATGAATCACTGTCGTTGCTACTGTTTATCCAGACAGTACCACTTTCGATCTTTCTAGCCAAACGATGACATCTGGTGATGTCTTGGGAAAAGATAGCGGAAGCCAATCCATATGGAGAATCATTAGCTTTTTCAACGGCATCATCTTCTGTTTCAAATGGCTGTATAACAACGACAGGACCAAATATCTCTTTTTGGTAGATCTCCATGTCCCGAGAAACATCACAGAAGATCGTTGGCTGGATGAAAAACCCTTTCCCGTTGTTGACACTGCAGGAGGAACCCCCCAGAACCAGTCGGGCACCCTCCTTGATACCAGAATTGATGTATGCCAGGATTCGATCATGCTGTTTTTTTGAGATCTGTGGGCCTTGGAATGTCGTTTCGGTAAATGGGTCACCGACTTTGCTAGTTTCTTCCGCAGAAGTCTTGAACGCATCAATGAATGGCTCATAGATGCTCCTTTCGACCAAAATGCGACTAGTACCGGAACAAATTTGACCTTGATTGCTCATGATGCCAGTATGAGCCCATTTCACAGCCTGTTGCAGGTCGGCATCATTGAACACAAGCAAAGGCGACTTTCCACCTGTCTCGAGTGTGATGGCTTTCAGATTAGAGGCGGCCATCTTCATGATTTCGCGGCCAGTAGACGTGCTACCCGTGAACGCTATTTTCTGGATATCAGGGTGTCTAGCAATTGCAGCACCTGCCTGATCACCATACCCATTCAGGATATTGATAACTCCGGGAGGAAATCCAGCGGCTTTGGTGAGACCCGCAAAATAGAGAATTGAAAGTGGTGTGAGCTCGGACGGTTTGAGAATCACAGTGTTTCCACACTAAAAAACAGTCAGCATTGCTAAGACAGATCTTTCATTAAGGCATATGGGGAGTCTTACTGCCAATGCAGGGCCAAGCTTCCAAGCCGCCATCATGAGCGGGTAGTTCCAAGGGATAATCTGCCCGCATACACCGAATGGCTCGCGAATGGTATAGGCCATTTTCAAAGCCCCACCATCAATGAATTCCCCGGAGGCTTTATCCGCAAAGCCCGCGAAATATCGTAGACAGGTTGTCACCTCGGCGACATCTTCATGCAAAGCGACCGAGTAAGGTTTTCCGCTGTCCCACGCTTCAAGAGTCGCCAAGTCAACGCTGTGCTCTTCCACCAAATCGCTGAGTCTTCTGAGTAGCGAGCCTCGGGTCGACGGATGGAGATCCGCCCAGCTTGGATGTTTCAGTGCGGCCTGGGCCCTTTTCACTACAATGTCAACATCTGCTTCAGTAGCGGCCTGAACTGATGTGATCACTGTCTCATCTCTGGCGGAGTCTTAACATGAGTGGTCTAAAGATATCTCTGTATGGTCAATACTCACGTGGGATTGATACTTTCAATAAATCCACCCTCAATGGCACCAACCCATTCATTATCAATGAACAGTCCAGTTTGCAGAGTGATTTTGCGCCCATTTGGCGCTATGAGTTCCTGCGCCATTGGGAATGTTCTGTTTGGAAATAGCGGTTCCGAAACTAGCAAGCGAGACGAAGATTGACTCGAAGCAGAAATTCCTTTGGCCGTAGGAGAGAGGCAGAAAGAGCCAGAGGGAGAAAAGAGAGGAGAGCGAGCTATCAACCGCGGCTGGGACCATATTACATACGAGTAGTACTCGTAGAAGTTGTCTGGATTAAGCAACAGGCTAAACCGTACAAGGAAGCCAAGACAGAAAATAGAGTTTTATGTGGGTCATGGCACGTGGATCGGTCCAAGGGCGTGACATCACAAGGCGAGAAAGAGCTGTACATATCCTATAACCAAGGAGAAGTTGGCCCGTCTTTAGAAACACCGCTTTATGTGCCGGCGATTGCCCCATCCATGTCAAGCAATCCGTTGTGCTTATGTCGCAAGGGTGGGCGGATTTGACATGGAATAGCACATACCACGGAAGAAATTCATACGGTAATGTGAGTATGGATGCAACGTAGATGTAATTCGCATAAGCAAGTATTATCACACTATAATGAGATTGTAATCGGAGGATCGCTCTCGAGCATATTGAATCCAGGAAGTTTGGCGGTCGGAATCTTGCTCCCACCAGGACCTCAAAAATGACAATACGCGATCCCGATCCAAGGTACGGCTGATGCGCATCACTGTCTTGAAGTGGCACTCGACCAGCGCCTGTCCTGCAAAATCTCCGCGCAGCTCTGTGCCGGCGATGAAAAGAGGCCAAATAAAATCCTGCGCATGATGGAAACCGGCCTCAAGTTGACTCAGTTGCCTGAGGTCGTTCATAATGTGATCCTGGGAGGCCTTCATGTTCGTACTAGCTATCGAGCTCATCGATAGGGCTTGATCACTATAGATTAACGTAGCATGGTAATACATCCGCACTAACGTATTGAAATTTTGACGATGGGTGTCTGACCAGAAATTGATGCTTTGACCGAGACGCAAAGAATCGGCCCTGGCTGACTCGATCTCTGCATAGATACCTTGGTCGTGAAGCTGATGCGGTTTATTCACGTCCGAAGAATGAAGTCCAGCTTTCGTACGTTCCAGTTGGGTGATTTGATGAATAACATTCACGAATCCAGTCAAGGCAGCATCTTCGTTGCTAGTTGGCGGGTCCATCACTATCCTGCCCATTTGGTTGAAGTTCATCAGCTGAGTCCACACGGAAGTTGTGTAGTACTCTTGAAGAAAAAACTCTCGCATCGGCGCAAATGATTGATGCGGATCTGAGCAATCGCTTGCGGCAGCAAGAATCTCACGGGCGGCCGTCAGATGCATGCGCCATTCCAAGGTCTCTGCATTGAGTATGTCTTTGTTGCAAATGATCATCACCGATACAAGTGTGGGGAAGAAAGACGCAGCTGAGCGTGTTTGGGATGGAGGGAGCGCACACATGCCCTTCAGCTCGTAGGTCAATAAATTCAACGCATGTCGATGATACGTCTGTGATAAATTTTTGAAAATTTCAAACCAAGGGTCACCCTTTCGGAACTGGGACGATATATCGGTTGCAGCCAAGGCGAGAATAGACAGGAGAACTGTCTCGTGGGTTTCAGCAAGAGGCAAAACGATTCTTCGCCAAGGATTTCGAGGCCCATCAACCCATGCCAGCCGTTGTGCCACACGCTCTGTGGAACAGGCAACTAGCCTCGGCGAGTGCAATGAATGGAACAGTCCCGGTGAATGTATCAATCGGGAACTGGGATCTGGCAAGGGCAACGTAGCTGGAGCCCCAGTGGGTGGCTGCAACACCAGGGGTGAATTTCTCACAGGTAGGGATCTCCCCTTCAACATACCCCGACTGGCGACTCCCTGAACCCACTTCAATTTGAGACCGTATCCTGGGCATTCTAGAAAGCGCTTTCCACATTTTTTACACCCTGGCCAGGTGCGATCACACTTGATGCGCCGTCTTTGACATTTCGAACAATCTATCCGAGTGAGCGATGTAGTTATCATAGAAAGGGCAGCTTACCTTTTGTGGGAATTGAGACCGAGTTTTCCGACATGTGCTGAGGGTTGAGAATAATACTTGGTTGCTCATCGAAGTGAAGTTTGGAAATGATTGAAACAGATGTTTCAAACGGATGTGTCCCGTCGAGTATTTCGTCGGGTATTTGTTTCTCCGAGTCCGAGTGAAGCGGTAGAAGCTGGCCTGCCCTGCTTGTGTTGGTCAGCGGCTCCCGGTTGTACTCTATTTGGTGAAAGAACAAGAGTTTTGTGCCTAGACCTGTCTTGTCCCGCACTTCACTTGATAAAAAGTCAGCAGGTTCTGAGGCCCAGGGGTCCACGGGTCCACGGGTTCACGGGTCCACGTGCGTGAAGACAAGACAGAAGCCAATCGGGAGCATCCCACCGGCGCACCATCTGTGGGGCTCCACAATACAGCCAATAGAAACTCTCCCACTTTGGGGAATCTTGGAAACCCAATCCATCCCGAGGTCGACAACTTCGGATCATCTGAACCTTAGCCATAAGCAGATCTGATGAAAACGCTTGTCTTCTACATGCTTATCAAGTCCACAATAGGATAAATATCTGAGGCATGAGATAGATAAAAAGAACACAGTCATTCTATGACATCAGGCCGACCAATGGTTTATCGCAGAAATAGCGTGTGAACATTGGCAATTTGTAGGGACGCACAAATGCTGACTAATTACATGCAAAAATAACCACAAGTGAATACTACAGAAATAGCCTTGAGAATTTGAACCCTGGCTTCTTCCAACAACTGCCGTACTATGTTGTGCAGATACGGTCATCAATACGGTTGTATATGCCTCGACATCTCCATCCTCGGTAGGTTCTAAGCTACTTCCAAAGTCTAATCTTCATCTGGACACCAAGACGCAGTACAGCGAGTAACATTTGCTCGCCCATCAGCAGCATTTAATAGCTGGTTTGCAGGATTGCTGCAATAGCCTGGCGCTTCTGGAGCGCAGTTGTTAGCACCGCAACAGCTGTTGACTAAACACCTAGAGCCGGAGCCACACTCCGCATTTGTCGAGCAACTAGTGGTGCAAAGAAAATCCACGAAGCAGAAGGAATCTCCGTTTACATCATTTCCGCAAATGCAACTCCCGAATTGACCTAGACCGCAGTTGTTTACCACGTAGGTACCGTAGCTCCCCGGGCTGCAGGTTGGAGTGACGGTAACTGTCGTAGTGGTCGTGGTAGTCACTGAGGTGGTGACAGTTGGGGTTGGTGCCGTGCTGGTTGTCTTGTGGATACCGAGGCAGGCACATGCAGAGCCGTAGATTCCTGGGTCTGCGCATGGCTTGCCTAGATAGGTGGGCACACTTGTCGGGCTTGAGGTGGTCTGACGAGCGGCGATCTCGCCTCTACGCTGGAGCGCGGGCCCTAGTGTAGTGGTCACAGTGACAGTCTCGGTTGCGACTGTGGTGGTCACGGTTCTGGATTGGAAGTTATTAGATATATCTTCTATCCGAGGAGCTGTGAGTTATAGCACATACGTTGGACTAGGTGTCACCACTACCCGTTGGTAGCTAGAACAGTCTGCAAGACGGCTAAAGATAGGAGGATGAAATGGTTGTATGATATCTAGGATACAAATCCCCGTCTTGCCGGTACAGGGAAGGATCAAGCCTCGAACTGGCCCCAAGCCTATAAAGAGGACGGCAAGAATTGAACGGAGCGAGAACATTATGATGAGGTGCAAAACGGTGACAAAGTTGGTGATCTAGAGCGAGATCACTCTAAGGTTGCGTGGCAGGCTTGCAACGGGGAACAACTTCGAATTTATAACGATCCACCAGCTCGGGATCTCAGAATTTACACATATTGTCTTCACAAAAAGCCTTGCATATAGTAATTCTATTAAGGGATTATTGCTCTAACCAAGTATTTAATTCTCGACTATGTCGTATCTGATAATGTGCAGTAGGAAACCAACCTAGTATTCATTTGCATCGCATTCTTGATTTTGTTCCGGTCATCCCGGAAAGACTTATAAGCGATATATAAATTAACACAGTTGATTATAGCATTCATGAATTGAACAACTCATAGTGACTTATCTAAAGGTTACATTTTCAAATAGACGGTTGTCGTTATCTACTATAAGATTGCCGCCAATTCTATCGTATATAGATTGCTCGTATATGGGTACTCACTCGGATAGACCGCAATGTGCATGTGCATCGAATATACTTTCCACGGATTTTTAATGCTTACCATTATAGGCTTCTAAATGCACGATTTCAATATTCCCCCAGATCCAGATTGAGATCTATCGCTTACTTGCTTACGGGGTGAAATAGCGTTCTTGTGAGACCCCGTCACATGGGTCTCGGAGCTGGATGGGGTCGGGAGATAGATAAAGAAAGCAGTGGTATGATTTGATGCTGAACTAATTGCTGAAGTCCCTAGACTCCAGCTCTTGGTTATACTACAGTGGGATCATGTGGCTCGCTAAGCGAGCTTGGACAACAGGGAAACTCTCCTATAGATCGCAGTCCTCGCACGGGCTGCGAGGCACATACATACAAGACCTGCTCAGTACTGTGGCCCTGAAAATATCCCCTTCCTTTATAGGGCATGGCCTTGTGACCTTCATGGTCATATATGGAGGTGCAGAATGGTCTATTAAAAGCCATGTGATTAGGTTAGAAAGCCTCACTACGCTAGTGAGGAAAACCACCATTATAGGAAAGGTTTCTACTTAAGTATAAACCCGGGGTTCTCAGATGCGAAAGGCGTTGCTGACTCGAGCATGGTACATTCTCTTTCTATGCATGATAAATACATATAGGAAAGATCAAACGACTTCTTAGGGGGTCGAAAATCAGGCCTTTTTTGTTTAACAAATTGTGGTTCTGACCAGCCCATTGACATAGATGACAACTGTTGTGAGCCAAATCCTTTCGTCAGAAAGAAGTACTATTCAACGAAGGAAATAAAGATAAAAAATGAAAGAACTAAGATCAGATCAGAATACCACTATAAACATGGATCCTGTTGGGCAGATATATCAGGCAGAACCTCCAACTTCCCCCTGATCCAGACCTGCAGTCACTCGTGACACAAGGCAAAAATTATCCGAGTAGTGCGTACATGTCAGGACCACAGTCTAAGCAGATCTGATATATATGTGCCTCGCACGTCAGGATAACTGCAAGGCTGGACCCCGCAGTCCGTGCGGGGACTGCGATCTACAGGAAAGTCTCCCTGTTGTCTAGGCTCGCTTAGCGAGCCACATGATCCTACAGTAGTATCAAGACAGCCAAGAGCTAGAGTCTTGGAATCCACTGAGCACCTTCTCTAAACTCTTGAATCTTGTCCCTGAAGATTCGCGAAACCAATGGAGAATACCAGTGCTTAATGCATTCCAATGTCTCTAAATGAGTCTGTAGTAGTCGACATAATCTTTATATAGAAATATGAAACTGCCCAGGTAGTCTACACTGAATTTACAAAGGGAACAATTTGATAATGGATCGAATAATTTAAGCTCATGAAAGCACTAAGAATGGAGCAAAGAAAAAGAAAAAGAAAAGCAGAAACAAAATCCAACAACCCCCCTTCCACAGGGTCAAAGCAAATCCACCTCCATCATCTCACGAGCGGACCACCCGTTTATAACCCCCCCGACCTTTGTGGATTCCCAGCTCCGTCCCGACAAGACTGGAGCTCCCAGTCAACCGGCAGAACGTACCGGTGTCCTTGTGTTGCTTAACCAGCCGACTCCACATCAACTGGCCTTTAGGGAAGATAGCGAGCTCACAAGGAGCTCTGCGGGTACAAGGCTCAACCCTAAACAGGAAGGCACCCAGATCTGGACGGCTGCCACAACATAGAACCCTTCATCCCTCTTTTTCTTCTTCTCTTCCTTCCTCTTCTCTCCATCCCGAGGTTCAGCCACATCCGTCTTTCATACATGAATCCTTTCCCCTGCTTTTGTGTATGAAATTATCACAGCCTCACCTGTTCGGCCAAGTCCTCAACGGACCGGCAAATCCACCTCCATCTCCTCTCAGCAGTCTAATCGAGAATTCCCGTCATTCATCTGCATCATGGCGGAAAACGCAAATAAGCCCCGGGTGACAGGCCCGCAGCCATCTGTCTGGTAGGATACCCTGAGTACCTGGGTCAAGTCATCTCATCGCTAACCTATGGTTGTGGCAGCCGAGTCCCCGACGCTAGAAATGTTGCGGTCGGGGGAGAACTTGTCATACCAGCCCCACATGCTGGTCGCACCATTGTCGAGCCGGGAAGATGGGCCCAGTTGGTATTGAACGCAGACTTCATTTCCGTCCGCAAGAAGAACCATTCTATCAAATCCGACATTGTCCGCCAACTTCTGTCTCACACACCACTACGAGAGCCGCACCTGCATACACAAAGGCCCATGACGGCAGCAATGCTGAATTGTTGGCTGATTCAAAAGAAGGCGAACTTCGAAAGTGCCTTAATCACTGTTGTCGGCGCCGTTACAGAGGACGAGGACCGCGAGTGTACTCGGTGCCAGCAGGGAAGGGGGGTCTGGACGCGATGTGTCTCCATCCAAGGAGCGGACGGCCAAGGCCTAGCATGTAACAACTGCCACCAAGTCGGTGTTGGTGCGCGATGCGAGTCATACGTTGCTCCAGCAAATCAAACAGCAACAGCTAGGACATCTCGCCAATCACGCAGCGAAACTGCAGTGGAGGTTGAAGATGTTGAACCCGCCAATGAGCCAATCCTCGATCCTCTCATGGACGAACTACATCATCTCATCCGACAGAATTGCGAGGAGGCATATGACTTGGAGGAGGACCACGCTAGACGCCGACTTCGGGACCACGATTTCCGGAACCATCGCCGTACTGCTGCACGCTTGCGAGATGTCTTTCGTCGGTTCGAGGAGCGCTAGGCTCAAAAAGATAGCTAACTATGCTGCAATGATATCCCTCCCCCTCCCCCCCTAAAGGGGCAATAAAACCTCCCAATGGAACGCACTCACTGTAAGGAGAATAACGGCCCATAGGCGAGATGCGTGATTGTACCGCCGCCGCAAAGACGGGGCTTGGGCTGCAATAATTGTCACCAACTTGGCTACGACAAACGATGCGAGAAGTATGTGGCTTTATCCGGGGGTGCCGCCGCGGGACCTAGCCAACAACGTCGTGGAACTCGTGGAACTTGGGATGAAGTTGAAGATATATCCCTGGCGGACCGCGATGTCTTGAACCATCTGTCTAAGCAAATGGATCGTCTTATTGAACGGAACTACAAATGGGCCTGCGATAATGAAGATGAAAATGAGCATAGTCAAGTTCGCACCAGTGACTTTCGAGGTCAGCGCTATGCAACTGAACAACTACGAGAGGTTTGGCGTGAGCTTCAAGGTCGCAGAGCTGGCAGGGATAAATGGATTCTTTGTGAACTAACAGAAGATACGGGAATTGAGTCTATGAATAATTAGAAGCCTTTTCCCCCGTCTTGGTGTAGTTAGATTTTCCAATTTCTTCTAAAAAGCTTAGCTTAGAATCACTCAATGGAAGAAATTTCCCCGTGGCATTTCAGGAAGCCCATTCATTGAGCTAGATAAACTCTGGAACGAAAGCAAACAATCATTTCACATAAGATATACTAGACTAACAACAGTTGAACAGTAGATATAGCTAGTTTTTTAATAATAATGAACAGTCTGGGCTTTCATTCTTGCCTCTGGGCAATGTATAAAATCTGCTGATCGGTCATGACGATGTCGCCCTCACCGGTGAGGTTTGGTGATCGTTTCATTAACAGCTCAAAACTTAGACGTAGGGGGCCAACGTATACAACGTTGTCTTTTTCGATCGTTTCGAGACGCATATGAGCCGTCAGGATGGCCTGTGCTTCGGGCGTACTAAGAGTCTTCCTTTTCAAACGTAGTTCGTCTGACAGGGCTGCCAACCGTTGGATTTGTTGGTATTCCAGCACGTCGGCAGGTTCCATGAACTGTAGTAGATTCGCACCCAGCCTCACGCATTCGTCTGCTGTAGTTTTGTGTTCCGCAGGTGTAGCGACGTCGCGGCTCGGGTCGAGCGAAGGTGGTTCGTTTCCGTTTCGTATCTTCAACATAGACATGTTGAGATAGTTGTGTTGAGAGAGAAGTTCGTCTCAACCCTCGTTTGCTGTTTGTGTAGATAGACCCTCGCTCCCGAGTCTCCTTCTTCTTCTTCACTCTCTCTCCCCGCAGTGAATCGACCAGTCAGTCTTCTTATCTCTTTCTCTTGCCCTGTAAGGCTCAACAGAAGGGCGCCTGGGGACTCGTGGGAATGGCAGAGGCGGAGGAAGTAAAAGATTCTGACGGGTTTGAGGTGGGAGACATTACTGGCGCGTTGTTAGAACAAGCATCTGCGTGTTTGGACACCTAACATGGGTGTGTTCGGCAGGAACTCTAGGAACAGCAGGAGTATTCCTTCCATCGCGAGGTTGTCACCCGTTGATCAGGCGTAACTTCCGGTTCTGTGGAATTTTGATATTGGTGTTAAACCCCGCTTTTGCCCTCACAGTAGACTACCAGCCGTGGCTTGTGCTCGTAGTTGGAAAGGAAATAGTGGGGAGAGTGTAGATAGAAGAAATAGATGCGAGAGTGGGGATCATCTAAAAGCATGTTCAATAAAACTATAAAAAAAGGCGACTGAAAAAGATCATTGAAATGTCCGCTTGGAAGACATTGCAAGTGCCTAATTTTCTACCCAATTTACAAAATCTTGATATATTGTTATCAAAGAAAGCTCAGGATTAAGCAGCCAGGTCAGATGACTCGGGTCAAAGATTACCTGTCAACGGGAATTGCCCAGTTGACTGTGTATCGAGTAAAGAGGAACCGATATTGTCGATATCGTTAAACGCCAGAGAGCCAACTCCCACGCCTTGACCATTTGTTCCAGACATCAATTCTGCGATGAAGTCTGTCAGCATCACATCACTTCCCTTCCCACTGGAAATCCCAATAGAGGCGGGTAACTGTTCAGTGGAATTGGTTATTCGTGACACGAAAGGTGTTTGGCCGACTGTAGATGATGTATGTTAGACTCTTTCTTACAGTTAAACACATCAGAGATAGGCGCAATTCGCTTACCAGGGAGTATGGCCTCCGGGCCCTCAGAGTAAGGAGACAGATTGTAAAAGAAAAACCCAATTCCTGTGAATTTTTGGGGCCCATCACGATATGTATCTCGGTAATCCGGCTTCCCGCTGCTCCACGGCAGGAGAAGCAGAGTGTCGGAGAAACCATCCGTTGCGGGTGGGAGGATATGGGCCTCATACCAAGCCTTGAAAACATTCCATCTTCTGACGCCCTCTTTCTCCTGTTCATCCGTTACCGTGGGAAGATAGCCGCTATTTAATTCTTCAGTTAGTGCAACTTCTAAGATATTTCCAAATGAGCGAATAAAACATCACGCACCGCTTGAATTGTAACTGAGGGTTCAAGGCTGGATCTCGGCCGTAAGTTTCCTTATATTGGGTTATGAACGGATAAAGAAGATCTTTCCATTGGGGAGGATTTGCAGCCCATTCAAAGACGTGCTCAAGGTACTTCTCAAGGGTGGTATTTTCGGTGACTGGTTTTGTTTCCGCCCAGATCTCTTCTATGCTTATCCACGTTCGCTGGAATCCGATATACTGCTCCATCTTGACAATGAACGATTCTAGGACAGCATCGTGCTCTGTGGTTGTCTTCGGCCAGTATTCAACGGGGTACAGAATTGTGCTAGGTTTCTGCGGGACACCCACGTTAGAATGACCCCCTGGAGTCTCATGGGAAGAGAAGACTGGTAATGTTGCTTCTGACCTTGGATAGCTCTGGATCGTTGACAGAGCCGTAAAGAGCTCGAGATAGCTTCGCGAAAGACGCTGCGTCACGAGCAAATCCGCCAACAGTGTCAGCCAATCTACGAAAGAACGTAGACAACGATCAGATTAGCATGTTTCCTCGCTCCGTTGTGGTGAGGGCCATCATACTTTGTATATGGAAGAATTTCCTTGAAGCTTACAGCATCCAGCGAGGGCCGTATACCATAGAGGCCCTGGACGGCAGCCGGAGAACGAATGCTCCCAAGTGCTGTGCCCTTATTAGCTTTCTTCCTTGATCTGCTTGACAAAGGGGTACTATAGCACTTACTGTCCGTTCCCAGAGCAAAGTCTAGCCATTCATACGAAGCAACTGCAGCTGCGCTCCCACAGCTGCTACCACTAGTCGTCTGGTATCCGTTTGCGCGAGGGTTGAACGGCGCATGATAGTCGACATAGTCACAGGTCGGCCACTCTGAGTCTGCAAATTGGGTAGTCTTCAATTTCCCCACAACGATACAACCTAACTCCAGGATTTTCTGTATAACCTCCGCATTCTCGGTCCGTGGACCATGGAGCTCTGTATATGCTCGAGATGGGGCTCCTGTACGAAGTCCGCTTAGGTCCATTATATCCTTCACTCCAATTCGAGTTCCTGCGAATGGTTTTTCGGGTGTTGGTTTGTAATAAAGACGAGAGGGCACGGCTACTGCCAGGGAAGAAGGATATTTCTCTCCGTATGCAGCGGCGCCAAGGGGTTTATAGCTATTGCTAGATTAGAGGAGCTCTCTTTCGCTTTCTCTTCTGTTATTTTCCCATTTTCCGTCTCATATCAGAGTAGAGAAATTCCCACTGACCGGTACGCATCTTCTGTGGACACTGTCGGAGCAATAAAGGCACCAGCGTAATCCGGGTATAGCCGGTATGCTGGGTGTAGCCTTCTCATATTCAAGAAATATGGTCCCTCATTAAGCATGCCAGATGAGAAGGAAGATACGTAGATGGAAGATGTATTACTTAAGTATATATATGGCTGCAGTAGGTCTTCCAGGCCGTCTGGAATGGACGCTTGGGACGATGTTGACTGCAAGACCACATTTTGTAGAAACTCCGGCGACCAGACATCGTCCGACCGGCCGAACCTTTCGATACTCTCGCTTAACACATTTTTTGCGGTCGCTGAATCGTGGATTGTGAATACAGTGCAGGGAGCTGCAATTTGGTCTGTACCGATAGGATCAGTGAGCTAGAGTGAGATGATAAGTATTAGATCAAATTATTGGGCCAGAACTTTAGAAGCTAAGCTTTATTGAGCTTTGGATATCCAAATACCTCAGGGACCTGGTGCATATAGTACGCAATCTCGCCTAGCCGGGCTGTGATGGATGCGGAAAATTGTGAAGGCATGGCGGTCACCAGTCTTTTCACAGAGAAAATAGTAATAAGAAGTGGTAAGGGTAGATGCATCGCTATGGGGCAGCGATGAGTGTGGTGTTTGCACTTGAGCACGAGGTAGGCAAAAGGAAGCTTTATACGGGGTAGAGCTAGAAGCTGATAAAATGCAAGTGGGGACAAAATCTTCCATTGAACGAGCCCAAGGACAACAACTCGTACTATTCCAAACAGCGTGGCGCGAGGGGGTGCTAGGCATACATGCCGGATTAAGACTAGCGCGCGAATAACTGGGACAAATCATAATTTTATTACTAGAAGCAATGCTGATGTGCCCGGTGTTAATTACGGTCTCAAGTCATAGCCCAGTAGAGAATGCGGAGAAGGACGCTGAAGTGTTACTTAGCATCGAGTCAAGAGCATTAATATGAACTTGGAATAAGATGGAGATATGATTCACGAACGTTGTACGGAGCACGAAGTGAGTACTCGTAGATAATCTAAGCCAAGTCAAAGCAACTTAGAATAATGAAATAATCTTTCCACCGTACTCTGTAGAAAAGAAGAGACTGAGATAAGTAAGCAAGGAATATGACCCCGGGAGGAACCTGAGGATTTAACTACTCTAAGGTTGAAATCAAATTGTATCTATCGAATTTTCGTTTTATCAATTATCATTTGTGAGCCTGGCGATATCCACAAATATATATATATATACTTAAGTAGCCTTGAACTTCCCAGTGGTGAGCAATGAACCGGGTACTTTTGAAGTTCCAAGCACTCCGTACTATTGAGGAATACGAACGTTGAGGCTTAAGTACTTATGATTGAAAGGTTTCTCCCAGTCAAGTGCGATAGAATCCTAGGATATGAAAATACCCGGAGTTTCTTAAGAACAATAGGAACAATCGTACGATGATGTGAAAATCCAACTATTATACGACTACAGACGATAATCAACCCGCCTGGGTGGACCCCTCCATGGCTAACTTGAGGGGGTTCCATTTACAACTACTTACGTAGAAGATCACGTACTTCTAAAGTTAGCATCCCAGACTACTGATAGAGATTGCCAAATATAAGTTATTCTCGCATGTAACTTTTGTTTACGGGGTATACATTAAAAAAGGCAATATGTTTTGTTGCAAACCCTAATCAAGCACATACGACCACAGGGTGTGGAGAACAGGGCTTACCGTCCGCTCAGCCGTACTTAAGCCACACGCCGGTGAGTTAGTAGTTGGGTGGGTGACCACCAGCGAATCCTCACTGTTGTATGTTTTTTTGCTTTTTGCTTCTGTTGTTCGTCAATTTCATTATCGTGTGCGGTGGAATATTTCTGATATTAAAGTAAGCTCGTTCGGTTGAATTGAGCATAGAAGAAAGAAGAACTTCGGAGTCCAGAGAAGCCGGTATCTACCTATACAATGATCATCTGACCACCCAGCCTTGTAAATATTTCATCATTTGCTTGTAGCACTGATATCTACGAACTCTTCCACAGCTCTTCACACTCGTCCTAAAAATCAGCCAGTTATGCTTGCCCTATTCATAGTCGATGGTTGCTTTGCCCATGTCTCTCCCTCCCGGGCCAATGATCCTGAATTCTAGCAAGCCCTTGCTTGCAATCGCGTTTACTTGAACACTGATGCATAGCCTGCGCATGTCCTGGTTAGAGGCGCTCTTCTTTACCGGAAATAACGCCAGGTCGCTCTCGGAAAATGTATAATTGATCGTTGCAATCTGGCGAGTTGCTAAAAAGAGCTTTAGTGGATGTTCTACTTCGCTGTGTGGACACTCACGCTTGGACCGATACCACTCGGGGGCAGTATCCTCTGTAGATGTATAAATCTCTTCTGAAAAGCTCAAAGTATCGCCCGCTTTGTGCAAAAGCAGGAGTTCCTGCTTAGGGCAGTCTTCTGGAGTAATTGCGTCTCCCTAGTAGGTATTTGTCAGCGTCTTTTCTGAGGACCCTCAAAAAAGGTCACCTACCTTGTTAATGAGCCAATTCATCCGATCGTTACAATACTTCAGCCCATCCCATTCCCAGTAACAGATTGTATCTTGGGGATCGACCTGTTCACGAAAATGGAGCATCACTTTCACCCCGTAATGGACTCGAGCAATGCGCTTTTCGGGGACTAGGCCTTTCAACCCGCGTAATGCAGCGCCCTTGACAACACTCGCTTGTCTAGAAATAATGAGCTTCGTTAGCGGTGATTTCCGTTCGTTTGAGGTTCGGGAACACACGGATCAGGTGGACACAGAAGATAGATTTTACCATAGCTCCGACACCATTCACGAAGCGAATTGTTCAGGTAGCGCGAATCGCCAAACCCTCCAACGAGTAGAATAGTCTGGAATCATAGGATAGTGTCAGATCATCAAAACAACAATCTCAAGTCTTCAGGAAGCAAGAGGAGCCCTACCTGGATCGAGGCATTCGATTTCTTCAGCTGTTCGAGCTGGTCACACAGCAATCTTTTTATTTTGTCAACAATAGGTCGGAAAAATGACTCCATTGTGCGACTGTCATGTTGTTAGTGTTCGCCTCGAGTACTGTGCATGTAAAAAACGAGGCATACTTGGTGACAAGCACGAGGGAATTGTCTTCGTCGTAGATATCAGAATCCTTTGCTCCTGGTATCACAAGCTCAATTTCAAGCTTCTGATCAAGATTGCTCGAAGACCCAAAGTCACGCTTATGACTCTCAAAATCCTTCATGAATCGACTTCCTGGCCTCTTTTTATCGGGGCTCATGTTATCGAATGCTTTTCCAAATCTCTTGGACATCCACTTATAGAATTCCCGATCGATATAAGTCGAGCCACATTTATCTCCAGTACCAGGTAGAAGCTCTTCGAATCGGATAACTGGCTTCAGCTGCTTTATCTTGTAAGTGACAATATCAACGGTTCCTCCTCCACAGTCACAAATGATGGCGCCGTCTCCGATTTTCACCTTAAGTCCAAGGTCATCATCGGAGAGTGTGCTCAGAGTTGCAACCGCAGCCGCCTCAGGCTCGGTGATCATGGAGATTTTGTCTTGGGTGCGAGAGCCAAACCCGGCAGATGTGGCTACCCTCATGGTCTCTTCTTTCGCTTTGTCGGACCAAATCGCTGGAACCGTAAACCAGAATTCCAATGGAGTCACCTGCATGATCGGAGGGCCAAGACGCTGTTTGAGATAGTCCATAGTATAGGTATAGACGCCTCGCAAAAAGTCAGCACACACCTCGCGTGCTTCATGCTTAAAGTCAGGGAGCTTGAGAACTCCATTCCCTTCAATTATATCAACGTCTGCACTCCAATTTCTCATTGCGCTGTCGCGATCAAGCAGGAGCTTTGTCCATGTATAGGATTTCATTCTCGGGCCCACCATGTATCCCCATCTCGTTTCTTCCCCTTCTATTGAGGGATTTTCGAGCCGGTATGCGATTCGGGATGGCGTTTTGCAATTTTCCTCTTGTTCTCGGCTTGGGCCGGGCCAGGTACGAATAACCTTGACCTCGTTGACGTGGTTGTTCGAGGAATACACGTAGCTCACACCTGAAATGAGAAGTGAGTTTTTGTTCTCAGCTTATCAACAACAAGGAAAAATGATTTGCACACACCGGTGAATGTTGTTCCGTAGTCCACGCCAACAATGATTTTATGAACATTCCCCAGGTTGAGGTTGCTCAAACTGACCAACTCAGACATAGCGCAGATAGTGCAGATATCTAACTCGGGGCATCTATGATTGAAAATAGTGGCCCTTCAGCATGCAGAGTTATGGAAGAATATTGAGGGAGTGTGAACAGAAGGTAAAGTAGAGTCATGTGTTAAGAGAGATGAGGGGAGAAAGGAGACAGAGAAACCCTCAGGATATATCTAGAATGTGTACTAGGTAGTGGGACCCGAAGCACTTGCACTTGAGCATACATAGGACCCAGCGCAAGATACAAATCTAGCCCTGGCCATAGCTCACCATTCCTGATCCAGAATTGACACCCCCCTTTCAGTCAAACCCCCGGAGGCAACCAGGAGGCAACTCACGAATCGCAGATATCAGCCTTGAGTTTGCGCTGTAGGCGCTGAAAAGCCTCCTTCTTTCGCCGCTTTGGGGCTAGTGAGTTGATCCCCGCAAGTTGGATTTTCAATCGGACCGCGCCAACCTAAGGAGATTGAGGCTTAGACCATGCAGTAAGATAATCTTGTTTATACATATTTCCCAGCTGAAAGATGTACAACGCATCTCCTAGTGGGAGCCACATCTCGAAACATTTGGAATCAAAGGCCCCTCACTTGAGCAGCAGTGAAAGAGTTTTACTTCATAACCCTTTGTTGGATAAATATCCAAAAACGATTTGATCACTGGGTGCATTTGAACCATTCCTCATCACTATCAGCAAAACGCAAACCGAGGATTCTGAACACCAGGACCGGCTAGCTACCTCAAAAATGCAAAACATGACGAGGCCCTTGGTGGAAGTGAGGTCACCCTTAGGCAGCTCAAGTGAGAGAGAAATCAAGCGGCTCCAACAAAAGATACGTGAAAAAGACGACATCATTTTCCACCAAGAAAAAGATCTGGTTGCATTTTCAAAGACCATCAAAGATCTTCAGATGGATGATGGAAAGCTGAACGAAATAGACAACAGATGGAAAGAGTTTCAATTGTTCATGCAAGCCGCTATGGACACCAAATTGGGGATCGAAACGCGATGTTTAATTCACAAGAACCAAGCTATCGAAAATGTCCTAAAGAAGACCAGAAATGATCTGGCGGACTCTCGTGAAAAACAAAGTCAAGCGATACGAGACCTCCAAGCAAGTGCATTTCATCTTGAGGACCCACAACAATGGTCGTCGGATACAGACAATGAAATCAGGCAGCAGCTCGGAGGCCTTGAAAAGCGCGCAAAAGCATGGTGCCGTGCCAACTGCGTCAAGAGGCTATCCCTCCAAGGGGAACTACCAGCTAATCCTCCCCGTGGGTGGGAAGCTGTGTTGCGCTATAATGCGAATGTGTTTGCCCAGTATGATCAGCATTTACCGCAAATAATCCTCCAGGCGCTTCTCATGCACTGCATCTATGGTGAGATCTTCGCCAAGCCACTCTTCTTCCTTCCGTGGCGAGTGCAGGGAGCAGGGGGAGCAGAGGGGGGAGAAGCGGGCACCGAGATGATCGCGCGCCAAGATCTATCCGAGGTTATGGTAGGGATTATACACGAGATTACGCGAGGTAAGCAATTGTTCTTGGTTCCAAATATGCATATGCATGTGCTAAAATCTGACCCGCAGGAAACCTGGCAGAGGGAAACTCCTGGCGATGCAATTTACTGAGATCGCTTGACCCGAAGCCGACGGGCAATGAGCCTGAGCTCAGAGTACTGGAAGCCACTAAGAACAGAACCGAAATGGCCCGTGAAGCAGCAGCAAACAGCCTCATGGAGGCATTTTTGAAGAATTCCGCGACACTTCCTATCTCTTCAAGTGCATCTGAGAGAACCGCGGTTGGGGAGCTACGACAAATATTTGTCACTGCGGCGCATTTATCCTACAGACTGTGGTTAAGAAAGAGCTACTTGGAGGTGCAGACCATGGAGAAGATCCCAGCTAACTACAATCGCCAGAATTTGGAGTTACTGAGAGCTCACTCTCTGCATACTGCATTTTTGGAGAAAGATGAAGCGGGGTTGAATGACTGCCTTATCCGTGTTGTTGTTCATCCAGCATTGATTGTTCATGGGTCGAGCGATGGCACAAACTATGAGAAGACCAGGGTGTGGAAAGAGGCTGTGGTGTGGATGGGGTAGCCTTGGCGCATTTCACCCGGGTGCTCTCAGCCGCATCTGCATTATGCGCTCTGATCGTTTGCTTTTAGTTAGTAGTTTCAATGCAAACTTCACTTTGTTTTTTCCCTCGGTTTCCCCAACAGCCTACCTCCGAGTTTGTCACCAAAGCCACTGATGATGTGGCATGCCTCCAATCTCACCCTCACCCGGGCAAAGATGCCAGAATCATTCTCTAGATCCGAATACGTAACGTTTTCCGAAGTTCCTATTTGGGTAAGTCTACTATTAATAAGATATTAATAAGATAAAACAAGTACTATAAATTACTAGCGAAGGTCAGTACCTTCCACTATCACTTTGCAACGAACCTTGAACCACGGAGTATGGAAACAGCGAGTTCTGTCCCGATTCTTCGACCAACTTCAACAATGAGCTCAGATTCCTCCCTTCAAATCGTCCCTGGAGCACCATGGGTACTTATCGCCGTTATGGGTCTCACCGGCACTGGCAAAAGCACCTTCATACAGACAGCAACCGAATCACCTGAAGTGATCGTTGGACATGACCTAGAATCGTGTATGTACCGCGAAATGCACAATAACCCCATGCCATATTTCGCATCCCCATATATCTGAAATTATTAATGCGTGACTGTCAGGCACAAGCGAAATGAAAGGCTACACATTTCACTACAAAGGCCACAACGTTAACCTCATCGACACCCCCGGATTTGACGACACACACAAATCGGAGACAGAGGTCTTGACGAACATCGCCAAATGGTTGGAAGACTCATTTCGAAACAAAGAGAAGCTCAATGGAGTGATCTATCTTCATAGTATCAATAAACCTCGCATGGAAGGTTCGGCCTTGCGCAATCTCCGATTGTTCCGCCAATTGTGTGGTGAAAATCCTCTCAAAAATGTGGTCTTGGCGACTACATTCTGGGGCGCAGTCAACGAGCAGACAGGCGCAAGTCGCGAAGAGGAATTGCGCGAGCGCCCCGAATTCTGGGGCAACATGGTTGATCATGGATCGCGTATGATGCGCGTGACCGATCGTGCATCCACGTTAGAAATTGTGGATTACCTGATGCCCATGAGAGGGGTGCCTTTGGAGATCCAGAAAGAGATGGTTGATCAAGACAAACCCCTGATAGAGACGGCAGCTGGTCAACATATGAACGAAGAACTCCATCGCCGAGAGGAGTTACACAGGGAGGAGCTGCAAAAGATCAAGGAAGAACATGAACTTGCAATCGAGGAGAAAGACGAGCAGCTCCGGGCCATACTGGAAGAGAACCAACGCCGAATCGAAAACAACCTCAATAAAATATATCGCCAACAAGAACAACTCAGAGCAGAGCGTCGTGCTGAAGATCGAAAGAGACAGAACGACTACGAAAACCAGCTTCAAAGAATGGCAAGCATGAGTAGGATTTCACTTGAAAGAGACACCTCTCCCGAAATCCGTGATATGAGTTTTGACGAGCTTGTCGCTAGGATACGAGCAAACGAGATAAAAGTCAATGCCCAGAATCGTGACAAGGTGGAAGGAATGATCTCAGAGGCACAGCAGTCTCCGGACCTGTCTAACTCCGCGACCAGAAAAAAGAAGGGAACATCCCGGTATTTGCTTCGAGCTTTGTCGATCTTGACTCCGATAGTTAGCGGGGCTCTTCTTGGGGTTCCCATCTTTTTCCCTAGCTTTGGAAAGGAAAGTGAGACACCAGAGACTTGAACACAGACGATGAAATGCTGGCTTTCTACCCCGTACAAACCTTGGAGAAGCCTTGCCTACTAGAATCCTTGTCCTCGCGTTACACTCGCATCGTGTTCCTCATATCGCTTCACTTCGTCCCTCTTCTGTCTCTCTGTCACCTCTCTGCTTTCCGTCTTACCTTCACTCTTCGCTTACTCCGTAATTTTCACACCGCTTCATTTCGCTTTCACTCTGTGCTCACCGGTACCTGCTGTTTTCACTGCACTAGCAACCATACAGCGACTCTCACCGAAGTAGAATGCAGCCCCAGCTTGGATTCTTCACTTCGAAAGAACTAGCAAGAGCGAGATAGTCCATGTCATATGGAATTTTGACAGTGAAGCGCCTTATACGGAAGTTTCCGTGAAATCAGAGTCTATGTGATGCAAATTTTGAACTCGGACTTTGTATTGAGTGAATGAAACTCGGTTTTTGATCTGCTCTTTGCAATTAGTTGTTTATGTGTTAGAAGTGAAATGAAACCGTTTGTATTTCTCCGCGGGTCTCGTTTATCCTGAATTGCCAATCCATAATCAAGTACAAGTTTCGTCTTAAATCGAGAGCTCAATTTTCAGACCCGTCGACCAGCCTCAAAGCTCGCAGCGGATAGCTTTAGTTTTATCAACCTTGTTATTGGGCCGACGTCACGACTTAGTCGACGCTTGTCGTCATTTGACGCGTACAATTGGTAGGAGGTAAATTATTTGTCATTTGACGGATGGTAATCTGTAGGGAGGTTAGAAGAAATCTTGGTGGAGACATGGTTCCGCTGATGTGCGGAGATCAACCGCAAATCTTTCACGCATTGGGGATCGCGCACACTCAAATCCTTGGCTGTGTATTGCACCAACGCATAGAATATCCACTGCAGTGAGTACGTATGCATTAAAGAGTGTGAAGCTTGTACTAGGATGCAAATTTGTTCCAATTTTGTGGGGGAGGGTCGGTTGTGTCCCGAAGCGGAACGGACCGCGTAACCGTGGTAGAGTATACACTAGCTAGGATAGGCTTAGCGACGATAAAAATAGTGGCTGGAAAGCAATCAACGAGAACAAAATTGTGAAACTGAGTTCAAACGCATCTCTAACTACACGTAACTCCCAGTCGAGTGAGCCACCCCAAAATGCCATGTTGAATGCGATGTTAAAATGAAGCCTAGAGTGGACAAGATCAAGAGGATTAAGATATGCGGTTTTGCATGGAATACAGGGCCGCCAGCTCGGTGGTTGAGTGCTCCCTACGTTAATTAACTCCAAGGCTCCAGGGCTGACCTTATAATATGGGCTGCCCCGAGCAAAGTTGGGAATGTAATAAAGAATTCCCTACCCCTCCTAACCCTGGTCAATTTATAATTCACGACTCCTGGCAAACTTCTCTTTTCTCCTCATATTACCCTCCGTGCCTGCCACATGACTATGGAAGAACGTGTGAAGGCGGTTTCACCTATGGTGCATGAACAGAACGTCAATCCCTGGAGTGTCTCTGGCGAGGTTGGGCTGGATGGCAAGGTGGAGCCGATCAACTACGATAAAGTAGTCAACCAGTTCGGAACCAAGATCATTGATGATACTTCACTGGAACGGTTCGAGCGAGTTACCGGGCATAAACCTCACCGCTTCCTCCGACGACAGATCGTCTTCTCCCACCGTGATCTCGAAGTAATTCTAGACAGGTACGAGAAGAATGAGCCGTTCTTTATCTACACCGGCCGAGGTCCCAGCAGCGACACAATGCACATTGGGCATATGGTCTCGTTTGTGTTGACGAAGTGGTTATCTGATGTCTTCGAGGTGCCCCTTGTTGTGATGCTCACGGATGGTATGCCTTACAATTCGAGCTTCTCTCTTCCTCTCCTCGCCATTCTCTGCTAACTAATTCTGAATGGGATAGATGAGAAGTATCTCATTGGCAAGGCAGGACGTGAAGTGGAAGAATACGAACACTACTCTCGTGAGAATGCCAGGGACATCATCGCGCTCGGCTTCGACCCAGACAGGACCTTCATATTCTCGGATTACGCGTTTATGGGAGGCGATTTCTACCGAAATATCACCAGAATTGCGAAGGTTTGCTTAGTCTGGCTTCGGGATTTGTACGCTAGCTGTTGTGCTAATGTCTTCCAGCGAATCAACAGAGGAACGGTGGACTCTTGCTTCGGTTTCGATTCGAGTACGAACATTGGAAAGGTAGCATCTCCAAGGCCACTCGCGCCCTGACATATACTCAAGTTGATAAATGGATGCTAAGAATGCCCAAGATCCACTTCGCCTCCGTACAGGCAGCCTCCTCATTTGCAAGCTCCTTCCCATTAATTTTTGGGTCCGATAGACTACAGACGAGCAGGATACCCTGCCTCATTCCTTGCGCAATCGACCAGGATCCGTATTTCCGACTGACTCGAGATGTCGCCAGTCAATTGAAGTAGGCGAAGCCATCACTTATACACGCAAGATTCCTCGATGCTCTCCAAGGACCTGGCTCGAAGATGTCTGCTTCCGTGGAGTGAAGCTCCATCTTTTTGAATGACAACCCCAAGCAGATCCTGAAGAAGATCAACGAATACGCGTTCAGTGGTGGCCAGGAAACTCTGGAAGAGCATCGGGCGAAGGGAGGTGATCCAGAAGTTGATGTCAGCTATCAATACTTGAAATTCTTTCTAGAGGTCAGTGAAGACTGGCCCAGTCTTGATTCAAACGACTAGTTCGTTCGCTGATGCGCAGCAGGATGACGAAGAGCTGGAGCGGATCCGAGAAGATTATAAATCTGGAAAAATGTCGACTGGTGAGATAAAGCAGAAGTACATCACCTTCATGAAATCGAAATACCAACAACATGCACTCATACTGACTCATACAAGGTGTGCTGGCGAGGTATCCAAATTCTGTCTCTCCTTCCAGGAGCGACGATCACAGGTAACAGACGAGATGCTCGACCGCTTCATGACACCTCGGCCGCTCTTGTATAAAGCCGTTTTATCCAACACCTTGCTGCCTGAATCGACAGATTTCAACTCCCCAGGAAGTGTCAAGGACCCTAACTCAAGGAGTCAGGCAAAGAAGAAAGAGAAGTTACGGCTCGCCCAAGAGAAGAAAGCAGAGAAAATTCGTGAGAAGGAGGTGAAGGCCAAGGTTCCAGGTGCTACTTCCGCCGGCGGCACCGATACGACCGAGAGCGCAGATCTTGGGATGGTACCTACAAAAAGCTAAGCCCCTGATATAGTTTATAGTTCTCTATAGATATGGGTTATCTTATACCATTGTGTGTTTCAGATTGGTGCGACAACAAATCGAATATTTCCTTTCCTTCTATCCTCATATCTTGGTATTGATTCTTTACCTAGGTAATGTTTACTATGTATTGTGATGGGAAACCCACGCCATCTCACGTGCGCCACAGTTTCCAGTTTAGCATCTAGCTCGCGAGCGCATAGGTGGTTTAGAAATCAAGCTTCCTACACATCACTGAAAAACAGCACCTATTTCCTATTCCGGCCGCACAGGTCAGCTGACTAGTTCCCAATGATCCCCGTCGAGCACTCAGCACCTGGGTTTTCCTCCCCTTGGGATGCCAAAAAGACAAAAACATACAACAGTGAGGATTCGCTGGTGGTCACCCACCCAACTACTAACTCACCGGCGTGTGGCTTAAGTACGGCTGAGCGGACGGGAAGCCCTGTTCTCCACACCCTGTGGTCGTATATATTCTTCACACCCATTTGGAGAATCGTATTGGTACATTTCTGTGTTGTTAATTCAAGGATGTTAGGGTAGCTCCGCTTTAGCGTCGCACGCCCCGGGTGAGAGTCAGGGTGACCCAAGGCTCATCCTCACCCTCGTCGGGCGACAACTGGAATAGGCCCCACGAGTACCACGAGTATCTTCCCGAGAATAACCTCTCATTCCAACGGGCCCTCCTTCTCAGCCGCGAAGAAAGTGTCAACTGATGCCTTAGGCCTAATTTGGGACTGAAAGAATAAAAATTCAAAATTGATCTGACTACTGCTGGAGCAAGAAGCCAGAGAAGAGATTAATTGTCTACCCTAAGGGGGAGAAAGGCGTAGGAGAGAAAAGCAAACATAGAGAGCGCGAGCTATCTGCCCAAGTGGGGGAACAGCCAGGGTCACCTGACTGGGGTGTTTACAGCAAAATCCCAGTCCAGAAACACCTGCAGCTGCCAATAATACGCATTCGCGTGAGTGATCACTGGCCAGACAAGAAATAAGAAAAGCTGAGCAATCGGACGGAAGATTCAATATCGTTACCTAGGTAGGTATCGTATCAAAGTCGGCTGCGATAGGATACGATAACACAGCCTAGTTGGGGTTTTGACTGTCAAAAACCAAGTGGCAAGTTGCTATTAGTTTTTGAGACTCCCTAGCTCCTCCGCTGGACAGCTCAATAGTGACATTCTGGCCCCAACCAGTAACAGTTTCGGCCCCCGGGAGGAGGGGCGCTCGAGGAACCCGAACTAAACACGTCACAAAACCATGGACATCGACATCTGTTGATTTTTCATCGACTAAACATACAGACCTCAGAATCTTCTATCTTCACCTTGCTTTCTTTTCGCCGGTGTCAACAGAATGCCCAGTGGCGACGCTCTCCTGTCCGCCTTGGGGGACTTCCGGGATCTTCTGTTTCCCTGGAGCAGTAGCGCGCATACAAAAAAATATCTTCGTGATGCTACACAAGGTCAGGATTGAATAATTTCCAAAAGTATTTTCCTGCTGACTCGGAAACTTCGAATCTAGAATCTATTCTCGAGCATCTTCTCGAAACCTTGAAGCGACGAACATTGGAGCGAAGAACACTGAAGGCCGGGCAGCTTGTGGAATTAGAAAAAACCTTCTATAAACACGCCTTTCAAGACCAGGACAACAAACACCGATGTAAAAATTGACTACATCTTTATTCAAATCAGACTAACACATCTTAGATTGGAACGAGGAAAGCTTCGGAGGGCTCGTGAAGCAAACGCATCCTGACCTTGCGGATTCTCAAGCCGTGATTCAACTGCTATGGAGATCTTTTCATTTTCACGCATTTCACCCTTTCTCAGATAGCTCGATAGGCGAGAGAATTGACTGGGATGCCTTTCAGCGCGCCTTTTTGTTGCAGGTCACGCAAGGCGCTGATCTCCTGGGCGTGCTAGAAGAAGCCGATATGTACTGGCAGTTTCAGTACGACCAGAACCTTATTCATCAAGCCAAAGTGAAAAGGATTCTCAGAAGCATCGCAGTGCCTGAACGGACAATCGCTTTAACAGAAGCTGAATCGAACTTTGCTGTGGAAGAAACTGCTGATGTCGTGGCCATGTTGCAGCCTTTTTTTCCGCCTCGTGCACCCGTGCAAGAAGAGGTTTTCCCTGTCGCAAAACGTCTATTTTCCGGGAATACCACTCCAAGCAGACGACGCGTAGCTGGAAAACATTTCACGACGTTGTTGAGTATTCTCATTCGGCTGAGACTACAAGCCACTGCCCCGTTTGGCAGATTCGAGAAAGCAGACCCCGGCGATGAGTTACCAATCATATTATTGGACTCACTAGGTGGCCAGGACCAAGAGTACCTGGAGTTTGATCAAGTTGCCTCGATACTATACCTACTCGTAAGTAGTAGTCTTCCAACGCTAATGGGTATGGTTCAAGACGACCTCGGGATCAGATCTGGCTGACTTCACATAGCCAAATCTGTACATTCGATTTTCTCAGATATGAAAAGTCCTTTTCCAGTCTAATGTTCCCGCAGACCTTGGGACCCAGTGTGAAGCATATAATGGTATTTCGGGTCACATCATCGGTGTTATTTCATTGTTTGTGCGTCATCCTATTACCGGCGTGACTGGGCCCATGGAGGAAGAGGGGAGACGAAACGCCGTCGATCCGGTGACGGATATCGCCAAGACCTTTGCCAGTGATTCACGTCCCCGTTTGATACTGATTGCTGGTGAAAATACCAAGACCTCCCAGTCGACAGTAATAGGGATCTATCTACCATCAGCATCTTCGGAAGGAGTCTGTCTGCGGCTTTTCTTCGAGTTGCAGCCGAAATTTCGTCTCCATCGATGGTCCAGCTACCACAAAGGACTGACAAGCATGCTGGTCGGGAATATCTCTAAGGATGGGAAGAGTTTATCATTTCGAGAGTCTAATCCCAACTCTCCCGGTGACCTCGAGTCCAATGAGCCATTTTGGATTGGTGGCTCAGAAGGCGAGGAAACTTACATCAAGGTTGACCCAGCGAGAAAGCTAGCATCCTCGGTGTGTCATTCAACAGAAATTCAAGTGGAATATAGTCACTTTACTGTGTTCGGGGTTTTGGGTGGGGAGTCAGCCGTGCCTCCAGGTCTTATGAACACGAGCACTACGTGGGCGAAAGCTCTTCCGGGGACTTTTCAGGAGGGCCCAAAAAAACAGGAGTAAATCAAATGAATGAATTGAAAGCACGTATTATGGGATTTGGCCCCGTTTGAGGACCTAATTTTCGAGGACTAGCTGTGAAGTGTTTCTCGCTATGATATCGTCCATAGAACGCTAATTGATCTATCACATTGCGTACTTTCCCCACTACACCTTGCCTTGAGGCTCGATGACCACATGCCTGGTCCCATGCTTGCTTTGTTTTTCAGGCTACACATCGCATAGTTAGTTTGCTGAATTAATCAAAATCACAGGGCAATAAAACAGAGTTTATTGCTACTGTTGGGACTGTGAGAGAGAGAGAGAGAGAGAGAGAGAGAGAGAGAGAGAGACAGTAGCAGATCGGCATCTATCGACACTAGGCAGTCTGAACCTCAGAGATGGGCACATCTCAACGAAATCAAATTCCGACACCTCTTCTTTCTATTACCTTTCCCATTTTGCCCGCCGCATTAGATAATGGTTTTGCTGGCTTTGATCTACTTGTCCGATACCATCCTTCCAAGCCCGCTACTCGGACAAAGACTCATTTGAGCTTTCACTGAGCCCCACAATTATCCCAACAAAGCATCTGGACAGCAAGACTGGTAGATGCGGCACGGTACCGCAAGGGGATGCGGAGTGCTCCCGAGTGGGATGGCGTTATCGTCTTGGTCGAATCTCAACGGAGAATCAAAATCAGCCCACACGGCGCGAACCCGATTGCTTCCTTTGACCCTTTTCAGCCAACGCAGCCGACAGCTTTGACATCCATGCCAGATTGTGTCGCAGTCGCTCATTCGCGAGACTATTGAGACCGAAAGCCCTCCCCGCCCGCCAAGCGCCAATTTCCGCCTTCGAGCATCAAGGCGCGCCTTGGCGGCTATTCGTATTGCGACAACCAAGCTCCGGCAGCTCTTGGCCGAAAGCTAGATACCTCTCGGCGTAGTATTTGCGGGATCTTTCGGTCAACGTCCGTCTCCTTTTATCGGCGGTGCACAGAAATGAACCAGAATCAAATGGCGATAGTCGGAGAATCTGGGAATGGAATTGTTCGAGACTGGGGTCTTCCAGCTGTCATGCCATATGCACCCCATGCCCCGCCCCCGGATTTGCGTCTATAAATGCGTGGTTCTCCACACTCCCCAGATTTCCCCAGATTTCAAGCTAGTATACTAACCTGTGTGGTCAACATTATCATACCTGGTTCTGACCCCTTTTTTGAAGCTTTGCTTGTTGTTGCTTGAGCACCTCCATCATGGCCGGAGCCAAAAAGCCAGTCAATATCTTCCGACTGAAGAATACTGGCGAGCCGAGTCAAATCTTCAACTGGAGGCTTTGGTTCGCCGTCGTTTCATTTGGTCTTATGGGCGCCGCTCGCGGTGTAGATGAGGGTTTGATATCGGGCGCTTTCAACTCAAAAGACTTCCAACGCTATATCAATTACGAATCTTACAGTGAGGTGGAACAGACGAACATCAAAGGAGATGTGACTGCCATGGTGCAGATTGGCTCTGTGGGTGGAGCTCTATTGTATGCCGGCCGCAACACCATTGACCGAAGTTTCAAAGTGCTAACTCGATAAAACCCTACAGTGCATTCTTAGTTTGCGATCGCATTGGTCGTATTTGGGCGACTCGACAGCTTTGCGTTCTTTGGGTTGTGGGCATTGCTATTTTTATGGGGAATGGCGGCAGCTTGGGCGCCGTTTATGCTGGGAGATTTATTGCGGGATTAGGCGTTGGTCAAACCGTTGTGGTGGCCCCCGTATATCTTGCTGAGATTGTATGTGAAATCTATTCCCTCGCTTTTCTTGTCGCTCTCGAACTAATTCCGACAACAGGCCCCTGCTTCCGTCCGAGGCCTTTGCACCTGTGTGTTCACAGGCTTCGTCTACCTCGGTATCGTGCTTGCGTACTTTGCAAACTATGGAGCTGAATTGAACCTTGGTGACAACACTCATAACCGATGGGTGAGTGATAGAAATCCTGGGCAGATTCCCGGATCTGATGGTTTCTGGATATTCACTGACAACGCCCAGCTTGTGCCCACGAGCATCCACATCATGTTCGCCGGTATCATCTTCATCCTATCATTCATTCAATACGAGTCTCCTCGTTATCTCGTCAAACGCGGTCAACATGAAAAAGCAATCGAAAACCTCTCCAAAATCCGGGGCCTCCACCCGGAGCACGAATACATTGTCAATGAATTCACGGCTATTCAAGCAACCCACGAAGCTGAGCTCGAAGCTACTCGAGGTTCCGGTCCCATTGGCGTTCTCAAAGAAGCTTTCTGGGTTCCATCGAACCTCTATCGTGTCTATCTAACATTCATGGCACAAATTCTATCCCAATGGTCTGGCGCTGGTAGTATTACTGTGTACGCGCCCGACTTGTTCAAACTGCTTGGTATTACCGGCAACAACGAGAGTCTACTCGTCAGTGCAATTTTCGGAATCGTCAAACTGGTCGCCGCTATTGCTTGTACCCTATTCCTGGTCGACGTCATCGGACGCAAACGGGCTCTTCTCATTGGCATTACCCTACAAGCTATATCGATGGTCTACATTGCCGGCTTTTTAAGCGCTGTCCCTGAAATGGGCGTCAACGAGGACTTTGAGCTACCAGAAAACAAAAAAGGGGCCAGCGAAGGCGCGATCGCAATGATTTATCTCTCCGGCTTTGGGTGGGCGTTAGGATGGAACTCGATGCAGTATCTTCTGACTGCAGAGTTGTTCCCCCTACGAATCCGTGCCCTTTGCACTTCCATGGCGATGACTTTGCATTTTGCCAATCAATACGGTAACGCCCGTGCGGTTCCTAATATGCTTCTGCCCGTTGCCCAAGGAGGAATTGATCCCAAGGGTACGTTTTGGTGTTTTGCTGCTATTACTATCATTGGCGGCGTATGGGTTTGGTTTAGCATTCCCGAGACAGCTGGTCGTTCGTTGGAGAGTATGGATCGTCTCTTTGCCTTGCCGTGGTACAAGATTGGAAGATATGGAAATAAGGACGCTGACCAGCGAGACCAATTTGTCGAGGACAAAATGGAGATGGCTGCACAATCGGAAGGAGCGGTGGAGCATTCTGAGCGGGTTGACCCTGTCGATCCTTCACGCCGTGTGTGATGGACCCTCATTTGCGGAATTTAGTCGGGGGTGGTAAGGGAGCCCCGGAGAAGGGAGGGGAAGTGAGCTGTAGAGGGCGAGTATGGGGTATGCCCTCACATAAAGTATATCTTCTCCTACAGACCGGAATGATGAAATGAGATACTGGGAAATGAGCCTTCTATTTTCTTTCCTTTAGCAGACTATAGCAGAGGTATATTTGGACGTGAAAAACACTGGCCACGTATTTAACCATTCTGTGTGGTATTTGGTGTGTAAGCTCTAATCCCCTAGGCATGGAAAAGTCTAGCAGCGCTCTCGGTACCAGAATGACCTTTAAATCACCGCTCGCTCCGTCAAAGGACGATTCTCCGGAATCCGCGAATACGAAAGAACGCCGAGATCTAGCGTTTTGAATACACCGTACACAATCAACTCTGCCACAGCGCGACCACAAGCCGGTGCCTGTTGACTTCCATGCCCAGAAAAGCCCACACAAAAGTAAAAGTTTTTCATAGTATTGTGTGCTCCAACGATGGCATTGTGGTCGAACGTGTTGAACTCGTAATGGCCCATCCAGGAATCAGTAACCCGTGCGGTATTGAACTGAGGAATTCGGTGAGTAATGATTGGCAAGATCTTGTCGTCCCAAGCATTCTCTGCAAAACTGAAATCATCGACGTCCACCGCGACGTCAGGACCGATTGGCGGACAACCAACGAGGTAATCTTTTGGTCCGTAAGACCGGAGATGGACACCCGTGGGATCAATAGTCAGAGGTAGATCTTGAGGAAGTGGATCGTCGACCGAGAAGATATAAGTATAGCGTCGTCGAGCCTCAATTGGTAAATCGATGCCCGCCAGCCTGGAGACTTGGGCAGCGCGCGTACCGGCAGCGTTGACGACAGTGTTGACTGAAATCATCTCGCCACTGCGTAGCTTGATACTCTGGATTTGAGGTCCGTCTGTAACCATCTTGATGACTTCATTGTTGATGTAGTCGACGCCACTTTCCTGTGCCGACTTTCGCATCCATTCCACCATACCAATGGCATTGAACGCGCCTTCATCTTTGGTGTTCAAGCTTCCAGAATCGAGGTCACCGGTGTAGAAAAATGGATATCTCTGCCTGACATCTTCCGCAGAGATAATGTCGGTACCGGCACCACAATCAGCCTGGAGCTGTTGGTCCTTTTGGAGAACCTTGGTGAATGATTGGGCACCGGAGAGGTAAAGATAGCCGAAGTTTCGAATCGGGTCATCTGGCACACGCGGATCGTAACCAAAGTTGGAACCATGGCGCTTGACAAATCCGGCAGCATACTGAGCGATTTCCACATTGATCTTGGTGGCAAACTGCTGCCGCATACAATTGTTGCTTGCCTTTGTTGCAGAGAACTGCAATGATGGATCACGCTCGACGACGAGGACGAAACCATGGAAGTCCGTATTGTTCTGCAAGTGCCAGGCAATAGACGAGCCACTGGTAGCACCCCCGATAATTACCACATCATAGTGACCAAGGCGTGGGGTTGTTGGAAATTCTGTCGAGAATTTCGGGTCCGACATTGTTGTCAATTGTGCCTTGATAACCTTTGAGGGAGGCTAGTTAAAGAGAAGAGAATACAGACTTCAGGACAAGACATTTGCGCTTTAAATATTTCTCTAGAGCTTCAACCCGGGGCCATATCATCCACCTGGAGACGTTTTGTGTCCCCTCAGCCGCGACAAATGGAGTCGGCTTCCTCTTCCAGGTCCCCCATTGCCTTAATCATTCTCCAAAATATTATTTCAAGGTGTATGTGTTTACGTCGAAATCGGGATAAGATTCCTTTTCAACCGGGTAGGTAATATCTTCACTTCTCTGGGCTCCATTCGATTTCGGCTTATCAATCCTTCATTCTAAAAATGCAGGCTATAGCGATTATATAAGAGGAGCCGTTTTGATGACAATCTATGTAACCTATCACAGCAGACCATCAATCCATGATTCTAAAAAGGCAGGATATACCGATTACATAAGATAAGCCATCCTCTAGGGCTAACGTATCATCACAAGGAGGAGGCTCATGAGGGTTACCCGCGGGTCACTGCCAGGTCTAGTGCTGATTCATCTAGCGTCAGGACTCTAGGCGTTGTATCCAAACCTGTCCTGATACCCGGATATCGGATTAAGGCTTCGCCTATGCTGCTTATTCAAGAAGTGGCGTTTTTTACCTGAGAAAATGGATCTATTTACGCAGATACATCGATGCAGCATTAAGCACGACGAGAACTTTGTCTTCATTGCTCCTCGTCCACAGAAGCTGGAGAAGCACCAGGTTCTCGTGGGAAATGAGGTGATGGGATTTTCCGAGTGGCTGAAGGTGTTGAAAGCGCAGTGGATTGCAGCGAAAAAATGATGCTAGGCGTGGCTACTCAATGAAGCGGTAATCGCCCGCTAATTCGAATCGTCAGTTTGAAGATCGCAGAATCTGAGGACAACGTACCAGTACCCAGCGGTGTCAGTCTCCAGGGTTTGCTTTGCAGAACACCCTTGGAACTGAGGAATGGCGACCAGAAACCACACGCATCTCTCGTTTGCTGAGCTCTCAAGGCCCTTGGATTTATGGCAGCCTTTTCCTCGGAGGAGAACCCGACCTTTTCTTTCGCCAGAGACAAAATCTCATTCGATACGACTGATGTTTCATCGACCACCCACATTGTCTCCTTGAATGACTTTACATTCATGCTATCTGATCCAAACACGTAGTTCAGCTCAGTCAAGGGAACAAATACTTGGCGTGTTGAAGATCCATCGACCTTAAAGATTCCGTGCATCTCCCCGGCGGGGGTGCTGCACTTGCCGATGGGAAGATCGGTACCCGCTGCAATAGTAAAGAAAATCCATTCCATTATGCCGGTGGCACAGAAAGCGGGTACCATAGAGCCACCTTGTTGGGGCGGCGAAATCCATCGAGGTCGATCTCCAGATATATAATCCGGTCTGGAAGAAGGCGGCAGAAGCGGCGCATCTTGCCAGCCCTCTAGGCTGTCTTCAGTTCTGCCATCGAAGGGTGGGAAGTGTGTCGGCCACCTGGATCCATTGCGATAGCAGCTCTTGAATTCCTCGATGAGCTGGGATAGTGAGCTCGGTGACTTGAGTGATGAAGGCGCGCCGGCTGTCAAAATAATCTCCAGCAGCGAAAGTCCAAGAGGCCCACATTTGAAGAGCTGGTGCACAACCAGGGCAAACGCTTCAAAGGTGGCTTGATTTGAATTCACATTTTCATCATAAACCAAGCTGATGAGCTTCCGCACCGAGCCCTGAAGGGGTACCAATCCTCTGAAGGGTCTGATGTCCCATAGTAGCCCCTGCATGAAAAGCTTGCCACTGACGACGAAGGATCTAAACCCCGTGCTGACGTACTCACCAGACAAGGTGAATCCGGGCATGATTGGTGGGGCGAGAACGAATGAAAGGGTTGCGTCTCCGTGTGGCAGCCAAGATGGTCTTTCTTGACTTATCACTCTCCCAGGTTCTTCATCTCGCGAAAATGTCGAATCAAGAAGTAGTGTTTGATCCCCATTGGAAAGAGCCAGCGCCATCAAACAGGCGCTGAAGCTAATGTCTGGATTTTGCCCAGTTATCTTCTCCATGTCGAGATGGTACTCATACCGCGCCAGGTTGGCATAGATTGACAGCCGATCCCCCCTGAAGAGATTCGCCCGGCTGTTCAGAGTCATGTAGGCATTAATGATTGACATGGCATGGTGATCAGCTCTCGGGTTCCATTTCAACTCCTGTCTGTGCAAGTTCAATCTGTTGAGATCAGGCAGTGTGGAGATTGGGGGTTCGGTGATCTGATTGTCGATCCACCAAGACATTTCATCGAGCTTGCCAGAGGACAGCGTAAACCCTTCTTTACCATGATTTAGGGTCAAAAGGGATTCGGTCATTCGGGCAGGTTGGTTACCGCCATGGAATGACATTGATCCTAGGTGATGTCCACCCAGCTCCAACTCATGTTGGATCTTCTGTCCCTCAAACACCGATGCCATATCTTCCCATTGCTCTCCGGTGGGGTCAAACCCACGAGCCCATCCAACTAGGTATACCATGTTTGACGGGCCCGCATTAATGGACTCTTGTGACGTCCATGCCCTATGAAACCATCGGTCCTGAAAGATCCGATAACAGAGATCGTCAATACCAGGACCCCAGTTCATAAGAGATTTGATTGCGTCAACATCTTTCCGGCATTGTATCTTCCGACCCAGGACCCCCAATGTGACGTCTGCATGTCGATAGAGAAGATGCATGACACCAAGCAGGGCTCTCTTGTCTTCGGGGTCATCTTGGTGGATACATTCCTGGTCAATCCATATTCTTTCGATGCCCCTAGATCGGGCAAAGGCAAAGCTTCGACGAATCAAATCGGGTGATGCTCTCGTTGGGCGAATAGTGAAGCCGGTGCTGCTCTTGTTTGGAACTTTCACCTGCAGGGGGTCCATAGAATCCGCCTCTTGTGAGGCCCAAACATATGAAACCGCAACAAAAGGTTGATCGTCACTCTCGTCCTGCTTATAAGGCTCGATTACCTCGACTTGGTACTCCGGGTCTTCGACTTCCACCATGAATCGGACTAGCTTTTTCCAATAGGAGGAACCCCCAACTGTATATATCGCGTCCTGCGCGATCTCGACATCTCGAACAAACTTTTCTTCCCCTATCTCTGCCAAAGAGAGGTTTGAATCGTCCCGAAGATCTGCAGGGAACGATCTCCCTGGCTGCGTCGTGCGCTGCTGATACCAGTCCCTCAACACAGTCGCCACCTCCAGATGTCCATTCCTCTGAGCAAACCACCACGCCGGCATCCCCGAGCCACCTTCACAGTCCATATCTTCTCCATGGAGACTCAGAATTGTCTGTATCATGGACAAGTTTCCCACCTCAGCCAATGAAACTAACACCGGATCACCATCTTGATCCCTGCAATCCACATCCGCGCCATGGTCTAGAAGAATCCGCATCACTTCATTCTGATGAGCCCATGCCGCTTCAATCAGTGGAGTGGCTTGCGCGCGCCTGTCTCCATCCACCTGTGCACCCGACGCTAAAAGCAGCGACACCATACTCTCTTCTCCGCTCTTGGTGGCCTCGCACAGTGGCGTGCTGAATGCATTTGTGACTGCATCGATCGGGGCCCCATACTCCAGTAGCTGCACTGCTATTTCCGTGTGTCCGTCTGCAGCCGCAATATGGAGTGGAGTCGTGTTTGACGCGTCTGGTCTTCCAAAAAAGTTCATCCGACAGTTGGGGTCTGCGCCTCGCTGCAACAATGCAGCCGTGACCTCGGGATGGCCTTGTTTGGCCGCAATTATCAACTGCGGGGGGCTGTCCATGGTCTTCAGGGGTGACTGTCTAGGGAATGACAAAGGTCACTTTCGCTATAGTTGGCTAGCAGCGAGAAATTGCACGACTGAGCTCCCTCTTGTTTGGAAACCAGGGGGAACATCAATTAATCCCGGAACACAGCACGCCCACAAATGACTGATAGACAAGGATGTGGGCATTGGGATTTTGGTCCACGATGCGAACTCGAGATCGTGAAATAAAATCGTGGCGGGGCCAGCCCGTCCGGGTCCACCGTGATCCCATCACCTCCGAGGGGTTTTCGTATTTGACATTGAGATGACATCTTGCGGTCCCCATATTGTGTGGAGGCGAGCCACAGCATACCGGTGTAAGCCAATAGCTACAAGAAGCGTGTCGACGATGCTACACTAGTAATAGTTAGCGTCCCCATACAGCCCCCCTCCGGCGCGCTCGACACCCCCACATAGACTCCTTTGCTCACGATTGATGGAGCCCCGTGGGTACTTTATCTTTTTATCCCTTCAATACTGATTATATCGGACGGCAGACACCATACCTCCACCCACAATGTTGAGAAAGTCACTGATTGAGGAGAGTTTTTGAGTTTGTTCCTTCGGGTGTTCATTTCAAATCTATTTCGTAAAAAGAAGACCTGGATCACAACAAAAAAATTAGGTTCTTGTTGAGCATACAAGAGAGGCGAGAAAGGAGGACGAAATGATTCTATTCCGTGAGGAAGAGAGGTGAGAAGTGAGAAGAGAGAGAGAGGAGAGCGGAGCTATTTATACAAACAAGGGTTGGACGAACCACACCCCACCACAGTCCTCATTCTCGTCATTCTATTCCAGTGATGGTATATAAGAGACCTAGGAAGACCATGTGACAAGGATACATGGACACAGGAATTTGTTTCAGACCCTGAAGCTTCGACAACACCTAGTATGTGTAATGTTCATTTTGAAGGGACAACTTTAGAACGTGTTCTAAGACGCAACCACAGTGGTGATTTGATCAGATTGAACTCATATTCTGAGAATCTTTACTTTGTGTATCAAAGGCGATCGGCCAACGTTCCCACGGACTCAACGACTGTCAGCGGTCAAACAACACGGGACTCATATTCGGGGCCTCCCTTCCATCGCATCAACAACGGTGATCCCGGGTTCCTGACAGGCGCCGATATGCAACCGAAGTATAACAGTCTTGATACTTTATCTACCTATTGTAGTGTAGCGCAAAACCAAAGCATGCGATCGTTCTCATTTGCCCATTCGGCATTCTTGACCTTAGTCAATTCCTCCCCCATATATAGATCTGCCTCGACGATCCAGCGCGTCCCAGTGGCCTGTCCCACATCACACCAGAAGCCTTTGATCGTTTGGACGTTATGTCGGTAGTTTGTTCCTGCCGCGACATCTGCCATCGGATAACTCCCGCCGAGTACATTCCCCAACTGGCGCCCAACAATCATCGTGTAAGGTCGAAGTCGACAAAGACGGACCAAATGCGTGGCGACCCGGAGCTGCTCCTCATAGTCCCACAGGTGGAACAGGGAGCTCGCGAAGGCGATGTCGATTTTCCCGGCTAAATTCTGAAAGATCGGGCTCGCAGGGTCCAGGCAGTCAGGCGAGCTCAGGTCTCCCACGGCGAAAGTGGCATTCAGACTTTCTCGATCGCGGAAGAGCTGATAACCAAGATCGATAAATGGTTGTTCTAAGTCGCATCCATAAAGCTGGTGACTTGGAATACCCTGATCGGCGAGGAAACGAATTTCTTGACCGAAGCAGCAGCCGGCTTCGAGAATGCCGGTGCTGGGATCATCGCGGAGACGTGATAGTATGCGCTGATAAGCCGGGTGGTGGGGTAGCTGGAATGTAAGGAAGCGTAAATGCCCAATGCATGGATAGTGGAAGACGGAGAAGGCTTCGTCGCGCTTTGAGTAGACGTGGTTCACTACTATCAGCTTCCAAGACCATCCAAGTCCACAAAGACAAAAGGAAATTGCCGCATACAAGCTTCAAGACATGTGGGAGAACTTCGTCCGGACGGAAGCCGCTATAGCTTTCTAGCAGCCTCTGCGCTTCGGGATTGATACTCTGGACTTCATGCTGGTACCATTCGGGCTTCTTGGTGGACGCCATGTTTCTTGTTCGAGGTTGATAGTGGGCTTCACTTGAAACGTATAATGAATGGATGAATGTACCACCCTCCCCCTCGGATTAAGATACACCATCGACCCGGCGACGCAGGTCTTTGAGACGGAGTCGCAGATCATTGCCTGGTAGGGAGTATCGTCGGTATCAATCTTGTATTGATTGGCTAGTCAGAGTCATGCATGGGAGAACAATGCTTCTCACTGGTTCTTGAGATCCCATTTGTCGATTTTCCACCTTTCCTGTACCTTTGTCCTTGCTTGGCTCTTACCGCCATATCGGTCGCCGTCGGCACTCGTGCTAATCTGGGCAGACTCTGGTGTTTGTCACTGTAGCCCATCCTATCAGACAGTAGTAACCTTGTCTCCGAGATCTGGCATCTGAGGTTGTGACAAATAACGGAGAGTTTGAAAGGAAGAAAGCAGTCTTAGGTAGTCCAGAGAGGTCGATGTGGTAAGGTGGCAGACTTGCCATTTCGGGTTGCTGTAGAGACTGCTGATTCACAATACTCCCCAAGGGCCAAAGACAACTTTAATTCCACAAATCTGAAGATCTCCCTTCACAATATTTATGGCTCACATTTCTCTCAATCCTATTTCATGCAAGTTGTACGGTCGCACCACACAGGGCTGCACACTGGAGTATCTCACCACACGGTGGTGTTGCAAAGTTGCGATTGCGATTGCGAATTGACAATTTCTGTCGACCTCAGAGAGCGCTTTCTCTCTTTCTCTCTTTCATCTTCCGAAAGTGACAGTGAATAAAGCCCCCCATGCCCGATATTTGTATCCTCCCAGCCCTCCAAACAGCCGCGCAGTCTGACGCGGGTGTGGCTTTTTATTCTCCGGATCAGAATGATACGCCATCCAGACTCACCTACAAGAACCTTACGCTGCAAGCAACAAGTGATGCCGCTCTTTTGGTATCCTACCATGGCATTTTTCGGGGTGGAAGAAAAGTTGTCCTCATCCATATGGACAACCAATTCGACAACATTCGTTGGTCCTGGGCAGCTGTGTTTGCCGGAATGACTCCGACGATATCGACGCCTTTTTCTCACAATTCGGGCCAGCAGATGCAACATCTACTACACTTGGAGTCGCTCTTACAAGACCCGCTGGTCCTGTCTTCAAAGAACTTAATGAAACAATATCCAGAGCTGAGACAGCTTCAGCTATTAGTCCCCGAAGACCTTGAGAGCTGTGAGCTTTAAAATGGCGCACATGACAACATCGAAAACAGCAACTTGAATGTGATCCAAGGCTGATCATGTTTTACCCTCGCAGAAGTGGTTCTGCAGTTGGATCCGAGAACATGTTTCCTTCCAAGGTTGTGCATAATACCGAGTACACATCGTTGTGTAGTTGACCGAAACCACACTTAACTATATTGGGTTAGCCTGCCCAGGTGAGAGCCATGCCTGCTTGCTAGTGGGGGGCCTGGAAGCGTTACATCTCCCCCACACTTCGACTCATCGCGCAACTTCTTCGTCGCATTGACTTTTCTGAAGTTCTGTCTGAGCGCTGAGCTGTGCCCCTTTACCATGTCATCAACTTCCAAACCGACTATCGTTCTCGTGCATGGCGCATTTCATGGCTCGTGGTGCTGGAAATTCCAGATCACCGCGCTGGAGGCTCTTGGCTTTGCTGTAGAGACAGTAGACCTTCCATGCGTCAGTGGGACAGCAGGTACAACACAGTTCGACGACGCGACACACGTACGCTCCGTGGTGGAATCGCAGATCTCCATGGGTAAGCGCGTTGTGGTCCTCGCGCATTCCTACGGAGGACCGATTGCCAGCACGGCCATCAAAGGGCTATCTGGAAAGGGTGTGCTTGGAATGATCGCTCTGTGTGCCTATATCTTTCCCGGAGGCATGGACCAGGGCGCAGCCATTCGTGATATTGGTGGACTGCCCTACGTGACGTGGGATGCACCAAATGAAGGCCTCTTTGTCCCCAAAAATCCAGGCAGCTTGTTTTTCCCTCCCGACACGCCTGCGGACCAAATCGACTGGGCAGTGCCACAGCTTCGTCCCCAGAGCATGGCCGCCAACATGGGCATTGTTCCGCCTCAAGTCTGGGAAGATGACTCTTATTCCGGGGGATTAGGCTATATAAGGTGCACAGATGATGTCATCGTGCCAATAGAGCAGCAGGATGGCATGCTGGCGGGTGCAGGTGGCCAGAGCAAATGGGTAATTCGCACCCTCAAGGGATCTGGCCATAGTCCATACCTCTCACGGCCTGAAGAGGTCGCCGCTACAGTCCAGGATATCGTGGACGAATTTGAAGCGAAGCTCTGAGACCATGACTAGGTGTATATAACATCCATCAATCAGCGACACTCTCTGGTGCATACTTGGTATAGCAAAACCTGACTCAAAAGCAAATAAGCAAATCCTCTTGTATCAAAAGCCTCATTCGGTATCATGCAGTCAATCATAGATATGAAGAAACTGCGTTGAATATTCACGGCCATAAGATTCCGGGGTGGTTTAAATGACTCTTTCTCGGTTGAAGCGAAGGGGGGAAGCTCCTCCGAATCAATGGTGCCGGTATTGCTCTCTTTCTCTATCAGCGCAAGCCTGAGTTGAAAGTTCTGATTCTCATCAAACTAAGGTTGTTTCGAGCAATGATGGAAGTTGATAAAGAATTCTGGAAGATATCGCCACTGTCTTGAGATCATTTCTTAATGGAAAGAAACAAAGGGCAAGAGCGAGGAAGAAAGGGTGAACAGTTGATTCCACCCGGGCGACATGTACTGTGTGATCGACATGGACCAGCTTTTTGTTGATGACAGCTCCAGGCGAATTTGCAAACACAGCCCTCTTAGATCTAAGCAGGCGGATGTAGAGACTAAGCTTTTCCAAGGAGCCACCCGGATTTCAAGGCTTTTAAGGTTCCTAAGCAACAGCCCTGCAGATCGCCAAGGGGCCAAACGGAAGAGATCGGCGATCTGGGGCTCGTGGAGAGGAGCGTGGTATTTGACCGAGCCTGACACTTCAATCTCATAAGACCGATGATCAAGCTTGCTAGTCGGATGAATATTAAATATTAGATACTAGTCAATCATTTTCTTCGCTCTCCCCAAGCAAATAAATCGGATGAACTTTCGTCCTCTTCCCTTCTCAGGTCGTAGTCTCAAGTCAATTCAGGAGCCACATTCGTCATCCGACAAGGGGTAATCATGGCCGCCAGAGGGGTTCCACAGAATATCTTGCACTTCATCCATATCCACGTAGTCCAGCCAAGTGCTATACCAATCCAGAAATTCCGGAATCGAATTGAATCGTGGCTTGCGACCGTAGAGCGGAGTCGGGTTGTCACCGTCGGCATGGAAGACAACCACACGCCATGCCCAGTCCTGAAGAGTAGTTTCCGACTCATCGTCAGACCGGCAATAAAGCAATGCGCTCTGTCATTCTTCGTGTTGCTGACGAAAGCCAGTGCCGGTGGTAAACCCAACCAAAACTTCCAGATCCTCATCGACGGTCCCTGATATGAAGACTTCACTGAGAATTTCTTGTTGCAGGTAAGCTGTGTACTCTTCCCGCGATGTCGAAATATCCGCAGGAGGCTGTCTCAGAACATTCGGGTGATCTGGAAATGCGTATGGCTGCACTCCGACATACCCCACTGGCTCAAACGGACAGATGCCATAGCCGGTAAGATATGGTGTCCCGACGCCCTGGGCATATTTCAAGAAATGGCCCAGTTCCACACATCGGGGGATGTGAAAATCTTTGAATTCGTCATCGCGTAGCGCCTTCTCGTTGCACACGCTCTCAATCACATCCAGACACATTTGACGCCATTCCTCGGTCGGAAGTCTTGACGGAATGACTCCGTCTCAACATCCTGCAGTCGTGTCACGGCTCTAGCCTCGCGATCTTGTCGAACCATTTCTGGAGGGGCAAGTTCATGCCATTTGCTCAAGCCCCCAAGGCCATAATCATTATAATAATCACTCATTTTGTTCAGTTTTTCTTCTTCGGTAGGAAGACTCATAGCTTCGATCTCCTCGACGCGATGTTGAAGAAATTGTCGATAAGAAGATTGCATTTTGACGCGGAATCTTTCCACGGCCAGACGCATAGTTTCATCTGGATCCACAGAGGACGGCATGTTGGTCATTGGAGAGGCGAGAAGATTAATTGGAGAAGACTGGGAAGGACAGGAACGAAGTGAGAGAAGAGAAAAGTTGGGTTTTCTGAGATACTTGACGGCGTAGGCAGCCGGCCCCACTGTTCTATAGGCAACACTGCACTGCTCAGCGTAAGGAAGACAGACATGCTAGTCATCTTTAACTAGGGAAAAGCTTTGACTCGGAATACTGCTTGAGCGATGTTTCATAGATTGGTTGGTTGAAGAGAGGAGAGAGAAGACTACTAGTGACTACTAGAGTGGGAGTATGTGCAAACATTGCAAACAGGCCATACAGGCAAAAGGCCTTATATGACCAGAAAACGTTTCTGTTGAACCGACAGGCTCTGAAGAAGAAAGTAGTAGGTTTCAGTGTTTTAACTATCTGACTGGAAGAAGGAAGAAGGAAGAAGGAACAAAGATGCATTGCCCATCTGGTGATTCAGCCCATTCTGATATGTGTTCTTGAAGCTCGGTTCTGGTATCTGGAAGACGCATTTCATCATGCTGGTTTGAGAATGAATCATAGAGCGCACCATCGGCAATTGGGAGGTTGAAATTTTGGATTAGTGCTTGAAGACCTGAGATTTCATCGATTCCCGCCAACATACTCTGAGCCGTTCGCTGATGTTACAAGTGCTGATCGAACTGCATACACTGATTTGGATATTGCTCATTTTCCTTGATGGAAGACTGAAAGTCATCCAGACGTTGTTTCGAGGATGCTGTGAGACCGTCCATGATCCATCTTCCCCCGCCTGGGTCTTGGGCAACCAGAATCTCTGCAGCATATTGAAGTACCACCTTGTAGATTTTTACAGTCGCTTGATCCACTCCAGCAGTGTATTTTGGGGCTTTTGACTAGAGATTCCTCTCGACATAGTAATATCGTGCAAAAACATCGCAAAGATACTCCCAGGATTCGAATAAGGCGTCTCGCAGGTCAAATTGATTTTGAGTCATCTGAAATGGGATTAGCCCAGATCGCGTCACATCTGGGGGAAGCACCGACTAAGGATGATATATCCAGATATCATGGCAGCTGCGTTACAAAACCTCGGTCAGAACCTTCCTGTTTCAATGTTTGTTGCCTGGAGTGTGACAGTGGTTCGCGGCTCCGACCCCCAACACGATCATCTCTCTCAGCCTTCGAGATTTACTTTCCCCCTCTTTCTTATTGACTTATCCCCTGTATGCATTTCGAGTATGGATCGGCTACATCGGAAGCAGGAGTCAAGTGAGGACTCTCCTATCTCACTGGTACCCGCAGGTCTGCTTGCAGATATCAACCCTACTAATCAGCTCTCTGTGCTGCTTGATCAGCAACACAATGAACTTGTAACTCGGCAACTGAATATTTCGGAGGACGAAACCCCTGACAATATCCTTTCAAAAGTGCTGACGACAAATCCATTTTCGACAACCGCCTCGTCGTTCGCCATCACACAACAGGAGCAGGAACGGACGGCTGTCAATTATCGCACGATTGGCTTCGGCCAGTGTGGAGTGGTCTTCGAGAGACCAGGGCGCAACTATGTCATCAAAGTCGCCAGGCCCTTTTACGAAGATTCCCTCTGGGCGGATTTTACAGCTCATTTTCAAGTGCGCAAGGCGTTCCAGGCTCAGTCAACAGAGCCCGTCTGTCGTGTCCCTAAACTCTTTTCCTATGTGACAAAGGAAAACGAACGATGGTGGAAAGACAACTTGCCTTTTCTTTCGCCGACCCCCCACTCTCTAGCTCTGCCGGCTATGGCCATCGTCACCGAGCGAATTCTTCCCTTGCCGAAAGTTGCGAGACAGGCGCTAATCAACGCTTACTGTCCAGCAACTTCAAGGCCAGCCGTTTCCGCCAACCACACAAATAGAGACTGCCTCGCGCGCGTTTATCTTGGCCGTCGACGCCCTACAAATCTACCTCCTACTCCAAACTTTACATTGCGCAACTACAATCTGTGTCTGGATCAGATGATCGACCTTGGGCTCCCCGTTCAGTCATTTGCTGCCGGCATTGGCGAGGCCCTGGCCATCGTTCATTGGGCCGCTCATGTGGACGCCTATGACATCGAGTTCGTGCTCGGGAGTGAAGGAGATATCAACTATACTCGTGAAGTCTCGGCATGTCTCAATTTGAGCGGAGCAGAGCAATTGAAAATGACACCACATACTGACGTTGACTCGCTCATGAAAGTCAATTTCCGCCACCGGAATACTCGTTTGTTTGTTCTTGATTTCAATTTATGCGGGGTGTGGGATGAGAAATGCCAGCTCACCAGCCCGGACGCGCTTATCTCCCATCTAGTGACCTCGTTCTTTGAGAATGACCCATATTATCCTCTGCCACTTCCAGAATCAGATACCGATAAGAAGCTTTGGGATGTTTTCAGCATGACATACATCACCAAGGCGGAGGAATTATTGTGCGCCAGTTCTCAGCATTCTCATCTGCCGCGCAAATTCATCCAACAATGCATTGAAAGAGAGAAGAAATCTTTGGCTTGTGGACTAGGCCGTGGACATCGTGATCACAAGGAATAGATGCTCAAGTGAAGGACTATCGCTATTGCTACGCATTGAAGAAGAAATGCCTATCCTAGTTAATGAATCATTCTTACCCTTCCTCGCTTCCCACGTACTGTAGCTGACACGTACGGTCCGCGCCCTTACAGGCGACCTCACAAGCAAATTAACATAATGGAGACCGCGGTATCAATTTATTTAACAAACTTCTAAAGTTGGGATCACCTGCTCGATTAAACAAGTAACGGATACAGCAGTATACAAAGATTGGCGATTGAATCAATAAAGGGCATTCCATACCAATGAAGCCATGCCCACAGCCCATGCGCTAGTAATTGAGAGACCCGCAGGTGCAGAATTGGAGGTGCTAGGTGCAGAATTGGAGGTGCTAGTTGGTGAGCCCATAGCTGCGCTAGCGGTGGACCCCGTACCATTGCCTGCTGTTCCAGTGGCAATTGAGCGCCCCTGGGCCTGTGTCAAAGAGGAAGTCGAAGATGACGGCTTTGGACACGGGTTCTTGTACACAAACTGCTCTGGGTTACTTCAGCGTGCCCAGTCGTCCCCTTTGCCTCTTGTGTTCCCTTCGGCAAAAGCAATACAGTGCCGGCTTCGAGATACAGTCCAAGAAAGACATCAATGTGTACTGAAGAAGCTACCCACCGAGGCCAAATTGTATATTGCACTAGAATGCTGGATCTCTCCTTTTCAAGAAGCATTTATGGCTATCTCTGGCTACTTTATTGATGATAAATGGAAATACCGTGAGCTTCTCCTCGGGTTTGAACCATTTCATGGATCCCACACTGGCGTTAATATTGGTACCGTTCTTTTTGAGGTTCTTCAGCGATATCAATTGGTTGAACGAGTGTTGACTGTGACAACAGATAGCGCTTCAAATAACCAAACGTTAGTAGGAAGAATGCATGAGCAATTGGAGTCGCTTAAAAGCAGAACTACAACACCGATTGTCCAAGTTCCATGTATTGCTCATGTCATTCAACTGATTCTCAAGGGCCTTCTCGGTTATATGAAGCTTGAACCAGTGAATGAGGCTACACAGAGAGAATGGTCTGAAAACCAGTCGCAATCCCTCCGTGCTAGTCAAAGAAAGGGTATAATTTCTACCCTTAGCAAGACTAGAATCAAAATATCTCGCACGGTTTGTCACTAGCTAATTCTTTCAGGTTCGCGGCCTAGCGGTTTTTATCAACGCTAGCCCTCAGCGTCGTGATACATTTCGAACAATTCAAGTCGTCAAAACCCGCTGGAACTGTACTTTTCTGATGCTTCGAGGCGCAAAAAGATTAATTACAGCTAGTGTTCAACAAATACTGCTCTGAAAATCAGGGTACGCAGTTCACGTTAGATTGGGACGAATGGCGGCAAATCGACTACCTGCTGTGTTTGGCCCAACCTTTTTTCCAATTTACCACTATTCTCTGTCAAACCAAGGAAGTGACTATCCATATCGTCTTCGAGATCTATCACTCTCTTTTTGAACATCTTGAAAAATCGATACACCAACTTCAACAAAAGAGGGTTCCTTGGAAGCAATCAATGCTTTGTGCAATTCTGGCAGGAAAGAAAAAACTTGCAACCTGTTATGGTAGCACGACCAAAGCCCACGGTGATCTTTTTGCGATTGGTACAATACTTGCACCACAGCACAAGTTGCAGTTTTCACGTTACGAATGGGCAGAGAATAACTTCGCATCGCGTGAGATATATCAACAAAGTCTTAAGGACTATGTTCGACCCTATCAAGAACTAACAAAATTACTAATCCACGAGGATCCGTTGCGGCACTACTAGCTGGAAAGGACATATATGGCAAGGCTTTATGTATGGGTTGCGAGGAGACGCAGTACTATATATATTATGACATGTATAGTAGATCAGAGATAGTTGCCCTTTCGGCTTAGCCGCCGGGCGTTAATGAATTGTGAGTGTAATCATACATTCCTTCGTTTGCAGCATATCTCGTGCAGTATATCCCGCCAAAAACCCAATCAGCAAGGGTGCTTAATGAGTGAGATGGCCACAGTTTCCGCACTGATGATAATTCGTCCCATTGCAGTTGGCACAGAGAACAGATATGGAGCCGCAATTTTGACAGGCCCTTAACTATAGTATCAGCGGCTACCGACTTTTGAAAACAGGCATAGAGCCCTGACGTACGATCTCTGTAGTTGAAATTGAAGGCTGCAGCTGCCACATGTGTGCCAGTAATATGCCATAGTAGCTGCTAATGGTAGTTAGTCATGAATATCAAGGCAACAGAGAGAGGGGAATATGGTACCTACGAGGTGAGTTTTCCGGATATATGTTATTACAAGGTGTGCGGGTTATGTAGTTGATTTGATCTTATCACGAATTAATATTGACTCTAGTTAAGGCCCAGCGCCTTTATCACTTCTCATTCAAGGTCGAGCTTCGTCGACTATAATTTGACGTCCACCCTTTTTCGGTGACCGACAGTCCTCTGCGTTTGCCATGCATTTAGACCAACACATCATTCGTCCTCCATCGCGTGCTGCTTCCTCTTCAGTAAACTCGCATTGAGAGGCGGAGGCTATTTTTTCCATCTGTTGCCTCGCAATACCGAGCTCCTTGGGCCGAAAAGACATGCGGGTGACACCGGCTTGTTAGGGCTTTGAAGTGATGGAACCACCAGACTGAGGCTTAAATGAACTCCAACATTGATCAGACTGTTGGAAAGTGGGTTTGACTTTTGGCGAGTCACCTACATTTGTTACTGTACAGGCATACTCAATTGGTGGAAAGTATGTTGCATAATCAGGCAATCCTGTCATTCTCCTATCAAGTCATCAGGGACTCGCCGGGAGAAGTTCCATGTTCAGAGGGCAAAAACTCTGACACGACTGCATCCAGGCGAGGCCTGTCTGCCAATAGATTATGTGACTGATGCCCCGTGAGGGGTAGTTACGCACGAATGACTCGCCCGCTCATCCGCTTGATCCGATATCCCCTCTGCGAAGTGCTTTTGATGTTTCAGGGAAGCTATATGTCTGTGAATCATCTACGCCCGGTTGTCAGCATGGGCTGACAGAGGTCTGCTTACTTCACATTACGCGGCCCAGAGCTGAAGACAAACCCGCGCAGGACCCATCGACATAGAGACCCCGCTCCCTCGTCGTCTCTAGTCCGCATGATGCTCGTGCTATACGACTAAGTCATTGTTTCCCAACCGTCCCCCTCGTTCTCTCCACCAATCAATCATGAAGTCAACTGGGCTTCGGCGACAAAGCGCACTCAGCTATAGGGACCGAGGTGGGTTCCGAAGCGCGAACAGTAGTAGTCGACGGATTGGACGTTAGAACACACTAATTAGGTCTCCTAGCGAAGACTTCATTTTCAGAGAGCGACCAAAGGGACCAACATCGCCGCCGTCTATAGTGGTACGGACGCTATGAGCTAAGACTACCAACGTCATCACCCGCACTTTGCGCATTGTAAAAAATGTCTGAAGCCCCGCTACACACGGGAGATTGCTCAAAAAGAGTGAGGCGCAAATCTACCTCGAGGCCCGAGTTAAAGGTGGTTTTTGGTGCTTTTGGTGGAACAATGTGAGCTGTTGTGATATGAGGCTGGTGCAGATCAGGAACCAAGCCGCACCGTCGGAATTAGCTCCGAAGTGTCTATACAGACGACCAAGTTGATTGGAAATCAACTTGGCTCATTATTATATATATAGGCACATGTATCACTCTGAAATAACAAGTCAATTCATACCTCCGAACAACAACATGAGCCACCGGTCACATGAAGTTCGATCCCCCGAGGAACTGAAAATTGAGGAACTGATAATCTTTTCGATTCGCCCTGAATGCGGGCTCACATAAACCTTCTTGTCATGAAACGCTAAGACGAGAGCTAGCTCTCAGCTAAATAAAGCTCGGTTAGCTACGAGTGGCGACACGTGATGACAGACATTTCTCTGCGAAAACGTCGAATAATTCCTTGTCAGAGACCTGTGGGATACGAGAATATTGTGAATTGCATAGACCTACACTTGAAGCTCAATTAGCCACTTCTTTCAGCCTTGCTCTACTTCAACCACGCTATACACCACATTCTACTTTGATCCTGCGGCAGATACGAGGTGCGCATACCGACCAATAGGAGTCATACAGTCAGGAGCCCCATCCAATCATCCACCGGCTCATGCATGCCACTGGTCAGACTATAATTAATCTAAATGGCGTGAACACGCTGAAACGTCCCCGAGGTCGCCGGTTTTCGGATGAGTTTGTAATAGCACAAGGCCCACATTTGCACCGCCGACAGGTACTAATGAATTTGGGGGTCGAAATGCGCCCATAGAATGTATATGGGATAGTACTTCGCCTTATGGTCTCCTCATACTGCAAATTCCGATGTTGACACTCCAGGAAGATTAATGCTCTGAAAGAGCCTCTTATTTCTTTACGAAGAGTATCCCAGAAATCCGTGTCCACGCATCTCAGCGTTCGAATCCAACCCAAGAGCACGTTTGCAATCTTGACATTCAGCTCCTACCTTGCAGTCGCCATTGTGGTCGTCCTTCTATTCGCCGTGGACACAGACAATAAAGGTGTGCATCAAGGAACTGTGAAATATGCTCTGTATAACAATACCATTTTCAAAGATTGCTATGACAAGCCCGCACTTAACAACGCAAACAACTGCACTGTCATTGACTCCATCTTAAAGAAAGGTATGCCCGAAGTTGTGTCGCGGGGAATTAGATACGTGGCCAAGCTGGGATTATACGATGAGGCGCTACTGGATCATGAAAGGGTTTCTTCCAGCTGATGCTAAGTAGCGGGTTGTTTCAACAGTTATGCGGTAATCCAAAGCGAACCAAATTCCATGGCATTTTGGCGTCCAGCATTAGAGCGTACACCGAGGTTTCTATGACCTTGCTCGCGGCGATGTGACAATTTAAGAAGCTTCATAATTCCCACTACACCAGCGAGAGGGAGCCACGCAGAATGATTGAATGGGATACTTGGGTC